CAAAGATGCTGCAGATTGAGTGGGCAACAAAATCAATAAAGAAAAAAATGATCTAGAGCCTAGTTTTTTTTTCATATAATCTTTTCCATCGAAATTCTCACATTCTCAAAACATATTAACCCCAAATTTTGATTACATGCAAAAACATACTGTATTTCTATACTGAGGAGGAACTAATAAAGTTTAAGGTTTAGCTATGCATGACCAACCATGGATGTTGGGTTCCGTTTCTACCAAGCAATCAGTCATCAATGTGTTTTCATCAGAACTCAACATTATAAACACAATCAATGTAAGTGTATGTGAAATAAACTAAGATTGAAAAAAAGGAAAAATGTAACAAATATACATATATATATTTTAAACTAAAACTTAAAAACCATAGACAAAATACATGACAGGGTGGCAGCTAGCAAAAGAACAGTAATCTAATTTCCTATTTTACCCTTTTTTAATTTTTGAAATACACAAAATAAGATTTGCTTTACTGACTATTCTTGTCGATTACAAGAATATGGGCAAAATTATTAATATATTTTTCTTACATTTTTTAATTTAAAATTTATTACTTTTTTAACGGTCTCCCCACACACAAGCTTTATCGACAAGCATGCTATATGAAATTCACTTTAGACTACCAATGAATCTGGTATCTATATAAAGTTTGTATATATTGTTTCTGACATACAAAAAAATAGTTTTTTTTTAAATAAAGGTTAAGCTTTTGGTGAAGTGGGTTCTTCTTGATGTTGAAATGTTTATACTTTAACCCAAATTGAAAAGAAAAAGGATAAAGATTTGGTTTTTTGATTCTTCCAATCTCACTCTCTCTTACTCTCTTTCTCTCTCCATCAAATACCAAATTATCTCGAAGCTGAGTACATCTTGTTTTCTGCTCATTCCTTTCTCTCTGTTTCAACAATGGAGAGTACTATTGTTATGATGATGATGATAACAAGATCTTTCTTTTGCTTCTTGGGATTTTTATGCCTTCTCAGCTCTTCTGTTCACGGATTGCTTTCTCCTAAAGGAGTTAACTTTGAAGGTATATTCATTATAACGTTTCACTCTTTGGAATCTTTTTTTTTACATTGTCACTTTTGTAGATGAAGTGTTTGATATTTGGTATCTCTAGAATTTTTGTTGATGGGAATTCAAATAAAGTATTTCAATTTCTGCAACATGGGTTTATTATGTATATATATTTCTTCTTGATCCAAACTAATGTGGGAGTTTTTATTGTTTTTTTCAGTGCAAGCTTTGATGGACATAAAAGCTTCATTACATGATCCTCATGGTGTTCTTGAGAATTGGGATAGAGATGCTGTTGATCCTTGTAGTTGGACAATGGTCACTTGTTCTTCAGAAAACTTTGTCATTGGCTTGTAAGTTTCACATTTACATTAATACACACATATACTTATACTACAAGCAAGTTCATGTGAAGATAAAAAAATGCTTTCATTTAATTACAGGGGCACACCTAGTCAGAATTTATCTGGTACATTATCTCCAAGCATTACCAACTTAACAAATCTTCGGATTGTGTAAGTACTTACTGTTTACTTACACCATTATAAAGTTTTGCACTTTGATTACACTCTGTGTTTTGTGTTTGTGTGTGTGTTCTTGATGATTTTTTATTCTCTCTTACAGGCTGCTGCAGAACAACAACATAACAGGAAAAATTCCTACTGAGATTGGTCGGCTTACGAGGCTTGAGACTCTTGATCTCTCTGATAACTTCTTCCGCGGTGAAATTCCTTCTTCAGTAGGCTATCTCCGAAGCCTGCAATACCTGTAAGAATAGTAAAAATTTGTTATGGATCTCTTAATTTGTGTTGTTTTTATAAGGAATTTGTGATCTTGATATGTCATTTTTGTGTATCATCAGGAGGCTTAACAACAATTCTCTCTCTGGAGTTTTTCCTCTGTCACTATCTAATATGACTCAACTTGCCTTTCTGTGAGCTAATTAATCTTCAGTCTACATTAAACAATAAGCAATTCATATGGAGAGAAATGTAATGTTGAGATTTGATCTGTTTTTTTGTTTCCAGTGATTTATCATACAACAATCTTAGTGGTCCTGTCCCAAGATTTGCTGCAAAGACCTTTAGGTGATTGATTTTTTTCACAATGTCTCACTCTTTCACTCTCTTTATCTCTATGATAACCTTTCATTGTTTCCCTTCTGATTACAGCATCGTTGGGAACCCGCTGATATGTCCAACGGGTACCGAACCAGACTGCAATGGAACAACATTGATACCTATGTCTATGAACTTGAATCAAACTGGAGGTAACTAACTAAAAACTTTAATCTTGGTATGATGATAATACCTGACTAACAGCTCTTTTCTTTTTCAAGTTCCTTTATACACCGGTGGATCGAGGAATCACAAAATGGCAATCGCTGTTGGATCCAGCGTTGGGACTGTATCATTGATCTTCATTGCTGTTGGTTTGTTTCTCTGGTGGAGACAAAGACATAACCAAAACACATTCTTTGATGTTAAAGGTTTCATCTTACTCAGTTTCTTACTTGCATTGAACATTCTTACAAGTTTTTTGTTTGAAAGAAAGTTCTTTTATTCAACAGATGGGAATCATCATGAGGAAGTTTCACTTGGAAACCTAAGGAGATTCAGTTTCAGGGATCTTCAGATCGCCACGAATAACTTCAGCAGTAAGAACTTGTTGGGGAAAGGTGGCTATGGAAATGTATACAAAGGAATACTTGGAGACGGTACCGTGGTTGCAGTGAAAAGGCTTAAAGATGGAGGAGCATTAGGAGGAGAGATTCAGTTTCAGACAGAAGTAGAAATGATCAGTTTAGCTGTTCATCGAAACCTCTTAAGACTCTACGGTTTCTGCATCACACAAGCTGAAAAGCTTCTGGTTTATCCTTACATGTCTAATGGAAGCGTTGCATCTCGAATGAAAGCAAAACCTGTTCTTGACTGGAGCATAAGGAAGAGGATAGCCATAGGAGCTGCAAGAGGTCTTGTGTATCTCCATGAGCAATGTGATCCGAAGATTATCCACCGCGATGTCAAAGCAGCGAATATACTTCTGGATGACTACTGTGAAGCTGTTGTTGGCGATTTTGGTTTAGCTAAACTCTTGGATCATCAAGATTCTCATGTCACAACTGCGGTTAGAGGCACGGTTGGTCACATTGCTCCAGAGTATCTCTCAACTGGTCAATCCTCTGAGAAAACCGATGTTTTTGGGTTTGGGATTCTTCTTCTTGAGCTTGTAACCGGACAAAGAGCTCTTGAGTTTGGTAAAGCGGCTAACCAGAAAGGCGTGATGCTTGATTGGGTGAAAAAGATTCATCAAGAGAAGAAACTTGAGCTACTTGTGGATAAAGAGCTGTTGAAGAAGAAGAGTTATGATGAGATTGAGTTAGACGAAATGGTAAGAGTAGCTTTGTTGTGCACACAGTATCTGCCAGGACATAGACCAAAAATGTCTGAAGTTGTTCGAATGCTCGAAGGAGATGGACTTGCAGAGAAATGGGAAGCTTCTCAAAGATCAGACAGTGTTTCAAAATGTAGCAACAGGATAAATGAATTGATGTCATCTTCAGACAGATACTCTGATCTCACTGATGACTCTAGTTTACTTGTGCAAGCAATGGAGCTCTCTGGTCCTAGATGAACTCTACACATGAATGTGAAGAAGAAGATGTTTCTGTTTCTTGAATCTCTTAGGGATTCTTGTTTTTTGTATGATAGAGAGTTTTTTTTGGGGGTTGGGGGAATATATATGTTGTGCCTTTGTAACTGTATAGGCTTGTTATATAAGAAGTTATTTACTGTACTGTACTTAGGGTTAGTTCAAAGTTTTTATATAAGAAAAACTTTGGATACACAGTGTAGGGTCTGGATTATGTTTGGAATTTGGGAATGGTTCAAGTTTGAGAATGCATACTAGTTTCCTTGTTTGTTTGCACACTGATAAGTTTGATGTAAACTCTATCATTTAACTCTCTGTACTTCTTGATCAACAATGGTGAATACAAGAACCCTAATTTAAATGCTACCACATCATGACAGAGGCCAGCTCTGAATCTAACAAACTCGCAGGCTTGTTGCTACACTCACAAAACAATGCATAATAGTATTTTTTTTTTCATCAATGCATAATAGTATATATCACTCCAATGACTCTTTATACTCCTGGATGATTCCAAGTCTTTGCTCACTCAAGCTCATGCAATCTCTTCTTCTGTTCCTGCCAGCTCATGCGCCACGTCAGCGGTGATCTTATAATATATGCTTATCACACACACCTACTACTACTGATGGAAAAAGAGGTAAAGTGAAAAACAAAGAAGGTTGTCTCATAAAGACAACACGCAGTTCACATGTTGCTTTTATAGTAACTAGTTGTCAAAACTAAAACGGAACTTATTTTTCCATATCGATCTGATGAAAACGACGACATGAATATACTTTTTTCGTAAAACGGCATGCAGTCCTTCTCTCCGTGAGAGAAACGACGTGTTTTCGTATTGAAGGAAACACACGTGGACGTTGTCCGTCCATTAGATTCAAAGTCAGACTACATTCGTCATCACGGAGCTTTGTTCACATTAGATTCAAAGTCAGACTTACACGGTTGCACCCACAAATGGAAACGGTCACACAATACATTCATCAAAGTCAGAATCACATGTAGAATAGAGGTTTCTTAACATTAATATATGTATAAGTCAAGAATTACACCCACACTTTATACGTTTATATGAAAGAAAAAGACAGCTAAATCGAATCATATCTGCATAATTGCATCTGATTTCATGTCGGTGTCACCTTAATCATTAAGTAATATTCATCAAACAAATTAGTAAAAATTTGTGGCTATTAATAGAAGAGATTTGGATAGAACAAAAAAATATCCAAAATTGCATAAACAACAGCTTCTTCTTTCTTCCAAAGAGAAACAAAACATCAATGGAAATGGCGACAGTTTTGTATATCCACCACCTCCATCGATATTGCTCAATTGTATGAGCGTCGTTGGTTTAGCCGCTCTTGCCAAGATCGGTTGGTCTGAAGTCACAGGAAATCATCTCAAATACTCCAAATTCGGCGTATCATCATCATCACCACAACCACAAAAGCAGCGATTCGGCAGCATCTCAAGCCGAAATGGAATGCTTTTGCTATACACACCTGCGTTTCTCGCCGCTGCGTCTTCTTTCTTCGTCTTACCTTCTGATGATCTCAGGTTTCTTCTTCTCAAATCCGCACTTGCCCTCCATTTCCTCAAGAGGGTCTTAGAGGTAAATCCTTAGCTTCCCCCTCTCTCACTCTCTCTGATGCATTTCGTCGAACAGGTTATGTTCATTCATAAGTAAATAAATTAGCTCACATGCTTGACTTGTTATCATCATTTAAGCTTTTGAGTTACCAATTTCGTTAGGACTTGGCATTATCATCTAGGAAAGTACCCTTTAATTGCTAGGCAGTAGCTTCATCTCTCTGACGCATTTCATCGAACAGGTTCTGTTCATTCATAAATACAGTGGTGGGATGGCTGTAGACTCGGCTTTCGTCATAAGTAGCAGCTATTTCTCATCCACGGCATTCATGTTATACAGTCAAAATCTCACCTTGGGACTGACCGAGCCGAGTTTCGATATGAAATTCGCCGGGATTCTGATGTTTGTGGTGGGAATTGTTGGGAATCTGTATCACCATGTTTTGCTAGCTAAGCTAAGGAAAGAAGATGGGAAGAAAGAGTACAAGATACCAAAAGGAGGTCTCTTTGATATAATCATATGCCCTCACTATCTATTTGAGATTCTTGTGTTTTGGAGCTTCTTTATGATCTCTCAGACCATTTATTCATTTTCTTTCGCTATGGGAACAATGTTGTATCTCATCGGTCGGAGTTACGCTACACGAAGTTGGTATCTTTCCAAGTTTGATGACTTCCCCAAGCATATCAAGGCTCTTGTTCCCTTTGTATTCTAGAGAATAATACAAGAAAAAGACTAATTAATGTTCTTTGTTTTTGTTTAAAGATTCATTACCAATGTGTTTTTGTTGCTGTTTCTAGTGTCTGAATAAAACGAAAAGTTTGATTATTGGTGTGTTAGATGTTATAGTGACATAACAAAAATACTCTAATTGCAGAAATTAGTCACGATTGAATTATCCCAGAATTTCAGTAACCTCCACATGCCGCACCAATGAACGGCTTGCAGTTTTTGTTCCAAACCCATAAACGGCACAGTGTGTGACTCTGTAGTAACTGTCTCAAGCGGTACTCTTTGTTCCATGTGGTTTCGGCTCTAAAATGTAAATTCTCTCTATTTTCTAATGTTTGCGTCAATCTCAAGTCAAATAGATTGATAAACCCTGGCTGTTCCCCATTTCTTTTTTTTTGGAGTGAAACCCTAACTGTTTCTTTTGCATCGAAGAAGTTTAGGATTTTTATTGAATCTGACCGAATTTAGAATTCTACTTAAATCTAGTGTTATTCTATTTATTGGTTTTAGAATTCTATTAAAATTCTTTTAAATTCACCTCTCTGCGAAAATCTGCAACGATGGGGACTTTCAGATTCTTTTATATCTCCTTACCCTTCTTCTTCGTCTTCTTCTCCGCAGTCTCTCAATTACAAGGTAAATTCTTTCTCCCGCCACATTTGACAGTAATAGCTTTCCGTAAAATCAATATAATAGCGTTATTTCAAAATTTCCAGACCAAACTGCGACTAAGAAATCTGTTCGAATTCTCTCGAAGACACTCATCGGCGATGACGGCAGAGTCTACGCTTGCTCCGACAACGACTTCTTTTCCTTCGAGTCTAACGGATCAATCGCTTGGTCGGTACACATGAATTTCAAATGTAACACCGATTTTTCCCCGGTTTACTCTGGTTTCAACCAGGTACATTCCAATCACTCTGTTTTTGTTTTTTTTTCCTCTGTTTCCTAAAGTGATGTTTGTTTTCCAGATGCTTGTTCTGGCAGAGAATCGAATCCTGAGAGTTCTTTTCCCAAGAAATGGAACCAAATCTGAACCGGAATTGTTCTTCGATCCCGGTGAAACGATTCTTGGTTTCGTTGTTAGCATATCGAGTTCTTCCGTTTACATCACGGTTAAGAATCACGGTCTCTACGCTTATAATATGTTTCGGCAACAACTTTGGATTGCAGATCCTAAAATCGAACGATTCGGATACCGACTGGGATGTCGAAAAGATTATGATAACTGTACATTCAATTCTCGACCAGTGATTGATTATTGCGAAGGAAGCATCTATGTAAGATCTCTCTCTGTTTCTTGTTATTCTCCATTCACGTTTCATCAATGATGGGTTCTTGATTTTTGCTCTGTTTTAATTTCTTCAGATTTCAAACAATGAAGGAGAACTCTACTCGTTATCTCTCCGTGGCACTTACTACCAATGGATTCAAGATTTTAGTCTAGTGGATCGATTCTTCACTGTTACACCGGGGAATAACGGTCTAGTGTACGTCGTTTTTCCTTTGAAATCACTTGTTTTCGCAGTAGATTCGTTTTCCGGCGACATTCTGTGGCAAAAAACCGTCGGTCCATTGGCAGAAACTTCTGCTTCAGCCCCTGTCGTAGACTCAAAAAGTCAGTTTCATTAACAAATATATTAAGATAATTTCACCTGTAAGATCGATCTTTATCTTTTTCTTCTTTTCTTTCCACAGGTTGGGCATCGATTGGTTCACTAGATGGCACATTGTACTCGTTCTCAAGAACAGGGGAGCTTCATAAGATACCGAAAAACGCGGACACAGATTCAGTGATCCAAATAGAGCCATTACTCGATTGCTCGGGCTATGCGGTTTATTTTTCTCAGACAAAACTCGAAGGAAAGATCGATCATGTCATTGAGGATTACACTTATGTATCGGCCAAGAAACCAGAAACCGCAGTCTTTTCACTTGTAGTTCCAGAGACAAGATCTATCTACTGGTCTCAGAGTTACTCTGGTAAAACACTAGTCTTAATTAGGATTTAGGACTACTTTCAGTCTTTTAAAAACTATATAGACTTTTATGATTTGATTTAATGGTTTTTGTATCAGATCAAATTCCGGGTTTGTTATTAGACGAAGATCTACAACATTTTGTGTTGGACGAGAGGATTGTTCTTGCGTTCGTTGCAGCCTCTAGTTCTGGAAATCCATTTCGATGTCGTTCTAAACACGAAAAGCTGTCATCTAGTTGTTCATTTTCAGAACCAAAGCATCTTGATATCTACATTGGTAACTAAACTTGAAAACTCTAAATTTCCAGTATCTTTCAAATAACTTTCTTGGACATCCATATCTCTAAGAAAGATTGTTATTTTTTCCTTTAGGTAACGAAAGAGCGATAATTTGGTTTTTACTGTTCGAGTTTGTGATTATGGTCCTCTTTGCGGCTCTTGTGAGGTTCTGTTTTATATTCTGGAAGAAAAAAAAGCTTCAAGATCGTCCCTTCAGTGCTTTCTTGGACAAGCGAGTAAGAAACCCTAGCTTGTGTAACAAGCATCTTCAACTTCAGTTTGTTACTTACATCCCAAGAATCCTAATGTTTTCCAGTAACTCACAGTCAATTTTTCTTCCCAGCGTTTGCTGCACAGGAAGAGTAGAGATATTGATAAAACGATAATTAGACTTCAAAGGGAATCAACAGCCAATGAATCCACGGTTGATAAAATCGGTGATTTAATTCAAGAGAGGGAAAACGTGAAAAGGAAACTCTCGTCGACCTATAGTCTTGGAAGAGACATAGATGAGTCAAAGTCTAAGTTAAAAGATTATGTTCTTCCCTTGTATGGCGGAGGTTCTAGAAGCTTCTTTTTCCGAAATAGGGAGAATGAGAGTATTACTATTTTTCAAACACCACGCGATGAGTCATCCTCAGAAGAGAGCTATAGGGACCAACATTATGATGATGTAGCTGACGATGAACATGATGAAGATGACTTGGACCGTAAGCAAAAAGGAAAGTTGCTTGCTCATTCAGAGGGTTCTTCCAATGATGGTGACGGTATTGCAAGCAGTAGAAGAAGCATATATTTGAAGAAGAGGTCATTATCTTTGACGACTAATTAAGGGATTGTTTGTACCAAAAAAAAAAAAGACTAGTTAAGGGATTGAAAATTTGTATTGTGTATATTTGTAGTTATATCAAAAAATATTTGTAGTTATATACATGTCTTAATCTATTTCATAATAGTAATTTTGGAACCATTTGACTTTACCTTTCGTGATTTATATCACTCACCATGTACTAGTTCTAGTTGTATTGATCAATACGATAACTGAAATCTAAATCAGTGTGATTATTTTACATCTCTAGATAATCTGATGGTCTATCACAACTGATTAATGCGTTAGAACTCTTAAACAATAACCATTGATGAATCAATATTTAAATGATTGCATACAGCATTAGTTTTAAGAAAAACAACCATCGAATCGACCGGTTGAGGTCATTATATATACAATTCGGTAAAAGATTACAAAATAAAACCAAACAAACCGGTTTTCGCCCCTAGCTAGCACTAATCTTTCCCTCACTTAATAAGCCACATTCACACACACACACACGTGCATACATTTTGAACTTGGCATTGTTAAAACTTTTTTTTTTAATCAATCATGCGAACAAAGTAGCATGACCACACATCTTCTGATGATGTAAATCCTTCCCTTTTGTTCCTTCATATACTTCCCCAATCTTCTACTTATTGATCTCTTCTTCTCCTTTGATCTCTCTGATGAGCTCATCATGACCTTCTTCATTTCCATTTTCAAGCTTTCAAAAAACCCGTTTGATATATAACAATCGTTGAACAAAAAATTTAGGTGAGAAAGTTTTGGTTTTTCGCGAAAAAATGAGACTTGTTTTTGTCTTTTAAGAGTACGCTAAAAAGCAGAACTGTTTAATTTGGCACAGCTTAAGACTGACAGAGACAAAAATAAGCTTTGGATAGAAGAGAACTGATTTGAAGGAGAAGTTACTAGTTGAGGTGTGTATATATAGAGAGAACTTATGGCATGCATGCAGGGTTACAGTTTTGATTTAAATATATATATATAATAAGTATATCCCAAAAAATGAAAAGTTTACTAATCAAAAAAAAAAAAAATCTTTTTTAATGTGATTGAAGAAACACTTAACAAAATGAATAAAATATCAATGACTTCATCAAAGCCAACAAAATTGGAACTTGGGCTGATTACTTATTATTACTCTTAATTTTTTGCAATCAAACAAAACTAAAACAATTATCAAACCAAGTTCATATAAAACAGAATCCCACATGTCTTTTCTCGTGTTCCACCATGCAATCAAACATAACTTGAACCTGGCCTTGCTTGCTTCAAAGTCCCCACTAAACCAAACAAGTTAACTTTTTAAAAATATCATACAAATACCATATATGTTTGTCAATTAATCACATTTCAAATACCAAAGCTTAGAATACGGGAAACTGTTTAATCGGTGGTCACCACACTAGCTCTATTTTCCCTATGTCATGTTTCAAGACAGAACGTTATGAATTACGGACGAAATTTTTTGATATATCTCTATATATGTAATGTACACAGTATATACACAAATTGCCAGATATTATCTCTTAATATATAAGTCAAAACTATATTTGTGGACATATCTCAACTACATGTTACGTCGCGGGGACGTTTCTTTTTCGAGACTTTAGTTGAGAATTACGGTAAATGACCTCAAGAACTAAAAACAGAAAGAAGCAAACATCACCAATAATGCAATGTTTTTGAAGCCAGAAAAAAAAAATGAAGAGTAATTAACCAGGGACAAGCCTTGAAATTGTGTTTGTCTCCAAAGCTCATGTTCCCTCGTTTTCCAAACCACTTGTAATTTACTTTCTTTCTTTTTTTGTTCACAAACTTGCAATTTACTATTTTTCAAATATACTTGTAGTCATTAGAAAAAAAATGAGAAGGAACAAAAAAAAAAGCAGTAGCAAATGAAAAAGATGTGGAGCCAGCCAACCACACGTGACATTCGCGTGACTGCATATGCTTAATGTTTGGCATAATCCAGACAACCTTGTTTATCTTGTCTCCTTGATAATATTGATGTGATTTATTTTCTTATTTGATATTTTTTGTTGCTCAATATCTATATAGATTAGAGATGTAACAGTGAACTTGAACATCATTTGTGTATCATTAAGCCGTATCTTTGCCTTGGATTAATCAAAGATTGTGTCCGTAATTAAAAACAGTACTGTACGGTTCAACGCATCAAGTACTAGTTTCGGCTTTGTAATACTAGTTTCGACTGTTTCGTTAACTAATCATTGATTATAGACTTTATAGTAGGGTGATTAGTTTCTGTTTTATGAAGCATCCGATATTTTGGTATTAGTGATTTTAATTTCGACCCCTCTGGCCTCAAATATAGATATTGATACATATAAATATAATTGTTACAAAATTGAATACATTTGAAAATCCTACAAAATTATAGGATTTTCTATGTGAAATCATTTTACAAATCGTATTATCAGTATTTTCTTTTCAATCTTATAAAAAAGACTTTATAGAGAAACTTTTGTTTAGGATTTCTTCATCGAATTGCATATAAGATGTTATTAATATATTATTTTTAAATTGGTCCATCAGAGAACTATTGTCCACTAAAAGCTTTCACCATTGCGATTAGTTCCACTAATACTGAACAACTGTAATTAAATTCATATGCATGCATATGTAAATAACAAAAAAATGTTGAGCTAATATAGTCAAAGTCTAATCTCACAATCAGGCATTTATATGGACTATTGGACATTTACTTTTTGGGCTTTATGGGCTCAAGACATCTAGAACATGTGGCCTGACTTAATTATTTTTGCGTTTACAAGTCACACCAAGTTTTTTAGTTTAGAGTTTAGACTATAACTGGGTGATGACACGTTTACAAACTAGTTTAAATGTTGAAAATAATTATTTGATTTTTTCTTACTGTCTATGAGCTATTTAAATCATAACTGATTAATAAATCATAACTGATTAATAAATGTTTTAAATGGTAAAAGTTTGATATTTCAAAAATTTCGGAGACTAATCTTGACTACGTTTTGAAGTCTCATGTTTATAGATTAAAAAGGGTTAAGCGGTGTGTACTACCCACTTAATAATTTAGTTATTAATAGAAAAGTTTAATACTTATTTTGTAATCAATGGGATATTCAATTTTATTTTTCAGTATAGTTTCCTTGGTGTGTTTTCATTTCCTTTCTTTTTAAAAAAAAAAATACATCTGATCTTGTATTTTCATGTATTTTATTTAAAATTTTCACTATTCATAGTTATAGAAAATACACTAAATTGAATAACTAAAAATAAATTCAAAATCACTATTTTTAGATTACTTTGAAAAATAAATAAAACTATTAGAAAAAAATAATAAAGAAAACTTCACATGGACATGTACTATCTCCTGCAATAAATCTTAGATTGGTCACATTGGAAAAGCGATTCATAAATACCTTACTCTATATGTGTAAAAAGAGAAATGGTCATGATTTGTACTACAAAACCCCAAAAAAAGAAAGAATCGGCTCAAATTTGAATTTCGTGGGTAAATTTGTTTTGAGATGAACAACAAAATAGACAAAAGAAAGGACAAGAAGTGAGAATATAAATAAATGAAAATTAAGAAGTGTGAAGAAAAAAAGAAGAAGATAATCTGCAAGAAGAAAAAGAAGAGACAAAGATTATAAAAATGAATCATTTTCCTTATTTCACCTGTCACAAGTGATGCCTACATTTGCATGCATCTTCTGCCCCCACCACAATCATTAGTTTCTATTGTGGGTTCCCCATTTTGTTGCTTAACCGGCCGGTTCAATAACCTTTTTCCGGTTTTTATAGAGTCACAGGCTAGAAAGCCACTGAACCGGAAAAATGAATCAGGCCTGCCATTCTATAGTCTCTATGCCATCTCTCTTTGTGATATTTCCTTTATACCCTTAATGAATATTGTTAATATATTTTATTTATTTTAAAACTAAAACACAAACAAATAAAAAGAAAAAAAAAAAAAAAAAAGAAATTTGTGGACGACGCCAACAATTCTTCTCTTCCTCTTTCGATGTTTCGCCGTAGCTTCACTTCTTCCTTCATCTCAAACCATCTTTTTCCGATCTCAATCCTTAAATCGTCGGAGATACATACACAAAAATACATATATGAGAGTTTGTGCCCGATACTCATATATACATATCCGTTTCTTCTAAAAGTTGTGGCAAAAATGGCGGATGTTCAGTTGGGAGAGACGATTCATTCTGTTGTTATAAGAAGTGGGTTTGGTTCGTTGATATATGCTCAGAACTCTCTGCTTTATTTATACGTCAATTGTGGAGATGTAGCTAATGCATACAAGGTGTTTGATAAAATGCTTGAGAAAGATTTTGTGGCTTGAAATTCTGTAATTAATGGTGTTGTAGAAGAAGGTAAACCAAACGAAGCTTTGGCGCTTTATACTTAAATGGATTCTAAAGGTATCAAGCCTAATGGGTTCACAATCGTTAGCTTGTTGTCTACTTGTGCAAAGCTTGGTGCTTTGATATTGGGTAAGAGAGTTCATGTATATATGATCAAAGTGGGTTTGACACGAAACTTACATTCCAACAATGTACTCTTGAACTTGTATGTCAGATGTGGAAGAGTCGAAGAAGCCAAAACACTTAAGCGATTGAGCTTTTCAGGAATATGGAATCAAAGGAGGGCGTATTACCGTGTGAGATCACGTTTGTGGGGCAACTAAATGTTATATTCTTGAGAACACTGTTCGGATTTTATATGTATTTATTTGTCGTATTCGTACAACTAGGTTCGACTGGGTACAACTACGACCATAAATGTATATGTATTTGTATTTAACAATTATGGAAACAATAAATTAGAGTTAATAAAGATTTCAAAAACATCTTGAACTATAAAAAACAATTTTAAATAAATAAAATTCGAATTTATCATTTTTTAATACATACTATTAGTTCAACTAGTTCAACTAGGTACATCAACTTTGTATTTTTATTAAATTATTAAGTTATAAATTAATATTTATATAAGAAATTCCCTAAAAACATCTTCAAATATAAATTAAATAAAGTATTTAAAATCAATACAACCAGAATTTATAAATTTTGTAACAAATTTTGTTTTTTCACAGAAAACACTCCTTCTAGTATAAGGAAGACTTAGTACAAGATCGCCTCATATGAAGCAAAAGAGGTGAAAACCAAGTTTTTCTGAACATTGTATTATGAAAACATCCTAAATGATAATTAATAGTGTAACATCATGTGTCCAACTATAAATTATTAATTTTCATTAAAGTTCAACTGGAAATACACAAAAATCGCTAAAGTCCATCTATGAATATAAGAGTACAACTGTACAACTATGTTTAAAATAAATAATTTTTTTATTAATATTCTGCTGTCATTGGCCCACTTTACCACACGGTCTAATTTTTTATTAATATTTCGCCGCCAAAATCATGCTTACGTGGATCATTTAAAAAAAAAATTTGGTAAAATGTTTAATATTTTTTAATACCAATTTTAATATAAAAAATTTTAAGAAAATTTATTTTTAATTGTTTCAGTTGTACCTAAGTGATCTAATTGTACTTTCTTATATGTAACACATACACGTAGTTGTACCTAAATAGACCAGTTGTACCTACAAAACCAATTGAACATAAATACAATCTAAATATTTTTTGGTTTATAAAAACATGAAGTCATATGTTCTTAATCCACAACACAACAAATACAGAAATGAAAAATACAAAAGCATAAGTTATGTGCAATCCTGGATATGCAAATCATGATTATCACAAAAAGACTTGACTTGTGCGCTTTCTTTCCAGTTTTTGATCAAGCTCTTCCTTCCACTTCTTCTCTATATTGACAGAGCAACACTGCAAAGCCAAAACCAGCCAATTCAAGCAGATGAAGGAATGAAACAAGAAGCTTAGACAAAGGTCCTAGACTAAGGGAAAAAGTGAAACCATTGCTGGCCAATGGCTAGGCTGAATTTTAAAGAGCAGAATGGTAGCTTTGGAAACCCAAAATGCAACAATTTTGTGACATGGAGGGCAATATCATAGCGTAAGACAAGCATGAATGGGACTTAGTCATGACTTCTTGATTCCTACTGAGTGCTTAAGAGATTTTCACACGGATCAAATCCCATCCATAAACTAATGTGATCTACTTCTTCGGGTCAGAAACAAAACTTCATAACCAACAAATTCACACTAAAAAGTTTCATACTTCCTATACGAATCAGAAACTATGAATCATTGACCAAGAGTATTTTTCTTTGATATCCTTAATCAAGTTTAAAGCATTTACAAAACCTAAAAAAACAACAAACAAAGCTTATAACAAACAAACGAAACAAACATGTGTAAAAAGATGCTAACACATGGTATAAAGCTATATTACCGGCATTAGCCGTATGTTTAAGCGCAATCTCAAATATGAGACTTGCATTAGCTCCACCTCTCTATGGACATTCCTTGATGTACTTGTTAAACGTTCCAGCATCATGCCACCCTTACCAAACCTGTGATTGAAACACAACACAAACATACTATCAACATCAATAAAACGTAGCAATTTCTTAGGAATCAGAGAAGAAAACTTTTTTGAGAAGAGGCACAAAATTGGAAGGCAAAATTTGAAATTGAGCAGCTCTTTGATATCTTCTCTAGCATTTTTCAACTGATCTCAAACTGAATATTTCGTAGCGGTGGCTAAGTTAAAGCTCCGATTCACAGACGCAATTCGATGTCTCTTCTAAATTCCAGCAGATATGAATCAAATTAGGTCGCAAAATTATAGAATATGACAAGATATACTTAAATCAGGGCTAAGATTTAGAAGAGAGAGTGAGACATACCTGAGAGAGATGAAGAATAGAGAAGTGGAGAAGAGACGAGAGATCTGGCTAAATAGAGAGAAGAGGAAGCGGAGAGAGCGAGTGTGGATATGGAAGAGGAGGAAGAGCGGAGGAGACGAGAAGGAGCAGAGGAGACGAGAAGCAGCGGTGGTTGTGCGGAGAGAAGTAGCCATGGTTGTGATGGTTTTCTTAGGGAATAATTGGAGATCGCTTGAGAGTGTTTGGTTGTTGAGATAGTAAAGTTCAGGTTGGGTTTTGTAATTGGTAATCTTTTGAAAGGGTTTTTGGGCATTTCCTTAGTTTTTGAGCTTAAAAAAAATTGTAAAAGAAAATGGAAATATGAGGGTGGCATTCCAGCATATTTTTTTTCAAAAAGTGGCTTTCTAGCCATTGTTTCGTTTTTATATTCCCTAAACCAAAAGGTTTTGAAACTATATAACAACCACGGATTTATATGTGTCTTTAATATGCCAATATATCTACTTGGACCGTTTGATATTTTGAATCAGAATGCTATATCTAAGTTTTTTTTTTCTTATATTTGGCCAAGTGAAATCTGAGTATTTTTTTTATTTTGAATTTATATCAGATTGGTTTTATGTTTTCAGTTATACTACATTTCAAATAATGTTTAAGTCTTTTGATTTAGTTTGTTTTGATGTCACCTATAATTTTTAAGGGATTACATGAAAAGTCGTTTCAAAATGACAAATCAGTTCTATGATATAATTTGATTGAATTTGAACATCTCGACCGAGTAAAATTCAGTTTTGCTATGAAAATGATGTTAGATTATACTAATTCGATTCTAAATGTGAAAACGTTCGTACTTTTAACTCTTAAGATTCAAGAGATTCACTTATTTTCAGAAAGAGGATAGATAAAAAATCATAGTTAGTCATCTTCACCACATGTACAACAAATATGAATGTGACATTCACATGGACATGGATATTGATATGCCTATGCGTACGACCACAAAACCACTATTTATAGATTCCCTCTATATAGAGTCCACTCGATCACACCTCAAATCAATTTGCCTCACTATAACCAAACAAAAGAAGACCATGTTATTGACAACAACTGCACTCTATAGACACATACACCACTTTACATTTTTTAAAATCAAAATAAACCGTATTATTTATATAACTCCATAGTCCATATCATCCTATCCATTCTTCACATTCTGCCAACTCCTTTACCATGTGCCATCATCTCTCTTCTTTGGTCCATCTTTATTTCAGACGTTGGCCAACAACATTTTTCGTTGGTCCATTCTTAAGATTTCAATTATTTCCACACACACATATATTTACAACACTAATAAGTAATAATTAATTGTTACTATGGGACTACCTTATATTAGTACATTGTAAAAATATACATTTTCAGGAGGAAAGTCTCTTCTTATTAATTTTTATAAATTCACTTCATTAGAGAAGGAAGAAAATTACTTGTTTGCAACTACTTGATATGTGTAGATGTATCAGCCTCAAGTGTTAGCTAGGATTATCGAAACTTCTAATTATTATTTTTTCTCTTTTTGTGTAAGTCCACCAACAAATAAATTAATGAACCCTAATTCATAATGTAATCCTAAGGATCCTAAATTTACGTAGGAAGATCGAATCCTAAGAAGATTTGAGTGTGCGGTCGGATAGAAAAACACACTTGCAACTACGACAAGTCAAACTAGTTTGCATTACTTTTCCTTTAATGTATCGACCAACTAAAGTTAGTATTAAGTCGTTTTCTATCAGATTGTTTAATTTTTTTTATTTACATCAGGATTTCAACATTTCATATCAATTGAACAATATTATATTTGGTGAAATCACATGTGGTTATTAACCACTCATAAAAGATCCTGTGTCCACCTTTCCAAAATCTGTGCCATTTTTTTCAACTCATAAATAGTGTGTGTACCAGTAATACATTCTACTGTCACTCTAAATTTTTTGCTTATATTGAAATAATACATTTCTAACAACAGTATTTAATTTCCAAATGACCAATGTTTGACAATTCGTTCATTTATTTTTTTGCATTTGGTGTCTATCATTAAGAAATTACTTCAATATAAATTGTTTTATTAAGCTAATACTCAACTGGATCAAGTTATTAAAAGTAGTTCAAAAAGATGTTAATAAAAGAATTGAACTCAAAACTTTGAAAAGAAAGAAGGACCATATTTTTAAAAACTACTACAAAATATCAGAAAATGCCAAGTGAGTTTGATTCCTATAAATGGATTACACCCAAGAAAAAACAAAATTGCTATACTGTATTTTTAAAAATACAGAGCAAGCAGTCAATTTGATTAACAACCTCTATATATTCTAGTTTTTAAAACGTTTTATATTTTAAATTTGTCAAAAAAAACAAAAGAATTTAAATATGAGTAACCAATAAAAACTTTTGAAAAAGATAAGGTACAAAAATAATTCGTTTTTTCATAAAGTAGAAAACATCTTTTTATAGGTGCTGCCTGATTGCTTCATTCTCCCTCCTTGGCTTAAAAGTTTTTGCTTTTTCAAAAAAGAAAGGAGAAACATCTCGTTTCCATGGCTTTGCGAGGAGATGAGCCTGAGTTTATGAACCTAAGAGAATGGGATCGAAGAGCTCGATTAATCCGCGAAAACCCGACTTCAAGAAGATTCTCTGCTTCATACATTGGAAGCTTCCGAGAAGATCATCACAAGTCTTCTTTTAGAACAAACTTCAACAACATCTCTAGTACTGCCTCTTCTCCTGGCTACACCCTCAAAGGTTTGATAAACTTCACCTCTCTCTCTCTCTCTTTCTCTTTATCTCAATATCTTTATGAGAATTATTTCTTCTGAAAATGTTTTGAATTTTCAAATCTTTTTATCACAGAAGAGATTGACCCATCAACATATTCCTTCACCAATGCGCTTAAAGGTAAGTTTTTGCTTTTTACCATTAGAAAGCTCGAAAGAACAGAACAAAAGTAATGTTCAATAAGTGTTTTGTCTTATTTATTTTGTTTGTAGCAGCATTACAAGCAAAGACAATGTACAATAACAGAGAATGGTTAGCGCAAGAAGGGTTTGCATTGAATTCTAAGTGGAACGAAGCAGAGAAATATATCTGCAATCCATTGTCTGGAGAAGTTCCAATGGAGTGTTTGTCTGCTAAAACATTAAGTGCAAGATCCTTCAGAAACTTATCCACCATGTCTGCGCCTCTTCAACACTTCCCTAATCCCAATCCATTGATGAATAATATTGGTCAAAGCAAACCAAATAATAATCCTAACGTTAGAGTTATTCACGAGGATCTTTACGCTCCTGATCCTGTACTTGTTGCTCGAGGTAACTGATTGTTGTTAGTTTTCTTGAAGTTTGTTCTTGATTGGGTTTTTCTGATAGAAAGTAAACTTTGGGGGTGTTTTTAGCAGAAAAGAAAGTTGTGGGGGTGAAGCGAGATGTGGGCATACAGAGTACGACGTCGGTGGATCTTAGCTCCGGTAGCCCTAGTCCGGCAAAGACGCCTCCGATTATGGAAAGGTCGTTGAAACGACACGTGGAAGCTGATGATTCGCCAGTGGATTTCAATCTCAAATTGAAAGGTCAACTAGAGGTATATATTATATCACTATAACAGTAATTCAAAAAGAATTTATTCATTTATTTTCATTTGAGTTTGATTTAAAATCCAGTAATATTTATCGTAGCCCAAAATATTAAGAAAAAACAGTATCAAATTATATTCTATTAATTTGGTAAAGTTATAATTTAGAAAACAGAAATGAAAACTTTACTAAAAAGTTTGAAATATTTATTTAGTCGCTAGCATGAGGTCCATGCAATTGAAAAGGTACGGGAAAATAATAATTGCATAAAATTTTGAATAGTTCGTGCATATGCATCAATAATTAGATATTCTTTCGCAAGATAAGAAAAGCATCAAGCAAATGATAGTACCAAATGTTTTCATGGAAAGAGACAACGATAAAACTCTTCTATTATTGTTTTTGTAGATATGTTACATGGTTCATTTTAAGATTTAAGATTCTTTCATGATATATGAAACATAGTACACATGACCGTCTATATGTGAGAGTATTAATCATAGAAACACAAAAACCGTATTTCTTGAAAATATATTTCATTAGGCCCCATTTCATGATTTTGTCTCCAAACTCACGTGACTACCATACATATTATGTATTCCTATGTAAATATATACACTTATAGTCACTCTAATGATTAATAATTTCTTACCCGTAACATGGTGTACATGTTTTTGTAACTTTGTAAGGCACTAATATTTTCAAGATAGCAATCTCATTTCAAACTCGATTAGAGATTTTAGAAGTTTGTTTCATTAAGTCTCACCAGTCCCCAACTTTTACATGTGGTTTTACTTTTGAAAAAGAAAAGAGATGGTTTACGTTTGTACAACTATAATCAATTGCTGCTTTTGGACATGAAACTTCTTATTGTAAGAAAACAAATCTAAGTCTAGTTCTTGTCAAGATATTATATGTTGATGAAGAGTTATTTGAGCTTTAAAGGATGTGAAGTTGGAAGAGAAAGAGAAAGAAGAAGAGAAGCAAGATATGAGCAACGAAGAAGAAGAAGAAGAAGGCGAAGAAGAGAAGCAAGATATGAGTGAAGAAGATGAAGAAGAACAACAACAAGAAGAGAAGACCAAGAAGAAGAAGAGGGGAACTGGATGTTTCTCATGGGTGAGATCAAGACAAAGACAAGCAAGAAAATCAAAGTACATCTTCCCTATTTGTGTTCCTCATCTTGTCAAAGGTTGTTGAAAAACCTTTAACCCAAGAGAATCAATAAAGGTTTAAAGGTTTAAACCAACTTGTCAAAGGTTCCTCTTCTTTGTTTCTCTTTTTCAATCTATTTTTATATAATCAAAAACAAAATCATGATGATATTATATATTAGTTCTTCCTCTTTCATATAGATTCATCATTCATGGGAGTGTCAAAAGCTTAACCATATGCTTTTGCTCCCCTTTTCTCTATAACAAATGCTTATCTCTAGAGTCCCTCTTATGTTTTTTTTTTTTTGCTCTCTATATCTTCTTCATGGTTATTCTGTTTCCTCCTGGTCAAACTTCCATTCCACAATTGCTAGAGTGTGTCGGCCACCACAAGCTACATGTTTAGCTATCCATTTTCCATCGTCTTCTTCATCGGTGTGATTGAACCGTCCTTCTGGGGGTGGAATGTCTATAGGAAGCTCCAATGGTTGTCCCGTAGTCACTTTTCTTCCATACCCGAGTCTACCGTGGTCTCCCCGACCAAACTGATCACATGAATCGATATAAAAGAGAGGTTTAGAGATTGACTTTGGGTCAATAACCAACAATAATTTATACGCTGTAAGAGGACTTACCGAGAAGATCCTACCGTCTCTTGTCAAAGCAACTGAATGAGTTCCGCCACAAGAGACCTGAGAAGAAAAGATTGATAAGAGCTTTCAAAGCTATGAGAAGAGTCGAGAACTGGTGGTTCACTGGTTTGTACTTTTAACCTGAATGATGTCTTCTCCAGCTAAGAGATTAACTTTCTGCGGAAACATTTTACTGCTCTTGTCATTGTCACCAAATCCGAGCCTTCCATGTTCTCCTCTTCCCCAACCATACACCTAATATTGGATATAACCAAGTTACAACATTTTTACAGTAAAGATCTACATCAAGCTCAGAAACAACCCAGCAATGACTCGATCAAGAGCCAGATGAAATAAAAGGTGAGACTCTAGAATAGTAGGAGACTGTATGAGTTCTAATACCTCTCCTTCATTGGTTAAAGCTGTTGAATGCCACCCACCCGCAGCAATATCAACCTAAGATGCATTAAGAGGAGGGAATTAAGCTTATATAGTAGACACTGGGCTTTAACATAGGCCTTTATAGTTTAGATATCTGAAGGCCTCAGTTATAATAATGAGTGCTTAAACCAGAAGTTTTAGACCACATACCAGAGTGAGATCATCAAGGCCTTGGACTGGAATAGGATAAGATCTCGGTTGTGTATCTCCAGTTCCAAGTTGTCCATATTCATTATTACCCCAAGCCCACAAAGTCCCATCTTCTTTCAGAGCCAAATTATGAAATGCTCCAACAGCAATCAGACGAACATTTTCAAGACCCTGAACTCTTACAGGAACAGATATTTGTTTTCTGCGATAGCACGAATTACAGGAAAACCCATATTTACCAACAAAGGACAAGAAAATGCAAATGTCATATCTATAAATAAAAGGAAATTTGGTTAATACATGTCACCGGGAGGCCACGGTTGACCCCAAGTCCATACATAACCTTCACGGGTTAGAACCACAGAGTGAGTACCCCCTGCAGCTACCTGTTATTTAATCATACAAATCCGAGAACAGATGATTTAGACGGAAAAAAAAGAACTAAAAATTGACGTAAATGAAGAGAGGCAAACAGCATAAAGTACCTGTCGGACTGTAAGTTGTGGGGCACAACGCTTAGGGATTACAATATCCCTGCGCACAGGCCTACCTGTCTCATCCTTGGAAGGCTCTTCACCACACTGTCCATATTCATTTCCACCTAAGTAGGTTTTATAACAAAAAGGTGCACAATTGTTGTCACTTTAAAGATCATTAAGGTCAGAATGAATAGAAAAGAAGCTGAGAGAAAATGCATACCCCAAGCATATGCTCGGCCTTGATCATCGACAGCTAAACAATGCCAACCACCAATAGCTGCCTATGATCCATTTACATAAACCACATTCAGAGTGAATAGCATTAAAGCAAATAACAAAAATACTTTATAATAGTAAGTTGTTTTACCTGAACAATCTTGACGCTGGCAAGAGACTTAACTAGACTAGGGGTGCTTTCTGTTTTTGTCTCTGGAGGGTGTCCTAATGTACCCCTTTGATTCCAACCCCATGTAAACAGCTGAGAAACCATTAAAGAGATCTTATTATTTCTATATGTTGGTGACACAAGACAAGAATCAAAACCAATCATAAACTATACACCATGGATACCAGAACCAGAGTCTGATGATCAATACGAGAGCAACCTCAAACAAACAGCTTGGTTGCATTTGTAGTTGGATTTCAGAACAAGAAAAAAATACGAACTTTAAACCCTTATTATTAATTGGTCCCTACAGATCTCAAAAACCCCGACCTAAGAAAATGTTCAAGACATGGCTTAGAATCAAAATCGGAAATCAAAACCAAAGCGTTGAACTTTAGTTAGAACTAAACGAAACCCACCAAAGAAGAAACAACACGGACAAAGAAAAAGAAAGTGAATTGGATAAGTAAGTAACCTTGCCATCATCGCAAATGGCGAGGGAATTGCGGCTACCACCGACGACAGAGCGAACGTTGAAAGGCTCAAGAGCTTCGACGACGGAAGCCAATTCCTTTTCTTCATCGGTTCCAAGTCCTAGTTGCCCGTCTTCTCCAGAGCCCCTGGACAACAAAAAAAATCAAACGAAGGAGTAATAGCACAAGTCAGAAACAGACTCAACAGTAATGGAGAAAACAAAGATGTTAGAGAAAGAGTAATGACCAGGCTATGACGGAAGTAGCTGAAGCCATGAAAACCAAAGTGAGAGAGAGAGAGAGAGAGATTATATGAAGAAAGTCAGTGGAAAAGCAGGGCACTCTCGGTGGGATTTCAATTCGAGATATTATGTGAATAATAATGTCATTAGCTGATTAATTATATACTTTGGACCAGTTAATACCTCCAAGATAATTAAACTCTTTTATAAATTAATCCAACTTTTAAGCTTGTGGTCATGGAGGGTTTATGATTTGTAATTCCAATTATGTGTTACCTAGTAGTAGGCTATTACCTACACAACTTTAAGGAGTAAAGAGACAATGGTTGTTCCAATCCAAACCAAGAGGCTTTATCTTGCGTTTAAAGCTGTGAAATTGCATTTATATTTCGTTTAATTGAACAACGCTCTCAAATCTTAACCAATTTCCCTTACGGGAACATTCACCAAGAGAAGCATAAACCAAAAGACGACAACTAAACTCCAATCAGAGAAGAGAAATAAAGTTTTACTCTTTTAGACCGGACCATGTAATGCAAATGCAGTCTAATAGTGAAACCGGCAACAACAACAAAAACATGCGAGAGAGAAGCACACAAGAGTTTTTAACTTTTAATCCATGGATAGAATCAAATCCTGCAGCTACAATTACTACTACAAACTCTTGTTTAAGAAAACTACAAGGTTCTTTTTTCTGTTTAAAAACACAGAACCAAGCCATACATTTTTTCTTGCAAATCATTCCATGGACCTGATTTCATCACTGCGAAGGTGGTGGTTGGGCTTGTTCCTCATCTTTCTGCACCTCTTTGGGGGCTTCCTTGATATCATCACCAGTTTCGTCCTGGAGATAAGATATTAGACACAAGTGTTATGCGAAATCAACAAGAATCTTAATTGCATGATGCAATCACTAAGAGATTGCTAACAATGAAGAGTGTAAGGAGAGACAAGTACATTGAGGTCAGAAGTCCAGAGGGTGAGATTGTCGCGGAGAAGCTGCATGATCAATGTACTGTCCTTGTATGATTCCTCTCCCAATGTGTCTAGCTCAGAGATTGCCTCATCAAAAGCCTACCAGCAAGAAAATCATATTTGTAACTGAACAAAAGGTACTTTAATCGAACTAGAATCAGAATGTCAACATAGTCCAAATTTCACTAGTGTATGGAAACATTCACAGGACCTAGTTTCCCAATTCTGCCCATCATAAAAGTTATCTACAATCCTATCGGTCAGGCAATGATAAGCAATCTGCAAACTATTACTAGATCATATGAAAAGTCTACCCACATGGAAGTGTAACAAGTAAACTACATAACACGCTTTTGCCACATTATGTAGATAAATATAACAAAAGAGCCTCTTATGTGCTTAAGTTTTATCAAGCAGAACAGTTGGACTACAAGTTTGTTAGTTAATAACAGAAAGCATAGCATGAACCATATACCAAAATGAGAAAGTAACACAGACCTGCTTTGCGAGACTACATGCACGATCAGATGAGTTGAGAATCTCATAGTAGAAAACAGAGAAGTTAAGAGCAAGCCCCAGTCTGATCGGGTGAGTGGGAGCCAAATCAGCAAGAGCAATATCCTACATAAAAAGACAAACACCAATAGCATGAGTCAACATGTTATCTTAGCACTCTATAGGGCTAAGAATAAGAAACAAGATAATAACCTGAGCAGACTTGTAGGCCACAAGAGTACTCTCAGCAGCTTCTTTCCTCTCCGCACCAGTCTTGAATTCAGCAAGGTACCGATGATAATCTCCCTTCATCTTGAGGTAAAAAACTTTGGACTCAGCCAAAGAAGCAGCAGGAATGAGATGAGCCTCGAGAAGGTTCAAAATGCCATCGCAAATCTTGCTGAGCTCAGTTTCAATCTTGCCTCTGTAATCCTTGATAATCGAAACGTGATCACTGTTACCCCTGCTATCTTCTTTCTGCTCAATGGAAGAGATAATCCTCCACGAAGCCCTCCTAGCACCAATCACGTTCTTATACGCAACAGACAAGAGATTTCTCTCTTCAACAGTAAGTTCCTCAGTGTCCACGGTCTTAGCAACTTTCTCCATGAACTCAACCATTTCCTCGTAACGCTCAGCTTGCTCGGCTAACTTGGCCAAGTACACATTCTCTTCCCGGGACGAATCAGAAGACATCTTTGCAATACTACTCTTTTAAAAACCTGTTTTCAACAAGAAAACATCAAGCAGCAGCAATAAACAAAGAACACGAACTAAAACTCAGTAATGCTGCAACAATCTCGCATATAAGAGAAACGATAACAATCATCTCTAACAAAATCAATCAAAGGACTCAAAGAACAGACTTATACAAACGATTTACACTGCTAGATCTATCCAAAATCGATAGAACGAACTCTGAATCCTACAGATCTTGAAGTGATGGCCAAAACGCGAAGATCAACAACATATCAACAAGAAACGCAGAATACGAGAAGCAAAAAAAAAAAAAACATTGTCCAAGTATGAACAACGAAGATCGGATCCGTACCTTGAGAACTGGGAATTTTGGAATTAGGGCTTTTGAAATTCGAAGCGAAATGAGGGGAAGTGAGAAATTTGGGGGAGACGGTCCCGGACCATTAAATTGGAAAAGAGTAGAGAGAGAGAGAGAGGAACCACCCAACTAAAAGACGACACGTGGTATCATATTGACCGTCAAAGGACTTCTTTTCTGGAATCGAAACTTCGTCCGTAACTTTTAATTTACGTGGGTGAAATGTGACAAATCATTATTTACGAGGTCAAGTGTATAATATAAAAATATTAAGGGGGCAAAATGTTAATACAAGGTAAGTTTCGTTCCGGAAATTGACGGATTTACCCTTTGCCCTGAACCCATTTTTAGTCCCTTTTACCCGATTGATCGATTTGATCGGAGAAGGCCGGAAAAGCTCGAAGGTTCCGACAATGGGTAGCTATGTGGAGCAAGCGCGTGAGAATCACGTGAAGAAGAAGGTCGAAGAAGGTAATTTAACAATGTTGTGCCTTTTTCATCTCGCTATGTTTTAAAACCCTAAACCCCCAAATGATTTTTGATTGCCTCGAAAATGAGATCAACCAGAAGAACCACAGTCGATACTCTTTAAGCATGGTTTATTATCAGAGACGCAGATTCTTTTGCTAGATTGAGGATTAGGGTTTTCAGTAACTCCATTTTTGCATCTGGTCTAGCAAGCTCTCATAGAGTGTGTTGAATTGCTGCTCTGTTTATCTCTGAATTGAGTTTAAAGATTTTGTTGAAGTTGTTATGGTGGAGATGGTCTTTTTGTTTAAGTTTGTTTGATTGATTATGTATACTTTTGTTAATAGCGCTGCGAAGCAAGATGAAGGCAAAGGCATTGATGGAATGTGATCAGTACGTCTCTAAGTATGCTCAATGCGCAACAGGAAGAACGTTTTCGGTGGTATGGACATGTCGTAAGCAAGCTAAAGAGCTCAACACTTGCCTCCATCAATTGTAAGTTTTTCTCCTTTTTAGTGCTCCTTTGGTGTCATCTTGTTTTCAGTGTTAGGTATATAGAATTTTTGCGTATGGGAGCATCGGATTTTATTATTTTTTTCTTAATACCCTTCACTGGTAAGTCTGATATGATGAAATGAGACAACTTGTGTGATTAGGTGATGCATAATCAATCTTGTCATGAAGTACCATTGCTAGTATATCTCTAACCAAATATAAGGTTATAGAAGGGGATAATTCTTTGAAACTGCGATAAGAGAGATGTAAAAACTATGTTCTCGATCGGTGTAGCACAGTCAGTATCGAGTTTGTTCTTGGTGCACAAGTTCTTTTTTTGTGACTCCCTGATGGGAAATTCCCCGTTGGGGCGATGCTTAAATGAATTTTTTTGTTGATTCTGCAGCACCAATGACAATGTCTTAGAGGAAATGAAGAGAGAGTATATGCTTCAAGAAGAGGGTAAAGTCTCGTCCTCGGCCATATAAATTTTTGTTGAACAAAAGATTTGTGTTGGACCAATATAGTGTCCGACTCTTTGTTTCTTGTTCATTATGGACAAGACGAACAGATCCTTTTATAAGTAAACTGTGGCCTTTCTTTAATAAGGGTGTATTCAGTATTCACTACAAGAATAGTAATAGATTTTTGTATTTCTATTTTTCCTCAGTTTGCAAAAACCCACTAAATCTAGAGATCAGATTCAAATATGTTTCTCATCGTCAGGAAAAAAAACAAAAGTTTCACAACATTCAGAATTTACACCAAGAAACAAAAATTTGAGGTGCTTAGAAAGAAGAAAGAGAGTTAAAAGCAAAGGACTTCAAGCAGTAGGCTTCCTCATATTTCTTCCTGCACGAATCACTTCGTCCACCAAAAGCAATTGTGACGCAATCACGGGCCTGGAACACAAACAAATAACCGGTTATTGAAATGGCTTCAACAGGAAGCCAAAACTTTGATTAGAATTGCCTGGTTGGTTCGAACATTACCCTGAATTGATAAGTTGGCGTTTCACTGAGTAATTATCAAAAATACCAGCAAGTTGCGGGTCAATTGGTTCACCGTCCTGAAGGTCCAGCCCCACAACGTTCCCTTTGTCATGCTCGCTCTGCATAAGCGTATCACAATGAGCAATTATAAATCTTTGTTCCTTCCACAATTGATTTCAGTTTGCGGAAGATGATAAGAGAGATGAATGCATACCGTAAGAGAAATGATCACATCTTGGGTATCAAGACCTGCATTTTCTGCAAGTGTCTTAGGCACCACGAGAAGAGCATTAGCAAAAGCTTCAACGCCAAGTTGGGCACGCTGCAATGTTCATGATAGTATATTAGTATTAGTAATTTAGAATATTTAAGATGCATTTAATAATGTTGCGAGAATTAAAGTACAAGTGAAATCAATTTACCCCTTGAACGGTTTTCTTGACTTCATTAATTAAGTGTTGCCTTGCTGCAACTTCAAAAGCTCCTGCTCCCTACAGAAAAAAGCAACCGCACATCAACATAACGCAGAACATATACAATAGGTCTATATGCTAACCTTACCCATGGTTTTAATCACAAATTAACAATCTCTTTGACATTGCAGAGAATTAGAAAGCAAGGTTAACAAAATACTTCAAGATATAGTAAGGTACTTACTAACACAACACACTCGTCTTCTATGGTGTTCTTGACCGATCTTAGACCATCACGAACAGCGTCCTTAATTTGAGCAATGGTGTGATCATTAGGCCCTAGAAAACCCAAGAAATCATGAATGAACACCAAAACTAATACAAGAACAAATGAACCTTCAAAACTTAATTTAGACATAGAAGTCGTCCTAATACCTTTTATGAGGATGGTACATGAATTAGGATTCTTCACTTGCTCCACAAAGGTGTACTTTTCCTCCCCAAGAACGTGCTCATAGACAAGTCCAGCCCATCCAAGAGACTCAGGGGTCAAGTCGTCAACAGAATTCACAGCTTCTCCACCACAGGCCAAAACTAAACGTTCCATATTCCTCCTCTTTGCTCTTCTAAGACCAATAATCTGGACACATGAAGAAAGGTAATTAGATTCAACAACTTCTAAACAAGAGAAATTAGGTCCAAAATAAGAGACAAGCTCAGTCAGTGTCCCGGAACTAAAAACTAAGTCTGCCAATCGTCTCCATGGTTTATTGTATATCGAAGGAACTACTCTTTTAATATTATTGTCAATTTCAATTCATTTAATAACACATTCTTCCTTAGTATCTTTCTTATTTTTCCTAAATATTGAATGAAAACAATTTCCGCGATTTGTAACATTAGTTTAGATGCAAGAGAACACAGAAGTAGCTTACCCCTTCTCTAGCAAGAAGATCCAATGATGGTGGGTCAATACCCTTCTGATTTATGACAACAAAGTTGTCATTAGCACCACACACCTGCACAAGAAATAAAACATGTATTAGTATTTTTTACACGGTTTTAAAATACAGCTGGGAGAAATGGTCGCAGTCCCACCTTTTTCTTCAGCTCAATTATTTTCTTAACTCTTTCATCAACAGATCGCCTCTCTGCGGTAACCATTGCTTCCCTCTGCTCCGCATTAGAGTAGAAAAATCCTGCATTGATTTCACTGATAAATAAAAAGAAATATCAGTCTACATCGCCAGAAACATACAGGCTCTTATTTTCTCTTCACCGAATTGACCAAAGATCTATATTACACACCTCTTCTCATACTCCAGTGACACATTGCAAGTTAGGATGTGGCAATTTTCTGCGCGTCGTTTCATGTCAGGGTGTCTCGAACCATGATCCAGAACAAGCCCCTCAACCTAATTCAGAATTAAGTCAGTATTTGCAACAGGTCCATAACTATAAAAAAGCATTTAATCATAACCGGTAAAAAATATTTTATTCCATACTATAACCTAAACATATAAACCGGCAAGTATTTCAAATATAAACCTATAGGGTTTCGAGGGAATTATTTTACAGTAAATTACACACATCAAGACATACCAATCGTGTGTCAACATCGAATTTGTGACGCATGTGCATTATTTCCACCATAAACAGATCAATAGCTTCCTCAGGCTTTCGGATGCAGAGAACCTGTAATGTGCGGAAAGTAGATAATTAGAAGACAAACAAGCTTGAAAACCAATATTGGTGCATAGATGAGTCTTCATCTGTGTGAAAAAAAATGAAAACATTAATGAGATTCCATTAGAGAACAGTTAACTCACCGAATTAACGACAATGTCAGTCAGTTGATCAGCTAAGCCTTCGTACAACTACACAAGCCACAAGAGTAAATCGAAATTAGAAAGCGAAAAGAAAAATCAAATGAAAAGAAAGCTAATCATAAAATGAAGAATACTTTTGTTCTTAGTGTCGTTCTTGCAACCATTTTTAGGATCTCTTTATCAACTTCATCACCCATAACCACAGGGGTCTTGAAGTTGTCAAGAAATTGAAGAGTAGCTCTCTTAGCAATCTCAAAACCATCAACTAGGACACGTGGATGCATACCTGATACATGTATAAACCTTCATTAGGATTCTGGCTACAAAAATAGATACCAGTCTATACTGCCACCAGTTGTGAATTTTCTGTATCCAATATAAACAAAACTTGGCAAACATATCACATAGATTGAGAAATAAAATAAAAACAAGCACATTGGAGCAAAAAAGTAACGAACTCTTACAAATTAACGTAAGATAAGGTACATAATTAGCGACTTACCTTCATCGATGCAGCGTTCAGACTGTTTCATAAGCTCACCAATGAAGATGACAGTGGAAGTAGTACCATCACCACTTATGTCATCCTGTGCCACAGCTGTCCTCGCAATCATAATGGCTGTTGGATTCTGAATTTGCTGCAACAGTTAGGAAATCAACGTGTAAGCATCATCGAACCAAGATAACTTGTAAAGGAGCAATACCAGTAACCCTTATCAACACCGTTGATTTTCTGTCACTATCCTTTCGTCTATCTTCTCTATCTAACTACTAAATGACACAGTTCACGAGCTTATGAGCAGCCTTCAACACTAAAATAAGTAGTACAGAGCTCGATTCTAACAGATCAATACGATCTAGATTGGTTTTTGAAAATCAGACTCACCATTTCCTTCAATAGCGTGTTCCCATCTTTGGTAAGCTTAATATCCCCAGAACCACCAACAAGCCTACATCGAGTGAGAAACAAATAAGGAATTTGAAGATAACGAACATAGATCAGATTAAATCAATAGGAGATAAATACATCTTGATTGTTCCTTTAGGACCGAGATTCGACTTGAGTACATCTTGCAAACCCTTGGCGGCGTTGATGGTCATATGAAGCGCCGCAGATTTGTTGAGAACCTCCGCATTAGGATTCAGAACTCGCACTGACATTTTCGATGTACAGATTCAGGACGCGAAGAGAATAACTGGAGACTGAACTAGAGAGCGAGCGAGAGAGAGAGAGGGAGAGAGCTTTTAGGGCTTTCTTCTGGGTTTTAAAAGTGAAGACGATGTTGAGACACTCTAATCGGTTTAGAGACTTTGATATTTTCGGAAATTACATATTTTACCCACATTATCATAAGTTTTACACTTTTAGCCACATAATAATTTGATTCTTTTAATCCCTCAACATTTTACAATATAATTACTAATAATAAAAAAATATATTATCCCGATTATCATTTGAAGAAAGATATTTAATTAACATAATATAAATTTAGATCCAAAATTAGTTTTTTAAAAAACAAATTGATAATGGTAGTTAGTAAAATAATGGTATTCCAAAAATTTGATAGATGTAGTTTTGTAGTTTATTTAGATTCAAAAATTCGTGTCATTCATCATCAAATATATAATCGTTAGCAACTGATTGATTTTGACTATACTTAAAACATCTTTCAGATGAAACATTGAATTAGCTGAAATTTTATCATTGGACTCAAACATCCCAGGCAAATGTGTAATATATAACCGAACAGAACTAAAATAATTAAAAATGGGTTGGGATATACTACACACACGTATCGAATTTAAGTTACTGATCTTGATACCAACTTTTTTTTTTCTTGTTACTTATAGTGATTCGTACCAAACACTGCATATTGAACAAGCCCAGTCAAAAAGTTGAAAAAAAAAGAAGAAGAATAAGAAGAATAAATATCGTCTTCTTTTATGCATTTGGGAGTTTAGGACCATACATTAACTGAGTCAATTCGTTTTTTTTTTTTTGACTCGATTCCAAAGTGTGTTTCGTGTGAAATGTACATAAACCTAACCTCGTGGATAAACAATATCTAAATACATGTAACTGTTACAATGAAAATAGCTAACACTCACATATTTTTAGGAAAAGATTAAATTATTAGTACAAGATTTAGAAGTTTTAATGACTTACCTCTGTTATTTTAACAATTGTAATAACATAGTATATGTTTTGACCATTACAACATTTATAGTTGTATGGGCCGGGGTCTCTATCACGAAGGTAAAGTTATCAAAGTCAACTATGAGAAAAAAAAAAAAAAAAAAAAAAAAAAAAATATGAGAAAAATTATAGAGGTGCTAGAAAACAAAAGGTAGATTCTAACTCTTTTCAAAATAATAAATTATTGTTTTTTTGAGAAAAAAAAAAGTATATTTCTCATAAATAAAATTACAATAGTCAAGCTAAAAGATTCCTAATTAAGTACAGCAAAAATTATATTCAAACATTGGATACATAACTTAAAAGTACAAGTCCATCTATAGAACACAAACCAAAAGCTTATAATTTATATATTACAATTACATAATTTATCCAAATAGAGGAGGAATCGTACTAATTTATACTACTCACATAGTCACATCACATCTATTGAAAAACACTACAAAGCAAAAGTACTTACTTTAATCCACAATCAAAACACAACATTTTAAGTTTTTATCATTATTTTCACGTCCAACATTTAAAATCAATTATAGGTTGCGAAAACAAGTCTCTAGGGAATTATTATGGATGTATGAAGTTGTGAAGACGACACATCATGTCGTGGATTCGATCACGTGACACCGACGAGTTGTCGAGAATATGAAAAGCATGACCAACACCTCCATGAACAATACCTTCAACTCTCTTCCCATGGCTTCTCATCACCTTACACATCTCCAAGTTTCTATCTTTTAGTATATCAAACTCCGCCATGAACACCATCGTAGTCGGTAACTTCGCTCCCGCCGAGCTCACCAGAGGGTTACACCAAGGATGGTCTCTACTCGCGCCACGTGGTAGAGCTAGACGCCAATACGCGTCGGAAGCAGAAAGAGTTAGAGCCGATGACTTGGAGTGGTGTTGCTGTTTCTCCGAGGACGTTCTTGATTCGCCGCCGAAGAAAGGGTGGATGAGAATTATGCCCTTGAGGTTTAAAGTGTTTACGTATTTGCCACTGGCGGTGATTCTGACGGCGACTTGGTAAGCTATGTTGGCTCCGGCGCTATCTCCGGCCAAGAAAACGTTTGAGAGGTTGCACTTACTCACCCAAGAAGGATATCCACCGTTAGATATTTGTTGCTTGACTAGCCACGTGACGACGTTAACGCCGTCGTCGTACGCCGCTGGGAGACGGTGTTCAGGGGCTAAACGATAGTTTACGGAGACGACGACGCAACGGGCTTGAACGGCGAGGCTGGTCAAGAAGTCATGGTAGCAACTCCAAGCTGCGGAGCCAACGCAGAAGCCACCGCCGTGGAAGTAAACGAGGAGAGGGAGAGTAACCGACGGCGAGGCTGCTGCGGCGTCGGGGATGTAAACACGTGTCCATGTGTCGTTGGATAGTTTGATGTCAAAGGCTGTGGCTTTAGCAGATGGGTGAAGGGTGGGTGAGACGGTGGGAACTATGGGAGGTCTTTCGACGCAGCCGTCGTTGAAAACTTTGATGAGTCCTTCGATCTCTTCGACAACCGGGCCGTGACGGTGGTGGTGGGATCCACCACGGCGGCTGTCGGAGGATTGGTGGTTGTGAGGGAAGGAAATGGTTGCCATTGGTTTTTTTGTTTTTATGATGAAGTGTAGCGTTTGTTGGTTGAGTTTGGATTGAGTGAGATGAGAGATTCATTGAAGTTCTTTATATAGAGAAGTTTGTATATATATTTATCTAAGATACTTTCATATATATATAGGAAAATATATGAAAAAAAAAACTTTAAAATATAGTATATGGAACTTCAATTGGGAATCAAAACTAATCTACGGCACTTGTAAAATGCCGGATTTTTTTTTGGCATTGAAGGCATTAGGCAACTATAGTATAGATGAGATTAATGATCCATGAGATCAAGTGGGTGAATCTTCACCACTTCATATCCGTCAATCGTCATATTACATCACGACTCTAGTGTTTTTTTTTTTGTCAACCACGACTCTTTTGTTAAAGTGTATGTTTTAAAGAGAAAAAGAATGTAATTTTATTAGCATATATATGAATGTAGACTAGATCAGTATATTAGAATCGTAGCAAATCAATATAAACCATTTTAGATTTTGTTTCAGCTATTAAATAATCCCAATTTTAAAAGACCAAGACTAAAAAAAGGCAGGATTGATTACTATATCACACTAGTTTACGTGTTCACATTAGAAAAAAGAATTATATTTCACGTGAGATTTTTCATATTTTCAAATTACAAGGAATATTAATACGGTTCAATATAAGTGTATGCTAACATGAAAACATAGAAGAATTATCCCAAAAGAATAAAATTATTGCCAGTCGTGTTATTATGAATAGTAAAATGATTGTAAGTTGAGTTTAAGTTGATTTGATCCCAAACAATTCGTGTTGTTCCATCACTTCTTAGTTGTATCATTACAAAGTGGAACTGAAGACTATTGTTTGTCCTTTTCGAACAATACTGTTTTTGGATTGATATCCTTATATTTATCTACATATTTATCCAATAGCCAAAAGACAAATGGATATAAACCACAAAATTTAATCATTTCTCATATTGTAATTTTTTCTTTCTTCTTTACATTTTCCATTTGAAGTTGTTTCTTTATACGAAGGTAGATACTAGATATCAAATATTAACTTTACTCGATCGAGGGCGAATAATGATCGATTTTAAGTTCTTGAGATGCATGCATAGTTAGTTCTATACCCACACAAAGCTTCTAGGAGCCACGGAAGAAAAATCTTTGGCTCATCAAACGAAATCTTCAGTTATATGCATGCATAAAAACAGTGTGGAAGTTTTTTTTTTTTTTTTTATATAAACTGAAGTAGAGAAGTCAAAAGAACATAAAGTCGGCAAAGATTCTATGGGCAAGTAAAAATTCACAAATCTTCTAAAATTCTTATGATATATTCCCCTTCGAATACTCTTTTACATTTTTGTATATGTTTTATCTTTTCATTGTAAATTGTTATTGTGTTCATTGAAAAATGAAAACAAATGTTAACCATTAAGCTTAATATATACAAGTTCTGATTTATTCACTAATTCTCATACTTTTTCTAAGAATAAATATGTACTAATATTTACGTATACAAGTGTTGGCTTTTAGCTTTGAATTGATCCCTGTTTCCCATATTAGCAAAAGGCATAAACCGTGTGAAAAAATCTTCTGAGAAGTGATATTGACTATATAGATTTTTTTGTGCAAATTTTGACTACATATAGTTTATCTTCGTAATATTCGAGCTTTTCTTATATTCTCTTTGAAGGCACCAAATGGATTTTTCATTCGATAGGAATATTTACTTCTCTTATTCTTCCCCCCTGTCTTAACCGTGACAGAGAAATGATTTTTGTCTAAAAAAATTAAACACACAAAAGGCGTGTAAAACTGTAGATTAATACAGAATGTAGTTTCGTGGAAATATATTCATATTCGAAAATGCTTTGTTTTATGAGAGCCAAAAAACTAAACAGTTGGTTTATATATCGACGACATACAAGAACTTGTTTATTCTTAGCCACTACAAGTTTATATATATATGAATTAGATATAAAGCATCAACCAAAAATCTTGAATTCGTAGTGTTTTTGGAAATGATTATAGTGAGTTATATATAAAACTCAGTTTTGTAACGAAAGGTAGGTACAATTACAAATCAATCACCCCAACTGTGTACAACAGCAAAAAGTAACCATAACAAGACATTTGAGTCTCCATAACATGTAACCACTTTAGGACCCCAGAAGAAAAAACACTCAAGTTTGATTTAGAGTGGATGTTATTATTGGATGTGATCGAGAAGATAGTTTGCAGCCAACTGTTCGTTCTTGTTGCAAGCGAAGAACGCCTCCAACACCAACCTTCTCTCGAATCCCATCGCTTCAAGCTGTTGTTTCAACCAAATATATACAATTCAGGAAACTTCCATTTACCAGATTAGTACTCAAATTATTAAAAGATTTTACGAATTAAACAAACCCGTTTGATTGCTTCATTATCCGCAGCTGTGACTTGGAGTTGCAACAAGTCCTCTTCAGGTTGTGCCAATTCGTTACCACTGTGTCTTTATCATACCATAAAAAAATTTCAAATAAGTTGAGCAAAAGAAAGCTTAGTTTCTAATTAAATCATATTAGACAATTTTTACCCATCTATTTCTTCAGTGGGCTCGTGGTGGATAGAGCATAAGATCATCGCCGTGTCCCAGTCTACAAGGTCTTGGTTTGAAGGAGGCTGCTTCTCCATCTCTTCTAGACATCCCTGCAGCAAAACTCATCATTAGCCAAAAACTCAACAAAACACTTTTAACTTGTTTGTTACATCACTCATTAAACACAAAGTATAAACTGTTATGAAACAGAGTTCATTTCAGAATCACAAGATGCAAAAGGTACAAGAATCAAGAATCTCAGCTAAACACTAAACCTCAAACTTCCATTAATTACTAATTAAACCCAAATTAACGCACCTTGGTTATCATAATGGCAATAACACTTTTCTCAAAAACTTTGTTGGCTTCCATTGTTGTTTCATCTCTAAGCTTTTTCCCTTTATGAATAAGAATTTGTTGTGCAGCAGGATATTCACTAGCTCCCAGAACAGTCTCTATGTTCTTCTTCACTTCAGCAACCTAAGCAACAAACCATCAGCTCATGGAAACTAACAATCAAGAATTCACATAATAATCCATTTGCCAATAGAAAAGCTATACAAAAGAGACGAAAACATTCAAGAATCGTCAGATATAGTAACGCCGTTCTAATAAATCACCCACAGTGACTAAACTTACAGATCAAGAAACGAGTGATTAACAGAGAAAACCCTAATTACCGCCATATCAAAGAATCATTGACCAAACATCCATACAATGAACAAGAAAATCGAACGAACAACTTCCTCAGATATAAAACGCGAGTGTTCGAAGAAGTTTTCTTGAGATTTTTCCTTACCGAATCGTTGGGTTTAACTTCGATCTCGAAGCGAGTCCCCTTCAAAGTTTTTACAATTATCTTCATCTTCTTTCACACCAAAGGAAAATGATTCCAGTTCCCCAAAACCAATTCTCCGGCGAGAATCTGTTACGATCAATCGCCGCCGGTAACAAACTTCCTAGTAGAAAACTAGAGATTAGAGAAGAGAAGAAGCGAGAAAGAGAAAAGTGAAGAAGATGGCAGAATTTATACGGTCCCTCAATATTTCTTACTATCCTTGACAATCCAATACGAGTTTGACACGTGTTAATATCGTAACTGAATTCTTGTAACCGATTTTCCTGACGGCTAAATGGCGCCACTATTGGGCTTATATTATCATTTTGAAGCCCATTCTACCATAAGCTTTGTGTAACAAACAATATGATCGAAAACAGAGGTAAGCAGTTTATTTTAACTTTCAAGAAATTTATTATTGTTATGCTGGAAACTTTCAAGAAATTTAACTTTCAACTAATTGTGTGTGTATCAAAACGTAAGAAACGATGAAATGTACGTAGTAATCAAGATCAAGTCTTTGAATTTTGAATGAAAAACAAATTACATATTTTTGAGTATGTCACTGCAAATCTTGTCTATATGACGCTGCAGCCTCTCTATCTCAGCTTCAGCACGAGCCTTAACTACACCATCCGTTGCCGTGAGTAACAAAGTCTTCAATGCCTCGATTTTTGCCTGGAGACTCTTAATCTACAAATCAATTTGAAAAGATAATTTGTTAAACTACAAATAAAGCTAAAACAAGTTTAAAAAAGGTGAGACTTGTTTATAGTGTTTTGATTCAATTACTTTGCGGTGAGGCCACCGCCTAAGGCTTCCTTTCCGACAGATCTTTTTTAGAACTGTTACACACACTTTCATCTCCTTCGCCGCTTGTTCAATTGGGAGATCAAAAAGCTGACAAATATCCTTCAATGTCATTTGTTTTGTCCTTTCTCTCTGTTCTTGTCCTCGGCACATAGATAATGAACCAGAAAACCAAAGATTAGTGCCTTCTTCAATAAAACCTATAATGAAAATAATTTCTTGTAGCACAAGTCACCAAATACAAATACTAACCCTAATAAACACCTTGTCATCTTTGTTCTAGAAAGATTAGTGGTTATAATTCTACAATAAGATAATTTAAACTGTCCTTTTCAAATCTTAATGTTCAGTCACTGTTCTCTATATAATCAGATTACTAGAAGACTGATTATACTACAATTACCATGTCTGCAACCCAAAATCTAAATATATTTTACTCTCTCTATTATTAAAAGGATTCCTTGTAGTGAAAGTATCATGTAACCCTATCAGATCATGTGTTATTAAGTGGTAATAAATTGAGAAATTAGAGATATAACCTGTGCAGCGAGAGGGGTTTTTCGCTTTTCCCTTTGTTTCGGCAACTTAGTGGTAGATTGTTCTCTCAGTCCAACATGTGGCGGCGCGGGTGGAACAGGGCGAGCTTCTTCAGGCGAAACCAAAGACATTGGAACATCAGTGGGTGATGGTATTGTCAACATAGGCGTTGACTGGTTAGAGATGAAGTTGGCACTCATTGCTTGATAGAAAGCAGCATTAGTGTCTCGCACAAGTGATAAACCACTTGCTACTCTATGGGAGCAATAATCTTCTATGAACTTTTTAACTTCCTCCATCGTTAATCCTTGTAGATGAATTGTTTGAGGTTGACGTTCCATAGAATCAGGAAACAAGAGTTCAGTCAGAAGAACCGCATGGCAAAAGAAACCAATCCCTCCAAAGATGTTAAGCGTATTCCGTTCCACCTCTTCTATATAATCAAAGAATATATACAATCAATATCAATTGCAACCAAAACATATTTCAATAAATATCAAAATATTAATGATAGATGTTTATACTCTTGAGGTGGACTAATTCTCGAAGCATTTTACAACAACCGCATACGTGAACTCCATCAGAGATTGTCGGTGTAACCGGGACAGGCATTGTTGATGAACCACCAATATCAAAGTCTGGACCATTTGCACCACCGAAAACTCGAGTGCTCACTTCAAGTCTTGTACTTTCATCAACAATGCTTTTACCATTATCATTACCAATCTCTCCTGGGACATCATTATAGTCGTTTAAATCATCATTAGGTTGGTCATACATGTCCAACGAGATGGTAAAACCATCGTCCACGCAAGACAGACTATCAAACTCATCCTTGATGTCGTAGTTGGTGATGGAGAGATCCAATTCATGAAGTAACTGAGTGTCGTCCACATCTAATGGTAAGGTAGGGAACACAGGAGGAGATGTGTGTTCCGTGAAAGACATATCCATAAGATTAGGATTCAAGTCTGACATAATATTTATTAGATCTTCGTCGGTAAATCCCCCGAACCCATCAAATGGGTCATTGTAGAGATCTTCATACCCGTTGTCTTTAGGAGCGGATGGCTTAGGATCATCACCCGCCATTTTTGTTTTTCTCTTCTTAATTGCTTACTCTCTCTTTTTTTTTAAGGGTGAAACAAAAAAGAAGAGGAGAAAGTCTCTCTCAAGCACAGTGCGATGCTTGAGAGTTTGAAGAACAGAGCGTGAGGGAAGAGACTTGTTACGGTTCGATCGGCAAAGTTTTTGTAGTGAGAGGCGCGAGAGGGAGAGAGAAGAGAAGAAAGAGAGAAACTTTTTGGCGGTTAATAATGGTCGTTATAGTAAGTTTGTGGCGGTTCATGGTCATCACAAGACAACGTAGTTAACATAGTTTAATCGTTAGAGTTCTATTTACATTGTAATATATCATTTTTTCCTTGGTTTTAAATTATATCGAATGGAATTATGAATCTGATCACAAACTAGATAAACCAATATATATACGGTTTACATTGATCCAATAATGATATTTAAAATTTTTTTAAAAAAAAAAAAAAAAACTAGAGGGATTCACATTTGATAACCCAATATTTATGTTAAGAGCTCTCGGTACAACAACATTGTTACAAACTAAAGGGGTTCCACATATAGGATACTTGCAAAACTTTGGACCTAGAAGACAATCTTAGGGGAATCCTTATGGTGGGGATGGAGTGAAAGGGTTATCAATTGCAGTAGTTAATTTTACCAAAAAAAAAAAAAAAAAAAAAAAATTGCAGTAGTTAACTATCCTTTGTGGTGTTTTGGTGCTTATGGAAATCGAGGAATGAGATTATGATCCACATAAGACATTGCCAAATCACAACGTGCATGGACCAGCAGCCACACCAATGAGCAATGACTTTGTAATTTGTAGGAAGATGACCATAGGTCGCAAATTCGAAACATGCATGGACCATTGACATTACTGATTTTTACAAGCAAAGAGTAGAAGATGGCCGGAACTTAGATTCGAAAGTCGAAACATCTCTGTTAATTGGAAGAGACCTCATTTGCGTTGGATCATTCACATCAGACCCGAAATGTATACCGTGGATGGATAAACAAGAGATTCTCTAGGTGTTTGTAAATACACATAGCATGGTGTAGGTGATACATATGGGACATTTATAGGATTTAGCAATACGGTGGCGATTCACGAGGATTACTGGTTTTTGTACTCAACAAAATATCTTCACCATCACTTTGAATTTTGTATGTTCGAGTAGTTAATAAAGTTAAAAACTTGCAGGTTTTAATTGAATGTATCGGATCGCCAGAATACATATACAAAGCTGAGAGAGAACTTAAAAGTCACCAAGAAGAAGAAAAATAAACATTACTATATACAATGGTGATGATACTCTCTGAAAGAAGATAAATCCAAATTGATTATCTATATTACAATGAGAAGATAGAAACCAGAGTTTTTTCTCGAGAAAATTTTACAGCTTCTTCTAATCTTCTCCCTTAGTTATATATAACAGTAATAAAGATCCGCCCGACCCAGAAAAACACCAAACGAATACATAGATTCGACTCTTCTTTTAAATACTGCATCTTTATATACAAAGACTAACCTGAATAAAACAGTTAAAAACGGTGACCGGCGACGGTAACTGATCTTCATCTTCCTCCTTCCTCTTCCCTCTCTCTCTCTCTTAGGAAAAGATGAAAAACAAAAACATATTCATTTACTTCAAAAATGGTAGTAGTAGTAGTAATAGCAGCAGTAGTAATCAAATCCTCCTCTGTTAGGCATTGGTGAACGATTCCGGAATCTCTATATACACTTGTTTTCTTGTTTGTCTACTAAGCCATGGCAGGGATGCTCGAGTTTTGGCGGTCACGGTTCAAGCAATCAAATCCTTCTACTCTAACTGCAGGCGAGTTGAGTCCAAATTTCATTCTAACACAACCGCGGGACGACGATGATGACGAAGAAGATGGAGACGGAAAACCGGTTGCCGAATTGGGCTGAAGGAAAGGAGAGTTAGGTGAGATTGGATTGAGTTTCTCATCACGAAAACGAGCATCTTGGGCTAATGGGTTCGCCGCTCTGCTCGGTGGTGAACCAGGAAAATATGGTGGTGATGATGATAGTAACTGCCCTATTGTTCCATTATCCTCCTAGAGAGATCACAACAAAGGATAATGAATCAGAATCTACTAACATAAATAACCATAACTAACAAAGGAAAGCTTTTGAGGCAGATCAAAAGATTGCAATCAAAATACAAACTAGAGCCTGAAGTGACACATGTAAGATCAAAAGCATACCTTTCTACGAATGATTTCCAAAAGCTCTGCACCAGCTTTAGAATCACACAAATCAGCAGCAGCTTGACTACAAATCGAAAGCAAAGTTTCATAAACACTTTTGTTTTTCTAATCACTGAAAAAATATTAAAGGAGGATGCTTTTTAATTACCTCATATGTAATCTGAGAGGACGAATAACGTTGTTGGCGAGTAAACCAACACGTCGAGGCTTAGGACAAACAACAAGATCCTTACGATCAAATCCCATCATCTCCTCACGAGACATGAAGGCGTTCTGCTGAAGGTTGCAATGATTCATCTTTTTTTCACCTTTGATCCACAGAAGAACGCCTGTAATCAAAATCAGATCAGATCCATCACAAACATGAAGCATCTGAATCTAATTTCAAAATCCAACAACAAGGAAAAAAAACTAGGGTTTACTTTATAAGATCTGAGAAATTCTCTCAAGGAAAACAACGGATCTGAATCAGAGCTCTTTTGATTTATGACTCAAATTCAACGAATCGTTTTAGAGGAAGAAAAGAAATAGATCATTCAAAGTTTTTAGAGAGATCGGCTATTAAAAGGAGTTTTGAAAAAAAAAACAGAAACCAATTTCGGATAAAAAGCCAACGATGATGTTTGACCGAATAGGCTAAGAAGAAACCCAGATCCGAGAAAATTCAAATTTCGCATAAGAGATTTTTTTAAAATTAGAACAACTCAGAAGTTTTGACTCGAATTTAACCAAAACTCCGAGACTCGAAAAAAACGAAAACGATGGGAATAAAAGAACCACAGATCTAACATCTACGAAAAATGATTGTGAACGAAGAAAAGTAACTTCGATCTGTAAAATCCGCCATGAGAGGAACTTGAAAGAAGAAGACGAAGGAAAGAGAGACATGTACCTGAGTAAAAATCTCCGGAAGAGGAGAGAGAGAGAGAGAGCACGATGACGGAGAAGATAGAAGAAAGAGAGAGGGAGAGGCGAAAAATCGTCAGAGGAAATAGGGATTTTATAAAAGGATGAGACCGAAGAAGTGTGGGTGAGGTTGAAGACAACTTGAAACGATGACGTTTTGGAACCAGGAATTTTTGCTTTTTTATTTTTATTTTATTTTTAAACTGGAAAATTGCTTTTTATCGCCGTCGTAATAGTGATATTTGTGGACAGCTTAATAATATTCCGATTTTCATGCATTTTATGATTTTTTTGTAAGTAATTATCTTTCGCTTTATTTATTTATTCGTCAACATAACTAATGATTTTGTTTGTTTTTTCTTTTCTATTTAACATCAGATATCATTCTTGTATTCATAATGTCACATAATTAATAATTTTGTTTGATAAAAAAGCTAATAAATTGCACCTAATTAAGTGTATATTTAAAAAAGGCAATGAATTAAAAATAATGAAAATGATAAGATTTTTTCTATAATATTGATTGGAGCCATGGAAACATCTTCTTGTAATGTGACAAACAAATATACATATCTTTGTTATTACCATTCCCTATGTTAAATATTACTATACTTTAACAAGCCTACATTCACATGGGTATCTAGGGTTTACTTTATTTTTTTATTTGTATTTTGTCTTTTATTTGTTAAAAGTATATTAAAAACGCATGCTTGTGTGGCGCTCTCATTAGTGAAGTTTGACATTTTGACCAGAAACTGTTTATCGGCTCCAATGTTTTCTTTATTCATAAAAAAAAAAAAAATTGCTGGCTTCCATAGAAAACGTGTCCACGTAAGCAAATAGCTATACTATCATAGTTGACTAATTGTATTTATGGGAATGGGATCATTATTTTTAATTTTAACATTACATTTCCAGTGAATGCTAACTTGCTAGGAGATAATATTTAAGATTTTGATTTTTTCGCTATCTAAACAAGACTTGATCTAACTGTGTATATACATTAATTTATCAATAAATATTGTGAACGTATGAGAAACTATAAACTATGCACTAATTACATTTGACTCTTTGCCTTATATACTTGTTCATGCCATGTCCTCTTTCTCATAGAAAGGGATCTTTTAATTGGATTTTACATACCATCGTTTTCTTTTATAGCTAAAATTCATTCATGTTCCTTTTTTTTTTTTTTTTTGCTATAGATCATGTTCGTTTATACGATAAAATCTTGTGATCTCTCTTTTTTTCACCGAAAGAACTCATAAGTGGTGGCGTACTTTGTGAATGTCTTGTATAGCTCGATGCAAATTTATCCGATCTTTTTATTTGTTTTCCATTTTTACTTAGTTGCTGACCGATTTTCTGGTTTAAAATACTGAGATAACGTCTAAAACCACTTACGTTGGGACTGCTTCTATGACTTTCATATCTTTGTCTATCACTGAACAAACTTTGCCCTCTAATAGAACCCCAATCTATTCTACTATCTAACTTTTTTCGTATCGATGTCTACTTAGAAATTAGAATTGATGTCTACTTAGAAAGACGTATGAAATAAACCCATAAATAGAAAAAAGTTAGGCAAACAAGTCACAAAAAATAAAATATTTGCCAAACGGATGGAGAACAAAAGAAAACTAGAAGCCTATAATTATGGAGAAAATGTTGAAAATTAAGAAGCTATAATTGTGGAGAGAGAGATGTTTTGTTTGTTTTAGGAAAAGAAGGGACAGTGGGAGAGACATGCGAGCCATTTACGCATTGAACAAAGGAAGAATAAAGCCAATTGCATTGTTTTAAATTTTTAGTATATTTGATTATACTTCTTTTTCCAGAAATAATGATAAGGACATATACCGTGAGGTGGGGTTAGATTATAAAATTCAAACTTAAATCAGTGGTTGAATCTTAAATACGTTTGATATCAGTCAGGAGTTTCGTTAACTACTTATGCACCAACAGTGTCGTAAACAACTAGCTTGTAGACACCATGAGACTTTATTAAACTGAGGTTTGGTTAGTCTTAAGAATAAAGAAACCCTTCTTCATATTAACTATTAAGGAACTTTTGACAAATATAATGTAAAAAATCTGTAAAAAATGACACTTCAATGTAATTTATGATTCGAAGAAATTCCATATCTTATCGACAAAAGTTATTGGTTTTTCTTTTTTATTTACGTTTAGTTAAACAATTGATCAATTGATAAAAAGCAAATAAGCTAGCTACTACCTTGTAAACTTTACTACGTCTGTCCGTTTAGGACAATAAGTTAATCTTTCACATTGTTTTGCCATTACAAATTAGCTTGGAGGCACTTTTCAAATGTATATATCTTTCTTTACCTTCTTCATGTATCACTCACAAATATGCTTATATTTTTCTTTGTAATTTACTTTTGGAAGCATTCAAATTTTCTGAAAAACACCAAACAAAAAGTAAAGTCCGAGCTATATTCTTACATCAACCGTTGAATTGATGTGGCTTATAATTTAACTTTGGAACTATTCATTTTTTTCAAAAAAAAAAGTCCGAAAACCAAATAGCAAAAAAGGTTTTGATATACAGAATTCATCGACTATGAATTCTCTGATGTTTCTATTTGTGTAATTTTTTTTAATAATTCACGAAGACAATTTTAAAATGTGAAAATCTAGTTTGTTGAGCTAAGCCAAATTAAAAATAGAAGATGAGGAGGTTTCCTTCCTAACCTCCTTTGAAAGAAAAATCATGCTAACTCCTCACCTAAATGCACGTGACCTGACTCATCATATACACGTGGCATCGCATTAATGGATTGTCGTCTATCTAACGACACAGACTCGTTAGCATATCGTCACAGAATCATTTCGAGGATCCAATCTCAAGCTTTCAGACCCGACAGTATTGTTCACACGATGAAAGCATTAATCAAGACAAGAACTCATTTCATCTTAATCATAATTGCGTATTTTTAATGATTTCTAATAGTATTACATTATTTTCTTCCTCACTTTCATGTAATCTTATCTATAATAAAAAACAAACAAAAAGTCGGAAAATAACAGTTTTTGATGATTTTTTCTAAAATTTTAAATACAACATTCCGAATGATTCTTTTTAGAATTTTTGTTAATGGCTCTGAGATCACCAAAGCTTACGCTTTTCAGTCCTTTACACGGTAGCATTAGTCACTAATTTCATTCACAATTATCCATATTCTTTTTTTTTTCAAACTTGAGATTTATTTTATTTTTCAGAGGAAAAAGAAAAGTTGTTATCTTTAAGAATAATTCAAACAAAAAAAAAGATTTTTTAGAAGATAACATTTTGCTGTTGCGTGGATCAATTTGATTGATCTGCTAAAGGGACAATCTTTTTATCTCTAGGGTTTGTAGATAAAGGAAGAAGCTCGTTGTTGCAAAGACGGAGATCGATGGCTCCGACGGCGACGCTGGATAAAAATGAGGAGCTCCGGCGACTCAAGGAGGTTAATATTGACGAAGCTCCGGGGCGTCGTCGTGTTCGTGATTCCTTGAAAGATATTCAGCTTAATCTCGATCATATCCTCTTCAAGGTAAATAAAAGAAACGAAATTGAGTATATTCGTTTGAATTGGTGAATGTTTTAGGCCTGTTTTGTTCCAGTTGAAGTGGGTATAAGAAAGGTTGAGACTTTAGACTACTCTGCTTCAGCTTTGTTGTTTTTTTGATTGAATGTGTTGTTTTTTTCGTGATGTTGCAGACACCAGAAAATGGGATTAAGACAAAGGAGGTATATAAGAGAAGGATTTGTTTTGTTGATTCATTTTTTCATGAATCAAAGTTAGAAGCAACTGGTTTTTGTTTGTGATGATGTATGATTTGTGTAGTCTTTTGAGGTGAATTCGAGAGGAGTTGAGATCTTCTCCAAAAGCTGGCTTCCTGAAGCTTCTAAGCCTAGAGCTTTGGTTTGTTTCTGCCATGGTTATGGAGATACTTGCACGTTTTTCTTCGAAGGCATGTTTCTTTTGTTTTTGTTATAAGACAATGGTTTGTTTATGAAAATGGGGTTACTTGATTGCTTATTAGCTAACTTTATGCAGGGATTGCAAGGAGATTGGCATTGTCGGGATATGGTGTTTTCGCTATGGATTATCCAGGATTTGGCTTGTCGGAGGGCTTGCACGGTTATATCCCTAGCTTTGATCTTCTTGTTCAAGATGTCATTGAGCATTACTCCAACATAAAAGGTAAAAACGTCGAATCACATTGGGTTACAAGAATGGATAAAGTTAAGGTTCATGTTTTAGGTACTGATAGACTTTGAACTTTTTGGTTGCAGCAAATCCTGAGTTTAGTTCTCTACCGAGCTTTCTCTTTGGACAGTCAATGGGTGGAGCTGTGTCACTCAAAATACATCTCAAACAACCAAATGCATGGACCGGTGCTGTCTTGCTAGCACCAATGTGCAAAGTAAAGACTTGTTTTTCTTTGTTCTTATTTGCATTCTCATTAGCAAATCTCTCGGATTACTAATCATAATCTATCTGTTCTAGATTGCAGATGATTTGGTTCCACCACCGGTATTAAAACAGATTTTGATCGGCCTAGCCAATGTTCTACCGAAACACAAGTTGGTTCCACAAAAGGATTTAGCAGAAGCAGGGTTTAGAGATATCAGGAAGAGGGAAATGGTAAAAACATAAATTACAGATTTGAGGAACTTATTGACTTATTTCTTTTTCTGAAGTCGATTTCCTTACTAAACCACCTGTTTAATATTTGCAGACACCATACAACATGATTTGTTACAGTGGCAAACCAAGGCTACGAACTGCAGTAGAAATGCTTAGAACAACTCAGGACATTGAAAAACAATTGCAGGAGGTAAAAAGTATGAGAAGACTCGAAAGTATCAAAGCAGAATCAGAATAATAATATTCATTGGTTTCATCTTTGCAGGTGTCTTTGCCGATACTGATTCTACACGGAGAAGCTGATACAGTGACAGATCCTTCAGTGAGCAGAGAGCTATACGAGAAAGCGAAAAGTCCAGACAAGAAGATAGTTTTGTATGAAAATGCGTATCATTCTCTGCTCGAAGGCGAACCAGATGACATGATTCTCCGTGTCTTGTCCGATATTATCTCGTGGCTCGACGACCATAGCTTACAAGCTGAGGGATCATTAGTTACTACTATGTAGGTTATGAACATTTGTTATGTTTTAGTTTTTAGGTAAACATTTACCTAGTGAAGAGTATTTCTCAACGAATAAGCAATAAATGGTCATTATTTGCAATCGCTTTCACAGGATTGTTGCAGCTAGCATGTAAATCCGAGTAAAAGAAATTATTTTCTTTTACATTATGTAGTTTGCAAATTTTGTATCATCTTCTATATACTTGTAAATTTGTGGTTATTTTTGTAAATCAAATATCGAATTATGACACTAGAATGAAAGTTGTATAAAATCACAACTAGGTACTCGTTATAGCAAAATGAAATTAACAAAATGTACTTGATTGTAAAAAGTTCCTTTCTACTACACTTTCACATTTGATTTAATTTTAGGTACATCAAAGCATTTCTCGAAACAAATATAACAAGTTTGAGATAAAATTGAAAGCCAAAGGATTACAATTTTTGTGTTACTGGGTTACATAAAAGAAACGAGTTTGTGAATAAATGGGCCTATCATTTAGGCTTTTAACGGCCCATATTTGGTCACAATCGAAACAGAGGTACCTTGAAACCCTAATCATCGAACATTAAAACCTGATTTTACTGAAACTGTGCTGCGAAGGAGAAGCCGCAAACCATTTTTTTCAATCTAGGGTTCTTCTTCGTTCTTGCAGATTCCGCCTCCGTTTTCACCACGGTAAGTCGCAAAGAGTTAATCTTTCGCTTACTCTCTGGTCCATCTTTGTAGTTTGTTCTGTTTTTCGTGAGGGGAAATGCTGATGTTTTGTCTAAAATCTTGTAGCTCACTTTAGTGTAGAATGGTGGAAGATTTTAGCTCTTGTGATTGCTCTAATTCTGGTCTATAAGAGAAGGATACTCTAGTTCAGTTTAAGCCTCTGTAGACTATTAAGCAATGTGACAATGTCGATTTAAGAACTCGAAACTTGCTCCAGAGTATGATTGAATATAACTAGAAAGCTGAGAGCTTTTAATCCAAAAAGCTTGCAACTTTGGTTTTGAAACATACTGGAAACAATTACTCGTCAGTTTGTGTTAATAGATTTTATGAATGTTTATACTGAAATTTAATGGTAGCAAGTTCCTATGCCTAAAGTCATCACTTTTCCTTGTTTTGTTTTTCTTACAATTCAAGATCTGTGAAGATGTTCTCCGCTCAGAACAAGATCAAGAAGGACAAGAATGCTGAGCCAACAGAATGCGAGGAGCAAGTTGCTCAGGTACTAACAACAACTCCTCTTATGTCTTTGACTCTTTGTCTTTAAATTAGTCCTCTGTGAATAGCTTGAATTTTCTTTCTCAGGCTTTGTTTGATTTGGAGAACACTAACCAGGAGTTGAAAAGCGAGTTGAAAGATCTCTACATCAACCAAGCTGTGTATGTTGCTGCATTTTGTTTCTACTCCTTTTCAGTCCATTGTTGCATTAGCCTTTCTTTCGAAGGGAAACTTATATCATTCTTTCTCTGCAGTCAAATGGATATCTCTGGAAACCGCAAAGCTGTTGTGATTTACGTTCCATTCAGATTGAGGAAAGCTTTCCGCAAGATTCATCCCCGTCTCGTCAGAGAGCTTGAGAAGAAGTTTAGTGGAAAGGTAATTTTATAAAATTCTTTCTCTTTAGTAAATGCCTAAGTACATAGTAGTACAATTTGTCTAAAACATTCTGCCTTTTGTCACATTGTTTTCACAGGATGTCATCTTTGTTACCACAAGAAGGATCATGCGTCCACCTAAGAAGGGTGCTGCTGTTCAGAGGCCACGTAACAGAACTCTTACCTCTGTTCATGAAGCTATGCTTGAAGATGTTGCTTTCCCCGCTGAGATTGTTGGAAAGCGTACTCGGTACCGTCTTGATGGTTCCAAGATCATGAAGGTATCATATCATTTACTATGAGAAAATACTCAGATCTTTCTCTGAATGAGTTTAAGCTCACATCACATTCTGTTTTGAATGTTATGTCGCAGGTCTATTTGGATGCCAAGGAAAAGAACAACACTGAATACAAGCTCGAGACTATGGTGGGTGTGTACCGTAAACTTACCGGCAAAGATGTCGTTTTTGAGTACCCAGTCGAAGCTTGAAAGAAGATGATGATGAATCATCAGGATAGAGAAAGAGAGCTTTTTATTCTGTTTTGTGGTATTTAGGATGAAGGAAACTCTCTTGATTCAGTTCCTTATTCACAATCTTTAATGTTTTATTTACAAAGACTACTTTTTGTGCTTTTCAATTTTGAAACCTTTTAAAAAAAAATTCGTACTCATTCTCCAATTTCAACATCAACTAGCAACTCATTGAGAAGAGAATCTATTAGTCAAGATCGATTGGTTATTGTCAATATGTAAATCATCTCTTACTCTGTACAGCTTAAAGCAAGTTGATTCAGACCTGGTAACAAAGTGTGATTCCTGAAAGTCTGAAACAATAAAATGAAAAGGCTACACCAATCTGAATATCTCTACATGGTTGCTTTTTGAAAATCAAAGCAAAAGGCTTGCATCTGTTAACTTATCATTGTAATCACATTCTATACTTTGTGGAATTTATATTTCTGCACAAGATTAAATCTCGAAATTCCTTGATTGAATCCATTAAGCACAAGAGTCTTCACTGCTTCACTTCCTTGCTCGAGTGCTTCATCGATCTGTTTCCGTTCCAATGGACTAAACTTCTGAAGAAGAAAAGCTCTCATATCCATGTTTCCAGGTGGTTTACCAATGCCTGACAAAAATCAACAAAACATAAAGGTTGAGAGAGAAACAAAGGATAGTCTCACTTTTAAACCCAAACCAGACCAAAACCATACCTATGCTTAAACGAGGAAAGTTTCGACGACCATCCAAATGCCCCATTACACTCTTCACTCTGTAACAAATATAAAAGGTGACATCAGTTAATAGATCAGAGAACACACTTATATGCTCAAGAGGTACATTCATACCCGTTGTGATAGCCTTGACCTCCTTTCGGTTGAAGTCTCAAAACCCCATTTGGTAAAGCCATCTCATCGTAAATCTAGGAGGAGAAACAAAAGTGTTCACTCGGAACATTGTTCTGGTTTATAGGGATGCTCAAGTCAGTAATATTACCATTAAAATGTGGCGCAATGGTACTCGGTAGTGTGAAGCTAAAGATCCAACCTTTAAACGACAATAGAATAGTTTCAGGTATGAGGATTATTTGATTATGTAGCTGATCTTTGCAAAGTTATGATAAGAAAAGTTTGGTGGACAGTAAATACAAACCGATTCGCCGCTGAAGTTCATATAAGTCTGAGGTTTAACCAGCAAGATAGGTACATCTTCAATAGCACCTGTACTGATCATACATAGAACCAAAAAGTCATCAGTTTTACTATGCTTCAAACCGAAGAACCGAGAGCGAGAGAAGTAAAACCTATTCCGATTAGTGCTTTCGACTGTATCGTGTTCATCAAAACCCCTTCTTTCCTAGCCAACACATCGATCATCTCGAAACCAACCTGAAAACAACACAAAGTTGTAGCATTGCCGAGATTGAAACCAAACTTTTAAAAGCAAATAATTACAAAAATGATTGTTTTTGATTACATTGTGTCTTGTTCCATGATACTTGTTTCCTGGATTGCCCAACCCAACGATAAGCCAAGGAGTGTACTCTACTTTGAATCTGTCATTCTCACTAGAAGTAGATGAACAAACCCGAAACCTCGGTTTCCGAAAAACCGGCTTTTGCGTATGAAAGTGGTAAATAGTTGGTGTATACGTTGGGCAGAGCATTGAACTGTTGATTCAAAGAAGTGGAATCAATCATCTATCATTATTAGTCATTTATGCTACCAAAATTATCAACATATATCTAAAATTAACCATTTTTCAAGGAACTATTGAAAGTGAAATGAATAGAAAATTTAAGATTCAATACATTTTTCTTCATATACCATCGAACACATTACGATAACAAGCTTTCCACGATATAATGAAATTCGAAATCATATAATCACTGAGAATCAAAACTTAATGAAACCCATTAACAGAGATACAACGCAGAGCAAAAAAAAAAACTTTAAGTGTAATCGAACAGAGGACTCAGCAAATTTAATGGAGAATCAGAGATTAGAAATGAGCTACAAGGATTACAAAAATTTATGTTTGTGGTTCAGATTATTTTATAAGTTCTCAGTAGAAGAAGAATAAGTGAGAAAGAAAATCTCTTACCTCTTCTTCTAGAGAGAAGATTCCAAAATTTCTAGCTGACAAGATTTTTCTTTTGCCAAGACGTTGGAGCGACGAGATAGAACGATGAACTGAGTTTTTGAGAGAGAGACACGAAGATCTTAAGAAATTGGTCCCAATTTGGGTTAACGAGCTTATTAATATTATTAGCCCACAACAAAAATTGATGGGCTAAATAATAGCAGCCCAATTTAATGACTTATATGTCAATGACGGCACGTGAGTACTCTTGTGTACCACGTGCGGGTACGTCATCCAAAATCTAATCCAGAAAATCCAACGTTGCCAAATCGCCAATCCTGCGGCTCCTACGTATGTACCTACCTCTTTTACTTCTTTTTTCTTACCCTTTTTCTTTTAGCATTTGACATATTTCCCCAATATTGCAAAAAAATAATAACTGATAATAATGTATCTATCGAATAAAAGTTATAACTAAATTTTCTCAATATATAAACTCGATTAAAAATTTCCTAATAATTCCGCCATTTAATTTGATTTAGATATTGATTTATTTTCTTAAAATTTTCGTAGTACATATTACCAAATTACCAATACAAAATTAAAAGATGCATAACATGCATTAAATTCGTGATATTTTCTACTTGATTTTCCTTATGTTTTTTGGATAAATATGAATTATTTACACAAAAAGCCAAACAATATAAGGAAACACAATTGCATTATTATTATTTTGGGCCTTTTAAATGTTTTTTTTTCGTTATAACGACAATAAGCTCTACAGTGAGTTCATCTCAGCAATCACAATCTCTCTGGTACAAAGCCCACACTACTCTCTCCCTTCTCTAATCGCGGAGTCTCCGAAGTTTCTCTGGTAATTTTCTCACTATCACTCCAATTCGTTTTAGCTCTTTGTTGTTCGTTTTCTCCAAATCACGATTGTTGTTAACCAGTCGCGATCGAGAAGAGCATTTTCTCTCTCGCTCGTTCACCATCAATGCAATTGATTGATGTTGCGTCCTCATCGTTTCTTACTTCCCTCATTTTGAGTTCTGTTTTGTTATAAATGCGATTTTTTTTCTTTCTCTGCCTAATTTTTCTCGTTTCTTCGCAATTACGGTTATAAAAGTCAGAAAAAATGCAGTCGTCAACGTATGCGGTTAAAGGAAACGCCGCGTTTGCGTTTCAGAGACGGACCTTGTCTTCTAACAGATCGGCGACTTCTACCGGAATTCGTTTCGCTGGTAAGAAGAGCATAGCCACCACCGGACCACTCTACTGTTCTGGTTCGAAAGCCATGGGAGCTAAGCTTGCTCGTGCTGAAAACGGGATCCAGAGCGTTATGAGTTTCTCTTCGGTCAAAGCTCGATCGGTCAGAGCTCAAGCCTCCTCTGGAGATGCAGAAGAAGCTATACCTCTGAGATCTGAAGGAGGAAAAAGCTCTGGAACGGTTTTACCTTTTGTTGGTGTTGCTTGTCTTGGTGCTATACTCTTTGGTTATCATCTTGGGTATGACTAATACTACACTTTTTATTCTTGGGGTGTGATCATCGATGTTGATAAATTATAGATGATGGTGTTTCTTTGGATTGAATCAGGGTAGTCAATGGTGCTCTTGAATACCTTGCTAAGGATCTTGGGATCGCCGAAAATACTGTTTTGCAAGGCAAGTATATGATCCATTTCTCTTGCTCCTCCTGTTCCTATAACTGAAAAATGATTCGTGTTTTGATTAGTAGCCAAACTCAGAATTGGTATTCTATCTGATTGCTTCTGAACAGGATGGATTGTTAGTGCTCTGCTTGCTGGTGCCACGGTAGGTTCATTCACTGGAGGTGCATTAGCTGACAAATTTGGACGAACACGAACTTTTCAATTGGATGCTATCCCGCTTGCCGTTGGAGCTTTCTTATGGTATTGTTTTAAGTGCTAATTCATACTTATATTGGTGGGAAGTTGAGTTATCTTTTAACGCATTGGTTCTTTTTTGGTTGTTTAGTGCAACAGCTCAGAGTGTGCAGACTATGATTGTGGGACGTCTGCTTGCAGGAATTGGAATCGGAATCTCATCAGCGATTGTACCACTTTACATATCTGAGGTTGTTTTAACACTGAGTTTCATTATATTTTCACATTTAACTTAAGATGTTAGATTTTTTTTTTTATATGTTATGTTTCTGAAGCGTGTGATGATGAGTGTCAGATATCACCAACTGAAATCCGCGGAGCTCTCGGATCTGTGAACCAGTTGTTCATATGTATAGGAATACTTGCAGCCTTGATAGCTGGATTACCCCTTGCAGCAAACCCTCAATGGTATGTAAAATCCCTTTTTATTTATCCGAATACTATTCTTCCTTTTTTTCTTGGGTTGCATACTCTGTGTTCATATAAGTTTCAATCTCATGGTTTCCTAGGTGGAGGACGATGTTTGGTGTTGCAGTTATCCCTTCCGTTCTACTAGCCATAGGAATGGCTTTTTCTCCAGAAAGCCCAAGGTGGCTCGTTCAGGTACTCTCCACCAGGAATAGAACTCACACTTAACCGAGATCAGTTTTTGATTAGTCAAGGAAATCAATTTTGCAGCAAGGAAAAGTCACTCAAGCTGAAAAGGCGATCAAAACTCTGTATGGTAAAGAAAGAGTGGTTGAACTAGTGCGTGACTTATCAACCTCTGGCCAAGGTTCTTCAGAGCCAGAAGCAGGATGGTTTGATCTATTCAGCAGCCGCTACTGGAAAGGTATCGCACGACTTGCTGGAGATACATTGTTTCCCTAATAATAAAAGCTGACGGATTAAGCCAAGATATTCCTTTCAAACCTCTTATTGTATTGATCTATTAACATAATTTCTTGTCTGTTCTTGTTGTAGTTGTCAGCGTAGGGGCTGCTCTGTTTTTGTTTCAACAGTTAGCCGGGATAAACGCAGTTGTGTACTACTCTACATCGGTGTTCCGTAGTGCTGGAATCCAATCTGATGTTGCAGCCAGTGCTCTCGTTGGAGCATCAAATGTCTTTGGTTCGTTTGCTCTTATATGATCCCCTTGAGTTTTAATATAGCCAAACAAATAACCTGATAAAAATTTGATCTCAGGCACTGCTGTTGCTTCATCCTTGATGGACAAAATGGGAAGGAAAAGTCTTTTACTCACAAGCTTTGGTGGAATGGTACATGTTTCATTATCATTCTAATCCATATTCGAAAATCTCAACTCGCATTGGTATTACCATAACCGGGCTAACTTAGATTTTGTGATTTTGTTTTGAAAAGGCTTTGTCGATGCTGTTGCTCTCCTTGTCCTTCACATGGAAGGCTCTTGCTGCATATTCTGGAACCCTTGCCGTTGTTGGAACTGTCCTGTAAGTCACTCTCCTCTTGAAGACTTTGTTTAGTTTCTCTGTATTGGCCTTGACCGATTCTTATACTTGCTTGTATAACCAGATATGTCTTGTCATTCTCACTTGGTGCTGGCCCGGTACCTGCTCTTCTCCTTCCAGAGATATTTGCATCCCGAATCAGGGCAAAAGCCGTCGCTCTTTCTCTTGGCATGCATTGGGTAATATACATATATATCTATAGGTTCTATGGTTGAGAACAGAGTTGATTCTCTCTGTTTCTAATGTTTGTCTCTCTTTTGCCCTAACAGATATCAAACTTTGTGATTGGACTGTACTTCTTAAGCGTTGTGACTAGATTTGGAATCAGCAGTGTCTACTTGGGTTTTGCCGGAGTCTGCGTCCTTGCGGTCCTCTACATTGCAGGAAACGTCGTAGAGACTAAAGGGCGATCACTGGAGGAAATAGAGCTTGCTCTTACATCTGGAGTTTGAATTTTAAAAAAAGAAAACAGCAAAACAAAAACAACTTTGTTTCATCATTTAGCTTGTGAGTCTTTCTCTAATCTACTACTCTTGGGTAAATTGTACAATGGACGAAGTTATCAATAACGAGAAATCGTTTCATGACCACTACATGTTGGCTTTCCTTTCCCACCTTTCCCTCGTATCTAGCCTGTTTCAAAACAAAACCGCACAAACATTAGCACATGTTTTCTCAATACCTTGATTAAAATCAGCAAAAGAAGCTCACCCCCAAAACAGCTTTTGTGGCTTCTTTGGTACTACTGTGACTAGTGTCTTATTATGATTCTGTTCTTCTAAGGTAGAAGAAGAAGAGGAAGTTGATTCTTTCAACTTGTTAGAGCTTTCACCATCTTCGATGACTTTACTCTGAGAATTCTTGCTCGCTGCATTTCAGTTTAGAGCTTTTAGTCTAGTGGATATGAACTGCGAAAAAGCTAACTACAGTATAATACCTTTAGGTTTCTTCTTAAGAATCTTTGTATTGGCTTTAATTTGCATACGTCTCTTGTGCAGCTCCTGTAGTAAACTCAAAACATAACCAAAATGGCTTCAAATTCATATTGTTGAAAGAAAAAAACTGGATTGAACAGTTAATAGAAACTCGAATCAAGATAATTATACGAAATCGTATGTTTATAAACTCATTGAGGTATCTGAAAATCATAAACTTTAAAAGTTGATGCGAAGAATCTGACCTGTAATTTCGAAATTTGTTTCTGACTGACGTTGGAACGATTGAAATTGGCTTGAAGAGATAGTGTTGAGGCTAATAAAGCTTCTTTACGATTCTCCTCTGCTTCTCTATCGATTTCCTCGCTGGTCCTCGTCGTCGCCATGGCTTCTCCGTCGGCGTTCATCGCTGGTTCTTCGACAACTTTGAGAATTATAAGAATACGACGTCGGATCCTTCCTTTCCCCTTTTTTCTTTAATATTTTTGAGAAAATACCGAAATTACCCCGGAAGAATATGCGTGTTTAACTAACTACCCGAATGTTTTGAATTAATACATAACTAGACCCTGACCCGCACGTACGTGCGGGATTTCATATTTTAAGATATGTGGTGTATAACATATGTAGTTAATATGTTTGTTTTTATGTGGTATGTAACAAATTATTTTTTTTTCTTTTGGGGATCAAATAATAGAATAGATACCGTAATATTAGAAACGTAAATGTATTATCAAATTTTCTGCGTTTTAAATAAAATTTGGTACAAAAATTTGTTTTATGTTTGATTGGTTTAAAATTTTGAATAGTAATTTTGTTTTGGTGAATAATTGGATAGCTTTGTTTGGTTTTGGTGAATTATTTGGAAAGTTGCAGAATTGGTGTGAAATATATGTAATATTGAATATTGTTTATGATTTTTTAAAATATTATAGTTTTTAAAAATGTAAAATAATTAATTTGGTAATGCAAAATTATTGTTTGATAGTTGATACATTGGTAATTAGTATATACGTTTGACCCAAATCAAAATATAGTGGTCCATGACTGAATCCAGTTTTTTTTTTTTAATTTTGGGCCGAAATACATTGAGACCCAGATAATAATACTCTTTACATCGATCCATCACTTCGTTTCTTTTATTTTATTAAATATATTACTGATGTTTTTTTTCTCTTTTTGGACAGATCAATGTCGAGACAACATTGTCTTATCGGTGAGAGATTAACCAAACCCTAAAAATCTCAAACGATTGTTCGATCTAAGAATCAATTACAAAATACTCTATCAAGCTTTTTCGTCTCAGTTTATCAAATTTCCATCGCAGATTCGGAATTCTAGAAAGAGGTGAGGTTTTTATTGATTCAGATTTAGAGAACTTTTTTTTTTTGGGTAAATTTGTCGATTCTATTTTCAATCTTTGAAATTCTCTTTTGGAACATAGACTTTGGGCAATGACTTTGAAGAACCCGAACTTGCATGAGTAAGTATTGCCAATTATATAATGAAATTTTGATTTCAATAATTTTTATAAACAAATCCCAAATTGATTTACTGTATTTTTGGAATTTAACGGAGTAAATCAATCTATCAACATAAATCTTCAGAGTCATGGGTTAATAGATTTCAAAATTGGCTTGTTTAAAGATTTTAACAATAGATTTTGTTTCCTGTAACGTGTAAACATTTAAGTTGTTTCTAAATTGATTTCAGATAATAACATAGATGATGATGATGTTGCCAAAAGAAGACGATTTACAAAGATAAGATTTTCATACGATTATTATCTAACAAAGTATGTTTTCAAATACATGGTGCTGATGAGACAAAGTTCAATATATACATGGGAAGCATAATTTTCGAGTTCAATTCTTCTGGAGGAGGCAAAGTTTATGTCGTTTAGCAGCCTTACCAGAATCTCGCAGCAACAATCAGGTTAGTGAGGTGTTATGGATTCAACTTTTGTTTAGTCCATAATAATATTTAGCTATTGTTACTCTTTTTGAATTGGTATAGCATTGTTTTAAAAAACATTGTTTGGTCATTGTATGATTTCAGATTTTACTAAATTTTCCTTTTTGTTTGTTCAATGTATACAGGATGAGCATCAGTTCCCAGTTTATTTATTATGGATGAGGCAGATTTGATGTTGCCTTTGTAACAATTCAGAAATATGGAAGCTTTGTTAAAGGTTAGTGAGATGATAAGTCTAAGATCTTTCTTTACTCCATAGAATATTTAGATTCTGTTATCTATTTTTGAATTAATAGAATTGTTATATAAAACATTTAGTTGTCATTGTATGTTGAAATGTTTATATTTTATTAGAGATTAAAAATACTTTAATTTCTGATATTGTTTGGTAAGGTCTAAACGTAAAAACTGCTTTTGTATATGAATTAATTAACTTCAGTTCAAGAAATCTTAATAACAGAAAATTTAGATTCTACTACTGATTCTTTGAATTAGTAGAATTGAAATAGTTAACTTCATATTACTTAATATGATGTTTAAGTCACTGGAAAACTTTTGGAAAACAAAGTTTAGCTGTTATAGGTAATATATGTCTCCGAAGTAATGTAAAAAGAGAACATGAAAATAACATAATAAGTTTGGTACAAATAATCTCTTCGATGGAAAACTGATATCACTAACTCCATCACTTGCCAAATTACCATTTTCATAGCAGCTTGTACCTGTTCACAGAATAAAATAGAAGAGATTATTATTGGAGCAGTTTATTATTGATATCAGAAAGATCAGTGAATGCTAGCAGTGCTGCCATTTTCTTAGAAGGAACATTTGGAGAATAGCTGAAAGTTTTGAAAGGTGAGTTTAATTGAATTCTTTAGCCTATATTTATAGTAATCCAAAGTCGCCTAGCATTTCCTAGGGTTTAGAGAATTACTGCCAAAGAGGATAAATTCTAATAAGAATATTTAAGGTATATGCTTGATTTGTGGCGATTTTTTTGTATAGCTATTATGAGTTTTTTGGGTAGAATTTATAACTGAATATGGATTTGAAGAGATTTTGTTATTTTAAATAAAAACTAATAAATGAAATCGAATATCAATGAATTAGTTTTCTTCAATCTTTAGGGAATATATGGGATTGGTTTGTATAGAATTATCCGTGAACTGATTTTTTAAAATTCGAATTTATAGTTTTAGTTGTTATGGAATGATTTTGAAGCAATTGAATCTAATTTTTTGAAACTTTAATTGCTAAAATATTCTCGATTAAGAATAGATAAGGAATATGCTAGATTTGGTACTATATATATGAATATATAGATTTACTTATTTTTTTGGTAAAATTCATAAATGAATATTTCAATAAACGGATTTTGTTATTTGTGGTAAAAACTAATAAATGAAATTGAATATAAGGAAATAAGTTTTCTTTTAATCATTGGAACCGAAGAGGATTGGGTTGTTTATAGAAGTATAAGAGTAGTGATATTATTCTAATCCGGATAAAAGATTTGCTTGTTATGGTAATATATCTAAATGTATTGTATTGAATCCAATTATTATTTTTTTTAATTACTGTAGATCCGAATCATAAACGTCATATTGGGCCTATTGATCGTAAGCCCAATAGGATCATTATGAATACAAATCGAGACTGCTAGGATCCGCGTGTATTACCAAGAATAGACCCGAGATCCGCGATGTTATCCGAATATATATCCGACAAAGGATCCAAGATCCGCGTCCCAGTACCAACCTATTTTCCATTTTACCCCTTGCCGAAATCCTTTATGTAGTCGTGGAATCAAAAATTTGTAATGGCATTATTTGTAATTTTTTACCCTTTATAAGGTTATTTATTATCCAATGCTTCCCAATTAATAGTATAGATTAACCTAATAGTTTCTTTAATTATCAATTACACCCAAAGTTTTTTGGAATTTTTGGCATTAGTGAGTTACTATATTAATGAGAAATCTTAATTATTGTATCATAGATCGTGCCGAAAATAAATGGGCTATGTCTAACAGCTTTGAGTAGAAAGTAAAACTCTCAAGCTTCGTCTTTAATTACTTTTGTGCCTTGACTAAGCAAAGTAATTAGACCTTAAGATTTTTTAAATCCTTTAATCTAGCATGCCCATCACGACCGAAACGCTTAACCTGTATTACTGATTTTTGTAATCAAAAATTCATATTTGACTATCTACCAAAAAAAGAAAAGTTCTGGCAATGTGTCGTTTAAGTGCACCTAAAGTTAGGCATGAAATATATTGTTCCTTGGTTTGTGGGTCAGCACCGAACATTTTGCACGCTCTTCTATTTCGTATTGCAACACTTCAAATAATTAACATCTTGGTTTTTGATTTAATATTATTTTGGTTTGAGGTATGTAATTTGCTAATTGTTTTGATTCAGATTAAGTTAGAATTTCAAAAGAAAAATTAGACAAAATTGAACCCAAACACAGAAAAATCATTCAATAGATCATCCAAGTATAGGTTTTAACATTCAGTAAAATTAAAGAATTCATCACTCATTCCCACTTAGCTTATTTTGACAACATATCACCCTTACTTGAAATTGCAATCTCTTACTATACTCCGTCCTATGGGTAAGATAAAATTTTGTCAAATCGCGTGAATGTTAAGATCTAAAACCTAAGTTTTGTATCTAACACATGATCGTTATATACATATGTTGACCTGAGAACAACTAAAAGTCAACAGGTCACGTCTTCGTTCCAAAGTCTACCCTATTAATATACATTTAACTTGCAAGAGCTTCTTTGACGTTGTCTAATACACTCCAAATACCTTGTTTTGTCTTTTTCTTTCTTTTACAACTTGTAATAACACATTTATAACTTCTGGTTGCAAAATACTTAACGATCACAACAACACTTCTCTCTCTCTCTAGCTCTCTCTCTGTCTCTCCCTCTCCTTCTCTATCTCTACGATGGGAATTATAGATCATAAGAGCAAGAAAGAAGAAGAACAGTACCCAATGATCTCAAAGCCCTTGAGATTGATTCTCTTACAAAAGGGAAGTTATGTCTTAAGCTCACTCTTCTTTGTATTCGGTTTCTCGGTTGGTCTCTTCCTTTGTCTGCAACTAAAAGCCGTACACATGTCTACGACGACGACACAACGACAACCCTTATGGTCTACATTACTATTCAACCACACCACAACGATGGACATCAAACAAGACTTGCAACTAAAAATACTTCCACACAACATGACTGATCAAGAACTTTTCACCAAGGTCTCGTCATTATCATCACCAACATCATCCTCTTCATCATCATCATGGTTAGGGAGGAGACATAATAATGATGGGAAGATGGTTGTGAAGGTGGCTTTCATGTTCATGACAGGTGGCAGACTCCCATTGGCTGGCTTGTGGGAGAAGTTCTTTGAAGGACATGAAGGGTTTTATTCCATATATGTCCATACTAATCCATCTTTTCCAGATTCTTTCCCAGAAACTTCCGTCTTCTATTCAAGAAGAATCCCAAGCCAGGTGACAATAACAGCTTTAGTTTCTTAATTATATCTTTCTCTTTTCTTAATCAAACCTATTTAGGTACCCCTATATATGATTAGTATACTAATCAGGAATTATATCACTAGTTTTCCAAACATATCTCTTGGATTTGACAGGTTGGTTTTTTCACGTGGCACGTGTATTGATCTTGATTCGACCCTTGCATAATGGTCCACTAAGGCATGAACCCATTTGATATTATTCTAACATAAATACATGTCTTAATCATGTTAATAATATTCCAATATAGACTATTCTCAAATTTTGTAAGAACAATACAGAGAATAGTTTCAAAATGCATCTCAATATAATATTTGCAGATGTTATATAAACTGAAAAAGGTCGTAGGAATCGAGGCTTTATACGTTTATTAAATTTCTAGATTCAATAAACCTAACAAATTAAAAAAGGCTTCAATTTGTATAAATAAGTTTAGATTATTTTAACAATCACTTTTTTATTTATTTTAACAATAATACTTATGTTGGTTTGTGAAAAAATTGTGAAACAGCCGGTGTATTGGGGAACATCATCAATGGTAGACGCAGAGAAAAGACTATTAGCCAACGCACTTCTCGACGAATCCAACCAAAGATTCGTCCTCCTGTCCGATTCTTGCATCCCACTCTACAATTTCACAACCATCTACGATTACTTAACCGGCACCAATCTCAGCTTCATTGGCTCATTCGACGACCCAAGAAAATCCGGTAGAGGCCGTTACAACCACAAAATGTATCCACAAATCAACATCACACATTGGAGAAAAGGATCACAATGGTTTGAAACAACTAGAGAACTTGCTCTTCATATTATCGCAGACACGGTTTACTACAATGTATTCGATGAACATTGTAAACCGCCTTGTTACATGGACGAGCATTATATCCCAACTCTTGTTCACATGTTGCATGGAGAGATGAGCGCTAACCGGACCTTGACGTGGGTTGATTGGTCCAAAGCCGGTCCACATCCTGGCCGGTTTATTTGGCCAGATATAACCGATGAGTTTCTTAACCGAATCCGATTTAGAGAGGAGTGTGTCTACTATGGCCGTGGTGGAGAGAATGTTACAACTTCCAAGTGTTTTTTATTTGCGAGGAAATTTACAGCCGAAACATTAGAGCCTTTGTTAAGAATTTCGCCAATAGTTCTTGGATTTGGTCCATAGTTACATTTTTTTTTTTTCAATTAGTAAATATTATGGTAATGAAGTGATAATAAATTTAGATTTTTTTTCTTGCAACTATTGTTGTACCCTAACCACTTAATTTATAACTTTAAATTCAATAATAATAATAAAATTTTATTTTAATTATATGGTAGAAAATTAAAATTTGTGTGTAATTATTTAATTTTCATTGAAAATGCACTAAAATGAGAGAAATGGAATAAATATATTATGTTATCCACGATTTTTGTCGGTTTGTGAGCTCTTTGTTCTGCTCTTGTGTAACTTCGGGCCTTCGGCGATAACCCAAAGTTGCAGACTTTTACTCAAATGCTAACTTCTCTCTTCCTCTCGGCGCGAGCTTATCCATCTCTGATCACTAACTCCTCCTTAAACCCTAATCAAAACCCTTCAAATGCAGCCAAAAGTACCCAATTTGATCAATTTAGGGAAAACAGAGGACTCTCTGATGCTACGATTAAGGTTCCTACTGCTCCATGGATGAAAGGTCCTCTCTTGCTTCGACCCAATGAGATTGTCGACACTGAGAAGAGGAACAAGCCACGGAAAGTTGAAGAGAAGACGTTTAAGGCGTTGAATCGTAGAGAGAGTGGTGTTAGGGGAAAGAAAGCGATGAAGAAAATCGTGCGTAATGTTGAAAAGCTTGATGAAGGCAGTGATTCTGAAGAAACCCAGATGGATGATTTGAGCGAATTCGAGTATTTAGGTCGAATTGCGGAGAAAATTGAGTCCAAGGATAGATTTGGCGGGAAAATGCCTTGGGATAGAGAAGAAGAGAGGTTTATATTGAGGAGGATGAAGAAGGAGAGAGTTCCGACTACGGCTGAGCTTATCCTCGACGAAGGATTGTTGAATAGATTGAGACGTGAAGCTTCGAAGATGAGAAAATGGGTGAATGTGAGAAAAGCAGGTGTTACTGAGACAGTTGTGAATGAGATTAGATTGATCTGGAAGTTGAAGGAGCTTGCTATGGTTAGATTTGATGTTCCTCTGTGTCGGAATATGGAACGAGCTCAAGAGATTATAGAGGTTTGGTTACATTCATCTATTGAAACTTGTTGAAATCTTGATGTTTCTCTGAAATGATTTCTCGTGTTTTCAAGAATAGATGAAGACTGGAGGCTTGGTTGTGTTAAGCAAGAAGGAATTTCTTGTTGTTTATCGAGGACCGAGTTATTCATCGGAGGAAACCCGTTCTGGACAAGATGAGATTAGCTCATCATCATTGTATGAGAGAGAAGCTGATAGGTTATTGGATGGTTTGGGACCTCGATATATGGATTGGTGGATGAGAAGACCGTTTCCTGTTGATGCTGACTTGCTTCCTGAAGTGGTTAATGGATATAGGACTCCATCTAGACGTTGTCCACCAAACACTAGAGCTAAGTTAAGCGATGAAGAGCTTACCTACTTGAGAAACATTGCTCAAGCTTTACCGTTTCATTTCGTCCTTGGTAATTTGCCTTTTTCTACTTTAGCTGTCTTCCTCACTCTTTGTGTGTGTGATATAGAGTTAAGCTTCAGGGAGAGCTATTCATATGTTTCTGAAGAAATCATGAAAGAATGAAGAATTTTACTCAAACTATATCTTTTCTTAACAAAAAATGAATCAATTCTTGAGTAGACTAAGAAATTTGAGAAGAGATAGATCAAGAAATGGTTCTCTTGCTTTCCAGAAGTTGCAACATTTAATATTTAAATTCTCCGTCTTTGTTTTTTTCATTTGCGTATACTACTTATCGTCATTCTCATTGCGTTTGCTTGCGGTTTTCTCCCTTGAGCTCTCAACAGTCTTTTCTCTTCTTCTTAATTTGCAAAGGGAGGAACCATGGGCTTCAAGGTTTAGCTTCCGCTATTGTGAAGCTATGGGAGAAATGTATTATTGCAAAGATTGCAATCAAATGGGGAGCTCTTAATACAAACAATGAGGAAATGGCAGATGAACTGAAGGCAAAATTTCTTTTTTCTTATGGCCAATTGTTTTGTATATATTCAATACCGATGTGGCTGATGCGAATTTTTTGGGCTCTATCATTTTTTTCAGCATCTCACTGGAGGAGTTCTGATACTACGCAACAAATACTTGATAATACTTTACAGAGGCAAGGACTTCCTTTCTGATGAAGTCGCAGATTTGGTTGATGACAGAGAGAGATTACTCAGAGGTTACCAACATTTTGAAGAAACTAAGCGTGAGAGCGATATAGAAATCTTAGAGGTGGTAACAAATGGTAAACAGTTGAAGGAAACAAGCAAAAGTGGAACTTTATTGGAGTTTCAAGAACTTCAAAGAAAATTCGGAGAAAAGGAGACGAGAAACCTAGAGACTGAAGCTGAGAAAGCAAGACTAGAGAAGGAGCTCAAAAGCCAAGAACACAAGCTTTCCATTGTAAGCCTTTTATAGCTTCCAAAAATTGCATCGTTTTATATTTCGCCTACTGTTATATAAGTTCCGTGGAATGCTTATTTTCGTTTTGTTTGTTTGCAGCTAAAATCAAAGATAGAGAAATCAACAATGGAGTTGTTTAAATTGAATACTTTGTGGAAACCATCCGAGCGTGACGATGACATCGAGATATTTACTAATGAAGAAAGAGAATGCTTGAGAAGAATAGGGCTGAAGATGAGTAGCAGCTTAGTTCTTGGTAGGAGCCACCGGATCCATTTCTGTCTTCTTTCTTATTCCTTACCCATTGGCAATGAGATTGATTTACATAAATTTTCATTTTTGTATTTGTTTCATTTTTAGGTAGAAGAGGAGTCTTTGTTGGTATAATGGAAGGTCTACATCAGCATTGGAAGCACAGGGAGGTAGCAAAAGTGATCACGATGCAGAAGATTTTCTCCAGAGTTGTCTACACAGCGAAATCACTTGAAGCAGAAAGCAATGGAGTACTAATCTCAATCGAAAAACTTAAAGAAGGACATGCGATACTCATATACCGTGGCAAGAACTACAAACGGCCTTCATCGAAACTGATGGCACAGAATCTTTTGACGAAAAGAAAAGCGTTACAAAGATCTGTTGCGATGCAGCGACTCGGCGTAAGTGAAATGAATGAAAAAAATATCATTTTCTTTCATTTTTTTGAGTGAGAGAATGCTGTGAATCTCATTTGAATTAATCTTTTCTGTTTTTTTTCCATTGTGGCAGTCACTGAAGTTCTTTGCTTACCAGAGAGAGAGAGCAATAGAAGATTTGAAGGTGAGTTTGGTAAATCTTCAAGACTCTGCTTCTGAGTTAAGTTGATGCAAAATGATTTGCAGGGAAGAGCTTGAAAAAGTTTACCTACCAAGGCAACTTTATTTACTTGACTGGATCACATATTCTTTTTCTTTTACTGTGGTATTTTTCTATAAACTTTTTTGAAGTGTCGGATTATCATGTGTATATATCACGTAATGTCACATTCTGAATAAATAATTTCAAATAGTATACAAAGTTATAAATCTTGATAAATCCAGCTTCGGTGAAATGAAAAGTTAACAAAATTTGTTGGATTTGGCAATAATGTAACTTTTTTTATATATTCGAAATAGCCAGCCTATTTATAGATGAAGGCCCTGAGTGCTATAGTGGTGCATCCAAAAGCATTTTATTGATTTATGTTAATTGAATAGTTGAAGCTATAAAAAGTTTAAAGGCATCCACAACAATCTTTATCTTCTAGTAATTTAGTTTTGGCTTTATAGGGATCGATCCAAACTTTCCCTTACTTTTCAAAAGTGTGTGTAATTATTAGATATACCCCATCTTTTGTGTTGTCTAAAAGATTTTTGTCATGTGCTCGTTAATCTTCTATTTATTTTACTGTTTTTTTTTTCACATTTCTTAGAATCAATGAAAATCTTAATGAACATGAAAGAAATGGAGGAAACTAATGATATACAACAAATTACACTGCTCATAATCTAACGCATACTATACAAACATGAAACATAAGGACTAATTAACATTGTACAAAAAAAAAAAGATATTGAATTAGCATCGTATTAAAAATATTAATCCACCTACTTAATATGAAAAAATGACTAACTATTTTCTTGTTTGAAAAATGGATTCTATAACGAAATCTACCTTATTCTGAAATCTGGAAAAAAAAAGAAGAAGAAGAAGAGAGAATACTAACGGTATAAATTACTAATTACATATTCTTAGAAACTCAAAATGTCTATAGAAGACATTTATCAAGTTCCTACAAAACCAATTCCGGCAATAATAAAAGCAAGAGCCTGCATGTAAAGATAAATATATAACAATGTCTTCCCAAAGACAAGGTTATAGGAGGCACAACACAATATGTATATCCCGACCATCATCTCCTTTGAGTTTATCCTGCAACAAAACAAACTCTTTCACCAGCTGACTAATTTTGGAGACGAAGAAAACAAATATATTATTTGTTGATTAATTACCTGTCGAGAACCCCATAGCGAGGTTTTCTTACTTGGGGAAGTAACTTAGTCTCAAGAGCATCTCCTAATTTCTCGGTGACGACCCATTCGTTCACTCTCCCTCCTTCAAGTAAACCGATGAAAGTGCCTTTGGTCCGATGCATAGCCATTACATTCTCGAACAAGACCCAAAAAATCACGAGGTAGAAAGATCTACATGCATATATTAACCTAATAAATACTTGGTATATTATAATCTAGCTAGGTACTAACTATATGAATAAATGAACGAATGTTAGTTGTTGTTATAGCTAGAAAATAGTACTAACCTTGGTGTGGCGATGGCATTGAATAGAGTGATCATAAAAGGAAAGTAAACAGTTGACCAAGTCGGAATGTTGACTTCGGGAAAGAATACGCTCGTAGGAAGAATGAAACAATAGAAGAAGAAAGTGAAGAAATGGACTATGATCTTCCTTACGAAAAAGAAGCTGTAGATCACATACAATTTCTTCCAAATCGTCACTCTCTGTTCATATTACCAAATCAAATTCATTAGTACCAACTTTATATTATTATTTAAGATCATAACCCCATATATAAAAAAAGACTTGATTAAATTGCAATGCCTCACATTGGGTATTTGTTTCTCATAATGGACAAAATAAAAAAGTTGGTGTGTCTTAGAATGAAATAAATTAAGATAGAGAATAAAAGTATCTTTCGTTTTTATTGGTCAGATAGAATGAATAATAGTGTACCTTATTGCGAAAAATTTCCATAGTCATTTTTCTGAAGAGATTAGCTGGACCGCATGACCAACGATGTTGCTGGAATCTGAAAGCTTTAAATTGGCTTGGTAGCTCACTTTTCACCTACAATCGCAATCATATAATTTTTAAATATATAAAAAACGATCAAAGGTTATTTATTTGATATCCACACGTTAATATGTGTATTATTCTTTGGAGTTAAATCATGTGCAACTGTGCATAAAGTGTGTGAGCAGCAACAACACATGTGACTAATATTAATGAGATTAATTAGATTTGGACTGGTTTATACGAGGTACGTTGTTCTTTTAAATTACATATAGGTTTGGACACACATTAATTAGTTAGAGTCCAAAAGAATTGAAAGTACCTCAACATCATTGACGAAGACAAATTTCCAGCCGTGTAGTCCAACACGAACGGCCAAGTCCATGTCTTCAACGGTGGTTCGGTCTTTCCAACCACCGGCTTCTTCCATCGCCGCCAGTCTCCATACACCCGCAGTCCCTGCAAAAGTCCAATTATATTTTTTAAAAGTTTAAACTATATTTGAGTAACATAACAAAAAAAAATTGTAATGAGAGATTTTGAAGATTACAAGATGGATTTGAATGCATATGCTTTATTGTTATTGGAAAAACATTGTAATTTATTCAATACCAACTGGTTTTGGATTTTTTTATTCAAAAATAAAAGTAAAATATATATACAAATAAATGTGGCTTGTTTTAGCTACATAGAATATAAAATTAGAGGATCTAAGAAATAAAATATGGAGTTTTCAACCATAGGATAAAGTATTTTAATAAATGTTGATAAGGATGCATATGTACCATTGAAGCCAAAGAAGGCATGTCTAGTGGATCCAGATTCTTGCTCTGCCGTGAAATGGTAATTGAGGGACATCTCCTGCATTCTTGTCATCAAGCACTTCTTTGCGTTCACTGCGCCAATGAATAGTTTCTTTAATCATATGGCTATGACTAAACACATATTCTATCTCAAAACCAATTGACAGTAAATTGAAAGTGTTTTGTTTGTGTTAACCGCAAAATAGTCATACCAAATTTCCATCGAGCTTGAACAAGAGCGAGCTCGGAATTGTGGATGAGAAATGGGACAGTGCGTTGGAGGTAGTCAGGCTCTGGCTGGAAATCAGCATCGAAGATTGCAATGTAGGTGCATGTTTTGACGTAACTATGCCTCATACCTTGTTTAAGAGCTCCAGCCTTATAGCCATTTCTATTGTCTCTCCTCTCACATTTTATGTTAATGCCTTTGGTTGCCCATTTTCCACACTCTATGTTCACCATTTCCTGCAATTACACACATTAGACGCTTGATCTTAATTTTTTTTTTTTGCGATTTTTTTAATGTTTACATATTAAATTATTGCGGTTACAAGCAAAAACAAAACATTTACACGGTTTTAACAAATATCATTTTGGAATTTTGTGAAGGCAAACGTACAGAAAAAATTAATTGAAAAGAAAGAAAAAAAGATTCTTTTTTATTTTTAATGTAAATAAAATATTCTGACTAGTAATTAAAAGCCTGCGTTTAAAACAATCAATATATATATATGTACCATGATGGTGGGATCAGTGGAATCGTCTAAAACTTGAACGATTAGTCGATCCAATGGCCATATGAGTCTGCAAGCAGCACCAATGGATAACTGAAACACCTGTGGACTAGAACTTTACTTAAAAGCTGCATCACTAGTTCACTATATAGTATAAAATTAAAATAACTGATCAATTCATAAAACTATGATTAAATACCTCTCGTTCATTGTACATTGGGATTTGGACAAGAACCATGGGAAAGTTTTGATTTCCGAGCTCCATGTCCTCTTGCATTGCCTCCCATTTGTAGATCTTCTCGGGTTTGCGTTTAAACAACTTGACGTAGATTACTACAATGTTCATATACAAACTTTCAACGAAAACTAACAGTGAGATGACCAGACATATAGCCACCAAACACTTGAACATTGGAACTATAAGTAGACTTCTCATTTCTCTCCACCACATCATCGTTGTCATGCTTGATTATCTTTACTCTTCACACCATTATATATGGTTCAAGCTTTTCGAAAGTCGCAGCTGCATCCTAAATTATTCACTAGCAAAAGAAATATAACTATTCTTCTCAGAACCAAGAAATGGGAGTGAGAATTATTGTAGGAAGAGGAGAGGATTTTAGAAATGGGTTTTTCTTGTTCTGTCTATAAGTGTCTGACTTTACAGAGATTCCCTTTTTTGTTGAATTAAGTAATTTGTCTTAGCTTTTGTTTCTATTTTGATTCGTCGTCGTTTTACCAAATTATGTGGACCTGATCTAGAACATTATCATAGCTAGTGGGAACAACAAGATGAGAAAAAGGACCAAACAATGTTTTAACTTTTTAACTCAGTCTCACTATTTGTATTCCTAACTTCCACGTGATACTTACATATACCTACTTGTATCGGCAGGCCCGGCGCATGACACAATCAAGTGAAGCGATGGCTTAGGGCATCAAATTAAAGGGGGCATATATTTTAGAATTTTTTTTAGGGTCTTATATGTTAAAAAAAAATTATAAGTTTTTTTTGAAAAATAAATTTCTTGGACTTTATTTTCACTATATTTTATGGACTTTATGCCTTTAAATTAATAAAATGTTAATTAATATGTCGTTAATGAATTTTTTTTGGAAATTTTTGGCTTAAAATAAAATAAAACCCTAAACATTTACAAAGATTAAATGGATTGGCATTACTATCCATTGAGACAGCTATGGTTGAAAAGCTCGACTACGTGAGTTTGATGAATGATTTTGCTGGTAAAAGTCTAAATAGAGCTATATTTAGAGAATAGATTTTTTTTTTCCTTACAAACTTCTTATGAAATTAATTACTGTTTTTTTTAGTTTAGTATGAGTTTTATTTTAATTTTATTTGTGATGCGAGGAAATTTTTTTTTTTACAAAGGGCATGATTTTTTTTAGTGGCGTAGGGCATTTAGGTATACCGCACCGGCCCTGTGTATCGGTATCGTATATCGTCTATGCACTATTCAATCACGTACATATACGTCATCTTTTAGCTTTCAGATTATTACTTCAGTATCAAATAGATCTATATGGTTTTCCAATACATGATAAATTAGCATACTTATTTTTAAGTTTTGTCACTCTTTCTATTTTTTGGGGGTTTTTTTTGCTAATGATTCTTTATACGTAAATAAGAGCCAAGAGGGATCATCATTATTAATTATTTTAAGTTTTGTCAAACTAGTCTTAGTTAATGGCAACCATAATCTCGACAAAATCAATGTGAATTAAAAAAAACGACCACTGTGAAGTTGTACTAAGTAATACTACTAGTGTAATTTTGAGCAGAACAACAATTAATGATCTGTCTGTGAAATTTATAATGACAACCGTAATCTTTCTCGACCTAGTTGTTTCGTAGGAAAGAGTCAAATCATTGGAACGGAAACATGTTTTTTAATGTCTCAAACTGATGAGAAAGTAACCGGAGTTAACCGGTACGATTGGGTCAATAAGGACGAAATGGATTTATTGCTTTTGAGTAAAACAATTCTTTCCTAATTAGTGGAATTATCTCCGTAGTTTGTAGGATCCACAACTTATCTTCTCTTTCTTTTTCCTTCGTAAAATATTATCACAAACTACAAAAGCTCAGTGACTGACTGATCTGAGTGTTTGTTTATGTTTCAATGGTGTGTGTGTGTGTATTACATTGATTCGTCTCGTGGTTGTTGCAACTTCTATGTTCCATTTTTTTAATTAATCCAAATCTCTTTGGATACTGGCATTACAAGACGAGGGAAATCATTACTTATGTAACTTAATTTACATATGTATATGCCTTTATACAATGTCCAATGATATTGACGACAAACGAAAATGGAAATGACTAATGATATAAGTAAAAATAAGGGAATAAAGCAAGAAAAGAAAAGTCAGATGAGGAAAATGTCTTTGCACTATGAGAAAAAAAATGTTCCACTTGACCTTTGTCCCTATCATAAGCAAGTGGCAAATGTCAACTATTTAACGTGACTCGAGTAGAGTTTTTATTTTTTTTTTGTTGGACAGAACTTGAGTAGAAGAGAGTTATGCGCAGTGTAACTCACGCTCTTTAATTACCTCGACAAGACCTTAGAAAACGGAAATTAGCAGGGGAGGGTGGACTGGCATGTGTTTGCACCAAGACAATTATGGCCCATTAATATTTGGGCTAATGGGTCTATTAGGAAACGTGAGCTAAGGTCATAATTGAACAATATAAAGATGCTAATTACAATCTTTACAGGGATATTGGGGGGCAAAAAAAAATACGAAAAAGAGGAAGAAGGGAGGGAGGGTGGACTCTATAGCTGAATTAGAAACGGATATGTGTGAATGCGAAACGCGTAGAAATACATAAGAGGAAGCAGTTTCAATTATATCTTGTAGAAAATTTTAACAAATTTAGTTATAGATAATTATACGGAATGATAGGAATAATTATATTTTAATGATTAGCAAGTTTTGGTTATAACCGGTCCGATTTCAGTGAATTGAAATTTTGCTAATGAATGGATGTTAATTGTCTAAAATTTTTAAAAAATTAAATAAATAATTGTCTAAAATTTGGTCTTTTGCCTCCGCCTTTGAATTCCATGAAAATATAGATTTAGGGTTTTTTTTTTTTTAAAAAAAAACATGTATATATGCTCCAAGAACTCATCTTATATAAGCTCTTGCCAAACCATAGATTAAGAGTTTATGACCGACATATCAAAGCACTTTCCTTAAGATCCGGAATTTTGGATAATAGTAATGTCCTTTAGTTGACAAAAAAAAAAGTAATGTCCTTTCTTTTTGGTATAACTTCTTATTCTTATAGTAGCAAATACCATATTCATGTAGGGCTTAATATTTTTTGTCAGCAACAAATGGTTTGTCATCAGCTGTAAAAAAAGCTCCTTTCAACAACACCAAATTTATTTTTCCTTAAATTTCGATTCTTCTTTTAGAGTTGACCGGTTGAATAGTTTATTTCATCTATAACTATTTCCAATCGCATAATAGAATAACATTGTATAACTTGACAGAACAAAAAAAAAAAAGACAAACTTTAAGAAGAAGCAATCGTGTGTCTCCCTCTCATGGCTACCTATTTTATCATTTTGCCATCCACAAACTAAATCCCAAATCATTTTTATTGACTCTAAATAGTAAATAGCCGTTGCGAAATTTTCAAAACTCCTTTTCTAAATTATATACTCCCTCCGTTTGTGATTACGTGTCGTTTTAGTCAAACCTTTTAGTTTGTGATTAAATGTCGTTTTGGATTTTTTAGGTAACATTTGCTTTATTATACCCAAATTACCCTTTATTCATCTTCTCCAATAGATCCAGATGATTGTTCGTTCCTGTTTATTATACACAGAGACCCAATTCAATTTTCAGATCTGTGGAACCAAAATAATTTGTAAATAATCTCGGATTGATTTTTTTCACCTGGAGCTCGGATTTGACCATGGATGATACACTTGTGAAGAGATTTTGTAGCGATTCAGCTAGATCATCACGCGAATCCGCCATTGATAGATTCTTCTTCTCGGCAAGACAAAATCGAAAGACCCAAATAAATGTTCATTAAATGAGAATAAATTAAAGGGAAACCTTATCAATTGTAAAGAAATCAAACCCAGATTTCGAAGAAAGGGAAAACTTGTTCTTCGTTGTTTTTGGGGGAGAAGAAAAGGAAAGCAATTTTGTAATTTGTCATTTTTTTGAGGATAGAATTGTAATTTGCAATGTTTCCTTAATTTAACAGATTATAGTTAAAACGACACTTAAATAGATACGGAGGGAGTAATATTTATGTTACACGCCAAGAAAAAACAATAGAATATGATTTTACCACATGTGGTAAGTTTGTCCTGTTCCTTTCAAAAGATTGACTAGATCCAATGATTTTATTTGTATTTTTTTAATAACGTAACTCGAACATTTGTTCTTTTTTTGGAATCCTAGAGAGTAAAGATTATATTAGTCTACAAATCTTATAATAGCAGTAAGAACCAAAAAAACAGACATCGAAAATATGACATTTTAAAAAAAATTAAAGATCTCATCAACATTTTATATATTTGTAAGAAAATAAAACGGAGAAAAAAAAAGAAAAGAACAAAAAGGTTTTATTGTTGTTCAGGAATAGAAACCAAGACTGGTCGCCATGGTTTTCTCAAAATCCTCAACCGAAATGATTGAACCGAACCAGACGAACCGATTCGTCTAGCCGTTAACTCTCTACCGTCACCGTTAGAAGTAACGGAGCTGACGGTTACCGGCGAAATCTCGCTTCCCTCTTCTCCATTTCCGTCTACCTCTTCTCTACCTCTGAACGGCGGCGACGGAGATGTGACCAAGAGCTCTCTCAATTTACGCCTAGCGCGGTGGTTTCCCCTCTTCTTTTTCCCGGAATTTCCATCTGACTCCGGCGATTCCTCGAGGATCTGACGGAGATTCCGTCTGCGACAGTCAGAGCTCTTTTCGAACAACATCCGCAGGGTTTTGCGTCGCCGGAGATTGAATACAGGGCTCTTCGTCGGACTCATCGTGGGGTTCCCCGCGGTAGACGCTTCCAAGCTACGATGTGCGGCGAAGAGCTTGAATTTGTGTAGACCTGAGAGTGACATCGTGAGATCCAACGGTGGATCGAGACGATCGCGAATTCGTCGTCCGATCGCTCTTTCTTCTTCACTTTATTATTTCTTTCACATTTATAGAAGATGCGAGAAGTTAGCAACTTAGTAACGGTGAAGTATTCATATAGTAATAATCATTTTAAAGTAATAGATGAATATGTTTTTTACATAGTATAAACCATAGTATAAATAACTATAAACCTTATTAAAATTCATCAAATTGCAATTAAAAAGAAGATAGTTAAGCAATCGCTACTTTGCTAGTATATTTCCATGCGCCATAACCAAAAAAATGTTAGGAAGCACCTGACACGTGTATATAAGCCATAATCTCCACCGGACTAGTCTAATTGCATGTTTACGAGGCCCCCTCTCAATTTGTCATTTAGCCTAACCACGCGTGCAAGGCCCACACATTCACGAAAAAGCCCAAAATATGTGGACAATAATAATTGAGCCATTTTGATTTTGACATAACGCGCTTTGAGTGTGCATGATTCTTGTCACAACTTGGTAAAATTGAATAATTCCAGTCTCATCGAAAATGTCTACACAACATTAACCAATATATGGGAGAATGCAAGTCGCAACATTTTTTCTATTCCTATGCTTCACAGTACTTGAGAATGAATAACACTTCATTACGTACAAAAAGAGATTATTTATAGACAGATCACCCAAGGGGAAATGAGATAGAACAAAATTTCCCTTAGCTCCAGCTACTAAAAATTCTGAAGAGATGTGTAATCTCACTCTTCTTCCTAAGAAACAAAAAACAAAATAGCTAAAAGAGAGATAAAAATAATGCAAGCTAAATAACAAAAGAACATGATTTTATTTCTGTGTGTATTAAGAATATATGCAGTAGAAGTATTAAATGAATTAAAAACCTGGTTTATATATATTTAATGGTTTTAGTGATTTTGTGGCTGTGTCTCATCTTGGTTCTTGGCTTTACTCCTTAGCATCTCAGTGAAGTTGCCTCTCATGATACGTCTGAATCTCGTGTCTTCAGTCGCTGCAGCCACAACCTTTGGTGACTCAGGTCCCTGAACTGTCGGTGATACAGGTGCAACCGCATTGGTTTCCGTTGCTTCTTTCTTCCCCAACAAGCCTCCTTCTCCAAACAAGCTTGTGACAGATGATGCAATCCCCAAGTGAGCACCCATAGCTTTACTGATTGCTTCAAATGTCCCACCTGATCTCTCCTTCATTATGATCTCTAACGCTTCTTTGTGAGCTGGATCTAGCGCATCTGGATCTTTCAGTAGGTTTTGAATCGCTGGAAGGAGGTATTCTTTGACACTTGTTTGAGACAAATCTTCAGAACCATATTTCAAAACAAAATCAGGTTAAACTTGGAACATTTAAACATAGAAGATGAAGAAAGTTATGATTTTGATACTCTTACCAGTTGCATCGAGTGCACGAATGGCTTCACAGAATGCGTTAGCTCTTTCTCGCCGACGATTTACATCTGTTGAAGAGCTTGGACTTGCTGAAAGTTGTAAAATCTTGGACAAAAGATAATCTCGAAGCCGTTCTGTCGTGTGAGGAATAGCAACTAAGAGTGCACGAATGACTGCGATTATAGCCTCATGAGATCCATCTTCCAAAAAAGCATCCATCTGGACTAGGATTTTATCAACAATCTGCATCATATACAATTTAATTAGCGCATAAAAGAAAAGATCTTTACGTAATTCGAGAGTTTGTTATGAATTATTACCATGTCGATTTTGAAATGCTGTGCTACAGATCCAAATGCATCTATGCTTGCATATTTTACATTCAGGTTCTGGTCTGAACCAAGAGTGATCAAGGCTGGTAAAACATTGGCAGAAGCAACTTTTGCGTCGATATATGGAACCTGTTGTGCAAGTAAATAACAAAGCTTCTCAAAAAAAATTGGGAAAAATAAGTGAAAGTGTGCATGTGTTTGTGTGTTGTTGAGAAGCTTACGATGGTCTTCAACAACTTAGCAGCGTTGATTTTGAGTTCTGCAGTGGAATCAACTACCATTTCCCACAAAATTCCGAATATCATGTTATGGTGTTCCTCAAATGTGCTGTAATGTTTGAGGAGTACGTTGGTAAGAACAAGTAGCTTCAGGAAACCATAATAAACAGTGGAAGCTAAAGAAAACGCACCAAAGGAAGCGAACTGCATCCAAAACCTCATTATTGTGCTGCGCTGACTGGTTTTCCTTTGTTTTGCTCTCCACTAAGAGTTGTCGTAAGAAGATAGTTAATTCTTCGCGTTTACTTGGTGCACCAAGAACTCCTGCCAACAGAAGCGGTAGAATACAAAGCGTGGCAAGTCTATTGGCTACAGCAGTTCTTGGTTTCAGGCCTGAAGGAAGGAAACAAGAATCAATGTCAGATCCTTTTTAAAAAAAAATTGTATTGCTATATATCCAGCAATTAAGTAACCTTTTATCCTTGGATGGATTGCAGAAGGTAAGAATCGAAGATCAGCCTCATCATCTCCAGCGGCCACCAAGAATACAGGTAACTCAATGTGAGTTAGGTAGGAACTTCCAAAACGTTCAGATACAGCCAAGAGAAACTGGAAACCACCACAGAGGATTTTTAAAGATTAGTGTAATTAATTACTTAATTACTTAATTACTCCCAAGATCAATAAAAGATAAGAGAATAATTGTCAACACAAATCATACCTTTGTTATCCGATTTCTCAAATGGTCTTCCTTCTGGGGTAACATGCATGCCAGTTGCAACAAGTTAGCAAAGCAATCAACATGCATCCATTCAAACATAGGCCACTCAGAACGTCCCCTGGTCAGAATTTCCAGTCAGATAAGACGTATTAGAATTACATACAAGAAGATGTCAGAAACTTGAAGAAACTTTTGTTGTCCAGAGTGATTGACGGGGTTGAGAAGCTTACTCGGCATAGATCTCAAGCAAGGAAACAGAGAATGCAGATTCCTCTGACTTTGAGATGGAAGAAAAAGGACATGTTGTCATTGCCTTCTGGTGTATAGCTGGAAGCAACTCCATGAGCATTCGCAGTAGGACATCAATGTTCCATCGCTCCCGTTCACCTAAGACCCGCAGATGAGACTCCAATGACCCTTCAACTCCAGAAAGGGGTGGGCAGTGCTGCAAATGAAAATAACTTAAAATGAGCTATTCCAAACAATCATTCTCAGTTACAATTTTAAAAATGGATAATGTATTGAGTCTATACCTGAGCAGAGCTCAAAGTGTGAGAGAGAAGACCTCTCAAGATATGATCCAGCCTGTTACCCCATTTTATCACTGCAGGAAGTAGTTCTTTCAATGTAGTTTCAACCACCAGGCCAGACGGATCACATATTAGCTGAAACATCATCTCCTCGACCTAATAAACAAGCAGAAAGCTGGTGTTGTAGCATTTTGGTTTTATTAATAGTAACTGAACGTCTATGCTATTGTCTCATGCCAACCTAAGGACACTACCATATCTTAGAAATTATGTAATCAGCCTATTTTAGAGCTGCAAATTCAGTGAGGCTAACCTTGAAATATTTGTCTGTGTTCGGAAATAGTGGAAGCAGCAATGCCAGATTATGAGCGGCAGCCTCTCGAACAACGGTGGCAGAATCTTCTATGAGTTGTTGTACGATAGATAAAATAAGAGAGTCCCGTATCTCAGGACGGACATATTCTGCAAGCTCCCCACATGATTGAGCAACTAGCAGCCTGCGTTCTTCATATGTATGATTTATCTGAAATAGACACAACCAGCATGAAATCATTCATATCAAGAAAATATCACAAAATGTTCAAAGCGAAGACAAACAACTTGTAGAAGCAAGAGTAGCATTCACCTGTTCCCAGCACTGTGGAAGCAATTCTGTTTCTGTTCTCATTTCCCCAACATTCCGCGATAGGCTAACACATGCCTGAGATAAACAGTAAAAGGACTCACGCTCAAAACCTTAAGAGTCTTATTATACGTTATGAAAGCTTCAAAGTTAATACAGTAACCTACATCCATAATAATCCGCCTCTGCTGTTCATCTGGACGTTTGATCAGGTTGAACAGTGTATGAGTCAAGGAATCTCTTGTACTGCTAACTGGATGCCGCTCAATTGCACACATCATCAGGGGAAGGAGTTCCTATCAGTCAAAGAAATCAGATAATTAATATTTCGTCAACTGTCCTGGCTGGTAAAATTGAAAAAAGAATTCAAACCTCTCGATGGTTTATCAGAACATACGGAACAATCTTCGGCAAAGCATCTGCAAGTATCTGAATCGTTCCTAAACCCTGTAAAGGAATGGAAAAATGAAAATATAAACATCTCATATAACATTTTGTGGACACAACATTAGCACAAGTATAGCGAAAGGAAAGCAGACAGCTACATTGGCTGCTACCATTTTTCTGATGACAAAAGAGGAGCTTTTAGAGTATTCAAAATCATTAACAAGAGGTGAAAATAGCAGAACATTCACGATATAAGAGGAAGCACTCCAAAGCATGATCAAGACTTGCCATTTCCTCAGAAGCAGCTTCACCATTTGCATTGTCTGATTTTGAATTAGAACCACGACCAATTCCAGGATCCACTTTCAAGATGCTTCCTAGGTCTCTGGATGAGAAATTGCCGTTTGATGGACTTAACAAATAGTTTGAGACTTCTTTCTGGTTCTCCAAAGTACCATTGTTGGCAATAGATATACTGTTGGCCTCTGCTGCCACCTCTCTTTGATCAGCAATAATATTCTTAACCTCTTCCACCACCAGATCGTCTTCTGTTTGTATGTGCCCTTTCTCAGCCAATATAGAAACTTCAGAAATCAAACCACCATCCTTTTCCACTGTTGGTTTTACAACTTCCTCTGACAGCGTGCTGATCTGTTCCTCGGATTGTAATTTTACAGGATCACCTTCATTCGATGACACATATTGACCAGCACGAGACCCTTCAATATGCATTTTAAGAGAAGTGATCTCAGCCCTACAGTCATTGAGGTTCCTCCTCTGATGCTCTGAGGATTGCTTCAAACTTTGCACCTGAATACTATCAGTGTCATTTCAGGTATTTACATTTTCAGATATGAAAGAGCCCGTTTCTTTAAGAAATCCAGTCTATAAAAATGACTACCTGCTTTTCTCGGTCCCGAAGATCCTTCTGAAGTGATTCTGTAGATTTGTTAAAAGCACCGATTTGCTCTTCGAAATTTTCTTTGCTCTTAAGTAGTCCGTCCTTTTCTTTGTTTAGCCTCTCAATCTCCTTTTTCAATGATTCATTCTCCTGAAGCATGGCTATTTTCTCCTGCATCCCAGAAATAGTGAACCATGAGAAATTCAAATTTAAAATGCATACAGAACATTCTGGTAGATTTTTATCCTCGCAAATGCTCAAAGTGCAACATCAATGGTTAACTGTGATTCTCAAATACAAAAAGTTACACGTAAAGCAAGCTCCCATTCTACATATTCACCCCACAATCAAAATAGCATCAAGTTTCAGAAAATAACTAAGGAAAAATGCAGAGGGCAAAGGAGAGAGAAGTTGGTTCTGTATAAGACAATGACGTCAAAGATCTAATTTCAAGGTATTGATCTTTCTGACAGCATCAGTTCAATTTGAAGTATTCACATGCACATTAAGCTTTCAGGAAGTAACCTCAGCTGCTTCTGAAGTTGATGAGAGGTACTGATAGTAATAATAGCGCAAGGCATCAGGTACATGTGCTGGACTGTCCTGCCAAACGTCCAAATTCTGGTCTGTCACCTGAGATAAACAGATCAGACATAATATTTACGAAGTTGCTCTAAATACAATACCAGCACAGACGATAGGTCAGACACTTCTGTTTCTCCTTCTAGAGTTGGAGTTTATTCAGATATGAAACTTAGTTTTGGTCTATCAACTAAATTAAAAATAGAAAAACTAACCCAAAACCTAACAAATATATCAACTCAAACCCAAACAAAAGACAGTGTCAGCAGCTTCTGAAAGAATATACAAAGCCGAAAACTAGTTTACCAAAATAGAGACGTCGATTTCTTCCCCTTTTTAAGGTTTTGAAAGTAAAAGATAACAATCTTCAGAAGAGTAAAAGTCATAGACAGCTTCACCAATCACCATAGATAGATACAAATCTAAATAGTTACAGAAATGGAAATGGAAAACGAAAAATTGAAATAAGCTACTAAAAAGCTCCCATTACTTTTTAGTTATTCTTCAATACAACTTTAAATGGGGTGGCAATGACGCCACAAAAGAGGCTAGTCAAGATTCCAAAATGGTGTTCGCCAATCAGACCAGAAAAACAGAAGATCAAAGATAAAAGAATTATACCTCCTCATAAAATGTCATAGCCGTAAGCCTGTAACCTGCTAGAAGAAGATATTCTTTCACTGCACAGTTTAAGTCTCGACGTTCATTGTTCTTCAAAGGCCCTATATCAGTGAAGGAAAAATCTTTCTTTTTCCGTTGAATCTCTGGCCTGTTGTCTCCAAACTCATCCGAGTCCAACTCTGAGAAATAACAAACACTATCAGGACATAGTTTAGTGATTTAAGTTACTACCATGCTGGCACTGATGAAAAATAACAAAGGATAAAACTCCTTTTCATTATATAAATGATGCTTGCAATTGCATACCTAAGCAGAAAATATCTCCACGGAGAAAAATGAAAGAAAAGAGGAGATGGCTGGCGCACAGGAACTGGAAAGCTAGACTAACAACTACTTATTGCAGAGAAAAAATCTAGATACATTCAAGTGTCTGCACTTGAGATCATCACTGAAGTTTCTGAAACCCTAATTACCGACTTCATGGCACAAAACATGAACCGAGTGTTTATGCATACAAGTTTATCTAAGTAGAAGATTTACTACGAGACGAGAAGAATAAATTTTTCAGTAATGGATTACCTTCTGACTTGTCAATGGAAGGATCAGATTTCTTCTGTCCTTCAGTTTTCAATCTTGTAATATCCTCCTGAGCTAGACGAAATTCATATTCGCTGATAGCTAACTTCTCAGCTAATGCTTCTTTCTCCTCCAATAAACTTTGTGGATCCGCAACTGCATTGTAGGGTAACAATTACTAGCTAAGCTACCAACCATGTTGTCTAAGAAAGACTAACGCTAAACGAAAAACTATATTATCAAAAACCTCAGAATGCGACACAAGATATGGCATGGGTTTGTTCTTGGTCATAATATTACCCCATTTACCAAGCTGAACAATCACCCTTCAAGAAACCTTCAATTATGATTGCTTTTCAAACTTAGACAATGAGAAGAACATCAAATTGCATGAAGAACAATTACATGACTCCACCATTCTCAGTATTTCTCAATCATTTTGTTAACACCTGTGGTTTTCACAACTTTGAAAACATGTCCATGATCCAACCTTTACACTTTAAACTACTTTCTGAATTAAGTAAGACCAAATAAGAGAGCCAATTCCTTCACACTATACAACAGATCCCCAAAAAGATCACTACAACGTAACGTAGCTCAACGACACTGACAGGGACGATTTAGCAGACAATTAACAAACAAAATAACAATGTGAGGCAGATACAAACACTATGCGGAGAATTGGCGAACCTCGAATTGAATTATACCGAGAAATCTGATCAGGAGGGAAACGGGAAGGATCGGAGAAGAACTCCTTAAGACGAATTGCTTGGGCATCGCGGCCATCGTCGAGGAGCTCGTGAAGAAGCTCAAACGCCGTCAAGAGGTAGTTCTCCTCCATCAGGAAGTTGACAAAAAAATTGCACAACGACGATCGCTCCGCGTCCATGTTTGTTTTCTTATTCTTTCACAGGAACCCCTAAAACCCAATCAGAGGAAACACCTCCTTCGTTCCAATATCACTGAGCATTCCGAAAGAGAATTCAAACTTTTCCTCTCTCGATTCGATCTGCTGAGCGATCGAATTCGATTCACCAGATCGTGTCGGTGTTCTCGCCGATGAATCTCACCGGAAGGGAGTGACGGTAGGAATCACGTGCGACAACGTAATGCTACATCGTGGATTAGTTGAACCAGATTGTGTAAACAGTAAGTTCTCAGGACACGTGGACGGTTCACATCACATGATCTAATGTTAATCCACCACAATCAAAATGGGCTGAGATTGGGCTCTTAAATTATAAAGTCAAAAAAGAAAGGTCAGTATTTATTGATAAAATCGCGCTTTGGGCCGAATAGGAAAAAGGGTTCCTCTGGATGCAGTTACTCCGCAAGAGGTGGTCGCTGATGAAACGCTTCCTCTGAATGCAGTTGTTTCTGCCAATGAAGAATTGGCTAAGGTAAAGAAAGAAGCTGAAGCTCTGGAAGCTGCGGTTCAGCAGAATTCGTTTTCTGATGGTGGTGATACTGGAGTAAAGCTGACTGAATTGTATGACAAGCTACATGAGTTGAATTCAGGTGCTGCTGAAGCTCAGGCTTCTAAATTCTTGCGGGGTCAGGTTTCACGGAAAATTTGCTAGCATGTCCAACTAGTGAACTCAGTGGTGGCTGGAGGAAGCGGATATCATTGGCTAGAGCTCTCTTTGTGCAACCTACTCTTTTGTTGTTAGACGATCGATGAGGATGGCACAGGCACAGGCCGCACAGCTTCAAGAATGTGGAGAGATTATAGTGTTGTGCTCGATTTTACAGAACCAACCGAGAACCCTCCTCCTCTTCTGCAGTTGATTGAGGTTAGCTTCTGCTACCCCAAAAGGTCGGATTTTAGGCTCTCCAATGTTGATGTAGGTATAGATATATGGGGACAAGAGTAGCGATAGTTGGGCCTAACAGAGCTGGAAAGTCCACTCTTTTGAATCTTGTTGCGGGAGATTTAGATCCGGCTGAGGGTGGAGTGAGAAGAAGCCAGAAGCTGAGGATCGGCAGGTACTCTCAGCACTTCGTTGACCAGTTAAAAATGGAGGAGACACCGGTTTAGTATCTTCTTCGTCGGCATCCTGACCAAGAGGGATATAGCAAACAAGAGGCTGTGTGTGCGAAACTGGGCAAGTTTGGCCTATCAATTCATAACCATTGCGAAAAAGGCTAGGGTTGTGTTAGCCTCGCTCGATCTTAGTGTCGAAGCCACCCATTTTGCTTCTTGATGAGCCAACAAATCACCTGGACATGCAGACTATAGATGCGTTGGCGGATGCACTATATAGGTTCAAAGGAGGAGTTGTGTTGGTGACTCACGACTCATATCGCGCGACTCTGAGAAAGAGGATAAGAGTGAAATTTGGGTTGTACAAGACGGTGCAGTGACTTTCCTTTCAAGGAACATTTGAAGAGTATAAAGAAAATCTCAAAAGAGAGATCAAAGCAGAGGTTGATGGCCCTATTAGACTCTCTCTGCAACCAACGTATTGGCCCGTCGTTTAAGCTCACTGGTTTATTATTATCTTTTGTTTTGGTTATCGTTGTATGCATTCCTCGCAACTTGGGTTTTATTCCTCAAATACATAGCATAACTTATCCCGCAGATTACCAATAAAATCATCGTAATATGTTCAGCTTATGAATAGAAAAAATTTCTCACCAATCAAAAGGACAAAAGAAGTACCAATATTACAAATTTCTTTACTGTAAACTTCAGAGTGTTACGACAACCAAGGGAGTAAAAGAAGGTGAAAAGGATCACCTTGACTGAAAGAGAATAAAACCAGAAGCATGTATATATGTGTGGAGACCAAAACAAAACTGTAAAACCAAATACCTGAAAGTGCAGTAACACGAGAACGGGTTCTAAGATCTCTCAAGCATTGTGTGTGTGTGTGTGTAACTGACTGAAAGCTTCGGTTAGCATAATGGTTTGATACTGAGACGGTAATGTGGGAGCTGGAGGCTGAGATTTGTAAATCTGAGCACGAGCCATATCGTTGTTGTCATCGTCGTCGGTGTTATAGATGAAAACATCTCTGCAAGTAGTACTAAGAGTAGCTTCACTTGATGTTTGTACCGATGAATCAACGGGATTGGATGGAGGATAAACCTGCGAGGAAAACTCTGGTGCTAGAGGGCTGCTGGTGCGGACCACCTGAGAATCAACTTGGTGAGAGTTTAAAACGGTGCCCGGTTTCACAGGCGGTGCTTGAACGTGCCTCGAACTGTATTGCTCGACTGGAATGTAATAGATTGGGTATGGTTGTGGCGGAAGCTGATAATGGATGTGGTTTGTGTGATGGTATGCTGTGGGAGGTAATGTCATAGGTGAGTTTCCGGTAATGTAAGGTTGTCCAGTGTAAATGACTTGGATATGTTGTTGTTGAGCTTGGTTCATAAATGGTGGATACCCGGAAATTGGGACTGGAACTGGTCTGTTTAGCTCAGCCTCATACACGTTTGAAAACGGTTTGTTCTCAAAAGCATGTGCTTGTGATGGTAGCTCGTGAGAAGAGATTGGGGTGACTGCAGTATTGTTGTTGCTGTTCATAGAGTAAGAAGTAAAGGAAAAATGGTTAACAGTTACAAAATGGCATTTGAACCAAACGAGGTTTAGAGGACTGGCATTTTCTCTACCAATACATACAATCCTTATGAACACAACTCAACTTCAAATACTAGAACAAATACAGTCTACGAAGATTACATCCGTAGCTGAATACCAAACGAGGAACAACATATCCCCGAGCACATTGATCCGAATTGGGAATTACCAAAACACAAGGTAACACAATCGCAAACAAGACAAACTACTGATGGCCTAAGCCTATGAACTCATTCACCGATTATATACATGAAGACGAGAACCTAATTCAACTACAGGATTATTCCAAGAATTCAGTTTTTTTTTCCAACATTACTTCAAGAGATAGCTTATATATCACCCCACATTTAAACTCGTTCTGCAACACTACCAAATTCATCTGTGTCATTTGCTAAACAATTCAAAAACTCATAGCACATTGCATTTCCCAGACAACAAATTGTGTAAATAAGTTTTAGAACGATTACGCCTAAAACTACTCGATAAAGCAATAAAATGGTGAAATCAAACAGTTAAGAGCATAGAAGAGTACCTTGTTACTGATTCTATTGGCGCAAATTTGACCTGTGAATTCGTTGTCTTGTCCTCGCCGGTGCTTTTCATTGGAGGTAAATTGCTAGAAGAAACCGAGGATGATGTCGAGCCAAAGGAGGAATTGGTGTCGAGCATCATCGACTCCTGTCCACAAATCCCGCCGTTACCATCTCCGCTTCCGCTACTGCCGCTATTATTTCGCCCAGTCTGCATCATCTCCGCACTCTTCAACGCGTCTACGAACCACATCTCCGTCTTAGGGTGCTGAAGTACTGGCTGTGTCAACTCCTCGCGAATAGGCTTGGACTCTTTAATTCCGAGCCAATCGATATCAGTCTCCACTTTACACTGATCTGAATCTCCCTGACTCGCACCAGCTTCTGATTTCAATGGGAAAAGAAACAATCGGATACGCGATTGGGGAATCGAAGACTCGGAGGAGAGATATCCGTGTTCTTCCATCATGATTTGAACATCCTCATCCGTCTCGACGGAGATAAGCGAATCCAGTTCCTGATCAGGAAGCTGATACTTAACCTTGAAAGGATAAGAGATTCCGAGCCTAACCGTAAGGTGGCTAACAAGAGAAGCGAAGCTCGTTTCCGCAGAGGGAGGAACGGCGACGATTCGAGTATCTCCGCCTACATAACGCGGCGATTTCGTCTGCGGAAGTGAGAGAATACTACCGCCAAACCTACACATCACCCGTAACTTTCCATTTCTTTCATTCTTCTTCAAGCTCGGTGTGACAATCTTCGCGTCTTCCGTTACGGCGGCGGAAGCGGATGAGACGGTGGTCATGGTGGTGCAATTTTTTGGGGGTTTTTTTTACTTCTGCTCTTCCTGTCTTTTTGGGCAAACGCCGTTTATAAGCGGCGAGTTTTTTTATCGAATCGAAGTTGTTTAGCTTCGCTGTGACGGTAACGCTATCATTAACTGAATGTATCAGCATAGAGATGTGGGGCCGTGTTATTCCCGAGCGCGTGACTTTTAAAACGGGTTTGTAACCGGGTCGGGTGAATAATAATCTAATACCGGGTTTAACCCAACCCGGGATAGTATTTCTGTTTTTTCAGTTTCGAAAAAATGTTAAATTAGTTCAAAGTTTAAACATAATTTTTAGTTTTATGGATACAATATTGGTTTGATAGTGCTGATTAGGGGTTGACTTTAGATTTATTTTTTGTTTCGTTTGAGCTTGACTTGGTTTTATAGCTAGTTCGGTTAAATTCGGTTCAAAAAAAGGATATTACAAATCAAATCAATTAAGAGAGCATGTAAAAACTCGGTTATTCATAAAGACAGACTAATCCTTCTGTGACTTTAACGATTAGAAAACTCATGAATTTATTTAGGGTTAGTGGTAAATAATAAAATGAAACTAAAAGTTACTAATTGCTTGGAGTTTGGTTTGTGTTTGATCATATTAAACTAAGTTTGTTTGGCATCAGTTCGGTTTAAATCCACACCCCTAATAAGTTGCCGCTTGCTTATGTGAAAACTAAATTTGGTATAACTTACGTCGATACTTGGCTTGGCTCATTATGTATAGCATGGATCGATTTTGACTTATTTTCCACAAGAATTCATCTAGCTTTTTCTCCATAATTTCGATACTAATCTTCAAATGAATCCTATATTAATCTTCAAAACTAATAATTAAAGGATTTATCCCATGATATTGAAAAATAAAGATTCGATTTCTTTCTCTGTACACGTTTCATATACGTTTCACTTTAACGTTTTATATACCAACACTAGATTTTACCCCGCGGTACACCGCGGATCGATTTTTTAACTAAAAAATTAAATTTTAAATTGTATTTTTTAATATTGTTTATTTTGTTAAGTGTTTAAGATTGTATAATTGTATTTTGATTGTTAATTTTAAGATTTCATCTGTGATATTAATACCGTCCCGTATTAATATCGAACCAAATCCGTCCCACTATATAACCCCGTCCCGTGAAATTAAACATCATTTTGTTATTTTTAATAATATTTTATTTAATAGACATATAATTCGAGTCAATTTAAAAGTTTGATTTTATATCTATATTTTTTAATTTTAGTTAATAATAATTAATTCTATATAATGATTTCTGAATTAATTGCGTATGACCGACGGTCAAGATTGAAGATTAAAAACCGGATTAATATTTGAATGGTCACGATTAAATGTAGGGATTGTTGAGATATTTTAAGGAAATCGAATTGAATATGGATGTAATTGTGGCAAGGATTAGTTATGCTTAATATATTATGTTAAAAAATTTGGAAATGATTTTTTATGTTAATATCTTTGATTTAATTTTGAAAATCTAAATAATTAATGTCAATGACATTTGATCGTAAATAAGTTGGAACTCCAGGATTTATTTCATAAATGTCTCCAAAAATGTATATATAGATCTTACCAAAAAAAACAATATATTTAAAATTGAAATTTACGTAACGCTTATACGTTAGAGAATCATAATTAAAATAACACTAAAAATCACCAGTTACCTAAAAAGAGGATCAAAATTGTTCTTATGTTCAACAAACATTACATGATCAGTAATGTTTAACATAACGTCAAGATAAAAATCAATTTAAATAAATTTCCTTCACTATTCGATTTTCAAGTGCAAGAAATCTCATTTAATAGTATTACCTAGTAGGCTCTTATAAGAGTAGAGCGACCGCCAAATTGGTAATGGAATACCAAAAATTAATTAAGTGACAAATTTTGGGAGATATAGCGGTCAATGACGTTCGTTAAGTTTTGATATTTTGGTGACTTCTCTTTTTCTTTTCTTTTACTTTTATTATTTAGTGACTCAATGTTACAAAAAGGAAAAACCAAACTTTGCTTTACGACAACTTTACTTTCGAGCAACATCCGGTATAGACCGTCTGTTACGACTTTACTCTCTTTCTGTTTATGAAGAATATTAGGATACCTTGTTGTGAATTTTCTTTCAGTATATAACTTGACATTTCTTGTGAAGAAAAATATTGTTTACGTCTCCAATTTTTGTTCGTGTCTTATTTCTAACAATGAAAAACATATTTTCCGTGGTTTTGGTTTTAAATGTACATTTCTGAAAAGAAAAAAAAAAAGAAAAAAAAGAGTACTCGCCATCATTTTAGTTATTTATTTCGAAAATTCTCATAAAATGTTGACTAGACAACCAATGAAGATATTACTTAAAAACAATAAGACTAAAACATCATGAATTGAATTAAAATCCATATATAAATTAATGAGATATTCCAAGAAATATACTTTCTTAAAAAAGTAACACAACAAAAATTTGGAAACGCCTACGAAGGTTTCTCTTTTCAGAATCACGTAGCACGATTATTAAATTAATGAGACAATGATTTGTATCGACTACCTTTAGCTACTAGCTAGTAAATATCGAACAATCAGAAATTGATAAGGGTTATAAATTACAGAGATTTATAATCAATGTTGTTTAAGTACGTACTCTTTAACAAAACAAAAAAGTTAAAGAGTTATCTATATATTCTCCACAGAAAAATGGCTTTTTCTACGGGAGTAATAAATAGGAAAATTAGATGAATCTTTCAAATAAAGAAAAAACAAACGAATTAATGACATATACTATAAATTAAAACATAAACAGATGTCCATGGTTGCTTAAGGATTAGTATAATTAATGACCGACGTAAATAATCAATGACAGGGAGAGATCACTCCAACTCTAGTCAACTCTTCTTGTATATATATAGAGACATATTCCTCCTTGTAACGCACAACAACAAGTACAAGAGAGAGAGAAAGAATCATAGAGATCTGTCGCGGATCGGAGAGAGAGCGAGAAAGAGAGAAAATGTCGATGGCTTTGCTTTTGACCTCGCCGGCGATGATAACTTCTCCTCGCCGTGGATCTTCTCCTTCTCGTCGTCTTCGAGTTTCATGTGTTACCACAAACCCTGCTAGGTAACGATTTATTCGCAATTTCTTCTTTTTTACTTATGTTAGATCTTCGATTTTCATCTAGTTCTTTTTTTTTTTTTTTTTTTTGTAGTAGTAGTGATATATTATTATGAACAGAAATTAGAGATATGCTCCTTAATTAGCATAAATCATTCTGCGTTTTCGCTGTCTTGTGTCTTCTATATATTTATCATGTGATTAAACGGGATCTAAATTATAATTACGTCGTTTTCTTAACACAGTTAGATAAATAAAAAAGTATCTCGCTTGCACTTTCTTTTAAGTAAAGTTTTTTACTGACAGTTTAAAGATTTATTTTATGTCATATTTTTGTTTTCAAGATTTTGTTTATTCACAATCGGAGGTCTTAATGTTTATTAACATGAGCACTCCTAATTTCTATGTCCAGTGGGACTATAATACTGTTTAAAAGACATTGGATTCCATGTATCTTCGTTAAATATCCCATTATTCATATTCGTATCATGATATCATCAACATTTTTTGGTCCACCTGAAAACTTTTCTATATTGCAGAATCACTACACTTTTATATATACACTTTATCTGTGAGTGTATGGATACGTTTGTGATTGGTTTCACACGGATCATGACATTAGGTGACCTTAAGATCCTATATAGAGAGATAAGTTTAATTGATTCCCTTTCAGATATTATTTGAGAAAACTTTAATCATTTTCTGGGTGAACTTAAATTAGTTTGTTTCTTTTTCTTTTTTTGGGTTCATAAAATCGTTGGGTCTGAAGGAAACTTTTTTTTTTGTCAGACAAAGTACCATTCGACTTTAAAAAGGCTGGGTTGTTTTCACAATTTTACCACACCATGCAAAATTATCAAACAAACGTTGTTGTTTTTTTGTTTTGTTCTGGTAAAACTGTACAGACGTTAGTTGACATATTAAAATCAATATACATCAACAACATCCAAAATTCCAATCTGGATATGGTGACACTACGTCTTCAAATAAAAACGATGGGACTAATATAGAGTCTATAGACCAATCAATATCATCAACATTTTTTATATAAAATAAAATGATTTCTTTTACGTTTCCTATTTCTTTTAATATATATATAGAAATACAATGAACTTTCTTTTTTTCTTTTTTTCGGCGAATATAAGGGAGTTTATGTCAAATTACATGTTGTGAAAGAACAACTTAACCACCACATTTATAGAGTTTATTGTAATTGTACTATTAACCCTTTTTATAGTTTTGTACTCTAAAAAGATATCGAAAATCTTTTTTTAAACGTACACAGGACCCATTTCTGTTTGATATAATTTTTTTACCTTTTTTTATAGGGAAAAAAACGAAACATGCAATCAGTTTCGACCTATCAAAGAAGTAAATAACCAAATAACACACACAATACCACAAGAAAAGCTTGAGATCTTCAAATCAATGGAGAATTGGGCAGAACACAAACTACTACCCTATCTCAAACCGGTCGAAGATTCATGGCAACCACAAGACTTTTTACCTGCGCCAGAGAACGACGACGAATTCTACGACCGAGTAAAAGAGATTAGAGAACGAACAAAAGAGATACCTGACGATTACTTTGTGGTTCTTGTGGGAGATATGATCACAGAAGAAGCACTTCCAACGTATCAAACGACGTTAAACACACTTGACGGCGTTAAGGACGAAACCGGTGGGAGTTTATCGCCGTGGGCGGTGTGGATTAGAGCATGGACGGCGGAGGAAAACCGTCACGGTGATTTACTCAACAAGTATCTTTATCTAACTGGTCGTGTTGATATGCGACATGTTGAAAAGACTATACAATATCTCATTGGTTCTGGTATGGTAAGTATTTCACATTTTATATCATTATATTTTTAAATGAAATTTGACTTTCTTAATATAATTTTTTTTTTTGGTCAATGTTTTAGGATTCGAAATTTGAGAACAATCCATACAATGGATTCATCTACACATCATTCCAAGAGCGAGCAACATTCATCTCTCACGGCAACACGGCGAGGCTAGCCACAACCTACGGCGATGTTACCCTCGCGAAGATCTGCGGCACAATCGCCGCCGACGAAAAGCGTCACGAGACGGCGTACACGAAGATAGTGGAGAAGCTATTCGAGATCGACCCCGACGGATCTGTTCAAGCGTTGGCGAGTATGATGAGGAAACGGATCACAATGCCGGCTCATCTTATGCACGACGGAAGAGATAACGATCTGTTTGATCATTACGCCGCCGTGGCGCAGCGAATTGGAGTTTATACGGCGACGGATTACGCTGGGATACTTGAATTTCTGTTGCGGCGGTGGAAGGTGGAGAGTTTGGGGTTGGGGTTATCAGGAGAAGGAAGGAGAGCACAGGATTACTTGTGCACCTTGCCGCAGAGGATCAAGAGGTTAGAGGAAAGAGCTAACGATAGGGTCAAACTTGGGTCAAAACCTTCTGTTTCGTTTAGCTGGGTTTTTGGTAGAGATGTTAAACTATAGAGATAATTTAAACAAAACAAAAAAAAAAACCCAAACAAATATAAATAAATAAATTATGTTTGTGATAATATGTGACTTGTGGATTTGAGTAACCAAACTATCTTTCAGTTTTATATGCTTATCTCACATTTTCATTGTATCCACTAATGTGATTGTGTGGGATAGTGTATGTTAGGCCTGGGCAAAATACCCGGAACCGAATACCCGAACCGAAAAACCCGAACAATACCCGAACCGAACCCGAACCCGATTTTTAAAAATACCCAAATGGGTCCTAACCTCCTACCCGAAAAAAACCCGAACCGAACCCGAACCGAATCCAATACCCGAATGTACCCGAATGTACCCGAATACAAATATACACCTAAAAATATTAGTTATATTTATATTTATAATACCGAAATACCTAAAATTACAATCATAAATCCGAATATATTAGGTATTTTAGATATTTTTGGTTATATTTGGGTAAAGAGTAACCAATGTATTTTCAAGAAATCGGGTATTTCGGTTAGATTTGGGTATATATGAGTTAAAAACCCGAACCCAACCCGAACCCGAAAATATTTCGGGTATTTTTGGTTATTTTCGGGTATTTTGCTTTTTTATTAAAATACCCGAACCGACCCGAACCCGAACCCGAACCGAACCCGAATTTTTAGAATACCCGAATGGGTCTTGACCCCCTACCCGAATAGACCCGATACCCGAAAAAAAGAACCGAACCCGAACGGGTACCCGAATGCCCAGGCCTAGTGTATGTATATCATGTTTTATGATCGGTTTATGCATTCAATTCATATTTTCGTTGTGAAGTTTTATTTTTCAGTATTTTAAGAGTGTTTTAGTTTACTAAGAAGCGTTTACTGTTTTTGTTTTGTTTAATTTACGCTCTTTTAGAGTGTTTAATTTGATCATAGTCTTGAAACAACAATTGGTCAATACAACAATGAGGATAATTATAAACAATGCAATATTGATCTTCTTTCTATCCCATTCAAGCCAGTTTGTCGGCTTCGCGATTATCATTATATAGACCATCTCGTGTGAGCAACTTGAACACCGATAAGCGATTGATTCAATGATGGTTTCCATTTTGACCATTGCATAGATCCACTACCTCCTGTTGTTGGAGTCTCCTTTGAAGATGACACATCTATATCCTCGTACCCCACATAGTGTTTGCAATTTGTAAAGCATGGAGCACTACCACAACTATATTATGAGTTTTTGTAGTTGCATGCAGCCGTGATGTGATGACATAATTAAAGACTTAGGAGAATCTCTTACTATCCATCCCGACCCGATAAAAGCGTTAGCATGCAACTTGGAAACTCGTGTGATAAGAAGCGTTTATTGTTATGAATTATGACGACATTTCAGTGACAATATTGTTTTGTACCGTCGTCATACTAAAGATCTTTGTCGCGTAATATGATTTTGCTTTGACAGCACAACAATACGACAAGCAATTTTGGGTTTCAAGCTGCATCGGCCCATGGGCCTATTATGTCTTTGACAAAATAGACAAAACAGGTGAAGAAAATGGCAGTGATGTAATAAGAAAAACCTAAGAGGGACATTTAAGAGACATAAAAAAAGGAGTCGTTTATGCAATAAATGCACACACACTTGTTGGAATAATCACGTTCCAGAGAGTTTTCTGAAATTGATCGTTTTGGTTCTTCACCTTTCCTTTATTTTGCTTTCTGCTTCCCTCCCTTAAATACACATTTCACTCTGTTATCATCGAAATTTTTTCTTATTTTGTCTCTTCTCAATCTCTCCTTTTTTTTTTTTTTGTTTCGTTGAGAAGAAACAATGGTTATGGCTATGGATCGGATCGCTTTGTTCTCTTCCTCATCATCTGTTTATCATCGTTCTTCTCATTCTCATGGCTCCAAATCTTCCAGAGTTTCCATGGCTTCCACTATTCGTTCTGACTCTACGTGAGTTTCTCCCTTCATTTCGAGAAATTCTGTTATTTTTTTCCCCCAAATTTTTCCTGATTTTTTTTCCCTTCATTTTCTGGGGTTTAAGTTTTTGCAGCGATGATCATTATCTAACATTTGATTTTTATATGCAATCATCTCCTGTTTCTGTCAAATATGTATTTAAATGCAGATTTATTTCGTTTTGCGATTGCTTATTATGGTAAAGCATTGGATTTATCCTTACGCTTGTGTGCTCTGTTCCACGTATTTCTTAAAATGATCATTACAGTTACTTTTGTCCTACATATTCTCAATTCAGTTTGTTTTCTGCTGAAGCTATGGACATGTTTTGACATCGCAAAACTCTTAATTTTTGCTTTATTTATAAATATTTGATAGGGAAATTAGCAATCTTTGTCTTTCTTGAACAAAATCAATATTTGTAATCACTAGTTTTTGAATTGTAATTATTTGACACTTCTCCATATGTGCATGCATGGATTGTTCCCTATTTTTTGAATTAAAATATCATTTAATTTGGTTGTTGGCCTATCTGGCTACAATGTTCCATCAATCCCTTCTTAATTTATTGCTAGTGTGCAAGTCTTTTTATATAAAATCACATCCCACAAGAAAATGGTTAAGGCTTTTTAATATTGTTGACTTTTGGTATATTGGGTTTACTCTATGTTTATGCATTTGCACACATCTATGTCTGTGTTTATATGCACTGTAGTTGGTCAAGTTAGGTCTGAAATGTTTCTTCTTGTGTTGCTTGTAATTTTGGTGATACTGTTTTGGTCAGAAGAATTTTTGATTTAGAGCATGCTTTGTCTTGTACTGCAATTGCCCTTCATTGTTGTTATATCATCCAGGGATGATGAACATTGAATCACGCATTAGCTTGTCTTTTTCTTTCAAGAAATTGATTATTCTCGTGTTGCTATCTCTCCTTTTTGGAGGTGTCTTAAAGACTATAACTTGTTTGCAAGTTGGTTAACTGAATAACACGAAACCTTATCATCTAATTCTGGTGGTTGTGTTAATAACAGTATTTTCAGTCTCTGAAGTTTCTTGTTCTATTAATCATTGTGTTAATGGAATTGCAGAGAGGATACAAATGGAAGGAAACCGTATATCCCTCCTCGAGAGGTTCATCGTCAAGTGAAATATTCAATGCCACCACAAAAGCTGGAGATTTTCAAGTCCTTAGAAGGATGGGCTAATGAGAACTTGTTGACTTATTTAAAACCCGTTGAGAAATCATGGCAGCCAACAGATTTTCTCCCTGAACCTGAGTCAGAAGGATTCTATGACCAAGTTAAGGATTTAAGAGAAAGATGCAAGGAGCTCTCTGATGACTACTTCGTAGTGCTTGTTGGTGATATGATCACAGAGGAAGCACTTCCAACTTATCAGACTATGATTAATACATTGGACGGGGTTAGAGATGAGACGGGAGCAAGTCCTACTCCTTGGGCAGTATGGACGAGGGCCTGGACTGCGGAAGAGAATAGACATGGTGATCTTCTTAACAAGTATCTTTATCTGTCTGGACGAGTAGACATGAGACAGATTGAAAAAACTATTCAATACCTCATTGGTTCTGGAATGGTAAGCTTAAGATGGCTAGCTTTTCTTATAAAGGCTGAACCAGCAAGTCTCTTTTTGTTGGTCGTATTGATTGTTTATTTGTTTTGTTTTGTAGGATCCAAAAACTGAAAACAATCCTTACCTGGGATTCATCTACACTTCTTTTCAAGAAAGAGCTACATTCATCTCCCATGGAAACACTGCCAAACTGGCAAAGGAACTTGGAGACTTGAAACTTGCTCAGATTTGTGGCACCATTGCTGCTGATGAGAGGCGCCATGAAACCGCCTACACCAAGATTGTAGAAAAGCTCTTTGAAATTGATCCTGATACCACAATCGTGGGCTTTGCTGACATGATGAAGAAAAAGATCTCGATGCCTGCTCATTTGATGTACGATGGTCGTGATGATAATCTATTTGATCACTTCTCATCCGTGGCCCAGAGACTTGGTGTCTACACTGCCAAGGACTATGCTGATATACTGCAATTTCTTGTGCAAAGGTGGAATGTGGAGAAGTTATCAGACCTTTCTAGTGAAGGACAAAGGGCCCAGGTAACAACATTAAAACCATGAAACCATTATAATGATTTGCTGTTTTTGACTTGAGAGTTTGTTCTGTAAAAACCTCATCTTGCATTAAGGAATTTACAAAACCTATTATATCTAGATTGCATTGTTTCTTTTGTGCACTTGAAGATTGTTTAGTCATCAAATTGGACACAAAATCGGACAGGACTATCTCTGTGGATTCGTTGGATTTTGGTACTCTTTATTCTGAATTTTGGCCTTTTTTGTTGAATTGCTTCGAACAGGACTATCTCTGTGGATTGCCTGCTAGGATACGCAAACTTGAAGAGAGGGCTCAAGGGAGAACCAAAGAAGCTGCAAAAAACATACCATTCAGTTGGATTTTTGGTCGAAAGATCAGGGCTTAAAAGAAGTAATGTTATGCTATTTATGTTGGAACTTGTGTAGATAAAGTATGTGTTAGGCTTTGCTTTGTTTGGATCACCACTTTAAATGACTTCCTCCAAAGAATTTGCTTTATTTTGACGATTTTATTTATTTATTTCTGCTCCTCTATTTGTTGCTACTTGCTAGTATTGTATCCAATTCTGTAATGTTTTTTCTGAATCCAATAAGATTTTAAAAGTATTAAGTTGTGTTTTGTTCTCTCTACTTCCAAATTTGTTTCCTCTGTGGTTGACAGAGCAATAATTACCTCACTTTCTTCATAAAATGGTTGATTTTGTAAAGGTTCAACTTTTATGCATCAAAGTTCCGATCTTTGTGTATCCGCTTGAGGAAACGCTACGAAGTGACAAATCATAGGAAAATACTATATATATCATTGACGAATTACATCAAACACTAAAAAAACAAATGAACAAATCACAATAATACCCACCGAAACAGATCCATAAAACCAACATTTGATATTGATCTAACTCAACAACTCTCACCACAAAACAAAAAGACACCAACTTTAAACTTGGAACGGCCATGGCCAATCCTTAGGATTCTCCTCACTCTGAACCTTACCAGTCCTCTTCATCGCAACGCCATCACCACCATCGACATAAGCATAGTACTTCAAGAAGAAAGCACACACAAGAACGATCCAATCAAGACAAAAGATCACAATACAAAGCCCACCACCAAGTTTCAAGATCACAGCCGCATCTTCCTCACGCACATACGACTTAAGACTCCCGAGGAACTTCGAAGTGTTGGTGAAGATGAGAACAGAGACAGAGCCTTGGAATATAGCAGTGAGCACAGTGGCCACCATGTGAGCAGCGTACCACCGGTTTCTTCCGCAAGAAGCAGCGGCGCAGCCTGAGACAGCGGCGGCGATTGTGGTGGCGTGGAGGAGGATGAGGAGGAATCCGCAGATGGAAGGGATTAGACGGAGAGAGAGTGTGAGGAAGATGCAGCTTGAAGCAGCGCCGAGAAGGATATAGTTGGAGAAAAGGAAGATCTTGTGTGTACGGTAATGAGACTCTTCTACTGGTGATGAAGAAGAAATGAAACCCATGATGAGTTTTTGGAAATTTCGGAGTTTGAGAAATGGGTTTCGTTTTCTCTGATGATGATGAGAAGAAGAAGAAGAGAGTGTGAATTGTGGATTTGGGAAGAGCACAACGAGTTTGTTTATGTAGGAAGTAGTGAAGAGAGAGAGAGATTGAAGAAGGTAAAGTTTCTAAATATGACCGTTGTCTGGATCTCGAACGGCTGTTTTTGTAACGGCTAGTTTTGATTTTCATAAGGTGGGCCCAATGATTGAGTATAATATAATAATAATTGCAAGGTGGGCCTAATGGGCCGTGTATTGGTTTATCTGAGACAAGGATAAGATTATCTCTGTATCCAAACAAGGTCAGGGTCCTCGACCGTCTTCCTCCTGCTTCCGCCATTCTTCGTCGTCTCTCGAACGCGTCACTCTTTTAGTCGGTTTTGTCGTTTTCTAGTATTTGCGATTTTTTGAAGGTTAACGAGAAACAAAAATGTCCGAGTCCGATAATCTTCAGCTTCCACCATCATCGACAGGTGAAACCTTCTTCTTTCGTTTATTCAAATTTTCGAGTTACGTTCTTCTTTGGTGTTTTCGCGAGACGTGTGTTGTAAAAGTAGCGGTTTCGTACAAGTTTTGTTAAGAATTTTTGTTGGAAGGGATTTCGAATTTGATTTTATTAGGAGAGAGTTCTTAGGGTTTAGAGGAGATTGATCAGATATGAAAAATTTGGGTGTATGGAGATATACCAATGCGTTGTTTGTAACATGTGTCATGGTTAAATTAGTCTAAGCCTTTTTGTGGCGATAGAGTTACATCTATACATTTGTTTTGTTAAAGCTCTGGGATGCTCATCTTTATCATCTGTATTTTCTTAATTCTAGGGGCAACAGTTGCAGCTACTGATGTTGGTTGGTACATTCTTGGTGAAAATCAGCAGAACCTGGGCCCTTATACTTTTTCTGAGCTTTGTGGTAAGTCTTTCATGTGAACAGATTTCCTTGTTGTAGTAAGGTTTATAAGACATATAGACTGTCTGTAAATTTGATTATGTGCAACGAACAGCTGGGTTAGAAACCAATTGGATCTATATGTATTTTCTTTTTATCGTTGTAATAGAAGGCTAGCTGTATTGAAATTGTGTCTACTGTAAAATTAGATATGAATTTTTCTTTCTAATATTTTGATTGAACAAGTTTTTAATAGCATGGTTTTAAGACAGTTTTCCGACCTGTACCTTTACTTGTTTGCTTTGACTGGGCAGACCATTTCAGGAATGGTTACCTACTAGAAACTACCCTTGTCTGGGCTGAAGGAAGAAGTGAATGGCAACCACTATCTGCCATTCCCGAGTTGATGTCAAGGATATCCGGAGCTGAGATTGTCTATCCGGCTGTAGGTAGGATCCTTTTCACCCTTGCTAGATAATTGAATTCTTGGCATTTTTTCTAGTATCCCATATCAGGGCACTTACTATCTGGTATCTGACCAGGTGCATCTGGGTTGAGAAATGGATCTAATGCTGGAACCGAGCAAGAGAAGCAAAATTATACTGGTTAGTTATTTATATAGAAAATGAATTCTCCAATGTTATATTTTGCAAAGTGTGGACGATGCTTACCACAGTATTTGGTTATTGTAGTCTCTGCTAGTACTGAGGATGAATTTGAGAAATGGCAGAGAGAGATTAAAGAAGCAGAAGAGGAGGCTGAAAGGTTGAAAAATGGTTCTGTCTCTGGTACTGAGCTTGTTGAAGATGATCATGAAAGGGCTTCTTCACCACCTGAGGGCGAAGATGAGTTCACAGATGATGATGGAACGAAATATAAATGGGACAGAGCTCGTAGAGTATGGGTTCCTCAGGTGAGGCTTTGTTTTGTCCGTCAAATCAATCATTCTTTCCCAGTATCCACTATTTTAGTGGGAATTCAGGTTATCCACCTGGACATCCAAGTCGGGAGTGGAATCATTTATATGTGTCATCTTGCTTGGTGGCTCCTGGCTTGACCTTTTCTGAAGAAATTCTCAATTACTATAACTATCTCCAATATTCTTATCTGTGTTTATCAAAATTGACTATCAGGAAACCTAACTAGCCTACTCATAACTTTTTTATAACCTAAGTGCTGATGCTGTTTATTGTAGGACGATCCACCACTGGGTAGCGTTGACCCGTATGGACTCGAAGAGATGACCTTTGCTAAGGAAGACGAAGTATTTCCAACAATTAACATTCTTGATACTTCTGTTGATAAGAAGGATGCCGCTAAGGATGATGTGGCTGGTAAGAAAGAAGAAGATGGCTCTGATGAAACAGCTGAAATAAACAGTAACGGCAAAAGAAAGCTACCAGAGCCAGAAACTGAAAAGAAGGTTATTGTTTTTGTCTTTTGTCTTCATTTCGGTTTCGTAACAATCATCATTTCTCTTTCTCGAGGTCATGCATATTACTTCACATTTTTTCACCAAATCATGTTTGTTATCACTTGACTCGACCTTGAGCTGTAAGTACTGGCTTTCTTGATTGGGGAGTATTGATTTTTCTTTAGCTGCTGAAATGTAGTGGGTAAATTATCTTTTGACCGATATGCACATCGTAAAGGGGAAAAAAAAACCAAATTGTTCTTAGACATCATACTTATATTAGGACTAGCAGAATACTTTTACCATCGTTTTTTGTATTTACTAATAATGGTTGTTTGTGTTGTATGAAACAAAGAAAAAAAGTTGCATTTCCTCATGAAAATTTCTGCAAGCGTTTCTAAGATTCAAATTCATTTACAGGAACCAAACAAGCCTCCAGATTCGTGGTTTGAGTTAAAAGTCAACCCACATATTTATGTTACTGGGTTGCCCGATGATGTCACCGTCGAGGAAGTAAGTTGTGGCCATACTTTTTCAACCATTGTTAATATCTGAAGCTTTAAAATGGACTGATAGTAGGGTATCAATTACAGGTAGCTGAAGTTTTTTCTAAATGCGGCATAATTAAGGAGGTAAATCTCACTATCTTGTGATTATTTCCGTGTTTTTTTGGAATCTTGTGTAAGCTCCCCTAACAATGTGGGTCTGATAAACATTGCAGGATGAAACTGGCAAACCTCGGATAAAGCTTTACAGTGACAAGGGGACAGGAAAATTAAAAGGCGATGCTCTTATCACGTATATGAAGGTAATGCCAATACTTGAAATTCTTCCGTGAGATTTATAAGGTTATGATTCTTAAATTATGTCTCTGTTTTCTCTTCATGTGTATTTGTTTTTCGTTTTCGTTAGGAGCCCTCAGTGGATCTGGCAATTAAAATCTTAGATGGGGCTCCGTTACGTCCTGCTGACAAGCTCCTCATGTCAGTTTCTCGAGCTAAGTTTGAGCAGAAAGGTGAATACTGTTGTACAATTGATGTATAACATCTTACTCGTTTATGGGTTATGTAAAACATCCCATCCGTGGCTTTGGTTTCGACAATATTTTGCTAATGGTTCTTATTGGCTTTTACTGTTTCTTTTTTTCCACTCAGGGGAGAGATTCATAACTAAGCAAACCGACAACAAGAAGAAAAAGAAGCTTAAAAAGGTCGAGCAAAAGTTGCTTGGATGGGGTAAGTTTTCGCTTTTGTGTACTAGAAACTTACCATTATCTCAAGAGAGACACAGAATAGAGAAAGATGCAAGGAGGTGCTAGAGATTCATTTCCGTAGAAACCATAGGAAAGTTTTTTTTTAAAGTTATAATTTCTCTTACTAGGGAAAGATGTATATGAGTTCTCTATGCTTTACCAGATTCTTTATGGAACTCTCTAAACTTAACCAGTACTTGCAAAAAGACTGCACTAGAAACCTCTAATCTAATCAATTTTGGAAGGAAACCTTTCAATGACTATCAAAACAAAAGGAAATTTAGGAACTCGATATAGGGCTTACAGAGATATCATTCATTTCTTCTTCTTTCTGATGACTTGTGATATCTAAACCGATGAAGTTGCACATTTTCCTGTTATTGAGCCAGTTTTTCCGCGCTATCATGTTTATTTAGGTCAGTGGCCATTTCGGAAGCATGAGATCAAAAGGGAACATTTAGTCATGTCGATATTATCTATTTCTGATTATTCCTAGTTGATTTTTTAGCATATTTAAAATCATAAAGAAATTATCATTTTAGTTGTTGAAGTTGGAAGTTGTTCCTAGTGGTTTCTAAGCATATTTATCGCATTTTCTCTATTTTCTTGACGTAGGTGGTACAGATGATGCTAAGGTCTCAATACCTGCAACGGTTGTTCTGCGCTACATGTTCAGTCCAGCTGAGTTGAGGGTAGGGTCTGTCCAATATGTTAGTATGAGAAATGTTACCAATTTTGAAAGTACCTGACATAGCTCGACCATTTACTCTGTTTGCAGACTGATGAGGATCTGGTTGCTGAGTTAGAGGAAGATGTGAAAGAGGAGAGTTTGAAGCATGGACCGTTTGACTCAGTGAAGGTAATATGATGTGTCTTTTTTATCTTAAGCTTGTGGTTGTGATGCATATAGCTTTGTTGAAAAGTTGAGATTATTTTGGAGTATCAATCGAATCTCTTGTTTTACAGGTATGTGAGCATCATCCACAGGGTGTTGTTCTTGTAAGATTCAAGGATCGGAGAGATGCACAGAAATGTATAGAAGCAATGAACGGTCGATGGTACAAACTCTCCTGAGTCATCATTTCCACGTAATTGCCATTAGAGTCGGTCTTGGGTCTGATATGTTGCTTACATGTACTTCTTTCTGTTTCTGGATGAATGCAGGTATGCAAAGAGACAGATACATGCGAGCCTCGATGATGGATCAGTGAACCATGCTACAGTTAGGGATTTTGATTTGGAAGCCGAACGGTTAGATCAGTTTTCAGCTGAACTCGAAGCTGATGAGTAAAAGACAAAAGCACAATGATCTAAAGCCGGGAAGATTTTGGATGATTAATCTGGGAAACTCAGGTTTCTGATGTAAATCAGTAGGCACAGGCACATCCGAATCAGACCAAGGCAAACCAGAGGACCGGTTTTATCTAGTAGTAGTATTTACCTGTAGTAAAATTAACGAATAAGACTGCACTTGCGAGTGTATTTTGATATTCGTTTACTAAAAACCTTACTACTAGGTAATACGATTTTATAAACAAAATTTAAAATCATAAAATGAAAAAGTTATGCTTCACTATATTCTTTTTCCTTATTTGTTAAATCATGATACTTATCAGTTTTTGTGTGACAGCATCACATGAAAAAGAAAAATTCTATCAATCATTTGTTTAAAATACTTTGTATTGTAGTTTGGGCCTAAATTTCACAGTTTTTACAGCAGAATGTTGTCAGACTTCTAATAACAGAATCTTTATTTTTCTTATTTCTAATGAAAATTTTGGAATTTTTTTCAGATTTCCCGCAATGAGGCAAAGAAGCCGCCGAGTTGAAATGTTTTGAAAAAATGGAAAAATATTTCAAGTAATAATTAAATGAAGTAAAATACTGTTGGGGCTAGTTGACGAAAACAAAATTGTTGAAAAAATGATCTAAATCTAAAGCTATGCGGGACCCGCTTATCTGTTAACCAATGAGAGAACGACGTATGTCACGAAACATGTGTTCCTTTGCCGCACCAAATCCCTCATTTAATCAAAAATCAACCAAAGATCCAAATTTCGAAACTTTTTAGTATTTGCATATCGCAATTTCCACAAATTTTACTGTTTTCGCTGTTGTGTCTGAATCTCCAAGAAGAAAGAGTTTTGTCTTAAAGGATTCTGCTTTTACCCAAATTGGGTGTTCTTTTTCGAAGTTTCTCCGAATTAGGGTTTCCGCGAGGACTCTGTTCAAATCGAGCTGTGTGGACTTGTTTGAGCTTGGTGAATTCCACGGTAATTGATCTACCCTTTGCTCTGTATTCTACTTACGAAAGCTCGCCAAGTAGTCTAGGACTCTCTGCTCAGTGGCAATTGTTGTCGGCTTGAGCTAATTTCGATTCTGTTGTCGAAATTTAGAAACTTTTTTTGATTGAAGATTTCTTCGTATGTTACTGAGGTGGAAAGGGATTTTGTTGTCTGATCAGTTTTTGAAGCTCAATTTCTTGCGGTGAAATTCTAACAAGTTGGTTCCTTTTTGTTAGGGTTTATTTGGTCTAGAGGACGAGGAATGTTTTATTCGCAGTTTATATTAGCTAAGAAAGGGCCACTTGGGACAATATGGATTGCTGCCCATTTGGAGAGGAAGCTTCGAAAGAATCAGGTCGCTGATACTGATATTGGAGTCTCCGTTGGTGAGTATTTGCTACTTTTGCTTTTGTGTACAAATCTCTGATTCTGGTCTCACTACTTTGAGCTCATTAGGGTTAGCAGAAGCTAAATTTTCCTTCTTTTTCAGTGGTTATGTGGCTAAACTAGTTCATCCAAAATATTTCCTAATATAACTAATTTTTTTTCTGGGCAGATTCTATTCTCTTTCCGGAAGCTCCAATTGCATTGCGATTGTCTAGTCATCTTCTACTCGGTGTTGTGCGTATATATTCGAGAAAGGTGAATTACCTCTTCGATGATTGCAGTGAGGCATTGCTTAAGGTAAAGCAAGCTTTTCGCTCTGCTGCTGTTGACCTACCCCCTGAAGAATCTACAGCGCCATATCACTCAATTACGTTGCCTGAGACTTTTGATCTTGATGACTTTGAGCTTCCAGACAATGAGATCTTTCAGGGGTTGGTTTCTTGATGTTTTAATATTCAAACTCGTATTCCACTCTTAAGCCATTTTGCATAATTTATTTATTTGTTGCTCCTTGTTTTTCCTGTCTAGCAGTAATTACGTCGATCATCATGTTAGTACAAGAGAGCAGATCACCCTTCAGGATACCATGGATGGTGTTGTATACTCAACGTCACAATTTGGATTAGATGGTCAGTGGTTGTTTCATACTTACTTGTCTTTAGTTTGTAGGTAGCTATGCCTTAAATAAGCAAACTCATTTTTATACCTTTCCAGAGCGATTTGGTGATGGCGACACTTCTCAAGCTGCTTTGGATCTTGATGAGGTATTTTTGTGTTCCTATAGCAGAAAATTTCTACTTTGTTCAAGTCATTTTGGAACAAGAAATAGGATAACCATATAGAAAGATGAATATGAAGAGGTTATCTGTAGATTTCATTTGCTTTTAGATTTTGGGTTCTTTCTCTCCACGGTTTGGGTAGACGCAGCAGCTGGAAGCTCTGATTGGCATTCAGTTGTAGAGTCCTGGACCGTTAAAAGGTTGTAATTTGAAGTGTCAGGTTGCAGTCATCTTGCAGGGTCAGGATGATATTGATGTTTTCTTTTCCTAGTGAAGATTTGCGTATTGAAATCAGAACTTCTCTCTTATTATTTAATTTTGGGTGTGATCTTTTATTATCCCTCTACTGTTGTGCAGGCAGTATTCCAGGATAAGGATGTTATTGGATCCGACGATGAGGGAGTTCCTGGGTTAGTTTTTGTTCAATATCTATGCTATATTCCTTGTAGCATAATTGCATTTTTGCTTCACTATGGTACCTCTCAAATTAACTATCAAAGGGCCAGCTTGATCTTCTTTTCTGGAGCTGTTCATTATCTTTTATATTTTTTCATACGCTACTTCAGATTGTTATCATAGATTTTAAATGCTTCACATGAGGGAAGAACTCGAGTTGACTGAATGATAAAAAGCTTTGCGTTTTGGCGCTTGAATGTGTGTTTTCAAGCTTTGTAACCATGCTTTTTAAGTTCCATGACATTCATACCTTGATTTTGTGTTTGTTCTGTAATTGAATTGTGAGTTTGAACTGCAATTCTGTGAGTCTTATCCTTCTTGGATGTGGACCTTTGGTGCATAATTTGGACGTGCAAGTTGCCAATCAAAAGTCTTACTTATGGAAGATATTCTATTTGTTGATAGTAATGATCACAATGCGTATCTGGATGCGGCAACACCCGGGATAAAGGATTCGATGGAAGGAGTCTCTGAAGCCATGCCCAGGGATTTTAATGAAGAGCAGGTGCGTAGCATCATAGACATAATGCACGAGGTGCATACATATAGTTGCTTAATAATTGTCACCTGAGTCACAGTGCTTAATTCGATATATTTTGCTGTGCATTATGTCTTAATGTACTATGCAATTACAGACTCCAAATTTACAATTTTATTTACATCAGATTTATTGGCTTACTTTTCTGGTAAGACTATTGGATAGTATTATTATCAGTATTTCTTATGAATCTCTCTTTTTGATAGGTTGAAGATCTTGCTATGAATAATGAGTTCATCGAAGATGCTCAAGCTCCTCAAACTCCTGGATTAGTTGAGGTGCCAAACTCGTCTAGTGTCAGAGAGCAGCTGGCATGCGATGATCACATGGAGGTAGAGGATCTGAATGCAGAAGAAGGTAAAAAGGCCTCTGGGGAGCTGGATGCTAATGAGATGCATAAACGTGGGGAAGACCTGTCTTCTGAATATAATGCCCCAGAATCAGCAGTTACTCCTGTGGAGGTAGATAAGTCACAGATAGATGAAAATGTCAACACACAAAATGAGCCGGAGGAGGAGAGGGCAGAGCATGTACATGTTACATCTCCATGTTGTTCTCACATCACCACCGAGATGGAGGATCCTGGTCAAGTAATGACTGAGGCAGGAATTAATGTTAATAATGTTGTAACTGATAAGTCCGATGCTGTTCCTCCACTTGAATCTTCTGGAGAAGAGAACCGAGGTTTGTTGGCAAAGAAAATTGCTAACCTAATACGACATCTTAGTGCCTGCCTTATTCTTATAATTTTTATTGTTGCCAGATCATTTTGCCATTGCCACTGAGGTCAATCAGGAAACAGATTCTAGTTTACAAGGAGATGAGCAAGCGTACAGTAGACCAGATGGGCAGCTGAATAATGCACACGTAACTGATGAACAGTTAGGAAATTTGACTGGATTTACTGATTCTGATTTGCCAGCACCTGAGAAGGTATTAGCTGCACCTAACAGACAGGGGGATGGAAATGATTTCATGGTTGAATCTACGCCAGATAAAGAAGACCCTGGCACATGTAATGATGATGCGGGGAATAATAACATTACTGGGAAAAAACGCACTTTTACTGAGAGCACACTAACTGCAGAAAGTTTGAATTCTGTGGAGTCAGTTGGACTGATTCAGTCAAAGAGAACTGCAGATTCTGTCCCTGATGACGATGATTTGTTGTCTTCTATCTTAGGTATCAGTTTATTTTGGTTCCTTTGTCTGTTCTTTTATACATTCTATTGCTCTTTGAGCTAGCTTTATGGATCAATTATCATATACTTTCTTTTTTCAGTTGGAAAGTCATCCTTTCTGAAGATGAGGCCTACGCCTGTGCTTGAACCAGCATCTACAAAACGGTTACGAGCTGCTCCCCGCTCTACTGCCACAAAGAGGAAGGTTTTAATGGATGACCCTATGGTCTTGCATGGCGAGTATGTTTATCTAACTGTTTTCTTATACCTTAGTTTTTATTTCATTGCTCCAAGTGCAGCTAGAGTCAATGGTAAATTAGTGTGAATTTTGAATTCGTTGGACCAAAAACTTCTGGATGCTGATTTTTTCTTTACTGTAATTGAAGTTTGGTCTTCTTTTAAGTTTCACCCTTTTAATTACCTAGGAGCGGTATTTCTTTTACCTTATCACAGTTTCTATTTGTTTTCATCTGATGTTACCTACTTTTCTGTTTAGCATTATACGTCAACAACTGACAAACACTGAAGATATACGCCGGGTGCGAAAGAAGGCTCCTTGCACCATTCCTGAGATCGTAATGCTTCAAAGGCAGGCTTTGGAGGATGGACTCTTAAAGGAGCCAATATTCACGGGTAAGTTCATGACGCTAAAATGTAGACTGTTGTATACACGCTCTGTTGATTGTTCTTATAATCTGCAGTTACATAGGTAATATTATTAAATGATTTTCAGGTATGTCAGTGGAATTAGTATCTCTGCACAATGAGCCGTATGATCTAAGAGGAATCATGATAATTGAGAATGATGACCGTCATGCTTCTGTTGGAGTGGTGGAAGATAATGAATGTTCTGTTACAGCCGTGGAAGAAAACTCTGCTCCTCAACCTCACCCAAATGATTCCGAGGAGCAACCTGGTACAGCTCATACTCACCCACAGGAGGAACAAATCATAAACCAACAGGAAGAGATGAAAGATGATAATGAGCTTGCTGAAAAAATATCTGACTTGGAAGTTTTGAAGGACGTCAATGGAGCTGCTGATGAAGTGAATCTTGTAGTGAGTGACGATGTCAGTCAAATGCCGTCTGAGGAAAAACTCGACCGTGTAGAGGATTTACAGGTGGAAGAATCCCAGGAAAACCATGATGGAGAAGGTGGGCAGGATGTTTGTGCGGATCTTAATGAAAAAAGTTGCACTGACGTTATTGAAATTGCTGAAGGCGATATAGATAGCAACCCCATTTTCAATGAGATGGACTTGAAAGTTGAAGATGAACTTCCACATGAAGATAAGAAAACGGATGCATCAGCTGAAGTTAGCGAGATTGGGATAGACGAGCGCACGCCATGCGATAACACAGTTGGCTCCACTGAAACTGGATGCGTAGAAACTGGTGATTTGAGTAATATGGCTTTGGAAAATTGCAATGAACCTCTTGTGGAAGCGAATAATGATGGGTTGAATCCAGAGATAGAGTCTTATAACAAATACGAACCGCATAATGAGATGTCTAATGAGGAGGCTTATATGCAAAGTGCACTAGATGGAGAACATACTTCTCGTGATGGTCTTATGGGAGACAATGATGTAAGTTTCTTTGTGTCGTCATATCCTTATTCAAGTAAGACATGCCTCTGACTCTCTTGTTATCTGATGTAGGAAATGGATACCATGGAAGTTGGACACGACACAGGTTCTAAGCCTTTTCGAATTTTCAATTAAATTTTTTCCAAATGGTCTGTATCCTCTTCATTTGATCAGTGGGACTAATATTGTGGTCATCATAGCCTGGTTTAAAACTGGACTAAACGAGCTTAAACTCTAGAGCATAATTTGGAAACAAGATGCTGCGACTCCCATGATTTCTCAATGGTTCTGCTTATTAATATCTCACATTCTGTGTCTTCAGGATTTTTGAACGTGGATGATGATGAAGTAGATGAAGATCATGAGGACGATGACATACAATATGGTGACGAAACTCGTCTTCTAGAGAACAGTGGATGGTCTTCTCGTACTAGGTCTGTACAGTTATTAACTATTCCACATTCCATAAACTTCCTTAGATTCTATCATGTGAGAGACGTGATTGGCTTGAATTGTGAAAGATTCTGATTCTCTTTACTTATAGGGCTGTGGCAAAGTATCTCCAGACGTTATTTGATAAAGAAGCTGAGAATGGGAAGAATGTTCTTGTGGCAGACAAACTATTAGCTGGGAAAACCCGTAAAGAAGCATCGAGAATGTTTTTCGAAACCCTGGTATGTCCATAACACAACCCTGAACAAAACAAAAAGCTCTGATCTAGAATCTGTCTTATTGTTTTGCCAATTTTGCAGGTTCTTAAAACAAGAGATTACATCCAAGTTGAACAAGCGAAGCCCTATGAAAGCATCATCATAAAACCACGACCAAAACTCACCAAATCCATCTTCTAGATGGAGAAGATCAGTCTTAGATAGGTAGTTTGGTCCAATCCGAAAATATCATCCGAAATGATTCTACTTCTCCAAAGTTAATACACTTCCCTTTTAAGGCAATGTAGTAGTAGTAATAGTATCAACGGTGTTGTAGACCATCTAAGTAGCTGGAGATTGGTGTTTGTCATTATTTTTACCTATATATATATGAGTTGTTGTATGTGTATAGATTGGTGTAACCATGAGCACCAAGTTTAAATTTGAGAGATGCTAATTTTATTTTCTTTGGATAACCCAAGTTGTCAGGTTTGTGATATTGAAACCTGAGGAAACATTTTATTCAATAAATAGTACTTTTCATATAAGATTAAGTCTACCTTCTTGTGAAATGAAATTGTTTCCTCAAATTTGTTTTGGAGTAAACGATCCTTTTCCCCATTATTAATGATTTAGAGGTAAAATACACGAATTCAAGAATAGAAGATTCGAACGTACGTTGAAACAAAAAATGGCAATTTTAGTATATTTGTTTGTACAATGACATTTTTTAATTTTACTTTTAGTTAAACACTCGACTTTGCTTAAATTTACGAGAATTAGTAAACATAATACGGTTTTCAACGTCATTTAATCCTTCAGCAAATCCAAGTTTGTTCTGCATTTCCAATTTCTCAAAATTTTATCTTTTATAAATCACACAATCTAATTAATAAACGAAATAAATTAACTCCGCTAATAAAATATAAAGTATCAAGCTTAAATAGGCCAGAATATATATTATTCCACAAAAGATTCAACTTTTTTTCCTTTCGGCGTAAAATAAAATTAATCTTTTTCCTACTAGAAGCATTTCTTACAATCAAAATTTAAAAATTCAGACGTAAAAACCAGCAAAATGAATTCACAGAGGACAATGACACATCATATAATAGAACATTCTCATGCTTAATAATGGAGATATCCAACCATTAGAGTGAACTATAAAAAGCTCACTCAGACTGAAGAACAGTAAGGTAATAAGGATAACCTTGGCATGTCCCTGATGATGTTGCACTTTCATGCTCAGATAGCTCCCAGTTAAGTTTATATGAAGACAGATCGTAGATACCTGGAGAGAAAACTGATATCTGCAGCGGGATTTCGGTTGTGGATAATGGCTGGATTTGGACCTTTGTGGAACTTAAACCTGACCATATGAATGGAGGTGAGCTTTCCATGGAAGATGGCGGTTTTCCCAGGCGGCTTCCCATTACATCTGAAGTTAGTTTCATTTCCTCTATTACGGTTGGCAGGTAGCGCCACCCGGATTGGTTTCCAGAGGAAGAAGTAGGTGCTGCTGCGTCTGGTAGACAATCATTCGTGTTGATGGTCACAGATGATAATCCATCAGATGTGTTTCTGATTACCATCTTTAGTTTTATTTCACACAAGGAGGTCAAAAAGTCGTGGTGTATGGTTTGGGGACCGTCTAGTGACCACGAGAGCGGACTCGAGCTTCTGATACTGTAATTGAACAACAATGGGATTAGAAGTGGACAATATGTTTGAAAACTGAAGAAATATATCTTTGCGGGTACTTTACCTGTTATGGCATGAATGGTGAGTCAAAATCTTTGGTAAATCGGGAACTGCTGATGGACTGCTGCTTTTAGCCAGGCGAGAGATTAGAATGAAGTCAACGGTATTTGGACCTACCTGTTTCATCATACCAATGTGAGTTCACTACAGTTCCGATAATAAGTTACCAGTGAAGTGAAACTGTGTTCAAGAGAGTAATATATATTTCCAAAAAAAATCTCTAGCGCATAAGATTTATGTCCCTGAAAGAGGATTTTTGCTTACCTGAACCGAGGGTCCCTGACATGACCTTTCACTATCATGGAAGCTTGCTAAAGGTGAGCTAACGATATCGAAAAGCTTTTCATCGTCATCCTGAGTAAACAATTTTACGTCGGTTTGGCTGGGAGGAAGGGACATGGTTTCCTCGTCTTCAGTCCCGGATTTTCTGCAATCCTGAAAGTTTAACCAACATTCTAATTTCAGACTTGAAAAAGAGAAAGACCAAACTAGCTACTAGAAATGCATTTAATGAACAACCTTTATCATGAAGAAACAAGATAAAGCTTGCCCAGCGAGTAGAGACTTGGAAGGTAAGATTGTATCAACAGGCTGAAGCAACGAGATACCCCACCGGCTCCCAACTGTTGACAATTGGTGAATTTGGAAACAACCTGAATTCGCACGGTTCACGATATCCATACGCACAAGAAATTCTTGCAATCTTGATGGAGATGGGGTGATTTCGAATGAGATCTGTAGAGACGGTAAAACCTAGATGAAAATGTACGATATAGAAATGGTTAGTCTTGTTAGCCAATGCAAATCTGCATATACCATAATCAAATTCTTAACAAAAAACAAATGCAGCCTATCATCACCTGCAAATTATAATGCATCCTTAGGGTGCGGTATTTCATGATGCTTGATACATTTTCCATCTCATAGTATATTGTAAAATACAAAGATATCGTTCCTGGGATGGCAGCTCGAAGCCAAAGAGGCCACCTTAATGATCTGTCTCCTTGCAGTGATACATCCTGAAAGAGATCAGCATTCAAAACCATGTTAGAATACCCTAACATGCACATTCGTCTTTGAGGCTTGAAGAAAAGGTTTGCCACAGACCTTTGGAAAAGCAAATACACTACTTGTTCTATTTGTTTCATGCTGAACAATATTTTGTTCATCGCCCTTCTTTAAGCAATCTGGAAATTCGGTTGCCAGCTCTTCTTCATGATTTCCAGGACTTACAAATCTTGGATGGCTAATCTTCATTTTAAGATTCTAAGAGGACAGACAGACTTTGTTAGCACAAGAATAATCCAGTGGATAGTTTAGCGCACCAGATTATCCGGTCATCAAGCAAAAATTAATATGATAAACCAGACCATAACAAACTAAATTCATAGAAAAGTAACATCCACACAATAGCAGAACAAAATGAATTAACTGGCAAAACGGTAGAGAACATGAATGATCAGAAAAGAAAAACTACCTTTATTGGGGATTCTGACTTATTTCTTAACTCTAAAACAAGATAACGTAGATCTCCAGCATACAATTTCTCAGGCAGATGATCAATAGAACCCTCAAGCCTGGGTAGACTCTGCACAGTCAAACTTTCTAAATTTTAGAGGTCGCAACAAATCATAAAAAATTAAACCATAAAGGAAAATGTTGCACCTTGATGACTAAAAATTTCAACGCATCAGTGGGTGTAAGTTTGTTTTTCCTTCTTCCTCTCGCAGTTTTTGCCTTTACAGGCACAGATTGGAAGTAATGCACACCTACGATGGAACCAGACAACTCCCACCTTACACCGACAATTTTGAGGATACCTTCTTCACTGGGGGTAACAGTGAGTCTCACCTAGAAGAAAAAATCAAAACAATAAGTAAGACGTAACAAACAATTACAGGCTACATAAAACCTCAGAACTTCACCAAGGAGATACAGGGATCAAGGAAATTCAACATAGTGTCTTTAGGTTAGTAGCAATGAGGTATAGACTCATATTTTCAGTAACTTGGCAATCAATAGAGTACGACTTGTTGTTTGGTTTCTTCGCACAATTGACCAAACAATTAATTCATAATTGTCTTCTGAAATGAAAACACATGCAATTAAAAATCCTGATTAAGCAGAGTAAAGACCAACAACTACAAGTGAAACATCAAGATTTTATAAAACATGTTTATCTATATGCACAAGATGAAAATTTTCAGGTAGAGGAAGATTTTAAATATTAGAACATATCAATCAATCTAAGTATCTAATTCAGACTCACCAATTTTTTCTCGCCTCCACCTAATGTGAACTCCACTTCAGACAAAGTGAAAGAAGAAAAACCGGAGGTTGTAACCCTGTGGTATTGTTGACATACATGGCACATCTTAATCATTTAAATATAGGTCAACAAATTTGACAGAAACCTGATTGAGGAGATTAGCTGCTTACTGATTATGTTCTGTGGAAATCTCAGGACCCAAGCTTGAGCTACTTGGCTCATTATCTACTTTACAAAGTCCAAATGTGGAGATAAAAATCGCATATACAAACTGAAGGATGTAAACAAAGTTATAAAGTGAACATCAAATAACAGAAACAGCTTACCTAATTTTAGGTCATCAGAATTTGCGGTAAGTTCACAGATTAGAGACACACTTGTTATGGAAGTAGAAATTAGCAACGGATTCTTAAACTCCAGATCCACTTTCACCGACTCTGAAAACAATGAAGAACAAGTAAGAATCCAAAATTACAAACATTTCCAGACATGCTACACCAGAATATCATGTCCTCAACAAAATGGAAATGTATTGCCAAAAAAATCCCTTATTTGGAAGAAGCACAAGTGATAACATTTACAGATACTATGATATCATAAATGAAGAAACATGATACTCCCTCTCTCTCTCTTCCATATATCCTCTACGAAAAGTATCAAAGTTAGTCGTTTCAAAGATATCCATTTTCAAGGGTCAAATCAAGACCATAGATCAAATTGAAATATACTGCTGCTGGCAGCATAAGGCAAAACAGATTTTGGACATAACTGTGCCTACTTTAGCTGGACTAGAATGCATTATTTTAGCCTTCGGGCTTCAAGTATAAGTTATATGCAGGATAACTGTAAGTAATATTGCGTTTGATTCAGGTAAACAGTAAATGCAGCTAATAACAACCTGCATACCTCCAGCGACACAAACATTTGATTCCTTGTATTTCTTTGGCAGAAGCTTTGACTGTAACTCCAGCCAATTTGACTTGCCAGAATTTAATGATGGAATGATATCATCCTCCAGTGATTGCCAGATGCTCTCCTCTACAAGAGCCTGACCATATGACATGTGAATCATAGTGGTACTCAGGAGATGCAAATGCACCATCAATGAAAAAGAAACATTTGAATGATGCACAAAGATTATTTATTTGCAAGTAATCCAAAAATCTTAACCAGAAATACTGATGCCAATTATGTTGTTCATAATGGAGTATACATCCTAGGAAGATTATGATGGGGAGCAATATGTACATACTTCCAACGAGTGAATATGAAACTTACAGAAGCTTGAGATGCATAAGTGCGATGGTCTTCATATATAACTTGAAGAGACAACATATTAATAACTGGTAGTTGAAGTCCCACCACCTCATGCTTCATTCCAGTTTTCTTCAAAATAAATATGAAATTAAAAACATTTTTTTATAAACAAAGAACAAAGAATTGAGACCAGAGGTAACTATTGGAAGCACTATCTTTTTTTCTTAGCAGCTTCAGTAGAGCGTATAAAAGCGCAATTATAGGCTAGGCACCTTAACAATGTCGAAAAAGTCCCTGAGAAAAATTTCTTGGGTTGCCTTGGATTGGTAGCCACAGTCCAGTACTTTGAGCATGTTTCTAACAGCAACATCATGCATCCCAACAATTGCATACCACCTGAACAGATATTATAGCAAGTTTTAGACCACAAATTTCTAAACTCCACATCTTACGAGACTTACATTCACCATATTCAAAACTTACTGTCCAATATGAAAATATACATGATCTTTGATATGGCTCCATGTAGTTGATTTATAAACAGAGATTGCACTTTTGTATGTACGAATTGCATGGTTAACCTGGAAAAGGCAAACAATATGTGTTCTTAAGAATGCAAAGCATGTACGAAGCTTGAGCTCTATCAGCAAAGTGACATGTACCTGATCACAGTTTTTATAGTGTTCTCCTGAGAGAACTAGATGAAATCCATACTTGTGTAGCATCGCTGGCTTAGTTAACACGAAACAGTAAGAAGCTTGCTCCAACATGACTGCAGCGTGCAAGGGTTCCTGCAAATGAGTAAAAGTTAGCAACTGTAAAAAAAAATGTGTATGGTCTGAAGGCATATAAAGAAGCACCTCTCCACATATGCGGAAGTAAACAGAAGCAGCTTCTTTGTGCTGATCTCTAGCCTTTAGCATCTCTGCCCACCAGAGCCCACATCTCGTAGCATTTTGGAAGCCAGACTTCCCAAGTTTCTGCATGAAATTTTTAAAGCATGTTTCACCACATACAACAGCGTCTTACTTATGTTAAACATTTAGTATTTCAGTTTCATGTTTTGCTTATAATAAACACCAATTCAAGTAATTGATGATCATTCACTAAAAGAACCGTTATCGATTAAAGAGTGGGTTATAAAGACATACAATATAAGTGCTGAATGCCTTTTCCATGTAATACTCAGATTCCTTTTTTGACTGGTCTGAGATGAAAGTTGCAAGTCCCATCATTTCCTTCCAAACATGCATGAAAAGATGAGTAGTCCGCCCAAATTTTAGCAAAAAAAACAAAGGCCCATCAATGATGAACTATTGAAGTAACCACAGGACATAAAGTGAAGAATAATGAAAAATAAAGACCACAAAGCAGTTTGATAATGTGGCAAGCCTATACTATATGTAAGTTTCTAAATACAAGACGAATATTAAATTTCAAATAATGCCACAGGAACACCTCTACATTAACATAATTACAAAGATGTGAAGCTACCTGAACACCAGCATAGTGCTTCCATGCTTTATCGAGATTGTAATCTGTTGATATTAACTGATAGCTTGACAATGCAAGTTCATAATCATGCAACATGAAGGCGTAGTCACCCAAAATTCTAATTTGAGATTCGGTGGAGCTATATGTATACCTTCAAAAGTGGAAGCAAAATCATTAGAGCTTATAATTATGTCAAGGTAATCATAAAAGGAGCAAGGAGTTCAAGAAAGCATACATAGAACCTTTGGTCGCATCCGGACCATCGACTTTTCCTTTTCTAAAAAAGCTTTTAAACTGGTTTCTAAGACCTTTCCTTGTTGCAGAAATCTAGTGACACAACAAAATGCAAACTAAACGATAAGGTAAGAGAACAACAGAAGCCTAATTAAAGCGCACAGATGACTTGTTAGAGTATCTAAAGCTAACCTGTTGATTAAGTTCTCGAACTTTCTGCTCCATGTAAGGAATAATATGCCTGGAAGCAAACTCTTGCATCAGATCTTTGATCTGCTCCAAATATGCCAGGAAAAGTAATACCATAGGTTAAAACATTCAAAAACTGTTGAAAGGTGTGAATCTAATCAGTAAGAGAATAATACTCGAGAACTAGCAGCCAGAAGCCTTTTAAAATACCTCCACAATATCGTCACCAGTGAGAGCACATCCAAGTTTGTCGGCCGAAACACTTGATTTCTTTCAGAAAAATTGGTAATCAACATAATGAACTTACAAAATTGACATAGATTGATGTATGAGACTTGAAAAATATGTTGTATAAAAGTTCCGATGAGTGACTTACAAATGAAGCCCAGGGATTAGCCTGATGTTCCACGTTCCCCTCTTTAGATGAATTAGTGCAAAGTAAGTTGCATTCATTATTTCCAAATTGACTTCTCATCTCTGACAGGACTTTAGACGTTCTACAGAAGAAATAGCATCCATTCAACTAAAATATTACATTTGACACCAATAAACTTATGATGAAGATCATATCATATATGACGGAATAAGAAACAACTACCTCTCTGTTGTTGCATCTTGATTGTCATGCACCAACAAGTAATGCTTCAAAATATTTGGGTCCATTGTACCATCAGTAGGTAATCTATTGGAGTTAAAAAGATCTACAAATTTCTTTATAGGTTCTTCGTCTTTTGATGAAACGACCAAGAGACCTGAAAGCACATTTTGAATTATTTTGTACTCAACAGAAAACTCTATGAGACATAATAGATCAGTAAACCTAGTTCAAAGAGAGAAGACAACAACGATTTTCTAAAATCCATTTAATATCTTACAAGCCACAGGATGATCGAAAGCTTCGTGGTCTGAAAACGACAATGTACGTATAAGTTCTTTATTGTAATACTGAAACCATGAGGGTGCAATTTCAGACTCTGGATCTGCAGGGAGCGAAATACGTCAGCATTAGAAAAGCAACGAGTTAGAGAATTCGCCTTCTCAATTATTTGAAAATTGTTAGTGCACGATGTTAAGAAAAACTTATAACGGCATTGTCTGCTACTCATAAAAACATAATTTTGAGTAGTGACTTACTAGAGAGTATATCAGAAATTTGAGGAGGGTCAGATTTCATATCCTGAAAATCCTTCTCCCCAGCTTGAGTAATAACATGTTCTAGCCGTTGCTTTGCAACCTAGCCATGAAGTAAACATAATCAAACTTGAGCTCAACAGCAAACATGCATGATGGAAGAGCCTCTACCACAACAAATACAAGTATACGCCTAAACCCGAATCCATCTTCTTTCACTTTGCGTTATTAGTAAAAACAGGTAATGATTTCAATATATTGAGTTAAAGGTGATCCACACTGTTGCTGAGTAAGAACTGGTTATCAAGTACCTTAACTGTTCAAACATTATCATATTCAACCGAAGCAAATTTACATACCTCTACGTTTGGTTGCTTTATATCGGAGGCATAAAACAATCTCAACGTAAACTTCTTTAGCCGATAAAGCTGATCACTTGATGTCCGAACAGGCACTGCACCGCAAAATTTCACAATTGGAATCCACAAATTAGACGGTTGGGGAAGTAAACCATAGATAGACACTTGAAACACAATCAAAATTAGCAATCAAAATCAAGGAATTGACCATCGATGTTACGAAAGTTGCAGAATGGCTTGAGCGTTTCCACAAAGGATAGACCATTCTTGAGGAAAGTCTCTTCAACAAGAGGCGTACAGAGAACCATGACCACTGGACTAACTTCCTCCAATAGCATTTTCCCAAACGAAGAGTTCACCGGCTCCACCATTCTTCCTTTCGCTTAACTTGTCTCTCAAATCTCTTCACTGTGTATCTAATCCGATTTCAGGTCGGATAGATTCTGGAGGCGGTGCGATTCAGTAACCTAGATCTCTACTTTTAAGCCAATCGGAGCTACGACGCCGTCGTCGACAGCTGCCGGACTTGATGTAGATAGGAATGAAGATATCGGTAAATTATGGAGTATGTAGAACGGAGAAAGCAATGAGTACGGCGTAATTCACCGGAGAATGATCGTCATCGGGATCGAGATCGACGTAGAGGGAGAGATGTAGGCAAAGTTCGATTGGAGATTTGGAGGAGACACGAGCTACATGAAAAAAAAAAAAAAAAACCCAATTTCATCTATTTAATTTATGTAATCGGCCCTATATTTAGGTAAAGTTTGCAAACTTGCCCATATATTAAAAAAGTGCATGAAGAGCCCTTCAATGCTTCATTCTCGGGTGTACAGTGTACTACTAATACCAATCTAAGAAGAAGATTGTTTTCTCTCATATGAGTTGTTCTCTTTAGCCATATAGCATCATGCTTGGCTCTCTTCTTACAAAGTGTTGTAAACATGTTCTTAACAACATCATCCAAAGACCATTGTCAGAATGAGACTAAAGGATTGATGACATTGCACAAGGAGAAATATAGCATGTTTCATCTTGGTACAGTATTATACCATAAAAATCATTGATAAAAAAGTTAAAACAAAGACTACTTACGACTTAGAACACGCGTGATATCACGCGCCCCCAAATTCTCTCCCAAGAGGCGATTTTTGCGTCAAACCTAATTTTTCTCTGCGTTTGCCTCTCCGGTCACCGGCGTTCTTTGCCGGTACCGTGAGAGGGCTCACTTTCTTTGTTGTTTGTTTTCCGGCCACCTCCTCTGCAATTTTCTCTGCCCTAGGCGGTGGTGCGGCGATGGAGACGAGTTCTTAAGATGCTTGGCTGAGGCTATCTCAGCGGTTTTCCGACGTCGCCTCTCCTCTTCTCTCTTTCGGCGCTCCTCTCTCGATTTCATCTTTGCTCAAGGACGGCAAAGTGGATCTATGCGAGGGTTTGTGTTTGGAGATGGGTTTGGCTATTTGGATCTGCTTGCTGGTTTGGTTCTTGTGGCGGTTGGTTTCGCAGGTGGTCCTAGGTCGCTCCGGTGGCTTGCTTGTCGTTTCCCCTTGGCTAAGTGGCGCAGCGGATTTCAGAGATCTGTCGTGCTTGGGCAAGCTAGTTTTGCCTTCTCTATGGAATCTCCTCAACCACGCATTGTCCCTATGGTTTTGTTGGATGCGAGGTGCTTCTGTTTTAGGTGTTGTTATCCTTTCGCTTGGCGTGGCTGTGTGCTTTGGATTGTTGGGCGACCTCGCTGGCTGGTGGTGCGGTTGGTGTTGTCGAGTCTTCCGGCGAAGCTGCGGCGTTTCTCGTTGTGGCGGATCCGATGTGGCTCGAACGTGTTCTTCGTTCTGAGACCAATGGCGATAGCTCCTTGCTTTTCCAGCGAAGCTGCGGTAGTAATTGCTTTGGCGGGTTTGATGTGGCTCGGAGTGACTTTGCGCATAGGCTGAAGTGAAGCTGGTTTTCCATCGGTCTTGACACTAATGTTATAGCTCAAGTTCTCCTATGCTGCCGGTGTCTTACATTTTGGAAGTGTGTGTTTCAGAGGTGGTGGCTCCTATTGGTGTGAATTCTTCCAATTTGGCTTGTCCTGCAGGTGAAAGATGTTCTTCTTGCTCGGAAAAGCTGTAGGCCCGCACCGTCAGAGGATTTGAGGACGTTTCTCGGGTGCGGAGGACTCGCGGCAAATTCGTATGATTTGAATCTCCTCCTCCTCCAATGATCGCTCCTTCCTTTGTTCTACTCTAGTTTTGCAGTGTTCTTTTGTAATGTTGTATGTGTGTAGATTTTGGTCTTCTGCTTTCTTTGTGAGTCTTTGTATTCTGTAAAAACTTCAAAAATGGTATGAATCTTCACATGTTTACCAAAAAAAAAAAAAAACAAAGACTACTTTACTAGACGAGAAAACAAAGACTACAGTAGTAAATGTATTAAAAAAACGGTTGAACACCTGAACACACAACCGGTTCAATGTCCCTGATAAAAATTAGTAAAAGACAAAGACTAGAAGACGACAAAACAAAAGACCAGTAAATATATAAAAAAACGTTTTAAATATTTTGCTGTAACATTTTTTCTACATAAATTGTCTCACGCATCTCTCCTCCACTCGCAGCCAAGCAACAAGTGCCCTTATTTTTTTCACCCAAAGTTTCCCTCTTTCTCTCTTCTTCTTCTCTCTGCTGTTTTCCGCCTCACACCATTACTCTCCCAACAATGGCGGCGACGGCGACTGCTGCTTCACTATTCCCATCTCCTGCTCACTTCCAGAATCAGAATAAAGTTTATGGCTTTCCGGCGAAAACCCCCAACTCCCTGCAAGTAACTCCGATCATCGACGGGAGGAAGATGAGGAATGCCACTGTTCTCTCTGCTGCTTCCACCGATAAAGCCATCACCACTGCTCAGTCTATAGCTCCGACGGCTTGTGATAGGTGCGTTTTCAGTTAGAAGTGAAAAAGCTTTGCTAATTTCGTCAATGTGCGTTTAGAAAAGAAAAAAAAAGGATTCTTCGTTCATTTTGGTTTTCTCTGATTCGAGATGGGTTCTTTTTCTCTTTCTCTGCCTCGCTTCCAATTTCTGCAATTAATTAGCTTCTTGTTGTTTTGGTTGTTTATGATTTGCTCAACAGTGTTTTGTTTATTCAGTTTCCGTTGGCATGGCATCAACAGTCAGGTTTATTGTAGATCTTCTTTTTTCCTAGTATTGGAATCGAAAACGTGTGGTCAAACATCAAAGAAGATTCTGTTTCCTCTTTTTCTCCACGAATACTGAAATTTCTCCACTTAATATCTTTTCTTAAAGCTCTTTTTAAGCTCAATACTTTTCTTCTTCGTTTGATATACCATTTCTGGTTCTACTTCAATAGTCCTCTTGATAAAAATGGCCTAATCATATGAAATACTTGTATGAGGATTTGGTAAACATCTTAGAGGTTTTGTTTTATCTGGTCAACAAGTTCTTTCTTTGGGGTTTTCAGTTATACAACTCTGATCAAGTGTTCTGACTTCTGCGTCTCTCTTACTGAATATCTCACCAATTCATTTGCAGAGTAAGGAGGCATACCATCTCGGTGTTTGTGGGTGATGAGAGCGGTATAATAAACCGGATTGCTGGAGTGTTTGCTAGAAGGGGATACAATATCGAGTCCCTTGCCGTGGGATTGAATGAAGACAAGGCTCTGTTTACTATCGTTGTTCTTGGGACAGACAAAGTCTTGCAACAAGTCGTAGAACAGCTTAACAAACTCGTCAATGTCATCAAGGTTTTCATGTTGTTCTCTATTAACTCTTGTCTTCACTATAACTTGCTGCTTTGTTTAAAAATTACTTTCATTTTTCTGAGTTTAGCACACAACAAGAGATATGTATACTTTCATGAACCATGACTGTTAGCTTGCACTCATTATGGTTTGTTCAGGTGGAAGATCTCTCCAAGGAGCCCCATGTAGAACGTGAATTAATGCTCATTAAACTTAACGCTGATCCAAGCACCCGCTCAGAGGTAAAGAATAGTTGATCTTGCAAGAACTAATTACACTCTTAATTCTTAATATTGGGTGGATGGTCAAAGTGTTTTTTTTTTCCGATATGATTGATGCAGTCGCATTGAAAAACATCAAGGATATGGATGAAAGGAAGCTTTTATTCCTTGTGATTAATTGAGTCACAGTACAGAGTCTTTTTTATCTTCTTATGATTAGTCAATTCGCATTAAAATCTCAAGGATATAGATGAATATAGATGAAAAGAGCTTTTCTTCCTTGTTATTAATGGAGTCACAGCAAATGTTTTTTTTCTTAAGAATGATCAGTTCACATTAAAATCTCAAGGATATATATTAGATGAAGCTATGATATAATAAAGCTGTTTTTTATGAAGTTTCCATGTACTGTAGATCATGTGGTTGGTGGATATCTTTAGAGCAAAAATCGTGGATACCTCAGAGCACTCTCTAACGATTGAGGTCAGACCTTTTCTTCAGTTTATATGCACTCAGATCATATGGTCAAAATGGCTCCAATAAGTCCCATTTTTTATTGTGTAGGTAACTGGAGACCCAGGAAAAATGGTTGCACTAACGACAAACTTAGAGAAGTTTGGAATAAAAGAAATTGCAAGAACAGGGAAGGTAATTTTTCAATTTCAAAAGCAGCCACTATTTGCTCCAATCCTTCTTAACTGTCAACAACATCTGGCTCTAAATGTCTTCAAATTACATCTTCTGTCTTGAAAAAGCTTGTTTGAACGGTTGGACTCACATGTATCATTACTTGTAGCCACTTGTAGCCTTTTTTTTTTTAATTTTTTTTTTTGTCTATTATGTCACACATAGAAATTAGAATACCCAGACCCGAGTTCCTTTGGTAAAATTCAGGACACTCTAACGGCAGAGCCAGTGTCACATGATATTCCCAGTTTAGCTTTTAAATGACATGTTTACTTCTTACAGAAAAACTCACTAAATTAATGAATCTCAAATGTGGAATTGTTAATTTTTTCATGTAGTCAATTTCTGTGTTTCAGTGACTATAATGAATAATTTTAAGAATCAGCTTTGTTATTCCTAACTGTTGTTGTCTATTACTCTAGATTGCTCTGAGACGGGAAAAGATGGGAGAAACCGCTCCGTTTTGGAGATTTTCAGCGGCATCATACCCACATCTTGTAAACGAATCATCATCTCATGAAACTGTTGCAGAGAAAACAAAGCTAGCATTGAATGGAAATGGCAATGCATCATCGGGGGTATAGGATAGGAATAATTAGCTAATTTATTTTCTCCCTGTTTATATTTAAGCACTAGTAGATTGATCGAGATTAGCTAATTCTTTATTTTAGGGTGACGTTTATCCAGTGGAACCCTATAATGATTTCAAACCGGTCCTTGACGCTCATTGGGGAATGGTCTACGACGAAGATGTAAGATACGTTTCTCGGATATTGCATTCGTTTTATATAATTTTCTTTTTGATCCAGTAAATCCTGCGAAATTGGAGGTCAAAGTGAAACTGTTTACCTTATTGCAGTCGAGCGGACTCCGGTCTCACACATTATCTTTACTTGTGGCCAACGTTCCCGGAGTTCTCAATTTAATAACTGGAGCTATCTCCAGGAGAGGTTATAACATCCAGGTTATTATGCACACACTCTTGCTTTTAGCTTCACCGATATGAATGCATACTACTCCTTTCTCTCAAGAGTATGTGAAAGTTGTTGCTTCTATTGCTCTAGAGTCTAGCTGTTGGTCCTGCTGAGAAAGAGGGCTTATCTCGGATAACAACAGTTATCCCCGGAACTGATGAAAATATAGACAAATTGGTTAGGCAGCTCCAGAAGTTGATTGATCTTCAGGAGGTGAGCAAATGGTTTGAAACCGTAATGTACTTGGGTTTTAATTTTAAATTGATAGGTCTAATAATCCCTTTCATTGGGTTTTCTAGATACAAAATATAACGCACATGCCATTTGCGGAGCGAGAACTGATGCTCATCAAAGTAGCTGCTGATACTTCTGCAAGGAGAGATGTTCTCGATATTGCTCAAGTTTTCCGTGCTAAAGCCATTGATGTCTCTGATCATACTATCACCCTTGAGGTGCTGATACTCCCTGAACTTTACAACAAAAAGCTCTCGTACCTTTCTGATATTTCAAGCTTGAGATGAGATGTTCTAGTAGCTGATGAAATCCTCGATTTGCAGGTTACAGGGGATCTCAGAAAAATGTCTGCACTACAAACGCAGTTAGAGGCCTATGGACTCTGCGAGGTTAAAAAAAACAAAGTTTCTTGATTTATCTCTAATCTCTTCTGGTTGTGTCTGGCCATTCTTATGGTTTGTGTTAATGAAAATTGAAGGTGGCTCGGACAGGAAGAGTGGCATTGGTAAGAGAATCGGGAGTGGATTCAACTTATCTTCGTGGATACTCTCTTCCTTTGTAGTTCCAAAGGTTAGTAATCTCTTAAATAATCACACAGATGCATCATGCATTGTTGTCGTTATATATGAAAGGATCTTCTTGTGCAGAGGACTTACCGCAAGCTTCAGTGTACTAGTCAAAAGGACTGCACATTGTTTCAGCATCTGTGATTGATTGCTTCCTCACGAGTCACGAGCCATGGCGTTTCGAGTTGTTGTTATAGGAGGACCTGTTTAGTGAACTAAAAATAAATAATCATGTTTGTTCCGTTAAATTAGTTTTGAATGCTTTTCTCAAATGTAGAACACTGTTACTAGTTTGTCAGTTGTATTACTAGCAAAAGACTTGTATGATACTCCAATCGATCTTAAAACCTAACAATTAAGCTATAACCGGACCGGACTGGACTTGGTTTAGAATCCTTCCTTGCGAACCAAATCAGGGGCAAAGTTGTAATATTCAGCAAACGTTTAATTCTCGTCGTGTTTCTTTCGCAGCAATGGCAGAAACTAAAAAAAAAAACTCAAAAATTAGATCTTAATTGGAGAATTCTACTTCTGAATCTGAGGCAAAGCTATCCCAGATCCGATCAGATCTGTGTTGTTGTTTCTCTTCTTCTTCAGTCAGTGGAAGCTATGATGGATTGCTAGAAGAGAATACGCACGAAACCACGCTTGAGAAGCCATGAGAATGTCATCAGCTTCCGCCGGGGAATACCGGCCTGCCGCCGTGAGTCTCAGCAGTAGCGGAGGTGGTCAACGAGATGCTGAGTCTCTGTTTCGCACGAAACCAATGTCGGAGATTCGAAATGTGGAGTCGGCGACTAGGAAGAACATCGAGGATAAGAAAGAGGAGCTTCGGCAACTCGTGGGGACTAGGTACCGTGATCTAATCGACTCAGCTGACTCAATTGTTCACATGAAGTCGCTCTGTGAGTCGATCTCAGCCAATATCTCTTCGATCCACGGTAACATTCGATCGCTTTCTTCTTCTTCTGTAGCGGAAACTCCTAAGCTTGCTAGCCTTAACCCAGTACGAGTCAATGTCTATGGGATCGCTTGTCGTGTTAAGTATTTGGTGGATACGCCGGAGAATATATGGGGATGCCTTGACGAGTCGATGTTTCTTGAGGCTGCGGGGAGGTACATGCGTGCTCAGCATGTGCAGCAGAGACTGATCAAGTTGGAGGGATGTGGCGGTGGTGGTGCAGCTGAGGTGGATCAGAGTAAGCTGTTGGCGAATTTTCCACTTTTGGAGCACCAATGGCAGATAGTTGAGAGTTTCAAGGCTCAGATTTCGCAGAGGAGCCATGAGCGGCTTCTGGATCCGGGTTTAGGACTGGGAGCTTACGTGGACGCCTTAACTGCGGTCTCGGTGGTTGATGAGCTTGATCCAGAGCAAGTGCTTGAGTTGTTTCTAGACTCGAGGAAGACTTGGATTCTGCAAAAGTTGAATGCTTGTACTGGTGAGGATGCCGGTGAGGTCGTTTCGGTGTTTTGTGATGTGTTAAGTGTGATTCAGGTTACAGTGGGACAAGTTGGGGAACTCTTCTTGCAAGCCTTGACTGATATGCCTCTATTTTATAAAACAATCTTGAGTACCCCTCCAGCTTCTCAACTGTTTGGTGGAATTCCGAATCCAGAGGAGGAGGTTGGGTTGTGGAAATCCTTCAGAGATAAGCTGGAATCCGTCATGGTCATCCTTGATAAAAATGACGTTTCTAAGGCTTGTCTGACTTGGTTGAGGGCATGCGGTGGACAGATTGTCGGTAAGGTTAGTGGGAAGCATTTGATTGAAGCTATAGTTACTGGCTCGGAGCTTGGATCAGCAGAAAAGTTGATAAGGGAGACCATGGATAGCAAAGATGTCTTGAGGGGTAGTTTGGATTGGCTTAAAAGTGTTTTCGGGTCCGAGGTAGAGCTGCCTTGGAATAGAATCCGAGAGCTTGTTCTTGGGGATGATTTGAACCTATGGGATGAAATATTTGAGAAGGCCTTTGTGGAAAGAATGAAATCTATTATTGACTCCAGATTTGAGGATTTGGCTAAAGCTGTCAATGTAGCAGATTCGGTACATGCTTATAGCGAGATTACTGGTGAGAAAATCAACTTCCAAGCTTACTTAAACAGACCTTCTACAGGTGGTGGTGTCTGGTTCATTGAGCCTAATGCAAAGAAAGTTGGTCTTATTTCCGGAAATAAATCATCACCTGAAGAAAGCGACTTCCAAAGTTGTCTAACTGCGTACTTTGGTCCCGAAGTTAGCCAAATGAGAGATGCAGTTGATAGGCGCTGCCAGAGTGTTTTGGAAGACCTCCTAAGCTTCTTCGAGTCAGAAAAGGCAGGTCCAAGGTTAAAGGATCTTGCCCCATACGTGCAGAATAAGTGTTACGACAGTGTATCAGCACTTCTTGCAGATATAGATAAAGAACTTGAATTTCTCTGTGCTGCCGTGAAGAAAGAGAACAAGGACAGTGAAGCAATTCCACCTGCTATAATAATTGAGAAATCACTTTTTATGGGACGCCTTTTGTTTGCATTGCTGAACCACTCAAAACATGTTCCTGTAATTCTCGGTTCTCCAAGATTGTGGTGTAGAGAAACTATGACTGCAGTTTCTGATAAGTTGTCATCCTTGTTGAGGCAACCAAGATTTGGCTCGAATACTGCAGTCACTGCTGACAGCCCTGGAAAGCAATTGCATACTGATCTTAGAAAGCAAACTTCATTAGCTGTTGCTGCACTACTGGGAGCGGAAGAGAAGACAAGTCCAAAATTTGAAGAGCTTAATAGAACTATGCGAGATCTGTGCATCAAGGCTCATACATTGTGGATACAGTGGTTATCTGATGAGCTTTCAGCTATTCTCTTGCGTGATCTTAGGAGTGATGATGGATTATCTGCTACAAATCCTTTAAGGGTAACTAAATTTGATCTTTATCCTTTGTCTGCATTTCCTTGTCTTTTAATTCGTTCTGCTTAGCTGTCTCTCCTGCATCGATTTAGAAAGAGCTGACTAAATTGAGAGAGGTAGTTATTTTGCTTATGTCCTATGTTCAAATTCTTTGTTTTTGGTGGAGAAAATTCTAAACTATTCTGATTCTTTGAAGTTGTAATGCAATAGTTTACACTTCCTCTTACATTTCAATAGTCATATGCGAGGTTAATTTTGTAGTGTCCTTGCTCATCTTTAAAGTATAATATAGGGATGGGAAGAGACAATAGTGAAGCAAGAGCAGGACGAGAGTCAATCTGAGTTGAAGATATCACTTCCATCCTTGCCTTCGCTCTATATGATTTCATTTCTCTGTCGGGCATCAGAAGAAATTCATCGAATTGGAGGTCACGTACTGGATAAGTCAATTTTGCAAAAATTTGCTTCAAGCCTGTTGGAGAAGGTTTGTTATGTCTGATTACTTCTTTTTCTATCTACGACAGAGATATTTCTGGCAAGAAAAGGTTTTCTCTTCAAAAAGTTCATAGCTGTTTGATAAATTTTGTTTCCTATTCATACTTTTTCACTTTCATCAATAAACATATCCAAGCTAGTGATTGCCTATAAGAATGATTATTTCAACCTTCCATTGTACAATGCAGATCACCGTTATTTATGAGGATTTCTTATCTGCCAGGGAGGCCAACGAACCCCAAATTTCAGAGAAAGGAGTTTTACAAATTTTGCTAGATTTGAGATTTGCATCTGACGTTCTTTCTGGGGGTGATACAAGCACCAATGTGGAAACACCAAAGAGCACAATGAATAGATCGGCTTACAGGCGAAAGCAGGACCAACAGAAAACAAAGTTAGTTAGTAGAGGTCGCATTGATGGAGTGACCTCCCAACTAACCCAAAAGTTGGATCCCATAGACTGGCTCACGTAAGAAATCTTATCCCTAATCTTTATCTATGTCATATATTATCTTTTACTATTCGGGCTGCTCTAAGAAGCTCCTCGCTTGGGAATATCGTCTTGTTGTTTATTGTCTCAATCACTCTCTGATTCTAGTATTTTGAATATCAAAAAAGGTACGAGCCTTATCTTTGGGAGAACGAAAAGCAGTCATACCTACGCCATGCTGTACTCTTTGGTTTCTTTGTGCAACTAAACCGAATGTACACAGATACTGCGCAGAAACTATCAACTAATTCAGAATCAAACATCATGCCATGTTCCACAGTTCCTCGCTTCAAATACCTTCCCATAAGGTTAGATCTTCTTCTTCTACATCTAACATTGTTTGTAGCTTTTGTAAAGTTTGGGAAACTAGTTTCTGATATCAGAAGTCTTGTTTTGGGTCAAATGCAGCGCTCCAGCTCTGTCTTCTAGAAGTACAAATAAGGTCTCTATTCCAGTTACATCAAATGGTGCTTTGTCAAGAAACTCATGGAATGCATTTACGAACGAGCAATCTCAAACAAGTGATTTGGAAGAAAATTCCAATTTCGGCGTGGCTTTCAAGTCTTTCATGCAGGTAAACGTTTAGTCTTTTATTAATTAATGGCGACAATGTCGTAATCTGGTTTAGTATCTTAGACCATGTACAAATTGTTTTTCAGGAAAGCACATTGAAACTGGGATCAATATTAACTGATGGACAAGTGGGAATATTCAAGGACAGATCAGCAGCCGCTATGTCAACATTTGGCGATATACTACCGGCTCAAGCTGCCGGTTTACTCTCTTCTTTCACAAACACCAGGTCCGAGTGATGATGATCACCAGTTTTGAGACTAAACTGTCATTTTCAACCCGAATTTCTGCTGTCGGTTTATGATTCACACAGAAGATACGAAGCAGCTGATTTGAGACATGAACCAAAAACTAGAGATATCTTCATTGCTATACAAGTTTTACAAAAACGAAGAGAACAGGTTTTGTAATAGGTTTTGATTTATTGTTTCTTATATGCTTCTTTTATAAGGAACATGTAATTAAGTAAAAAAAGATTTGGTTCAACAAAATCCTCAGACCAATTACAATCAAGCCTCACACATTGAGTGATCAGAGTAATAAGTTAAAGTTTTGCTACATATAACCACGGTATTCAGATCACTAAAACATCTGATTTCTATAAAGTTAACATCCCGGCAAACCAGATTTAGGGATTACGCTTAGCAATGAGAGGTTTCAGCTTCTTCTTGTCAGCAAGAATCTTGAGGAAATTGAAAAGGAAAGGGACATAGTTGTGTTTCCTTCTCATGTTCTCTTTCTTCCAGTTCTTAGACTTTTCCTCCTCCAATACAATCTTCTGCGAAACAGTCTCTATCCCGATATTGACTTCCGAAAGAGATCTATCGAGAGCCTCATAACTGCTTTTCTCAGCATATTTATCAGCTTGCAAAGCACCTAACTGCTGCAAAATCCTCTCTCGCTGTCTTTGATACTCTTTCAGTTCAGCTACATACGTCTCTTTCCTGTTCTTAACTACAGCTAAGAGACTAAAGCGAATCTCATTCTGCGAATACCAGTCAATCCGCTCTTGTACCACAGGTTGGACCATTCTGAGCCACTCGGTTCCTTCTGGCTCACCCAGACACTGTCCAAGACTAATGGGTCCTTCTTTAAGACCATCGAGCTCATATAAGATACCATCAACAGGTAAGTAGCTGATGTAATGATACACATCATCATCTTCGTCTAGATTTTTCGCAGCAGCTAATTCTTCTTCTTCCATGGTGGAAGACGGGTCAGACCTGGCAAATGTGTTGTGAGCTGCACGTATCGCCTCATTGTTGTTGATGGCTAAACCTTTCAGTTCAGGTGGGAATTCTTTAGCGAATTGTTTCAGTTCTGATAGTTCTGAGCCAATATCAATACTCGAAGAGTTCATGAGGACTGATAATATCGCTTGGGTCGCACAAGCATTGTTGATTATCTGCAAGAAACACACAGTTTATAAAAAGGTAATGATTGGCAAATCCGTATGTCACAAACCTAACGTGGCAGTGAAAGACCTGGCTTGCAAAGAAGAAATTCGGGTTTGGCTCTGTGATAACAACACGATTCTCCTTTTCTTCTGGACGCCACTTGTAAAGCAATATCAGTCCATAGACAGGTCTGCAAGTGTTCAGGAAAGAGGTAAATTAGACGTTTTTTTCTCTTGTGCTTCGAACAAGAAAAGATGAAAGAGTAACAAGTAAACTACCTTATTTCATCAAGAGAATTAAAGTCCAAGGAATACAATTCCTCAACCTGCACACCTTTCACTTGCATCTGTTGTATAATCTCAGTGAAAATACCTATAAACAACATATAATACAGAAAACGAATAAATATGAAGAAAATAACAAACAAGAAAGCGACATGGCTATGGCTATCGAGAGACACTATCCACGTAGTAAAAGACCAACACCATTGCTGATATGTAATTTCAAAAAGCATTACTTTTATTTTACAATCCTCACAACACACTAAGTATCACTCTCCTCTTTCGCTGTGTTGTAGATGCAAAGAAGACTATTGTCAACATTTTTAGGCTTCTAATTTGACAAAATCCAAACATAAATCAGGTTTTAGTGGCTCCACTATCAAAACCTCGTTACGCACATCATCTCTTTATTAATCCAGAAAACAACAACAAACCCGAAATTGGAGGAGAGAAAATATACCAGGATCAGATTCTACAGGAAGCCAAGACATGATTCAACGCTCCGGTGAAAATGGGACTGAATTAAGAGATTAGGGTTTCTCTCTCAAACTCGCTAATCTCCTCTCTTCGATTCCATCGTCTTCACGAGCTGCTGACTCAAGAGACGACTATAGACTGGTGTGGTCTGGATTTTGTCTAACCGAATCGAAACGAGATTGAATTATCCAAAGTCCAAACCATTTGAATTTCAATATACCGGTCTAAACCGAACCAGAATCAAGTGAAAAACAATTCGGTTCTAGTTTTATTACAATAACCGAACCGAACCGATAATGTCAACTCTTATGTGGCTATCTATATAATCGCCGGAGAAATCAAAAGAAATCTTAGGGCTCAAACAATGACGGCGACTGAGACTATCGCCACCGCGATAAATCAGATTGATGAGAAGAAGGAAAAGCTAAAGAAAGCTTTCGACGATCTTCAATCTCATCGCTCTCTCCTTTCACCGTCTTTCTCACTTTCCTGGTCTGAGATCGATTCTCACTTTTCCACTCTCCAATCGTCCCTTGCTAACCGTTTCCGCCTCCTCCAATCTACAGCTCCTTTGCAAGATGATTCGTGTAGACTCAACGCTTCTTATGCACAGACTTCTTCGTCGGAGGAGGTATCGGAGCAACCCGTTGTTGAGCCGGAGTTGAGAGCGTTGTGTGAGAAGATGGACGGAATTGGTTTGAGCAAGTATTTGATTGTTCAATGGGATGATGACGCTCCTCTCAATCAGGAAGTTTCTGCAGCGATTCGTTACTCTCCGGATCCGGCGTCCATGGTTTTGGACGCAATCGAAGGTTTGAACCAGAACCACACTCCGTCGTCATCGGGAAAATCATTCGATGTAAGAAGAGTTTTCGTTTTGTTAATGGAGGTTTTGATTGAGAGTAATGCGAATATCACTGTTGAGACGAGTAATAGAGCTAAGAAACTGGCTTACGATTGGAAAACGAAGATAGATACTAAGCCTTTCGAGGCGTTGGTGTTTCTGCATTTGGTCGCAGCTTTTGAATTAGGATCAGAATTTAACTCAGAGGAGCTTTCTGATTACGTTTTCATGATCGCAAAGTATAAGCAAGCAACTTCAGTGTGTAACAAGATTGGTTTAGATAGGGAAAGAGTTAGGAATCTCATCAAGAAACTCATGGATTCTGGCAAAGCAATCTCGGCAGTCAAATTCATGTATGAGTGTGGGATGACTGATGAATTCGAGCCAATCCCTGTTTTGAAATCTTACATTAAAGACTCTAGAGAAGCTGCTCTTAGAGTTTGCGTAGAAGATAACTACTCTATCAAGTCGCAGAACGAAGCCATTGATAAAGAAGTCAGTGCATTGAAAGCAGTGATCAAAATCATCAAAGATCAAAACCTTGAATCCGAGTTTACTCAGGAGAAAGTTGAGGAGCGTGTAGAAGAGCTGGAGAAGTATAAGGCACTGAGGAAACGCAACGCCACTAACCCTCCCAAGCAAGAGCCACAGCAAAAGGGGAAAAAACGGACGCGAGACTGCAATGGGACGCAAGTTCCAGGTCCGAGTCAGCAGCTACTTTCTAGACCAGAAGCTCTTCTTATGCCTGAGCATAGTCATCATGGCTTACAGTTGAACCCTTATGGTCTTATGACTTCAGCATTTTCTGGTGTTGTTGTGAACCCATTAGCCGGGCTCTTTGGTTCAGCTGCAACTCCTCAACCTCTTTACTATGCTCAGCAAACTGGATTTGTGTTGCCGCCTCAGTACCACCCACCTTATTATTCTCAGTAGCTAGCAGCATCTCGAACGTAAGACCTTAATCTCCTCAATGTAAAAATGTATCTTTGTAGAATATTTGCCCTGATGGAAAGTAAAAAATCAATCTAATGTCTGAGGAATTTTATTCTTTACTTTTTGTGGCTTATATAGAATAGTAGTGAGTTTTTCTACAATGCTGGATCATGTTTCCTACATTCTGGAAACTTTATTAAAATGGAAACAAGACTTAGTCAATGAACTTAGGGTTTGGTTTCTTCGAACCAATTGGCCTTCCCGCCTATTGACTTGTGTCTTCAAACTCATCAACTTCTATTTCTAGAGGTACCAGTAGCATATGCGCGAGCAACGAGGCTCTCCACGGACACCTTAATAGCATCCTTTCTCATACCAATATCTGCAAAGAGCTGAATAGCTTTGCTGCCGAAAGGACTAAGTTGCGCAAGCCACGCAGCTGCACTCACCGAGCTGGCTTGACCGCCCCTTCCCAACACATAGTTTTTTCCGACTAGCAAGCTAGTTTTACAATATATTGCAAAATCTTCACAATTATTTTCCAAAGCGTGGTAATCACCAAACCCATTTCGGAATAAGAGGTATTTGGCGCGGGAAATGACTTCATCACAGGGATCCGAAGGTGCTATTGTGCATGTGCCGCGTCGAGGTTTGGCAATAAATGCAGCTGGAGAGACATTGTACTCAAAGAGATAGATGTTTCCTCCGGAGAGAAAGCAGTCAAGGCAAGAAGAGATTACACCATCGACATTCGATCGCTCTCCACAATTAGGACAAGGATTGTCTCCTTTATGATTCGGGATTACACTAACGAGGATCTTGTCCAAGAAGGTCCCTGTTCCAGTTTCTAGACCACCTCCACAAGTGAAATGAATGACTTTCTCATCGCCTATATATATTCCTGAGGTGAGGATCATCAAATATATGATTATCTTTGATGCAATCCAAAACAGAAAAGTCACGTTATTGAGAGATAGAGATAGAACCGTGATGAGAGTAGATATAAGCGTTACGCCATGAATAGATGTGATCTCCTGCCTTGAGTTTATCTCTGGAGATTTGGTTGGAGATAAATCCCATCTTCTCTAGAAAGTGGGATCCCATTTTGCTGACTAGCTCTGTTATGGTTGTGATTTTATACCCAAAATGTAAAGTCAACTATATTGTTTTTTACGTCTGTGGATGAATGTTTCTTCTCAAAAGGAGAAGTTGTACTAAAATAAGAGTAAACTTCATTTCATAGTCTTCCCATCTTGGACAACTTATATCCCCCCTGCACGAACTTCATAATCTTCCACTGGAAGACAAGAAAAACAGTTAAGTGAGCCTTCGAAAGTTCGTTTATTGAATATGATACTTGTGATCAATATCCATACATCATAACATAAAATATAGAGTTGGACTATTCAACAAAAGCAGACGCAGACTCTCTACTTCACAACAACAACTAGGTGACTTTACTGATAGCTCAGAAAGCGCCATGAAAGTGAATTCGTCTCTCTACGACGGCAAATTCGTGGAAGCAGTTTCATCGATTCCGGCTCAATGAAGCGGCGTCGCTCTTAAAACGAAACAACACCTCTGAAGCAGCATAAACCAAAGAACTGCTGGTTCATTTAAACAACCGAGATGACTTTGGTTGGATTCTGTTGCAGTATTGTTTCATAATCTTAAAGTCTTGAAGAGTTCATTTCTTGGACAATTAATGTTACCAAAACTGTAATTACCATTCGACAAATAGTTAAAATACAGTTTTCACAAACAAACAAAGAAGAAAAGCAAAATCTGTCTTACTCAACAACTAGTCATCAAACAAACATCAATAATGTCAACTAACTAGACTTCTTGTTGTCCTCCGATTTGAAGACGAATTGCTGTTGTTGTTGTAGCGATTCCTGTTGTTGTTGTTGTTGTTGTTGTGATGGCGATTTGAATTGTTGTTGTTGCGTTGCGTTGCGACATTGGCCGTGACTGGAAGCGCAGAGTGCATAGTGGGAGACAAGAGCTTAGCTTCATGATTGATCAACTTCTCATGAACGTGAGTAACACGACCCTGAAGTTGCGGACATCTCCTCGCAGAGTGACCATGTACGCTGCAGATCTGACAGCGCCCGAGATAAGGACGTGGACCTCTCTGCTCTGTTTTGTTGTATGATGGCTGCCAGTTTGAAGACGAATTGCTGTTGTTGTTGTAGTGATTCCTGTTGTTGTTGTTGTTGTTGTTGTTGTGATGGCGATTTGAATTGTTGTTGTTGCGTTGCGTTGCGACATTGGCCGTGACTGGAAGCGCAGAGTGCATAGTGGGAGACAAGAGCTTAGCTTCATGATTGATCAACTTCTCATGAACGTGAGTAACACGACCCTGAAGTTGCGGACATCTCCTCGCAGAGTGACCATGTACGCTGCAGATCTGACAGCGCCCGAGATAAGGACGTGGACCTCTCTGCTCTGTTTTGTTGTATGATGGCTGCCAGTTTGAAGACGAATTGCTGTTGTTGTTGTAGCGATTCCTGTTGTTGTTGTTGTTGTTGTTGTTGTTGTTGTTGTGATGGCGATTTGAATTGTTGTTGTTGCGTTGCGTTGCGACATTGGCCGTGACTGGAAGCGCAGAGTGCATAGTGGGAGACAAGAGCTTAGCTTCATGATTGATCAACTTCTCATGAACGTGAGTAATGGTCGGTGGTAAGTCCCTGCCTTCAATCTGATCTACAATTGACTTGTTGTCCTCCGATCTGCCTTCCATGAGTTCAATAATGGAAACGAGCCCTTGCACAGGAACCTTAGTAACATCGGATCTCATACCAATGTCAGAATACAGAAAATCCATACAATACTTACCATACCCCCCTACCAACACCAGACCACCAAAAGCAGCACCAAAATTGGGAACTACATATCGAAGTGTTGAAGAAACCACCGAAGCTGCTCTACCACTAGCGTTCACCACCCCAAGAAGTCCCAATGTCGAAGAAACAGCATCCCTTGCTATAGACGCCGAATTGGCTTGACCACTACTTCCCAACTTGATATTTGACATGACAACCAAACCAGATTTGCAATAGATGGCAAAATCTTCACAGTTGTTCTCAAACAGATTGTAAGCACCAAAAGCGTTTCGCAATAAGAGGAATTTCGCACGGAAAATAACTTCTTCAGGAGGATCTGAAGGTGCTGTTGTGCAAGTGCCTCCTCGTTGTTTTGAGACAAAGAAAGCTGGAGAGACACCGTACTCGAAGAGATAGAGGTTTCCTCCGGCGAGAAAGCAATCAAGGCAAGAAGAGATTACACCGTCGAGTTTGGATTGATCTCCACACTTAGGACACGGGTTGTCTCCTCCATGATTCGGAACAGAACTAGCGATGAACTTGTCCAGGAATGTCCCGGTTTCGGTTTCCAGACCACCTCCACGAGTGAAATGTATCACTTTCTCATCGCCTACATAGATTCCTGCGAATTGCAAACCCAAATTTGGAATCTTTGATAAACCCAGAAGTTAACTAAGATCGAACATGAAAATTGGCTGAAAATGTAACGAATCGTACATGTATTGCTACGAAACTGTGTAATGAGAACAACCCAAAATTGGAATCTTTGATAAACCCAGAAGAGTTAATGGATCTACATAGTTAGAGATAGAGAAAGAGATGGTGGTACCGTGATGAGAGTAGATATAAGCGTTACGCCATGAGTAGATGTGATCTCCAGGCTTCAATGTCTCTCTGGAGATTTGGTTTGAGAGTAGTCCCATCGTCGTCGAGAGCAAGATCCGGTTTTTGCTTTTACGATTAGGGTTTTTCTTCTGATGGCCACTCCTTTTTACCTCAATATCTGAGCTCAGCTACACTCACACTCCATTCGTCGGTATTTAAACAGGTATAGGGAAAATATGGAAAATACCTCCATAATTCTGAGGAAATTGCAAAATTATATTGCTATTTTCTACTATTTATTATTACTTGTGTGTTTGTTTTGCAATTTTGATACTTGGAGTGTTTATCTTGAAAATGTTGGCTAATATTATCTGCAAGTTTTTGTGTTTAAAGTTTCATAATGAAATATCATTTTAGCTAGGGATAAAAACGAATTTTTTTAAAAATCAAAATATTCTCTTTTCTTAATTTTTAAAAGTTTTAATTAAGTACGGATCAAGAATAAAGTGGTAGGCCTAACTCCACTGGAATAACTTTAGCTGTTTAATTATTACATTTAATTTAAGTTAGAATGTTTTTATTAATACTCCCTTTGTCCCATTTTATAAGATGTTTTGTGTAAAAGCACAAAGATTAAGAAATAATTAATGTTTACTTTTTTATAGGAATTCAGCCAATAGAAAAAAAGACTGCAGAATTCAAATGGTCATAACATACTAAATAAACATAAATTATGCATAGAAATCTGGGAAAATCTTATAAAATGGAACAAAAAAAAATGCTAAAACATTCTATAATTTGGGACAGAGGGAGTATATAGAAGGGAGATTGACACAAATAGCCCCAAAAAAGTTATTTTTTCCAAAAATAGCACCTCATTTGAAAAGTTTCACAAATAGCACCATAAACTTCAATTAAACTTAATGAAAATATAAGATAGAAAATAAAAAAGAGAGCAAACACTAATCTAATATTAAATTGAATCAAAATTGTTTTAAATAGTGGAAATATATACCCTAATTTGGAAATAGGGAACCCAAATATAATACCACAAACTAATATTAAAATAAAAATCTCTTTTAAATGGTGAAAATATATACCCTAAATTGGAAATAGGGAACCCAAATATAATACCATAAACTAATATTAAAATGAATCAAAATCTCTTTTAAATGGTAGAAATATATACCCTAAATTGAAAATAGAGAACCCAAATATAATATTTTAAATTTATTTCTAATTTATTTTGTTGAATAGCTTTTATATAAAAGTTGTGGTATTATTGAAAAAAAAAGCTAGTGATAAAATTTTTAGAACAAAAACACTAATAGTAAGTTAACTAGTGCTATTTTTGGAAGTTTATGGAGTGTGTGCTATTATTGTCAATAAAACTTGTTTTAGGGCCATTTTTAGGAATTTCTCTATATAGAAACCTATTGCTATAATTTAGTATAAAAACATGTTTCCTTCCTCGTTAAGCAAAGCATACCCAAACCTAGGCCTGGGCATAAAATCCGAAATCCGAAAACCGATCCGAAAAATCCGGCTCCGAATCCGAACCGAATAGTCACAAAACCCGAATGGATAATGAATTCTCCTATCCGAATTATCCGAACCGAACCCGATCCGAACCCGATCCGAACCGAAAACCGAATGGATATCCGAAAACCAAAAATAAAATTATATATCCAAAAATATTAGTTATATTTAGGTATAATTTGATAACAAATAACAAAAATATCCTAAATAATCTAGATATAGGAAAGTTTTTAGTTATTATATTTGTTAAAATTATACATATTTTTGGAAAACTTAGCCAAATTTTAGTAAGATTAAACTATTTTTTATTTAAATTGAACATTTTTTTAGTTTCTTTTTTCTCGAAAAACAATCCAAAACCGATCCGAATCCGACACTATCCGAACCGAACCCGATCCGAATAGTCATAAAATCCGAACGGATAATAAAATCTCCTATCTGAATTATCCGAATCCGAATAAATCCGAACCGAATCCGATCCGAAATCCGAATGCCCAGGCCCAAAGCATTTTACCATCAAACCCCTTTGGAACAAACATCGAGTCACGAACGGTCCCTTTCACGTACGATAAGGAAAGAGACTGTACAATTCCATTGACCATGTCTTTTGGCTAAAAAATGTGTTACTATCAAATCGCTGTTATTAGGAACGGTGGAAAGACAACTTTTTTTATTAATTAAACAAAGTTATATATCCCATATTTGCCCAGTCATTGACTAATTATAATTTCCCAATTCAAAATTTTCAGATTTATGAAAAAACTGTCCTTCCACATTTTATTTTGGACTAAATACATTTTTTTTTAGTAACGTTGCAATGTGGTCCAGATAAGCAGTGGGGAACCAATCGAGAGTGAAATATCGTTAGCACTAGAAAGTACTTCTCGAAACTCGAGATAACAAAAATCTCCACAACAATACCTTCAAGAATCGGTGGCCAAATGAGAAAGCTTGAAGAGCTCTACAATGTGTTCAATTCTTGTAATTTTTTTTTATTTTTTTTGTGACAACAATTTCTTGTAAATAATAATGTCATTTTAACTGTATGTTCTAATTTACATATATATAAGTTAAAATGCATTTTGCTCAATACAAACAAAGCAGAACAGCAAAATCACTCTCTCCATACTTAACAATTAGTCATCAAACATACATAATGCACAACAAAGTGCTAACTAAAAACACTTCTTGTTCTCCAATATGCCTTGCTTTGGCTCCTAAATGCAACGAGCTCTTCCACAGAAACCTTGCAAGCATCATTTCTAACACAAATGTCGTAAAACAGGCGACTAATACAGTAGTTATCATATATATTCCGTCAAAGCCATACCACCAAAACCAGGAACTACATGCATATATAATCTTAGAAGAGAGAACCTGGTTTGCAACATGAACCATAAAACCTTAAGTGTCAAAGAAACAACACCACCAGCTGCAGTCTGCAGACATCGAACTGGCTTGACCACTACTTCTAATCGAACATATATATAAAGTTGAGACCATCGTTGTTTTGTTTATAACTTGTTAGTAACAACTTTTTCGAACTATTTTGATAAATAAACTAAAACTAAAAAAATTGTTCTAAATTGGATACAAACGGATAAATGAAACCATCGATTTTCGACCTCATTTACTACGTGATTTGCTAGTTATCTTATCCTCACGACATTATTGATGAGAGATTCGCCGCCCACATTAAAAATATGTAGAACATTCACAGCCACTTAAGTACTAGCTAATTCCAAACCAAAAATGTTCGAAACAAACAACAAAAGTCACATTCATTATAGACAAATTAACTTAATAAATAGCGTTGGAGAGAGAGAGAGAGAGAGAAGAAACATAAACATCTAAAAGGAAAGGGAGAATGCAGAATGAGGAGGAGGAGCCGCTCAGCCCGATGGCTCGTGTATTCCAATCGCCGGGCATAGACTTATGTGCCATCATCAACATTGGGTTCAAAACAAAAATTAATCCCGACGTTGTTCTTGATGCTTTGAAGCAAAATGTCTACAAGCATCCTCGTTTCTCCAGCAAACTGGTACCCTCCTATACATATACCATGCACATGTTCTTTATACATAGTTATATATTCGATCACTTGTAAGTGATGCATTCGACCATGACCTGATTTAGAGTGATATATATGTATGGATGAATAAATTGAATTCTTATTTAAATTAAAATGAATTATCTGTTTGATAATTATTTTACCTGATCTCTATACAGTTTTTTTTTTTTCTTTTTTTTTGCTAAGAATCTCTATATAGTTTGTGTCGGCGGCCGTGTTTTTGTAGATTTATAAATTTTGCTTAAATCCTACTTGAGATGTGACATAGTGTTTTGGTCTCCATCTGTCTTATCTTAATAGTCTGAAAATGGTAAAAAATGGATCGAGACCGAAGTCAATGTAGAAGATCATGTCATCGTACCATACATAGATCCGGAAGAGATATGTGAAGGTGGACAAAGCTTCGTCGATGATTATATCTCACGTCTCACATTGATTCCTCTTGATAGATCAAGACCTTTGTGGGACATTCACATTCTTAATGTCAAAACCTCAGATGCTGAAGCAGTCGGTGTAATAAGATTTAACCATGCGTTGGCAGATGCAATGTCCTTCATTTCCCTCGTGCTCGCATGTACCCATAAAACATCAAATCCAGACATGTTGTCTACTGCTATTCCTTCCGTGAAACGGCGAAGCACGGTGTCACATAGCCTTGAAAATGGCTGGTTCTTAAGGGCAATATTCACCATTGGTTCTACAATGAGACTGATTTGGAATACATTGGTAGATATGTTCTTGCTTTTTGCGACTGTGTTGTTTCTGAAGGATACAAAAACGCCACTAAAAGGCGGTGCGAATGTCAGGAGCAATCCAAAGAGATTTTATCACCGAAATATCTCTCTAGATGACATTAAACTTATCAAGAACGCTATGAACATGGTACGTTAATTGTGATTTATGTTCATAACTCTCTTGAGGGTTTCTCTTACCTTTTTAATGGATCTGTGCTTTCTATTGCATATGCTGCGCGCTAGACTATCAACGATGTTCTACTCGGAATTACACAAGCCGCTCTTTCTAGCTATTTGAACCGACAATATGGTAAATATTGAACTCGATATATTTATATATGATATGTATTATTAAGATCCTAACCAGAAGTTGATTCTAATACAAAGAAAAGAAAATGCTTATGATCTATATCTAATTAATATGTTTCACACGCATATCTTGTTTTTGAAGAACAAGCAAAGAATAATGAGGAGGATGAAGCATTGATTTCATATCCGAACAATCTTCCGGATGGCATACGATTTCGTGCAGGTTGTACCGTAAACCTAAGGTCAGACATCGGGTTCAAGGTTAGAAACATACTCCTCAAATTATATAATTGAACTCTTTATTCTCAACAAACAATATTTATGCACATTTTACTTTTTTCTGTATAAAAGCCTTTGGCAGAAATGATGGTCAAGGATTCAAAATGCAGATGGGGAAACTACTTTAGCTTTATTATTTTACCGTTATCGATTGGTTTATCTAAAAAAATCCAAAGCTATGATGGCTCGAAAGAAGCACTCTTATCAAGCAGCTCTAACGTATTTGAAGATGTAGCTGCAGTCTGATGAAGTTGTTGAATGAGTCAAGAAGTAATACAAGATTTTGTCTGATGGAGTTTCTGAATGATTCAAGAAGTAAGTCAAGATGCGACTGTTTTTGTGTGAGTGTCGGTTTCTAGAAGGTTTGAGAAGATATGTTTGGAGCGTGTTTAGAGGATGAATCACAAAGGAAAAAGGACTTAAAGAGATTTGGAAGACTTGATGAAAGTGGAGTTTGATGAGAAAAAGGAAAAGTATAAAAGGAAATTTACTTTTTCTTATGGAAATTGGAAATCTTCTCCTATGGTGATTAGAAAATCGTTTTGGCTATATAAGGAGGAGTGGAGGACGTCTTTGAGAAGCAAGAGAGCTGAGGCATAAAGAAGAAATCTTTGAGAGCTTTCGGTGAGGTTGTGTGCAACTTAGTTTTGCGGTTTGTGCTTGTGTGATCAAGTGGTTTTGTTTTGAAGTCTAGGCTCAAGGGGAGTTTAGCTCAGGGTTAGGTTATCCTGATTAAATCTAGACTCAAGAGGAGTTTAGTTAAGGGTAGAGATTATCCTTAAGGTTTCACGTTATAGAAGGGAGCGGTAAATCAAGAGGGTTGGGCTTGTTTTACGCGTTTGCGAATTGGTTGTAATTTGCTTTCTTGTTCTAGTGAAATCGAATCTGGACTTGGTCCCGGGGAGTAGGAAAAACCGAACCTCGTTAACAAATTTCTTGTCTCGTTTACTTTCCGCAATTTATTTGACCTCATCCGCACTTTCAATTGGTATCAGAGCGGGTTCTCGATAGAGATTTAGTCTTGTTTCGGGTAGATCAGGGTGAGGTTCAGGAGATTGTTCAGAAGTTTGTTCAGGAGATCGTTCAGAAAGTAAGACAGAGCTGAGAATCGTGTGAGATGGAGTCATACAAGGAAGGTACGTCTATGACAAGACCACCACTTCTTGATTCAGCGAATTATGGATATTGGAAGGTTCGTATGCAAGCTTTTATTAGTAATCTTGATGAAGATTGTTGGAATTCAATTGAACTTGGTTGGGAGGCTCCTAAAGTTACGGATGATGATGGAGTTGTAAGTCTCAAGTCAAGAGATAAGTGGACTGCTGCAGAGAAAAAGCTATCAAGTTGCAATTCTAAGGCTAAGACTGCGATTTACAATGCTATTGATTCAAGCCGCTTTAAGTTGATTTCTCAATGTGCATCAGCTCAAAAAGCATGGAAGACATTGGAGAATATGTTTGAGGGTACTACAAGCGTTAAGAGAACGAAATTGGATATGTTGGCTTCGCAATTTGAGAATCTAAGGATGGAAGAAGAGGAAACTGTGGCTGATTTTAGTGCAAAGTTATGTGACATATCTAATGAATCGTTTGCTCTTGGAAAGGTCTACAAGGACAAAAAGCTAGTGAAGAAGTTGAAGAGATCATTGCCTGCAAAATTTGAGTCAAAGATTTCTGCAGTTGAAGAAGCTCATAATCTAGATGAGATGGCTTTTGATGAGTTTGTTGGGATTCTTCAAGCTTTTGAGTTAAGCAAAGCATATGAAACTAAGGGAAAGATGAAAAAGGTAGATGAAGTGAAGAAGGAAGTTGATATTGGAGTTGCTCTTAAGGGATCATCAACTGAAGATTCAATGGCTATGTTGTCAAGACAGTTTACTAAATATCTGAAACGAAAGGGAAAAGAGAGGAAGGATAGAATTGATGAAGAGTTGAGAAGTTCATCAAAGAATGTGCAATGTTTTGAATGCAAAGGATATGGACATGTTCGTTCGGAATGCGCCAATCTACAAAAGCATAAGAAGAAGGCCATGAATGTTGTCACTAGTGATTCTGAAACTGATTCAGATGAGGAAGAAGAAGATCTGAAGAATTTTGTGGCTTTTACAACTTTCGATCCTAGTTCAGATACAGATTCTGCGTCAGTCTCTGCATCAGCGTCTGCAACAAGGTCTGCTTCAGCATCTGCAACAGGGTCTGCTTCAGCATCTGCAACAGGGTCTGCATCAGTGTCTCCAACAGGACCTGCACTTAAAAGTGAAAACGATGAATGCGAGAGTGATGCAGAGAGTATTGATGATGAAGAATTTGCTGAGAATTACAGAGTTTTATATGAGCATTGGCTTAAAATGGTTGAGGAGAATTCAGTGTTAACTAAGGAGAAACTTAAGTTAGAGGCCAAAGTCATTGAAGCACAAAAATATGCTGCAAAAAAAGAAGAAGAAGCATCACAAGCTAAAGTACAACTTGAAGAAACTCAAAAGAATTTGAGGATGCTTAATAATGGCACAAAGAAGTTGGATCATATTCTGAATATAGGCAAAATAGATAAGTGTGGCCTAGGATTTAAAGGAAGTCTTTCCAAATCGGATCCGGTGTTCGTTTATGGTGGTAAAATCACGTCTGCTTCAGGAACTGACACAGAAACTGCAGCAGGGACTGCAATTAATGCAAAGACTGTATCTGATACGAGAACTGATACAGAGTCTGATTCAGGAAAAGTTAAAGAACTGCAGAGTGCACCTCGACAAGTTTTTCGACCTGTTTGCCATCATTGTGGTGTTGTTGGGCATATTAGGCCAAGGTGTTTCAGATTGTTGAGGGAGAGAAATCGAATGGAGAATGCTTATGATAAGAGATTTCATGGTCCTACATGTTATCATTGTGGAGTTCAAGGGCATATTAAGAGGAATTGTTTCAGATTCATTCGAGAATCCAGTCATGAAGGCTTAAGGCGCAGGAAGATTTGGGTTAGGAAAGATGATTTCTATGGAGGTGGTGTACTAGGCTATCAACCTCGTATTGCAAAACGGGGAGAATTTTCTAAGTAGTTTTGACCATGTTGTGACTCATTCAGGGGGAGAATGTTGATGTGTTTCGTGATGTTGTTTTGGAGTTAGAACTGTTGAGTTCACAAACATAGTCAAAAAGGGGGAGAATGAAGATGTAGCTGCAGTCTGATGAAGTTGTTGAATGAGTCAAGAAGTAATACAAGATTTTGTCTGATGGAGTTTCTGAATGATTCAAGAAGTAAGTCAAGATGCGACTGTTTTTGTGTGAGTGTCGGTTTCTAGAAGGTTTGAGAAGATATGTTTGGAGCGTGTTTAGAGGATGAATCACAAAGGAAAAAGGACTTAAAGAGATTTGGAAGACTTGATGAAAGTGGAGTTTGATGAGAAAAAGGAAAAGTATAAAAGGAAATTTACTTTTTCTTATGGAAATTGGAAATCTTCTCCTATGGTGATTAGAAAATCGTTTTGGCTATATAAGGAGGAGTGGAGGACGTCTTTGAGAAGCAAGAGAGCTGAGGCATAAAGAAGAAATCTTTGAGAGCTTTCGGTGAGGTTGTGTGCAACTTAGTTTTGCGGTTTGTGCTTGTGTGATCAAGTGGTTTTGTTTTGAAGTCTAGGCTCAAGGGGAGTTTAGCTCAGGGTTAGGTTATCCTGATTAAATCTAGACTCAAGAGGAGTTTAGTTAAGGGTAGAGATTATCCTTAAGGTTTCACGTTATAGAAGGGAGCGGTAAATCAAGAGGGTTGGGCTTGTTTTACGCGTTTGCGAATTGGTTGTAATTTGCTTTCTTGTTCTAGTGAAATCGAATCTGGACTTGGTCCCGGGGAGTAGGAAAAACCGAACCTCGTTAACAAATTTCTTGTCTCGTTTACTTTCCGCAATTTATTTGACCTCATCCGCACTTTCAGTATTTTCTTATCAAAATATTCCTACAAGTGTTAGGAGCTAAGGTAAATAAATTGAGATTTGTTTGCATATTTATCGACAGTATATATATAACACACTTTTGTCAATTATAGGCAACAACATCATTTTTCAATCGACACTTGGTGAACATAACGACATGTGTTTCAAACGTTATGGGTCCTGTGGAAGAAATCAGTTTCCATGGACATCCTGTCGCTTACATTTCTCCAAGCTCTTATGGACACTCACATGTACGTCTTTTTTGTTGCGTAATTTGGTTTAATTTAAACGGTAAGCTTTTCTTTTTAATTGTTTCTTGTTTTTTTTTTTGTTTGATAGGCATTGTTGATACATTACACAAGTTATGCTGAGGAAATGACAATCACGATAACGGTTGATCCTACTGTAATACCGGATCCTCACAAGATTTGTGATGATATGGAAGAATCACTGAAAACAATGAAAGCTGTTCTTTGGGAAAGAGGGTTACTCTAAGGCGCATGAGGCCTATTAGTTATAAAAGACAAGATATATTTTTGTTTGGTAATAAAGTGTTTTATTATAAGCTTTCAATATTTTCTTTTGTAGTATCAATTGGAGTAAGAATAAATTGAAGGGTCGGTTCAATTTTCTTGGAAACAATAAAGTTATTTTAACTGTGTTTTTTACTTTACAAATAGTTAAAATACTGTTTCCACAATACAATCAAAGAAAAGCAAAATCACTCTCTTACTCAACAACTAGTCATCAAACATACATAATGCACAACAAAGTGCTAACTAATTAACTAGACTTCTTGCTCTCCAAGATGTTTTGCTTGGCTCCTACAAATGCAACAAGCTCTTCAACAGAAACCTTACACGCATCTTTTCTAACACCAATGTCGTAAAACAGACGACCAATACAGTAATTACCATATTCAGCCAAAGCCAAACCACCAATACCAGGAACTACATATTTAACTGTCGAAGAAATAACCTGGTTAACAACAGAAACCACAGAATCATCTTCTTGACCACTAGTATTCTTTTTCACACCTAAAACCTTAAGTGTCAAAGCAACAACACCACCAGCTGCAGACACAGAATTGGCTTGACCACTACATCCAAACTTGGTAGCAACCGATAACACAAACAAACCAGTTTTGCAATAAATCGCAAAATCTTCACAATTATTGTCTAAAAGATCGTACTCACCAAACCCATTTTGCAAAAGAAGAAATTTAGCACGAGAAATGACTTCATCACAAGGATCTGAAGATGCTATCGTGCATGTACCACCTCTTTTAGCTAGAAAGATTGACGGAGAGGCACTGTATTCGAAGAGGTAAAGATTTCCTCCGGCGAGAAAACAATCAAGACAAGAAGAGATTACACCACCGAGATTGGATTGATCTCCACAATCAAGACACTTATTGTCCCTTCTTCCATGATTTGGTATTGAAATATCGATGATCTTGTCCAAAACTGTTCCTGTTCCGAATTCTAGACCACCTCCACGAGTGAAATGAATGACTTTCTCATCTCCTACGTAGATTCCTGAAAATTTGCAAACAGAGAAATCGCGTTATGCAAAACCAAATTATGTGATCTTTTGTAAAATCTAGAAAATATCTAAGATCGAGCGTAAAGAGATAGAGAGAAAGAGATGGAACCGTGATGAGAGTAGATATAAACGTTACGCCATGAATAGATGTGATCGCCTGGTTTCAGATCATCTCTCGAGATCTTGTGGGAGAACAATCCCATCTTCTATACTTCTTTTCTTAGCGAGAGAGAGAGAAGAGAAGTTGATCCGAGTTTGCTTAATGAGTTGGGTTTTCTTGATTTTCTCTTTTTCGTGGATCTGTTTTATATATTACAAATTTTTGTAAGATAACATGGCTTCCAACTATGGAAACTTCAAAACAGTCATCAAATTAATTAATTACAAAACAGCAAATAAATGAGACATTATGACACGCAACTTGTGAGATACGTGTCTTCTTAAGACACGGTGTTAGACCATCTCCAATGAGGATGTCTCACCCAATGTCTTGTAAATAAAATAATGAAAAAAATAGAAAAAAGAGGAGAGAGAAGGAGACACGTTTCTCCTGCGAGAAATCCTGAGACACTCTTAAAAAGCCATTTTGCCAAGTATTTTAATTTGATTGGTGTAATCTATATATAATAGCAATCTAATAAATACCATTTGCACATCTGAACGGTTGCGTCTTTTTATCGCAACTTTTCGTTAATGTTTTTATTAATTAAAATATATATTTTACGGTTATATTTTTTTTATAAATTGCATTCTGAATGTTTTCTACGGTTGCGTTTTTTTTGTTGTAACTCTTGATAAACAGTTGAAACCGCTTATTCGGATCATTGCAATATTTAGTTTATTTTACGAACAATTGCAACTTTTGGTTTATATATTTAGTTTATTTCACGAACAATTGCAATTTTTGGTTTACTTTATAAATAGCTATAACATTTAATTATCTACCGCCGCGTCTCTCGGTGTAACTTTTAATAAATTATTATTTTAATTCTTAATTTTTAATTACTAAAATGTATTTAAATGAGATTGTAACTATTTAATTTAACTGTTTCAACATTTGGATTATTTGACGAATTATTGCAACTTTTGGTTTTGTGTTACGAACCATTTTATCTTTAGTATATTTGATGAACTATTGCAACATTTGGTATAATTGACGAACCGTTGCAGATTTTGGAGTATTTGATATCTACGGTTGCATTTCTCGGATAAGTTCGTCATATTTTTTAAAAATATTTAATTACTAAAATATATTTAAATGAATTGTTGTTACCGTTTAATTTAACACAATAGCATTTGGTTTATTTGACGTTGAACGTTTTGTCTTATTTATCAAACCATTGTAATATTTGGTTTATTAGTTTAAGCTTTTTGCACTTGGGAATAGTTTTTTAGTTACAAATTATTGTTTTTCTAATATTAATATACTTAATAAATGCTTGTGAGGGTTTTCTTTATCATAATTTTTGTAAAATATATATTGATTTGTTATTAAAAAATTCAAAATTATTACAATTCATTATGAATTTTTCGTTTGATATTTTTTTAAATGATTTTTGAAATATATTCCCCCGCGATGTCGCGGGGGTCCTGAGTCCTAGTTTAATTAATTGTTTCAAATTTAATCAAAAAATAAAATCATAATAACAATAATATTTTTTAAGCATCAGACACTCTTTTTTGAGACACTCACTGATGGAGATGCTCTTAACGCGTTGGACTTATATTACTCTTTTTAGTTAGTTTGATGTTTGTTTAGTTCTGTTTTGTTAGGTTTGGTCTCCTGAGTCCTGACCGAGAACTAACCATAAAATTTTAACCCTAAATTGAAAACGGTCTAAAATAGACCTTAGACAATCGCATACTTATGAGTTATGGCTAAAGCCGATTGTTGGGTTGCACCATACCAGGTTATAATTATATAAAATGTTATGTTTGAGAAGAAAATAGAAAGTGAGAATTCAACAAAAGAATGAGCAAAGTTACTACACAACACAAACTAGGCTTCAACAACGGAAACGGTCATTCGGCTTCTTCTGGCCTTTTTCAAACACTTTTGTTTATTAGACATCAAAAACGTTCTCATACACTTATCACTTACACTTAAGCCTTCATTCTATCAAATCGCACGTTCTGATTTCTACATCCGACTCAACCTCGTCATACCCATCTTCTTCGCAATCTCTCTAAGTACAAACTTCATAACCTTCCCTGTCGAAGTCTTAGGCAACTCATCCACAAACGACACCGTTTTAGGCACCATATATCTCGGCATCTTCTTCCTACAATACTCCACCATCTCCTCCTCCGTCGGTCTCCGACTCAGACCACTTTTCAAACTCACAAAAGCACACGGCGTCTCTCCCCAAAACTCATCAGGTCTCGCCACCACCGCCACTTCATTCACCGCCGGATTCGTATACAAAACCGCTTCAACCTCAACACTACTCACATTCTCACCTCCCGTTATAATTATATCTTTTGATCTATCCTTAATCTCTAAATAACCATCGGAGTGAATCACACCAACATCTCCGGTGTAAAACCACCCGTTCTTTAAAGCTTTCTCTGTTCCCATCGGATCTTTTAAGTAACCGAGCATGATCGAGCTTCCTCTCATCACTATTTCTCCGACGGTTTCTCCATTTCTCTCAACGCTCCTACCTGATTCAGGATCCACCACGTCGATTTCTGTAAACCCGACGGTTCTCACTCCTTGCCGTGCCTTCAACCTCGCTCGATCGCTCGCCGGTAAACGATTCCACTGTGGCTTCCACGCGCAGGAGACGTTTAATCCGGCGGTTTCTGTTAACCCGTAACCGTGACTGATCACGAATCCGATTGATTCCGCTCGGAGGAGAACTGCGGCTGGAGGTGGAGCACCGGCGGTTAATATGTTGACGGGACGGTTCAACGGCTGAGATTCTTGAGTCGCAGATAACATGTTGAGCACCACCGGAGCTCCACACATGTGTGTGACGCCGTGATCACAGATCAAACGGTAGATTAACGGCGCGTCGAATTTACGCAAACAAACGTTAGTTCCTCCGACGGCGGCGATTCCCCATGGATAACTCCAACCGTTAGCGTGAAATATCGGTAGAGTCCATAAGTAAACCGGATTTTTCGGTACGGTCCAATCGATTAGTGAATCAATTGACATTACGAAAATTCCTCTGTGGCAGTGTACCACTCCTTTAGGAGCCGAAGTTGTACCGGAAGTATAATTGAGCACAACCGGATCCCATTCACTTTCGGGTCGGATCCATTTGAAACCCGGATCACCTCTATGGATCAGATCATCGTAAGTGTAATTAAATTTTGTACGATCCGCCACGTCAGCATCTCCTCCTTCCTCTTCTTTATCGGCGATGAAGACGAGAATCGGTGGATCAGTCGTCATCATCGAGATTGCTTCGACGGCGAGATCAACGGAGAAGACGTCGACGAAGAGAAGCTTAGATCCACAGTGACGGAGAAGAACAGAGACGGTGCGAGCGTCGAGACGTGTGTTGATGTTGTTTAGGATTGCGCCGGACATCGGAACAGCGAACTGGAGCTCGTACATAGCCGGAGTATTGGGAGAGAGAACAGAGACGACGTCGGACCTGCCGATCCCGATTGAAGATAGAGAAGACGCGACGCGGAGGCAACGGAGGTTTGTTTCACGCCACGTGTAAATGGTGTTACTTCCATAAACGATGGAGGTACAGTCACCGTAAACGGTGGCGGCTCTCTCTAAGAAACCTATTGGCGTCAACGGCGGCGAGTTTGCGCCACATGGCTTCATATCCTCCATCTCTTAGAAGAATTCTTGAGGTGGTAAACTGTTTTTTTTTTTTGTTGGTTTTTTCTAGTTTCATTTCCTTTTAAATAAAGATAGTTATCCATAAGATAAAATAAAAAAAGAGTTTCGTGATTATCTAGGATACCTTGGTGATGACAATGGCGATAAGGTTTAAACTGATCTAAAGCCAATTGGCATGTTAGATGTCGATTCTTTCCCATATATGAAAATAATTAACAAACTTTTTTTTTTTTTTTTGATAACCCAGTATCCAGACCACACAGTGACCTGACTAGCCCACTGGGCCTAAGCCCGCGTCACAGGGATTTTTAAGCCTCCACTTAAGGGCCCCCTGATAAACTGGTGGTCTGGGGCGCCTGAGCAAGTCCGCAGGTAAATTCCCAGGTGGCCACAGGAGTGAGAGAGCGAAACTGCGTCTGGGGAGGATCGATCCCTGGCCTAGACCAACAGGGCGATCCTTCCAACCAAACGAGAACCACTCGCCCACCACCATGTGGTTATAATTAACAAACTTATTTGACTTTGTAGCAGTCTTTGGTCAAATCTACGTATAAAAAGTAAATTTTTAATTTTCACCTATAGTTTTCCTTCAACATATTTTCCCACAATTAAGTAATTAACAAATTTTGAAATGTAAAGATTTTTAAGATTACGACGATGATGTGTATAGATAGTAGATATTGTGGGCAGCTGATAGAGGCAACATGTAGTGGACGTGCCGGAGTGGTTATCGGGCATGACTAGAAATCATGTGGGCTTTGCCCGCGCAGGTTCGAATCCTGCCGTTCACGCTTTTTTTATTGCATATTTTAAGATATATACACAATTCGCACGTGTTGTGTGATCAATGACGCATAAACTTGGTCACTTGTCGTTTTATTTTCTCTCTTCATCTGTTGTCTATCTTCACGAATTTAAGGTCCCACGTAAACCACGCTCAAAAGAACGAGTCATCCATCATTAAATATTTAAATGCCAAAGGGACGATGATGACACTGCACTCCTTTTAGAAGAGACGCGCATGGGCAGGCGTTTGGGGGCGTGTATAAAAAATTCTCTGGATTTTATACAACGATTTTGCAATATTTTTGGAAGTTTGAGCTAATTTTGATGAAAAGACTAAATGAAATCAAATCAATGTTTATAAAGCTTTAAGCATTTAGCGAGCTAAGATGGATTCATGATTCATCATTAACTGATTAATCTGCTCTGTCTCTCTACTACAATCAAAATCTCATTATCTCTAAATCATCTTCCATACATGTTAATAACCATAAAACAAAACGATTCATGTATCCTCAACATCCTTTCTTATACCAAAAGAAAAGAGTGTGATAACAAAAACACAACAGTTTCTGGTGAAAATCCACAAGCATATATCATATATGTATATATGTCTTAACCCCTAATAATCCGTAACAAAGTAAAAGTATTCATGCCTCCTAAGCTTGTCTATTGCAGTCATTGAAAGCTTATGCTGTTGATACTATAGGATATGGTATAAAACAAAAAACCTACTACAAGCCAAACTTTTTACAAGACACACCATACCAGAAGACTTTGCACTTCCTTCTACGCCTCAATCAAAAACCTAATGCCCATCGATTTCTTCGTGGTCCAAATATCGATTGGATATCTTCAGATTTCTTCTGCATTGTCGGATGGATTTCTTCAGATTGCCTCTGCATTGTAAGAGTTAATGAAACAAAGTAAGAACACTGATTTCAAAACTTCAGCAACAAGTTTCAAGCAAAAACAAAACCCAAACATTCATATACAAAGATTCTTCGACTCAAGAAGTTACATCAAGATTCAATGAGCTAGGAACATAGACAATCTCGCCTCTTCTAAAGAATTGTGGTTAAAGAATCTAAAACCCTTTTTCACAAAGTTATTGACTCAAACAAATTTGGGGAAAAATCTAAACCCTAGCTATTTGACACTAGCAATTTCCCAAATACAAAATTTCCAAAATCAAGCTCATGAAATTGCAACAACGTACCTCCAAATCACGGGGTCTAGAGAAATCAACCGCACGAGGTTGAGATTCCGCGGCAGTGCAATCTCGAGGAGACTCAAAGAGCGAGAGAGAAAGCTGCTTATCAGCAACACCGACATCAAAGTGAATTAACCCAGAGCTCTCCGGATCCACATGTATTCCTTTAACAGCAAACCACAAGAACAGCTCCTTCTGCGTCACACCCGATAAATTCCCGATCCGTCCATCGGAAAGAACGCCGGAGATGTTATAGTCGAAGTGGAACTGATTCTCGAATTTAGCATCGCAAGGAACAGGGAGAGCGACAGTGAAACGACCCGTTTTAACGTCGATCGAGAAATTAGTAACTCCTTTTGGAACTATTCCGGCGGGAAGATTGCTTTCCCGGAGATAATCGTAAAACGACGGATCCGGTAACGAGGAAAGCTGAGGAAAGAGAATCGAAGAGAAGAGAGCGATGATGATGAAGGAGAGATCTCGACTTGAAGTAGCCATTGAATTAAAAACAGAAATTGTCAAGGCTAAAAAAAGTAGAAAGCGTTTTCGATTGCTATGAGGAAGAAGAGAGGCGGTTGAAGTTGCCTCTGTCAACAAACAATCCGTTTCTTTCTAGAGATTAATTTAATTGTTCATTAATTAATCATCAATTTTCCTTTTCGTGTTGGGCCCTTATTAAGCCCATAATGAAGTTGGGCTTGTATTCTGAAATTGGAAAAATTGGAATATAACAGAACAAGAAGAGTTCGTGTATATAGCAAAGAAATGAAAACAGAGCTTATGAAAAAAATGTCTCATCTTTTTTTTTTTTAAACGAATAGGGAGATACTAAAAAGTAAAAACTGATTCTTCCTCACCAAACTAAGAAACCTAACAGACTTTAACAGTGACAACGAAGCGGAAACATTTTTAGAAGTCTCAGCAAATTGTTTTACCAAAGCAGAGATTGAATTTTTAGTAGAGCTTCTTTTCTCCATTTCTCATGGTGCCGATTCTACGGTTGAACCACAAACAGAGGCTGTCAAATCGAAAAAAAACATCGATATCAGTAGAGAAAGTGGTTTAAATATAACCTTTCAATTGAAATGATGAAAGCGTATAAACTAGTTCTAGTAAAACACACAAAATGCGGTTTTTGGTTGGAGAAAGTTGTTTTTCCCTTTTTAAGTAAAGATAGAGAGAATTAGTAAACTTACAGTGTCGAGGCTGACAGGCTTGCCGTCTTCTGCGACAATATCGACTACGGTTCCTGTATGGTCAGACTGAGGAGAAGAAGTTCAAGTTTCAGAGTCAAATCAATGGCACACGTTAAGCAGAAGTATTCATCCAAATTTAATTGACAAGTGAAAAACGGAGTTTGGTCATATATCTAGAAGGCAAATCATATGAAGTTTATGGACAAGAAGATGGCTTAAGTGGGATTGAACATATTAATTTACTGTAAGGATTTGGTAAGAGATGATTCGAAATAGCTAGGGTAGTAGATAAAAAGTTCACACGGTAGTCCATTTTCAGATGATTTAGAAACTCACCTCTATTTCATTCATTAACTTCATGGCTTCAACAATGCATAGAACTTGTCCCTTCTGCACTTTGTCTCCAACCTGAATCACCAAGAAAGTTATATGGCACGAATTCAGACAGTGAAATGCAGCAGACCTGAATTTGCAAAAATTGCTATTTATGACAACTCCGTTTTGTTGGATTATCTCATTAGACTCAATATCGATTTCAATCTTCTTCTTTCAAATATATAAAACACATAACAGATTCCGGAAGCGTACTTCGCCAAATGAAAAGATGTCTCAACCAAAAGCGCATGTCTTAATTTCAGAGAAGATATTAACTTTCTTGTTATTTATCAAATATCCTACCTTAATAAAGGGTGGTTCACCAGGTGCAGGACTACGGTAGAATGTGCCAGCCATAGGGCTTTTAACAGTAGGAAGCGATGATTTGGCTGGAGTAGGTGGGGATGGTGGAGGCAGGGTGGCTGGCGTAGAAGGGGCTGGTGAGGCAGCAGCAGGTGCAGGGGGAGGAGCCATTTGTTGTGCATAAGATGGTTGATTTGGTTGCTGCATCATAACATACGATGCAGGAGCTTGAGGTTGAGGTAAGGCTTCTTTTTTACGAATGACTAGTTCACAGTCAAGTTGTTTCAACTGCAACTCGACGATGTCTCTCGAATCCACAAGCCTTCATGATGAAGATGAGTATCAAATCATGGTTAAAAATGATTAAGTAATAGAACAGAGAAACTGTACTCACTTGACAAGAGTTGTTACTTGGGTAAGGAACTCAGAAATAGACTCTTCTGTAGCTAATTCAGGTGAAGAAGAAGAAGAAGAAGACGAGTCCTTCAACGTGGTTTTCTCCTTTCCTTCAGCTGATGGCTCATCAATTTTGGCAGCATTTGATGGTGCACCAGTACTAACCTTTAAAGGCAGGAGAAGATTCCAGAAATGAACAAGTTTTTGGAGAAACACTTTCTCAAAGAGATCACTAAAAAAAGAGCTTACCTTGTTAGATTGTGCCTTCACCACAGGGTAGCTACTGCGACTAGGCTGCAATTTTATATATCAAAAGGAAATCACTAATGGAATAAAAATCCCCAAATCACGATTTGTACACATAAATCTGGAAATCGGATTTTATCATTCTTCTCGGAAAAAAGTATTCGAACATATATACAGAGAGAATCAAATCGGAAAATGCAGATAAACACTAATCGACGAAGATTAGCCAAAAAGAACCTGAGCAAATTGAAATTATCCAGAATTCGAAAAACTAAAAAACCACATTGCACGAAATCTTCTCTTAAATCAGAGAGAAATTGGGAAGGAATCGTGTACCTTGGAGAGAAAGCGAAGCTTGGGCTTAGCAGAGAGACGGAAAGTAACTCTGCGAGAGCGGTTTGGGATTGGAAAGTGCGACGAGGTTTGAGTGACTGCATAGACGGTAGCAGCAGCCGGAGACGTGACTGAGAACGACGAAGACGCCATTCTTCTTCTTCTTGTTATTGGTTCAGATCGGGTTTAGGTTCTCTCTCGATGAAACCAAAGAGCACAACAACAGTTCACTTCAGAGAGAGAGAGAGAGAAGATGTCGGACTCGGAACGCGTTTCTCTTTCATTATAACTCTCTTTCAGATTTCGCCACGTGTCATACTCTGATCTGTTGTTCTGTATTTGCGATTACCCCCAATCCTTGTACACTAGCGTATTTTAATTTTTACCTTGAAGAATTTAAATGAATTGTTATTATTTTTTTTGGTCATCTGAATTTAAATGAGTATTCATATTTAGGAAATTACATTTTCTTTGGAGGAAGACATATTTATTACATAAAGATTGCATTCAAATGATATTAATGTTGTTGGTATCCCCAAATTTTATAACAAAGTATGAATAGATCCAAATACATTAGCCTAATATAAAATTTAAATATAAGGCCAGATTGGATTTGGTGAACAACTAAATGACTTATGAATAATTTAGTTGGAAGTTGGAACATCCGTTGAAAACAAAGCACAAAAATCAAACATGTAAGCCAAACTATAAACAAGCTGCATCTATTTCAACAATCGGGCCCCTGAAATTAAAATCCATCTTAATCCCTGAATTAAATCTATTGGGTGACCTCAATCAAAAATAGCCAATTTGCTTGGTTATATGAACTTATGATGCATAAACAATTCAGCTCATCATTTCATACCTTTCCACCATTTATACATACATAGTTAACCACAAATTCCGGTTAAGGGAACAGAAAGAGTTACATACATAGAACCAAACCAATTACATGGATGGAGTATGATCCTAATACTTTACATAATGAGTGATATAGAGAGAGAGAGACTCAGCCTGACCTTGCTGCTTCAATGGCTGCAAGTAAGTCTTCATATTTTGCCCCGGTCACTTCCTTTACTACCTTGTTGTCCTTCAATATCTTAAAGGTTGGAACCACTCTGATTCCGAGCTCCTTTGCCAATGGCTGCAAGCAAGAGTTTTTGCGTTATGAAATAAGTAACATAAATATAAAGACACATTCCGCGCAAAAAGAAGAACAAACCTTGTTTTCTTGGTTGCAGTCAAGCTTAAGAAACACCATGTCCTGGTACTTCTCCGATAGCTCTTTGTATTTGGGAGCAATCACTTTGCAAGGACCACACCTGCAAAGAGCCAAAAGAAGGATTGAAAAAAAGAGAGGCAAACTTTGATTTTTCTCAACACCAAAACAAAACATTTATTAGTAAACTCATTTCCAGCATTCATGATGGAACAGCTTTTAGGCTTATTTATTAAATGTACATGCTTCTCCAGAAAGTGTTACTATTCATAATTTCATATCCTTTTGTATCCAATATTCCTAACAAACCAAAAATGAATTTAAATGAATGTTCACAGAGAAGCAGAAGCCTGATAATGTGAAGATTATGGGTGATACTTACAATGCTGTACCTTTTGAACACAATTGAAAGTAACAAGGGGATCGAATACTAGCCCTAGACTATCGAAGCTACACAATATAAGAAGCAAACTGAGTTTCATAGACAAGACGAGCTAAATATAGGCCAAGAGAAGCAAAGGAGATGGTTAGTTGGACCAGGGCATGATTCTGTTGTAGCAAGAATTGGGAATTGAGAATTAAAGACATGAGGGTCAGCCAATGCAAAGTTCTAAGCTAAACAACTTAACAAAGTTATTTCAACTGTGAAATATCAAATCAGTAAACAAGTTTCAAACCCTAATTTCCAACGACTGATCCAAAACCTATCAACAATCTAGATTCAAACAAACTGTACATTGAATTTTTCAATTCCGCGAACATCTGACGGAATCAAGTAGTTCCAAACACTAGATTGCAATCAAGGAATTCAAAAATTCGCACCAACAACAAGAAGAAGTGATCGAAAAGTTACCACTGAGTGTACATGTCGAGGACAACAATCTTATCACCGGCGGCTTTAACAATTGGCCAGAAAGTGTCCTTATCAACCTCCGTCACCTGGCCGACACTGACATTCACTGTTTCTAAGCTACACCTCACCACATACGAACCACTTCTCTTCCCGGAATCTAAAACACCACCACCACCACCAGAACAGAATCCGATTTTCGTCACGACGCCGGAATTAGGGATCTGGCAGTGCTGCTTCACGAGGGGAAATCCTCCGACGGAGGTAGATGAAGTCGGAGAGTAACGGAAAGATGTCGGAGATGGAGCGAGTCGGAGAGAGAGAGGCATTGTTGAAGAAGAAGAAGCTCGAGTCCAAAACAGTAGTGTGATCTTTCAAAGGACCACCCTGTGAGAGACTCTTTGATTTCCAAATTAATTCGAGTATTGTTCTGATTGTTATCGTTATCCGTGAAATATCGTGGATTTTCTTACTGTGAGGTCAATAATACCCTTAAATGGATAACGAAGAAAGACGACATTTGGGGGTGTTTACGTATTTTCGGGTCTTCGTGTTCGATGGACGCGAAGTTGTAGAATAAATCGGAGGATTATTTGTTGCAAATGACGATCATGTCCCCACAACTATAACTTTGGTTTTTGAACAGAGACCATAGATTATTTTTGGAATTATTTTTTGCTATTTTTGAGCCGGAATTGGATGTACAAATCAGATAACAATTGTCCCTGTTCTTTTGTAATGATACAACCAACATTATTACGAAAGGCTTTAAATCTTGAGATAGTCATTGTCTACGGGATTAAACACATGAGCAGCCTCTTGCTCGATAAACCTCAACTGTCCTTTTGTAAGATGCAAATAAACTATCCAATCTCCGGCGCCATCGGTCTCCACCGGACTAGGCATTGTCATCACGTAACCAGCTCTGCTTCCGGGTGGAAGATGGTACGAGCCAAAAACAGGCGAGCCCCACCCGAAATCAATCTGGGTCACCGGAAAACTCTTTCCAGAGGAAACCACGAAAGCGGGTCCATCGTTTAATCCAGTACCGTATATCCTTGATAGAACCGGTATCGGACGGCGAGTCTCAATCCAATCGATCAAGTTCAAGAAATGGTCTTTGGTCATTGTACTCTCCAGTACCTTGTGAACCTCGTCGTTCACCCAAGACAGTGGCTTGTGGATCAAGTCATCGATCCTCTGCTCTCCAAATGGAACCGAGAGAACATTCCCAAACTAATTGCAGTTTTCTTGCTCCATAAGTTTCTTCCTTCCGTCAACAACGATGCCAAGTTTCGAGTTTTTAGTCGGGAGTACCGAATCTGTTGCTGCGTGTTTAGCCAAGAGTTTCCATAGAAATGCGCTGAAAGACTCGAGTTTCGTCCTCTTACCATTGCTAGCCAGAGTTTGAAGCTTTGCTAAGACATCTGCTTTGATGTAATAGATACTGCTTGTGAGGATATTATCTTCATCAGTGATTTCTTGTGGAACGGTCAAGGACGTTAGAGGCATGTACATTTGGTCTATTGATGAGTCGATGATCAAAGGTCGTCGTGGGTCTAACAGAGATCTTTTGAACGAAGGAACATAAGAGATTGGTACATCGGATCGAGAGATCTCGGCCCACGATACGAGGAACATGTTCATGGAATACGCATCTGCTATACGGTGATCAAATGTGCATCCCACAACTACGCTCCCACATTTCAGTTCAGTTACCTATTCAGACAAATTGAAACAATAACAACCAGCAAAGAAAAGAAAAACAGAGTTATGTTAATAACAACCAACAAAGACAAAAAAACAGAGTTATGTTGTTACAGCTGAATTAGTAAAAGTATTTTGCACAAAAAAGTAAAAGTATATGAATATAGGTAATCTTTGAAGGTGTGAGATGCAGAGTATAGATAGATACTTCAATTTTGTTTCTTTATGCAAAACTAGAATCCCAAAACTTATTTAAATATGTATATGTTGTTTTGAAAATAAAATTAATTAGATTAAGACATATCATGAAGCCAGCTTTCTTGACTATTCTTTTTTTTTTACTATTCTTTTTTGACTATTCTATTACGGGAAAAATGTCATTTAAATCATCAGTTGGCTATTTCCGTTGATTTAAAGCATGAACTCTGCACCTGGTCATTAAAATGCTCAATTTTATGTTGACTTTTAATTTAATCACGAATTCTCGATGACAAAGCCAATTGAAACACAAAATCGGAATCGAAAAAAGAAAATTGATATCAAAATTAGAACTTCATAATTAAAATTTCTCTCGATTTCTTCTCTAATCCTCTCGATTTCTTCTCAAATCCCGATTTAATCTTAGTTTCTCAAGATTTCTTCTTTCGATTTCGATTTTATGTCTCAATTAGCTTTTGTCTATGAAAATTCGTGATTAAATTGAAAGTCCACAAAAAATTGAGCATTTTAATCATCAAGAATATAGTTCATGCTTTAAATCAACGAAAATAGCCAACTGATGATTTAAATGATATTTTTCCCGTTCTATTACCTGAATAGCAAAGACTCCATGCTTTTTCATGGGAACAAACTTGGCAATACTTTGATAAGGATCATACAAGTTAAGCTCCCGGAGCTCCACGTCAGCAGCGGCTTCCACAAACTCCACGCCACCGTTACTGCAGAGAATCACGGGCTCTCCGGTGGTGGGATTGATCACGACCTCGCCGGCAAGAACGTAGTAGGAGACGAGAGCATCGGCCAAAGCCGTTTTGAGAGCATGATTATTGGTAATGTTATAAAGTGGTTTCTTGTAGAAGAAGCAAACGTTGATATCGACAGGAGGGAGAAGGAGGTCGAGGTTGGAAAGAGGGATAATCCTATTCTCTGGCAAAGAGAGAAGAGGAGCAGCCGCGACTACAACCTCGTTCCTCGTGGTGGTCACGTTGAAACCACGTGCTTCGGATTTAGTCACAGATCGGTTATGATATCTAAATCTGTTCAAGAACTTCGAGCCGTGGAGAGAAGAAGAAGAGTGAATGATCATTATTGTTTTTTTTTTTGTTTTTTTTTTATCTTTTGTTTGTTCACGAAAGGGAAATGAGCCCAAAAATACCTTATCCAGAATCCAACAATGTACTTATCAACTTTAACCAAAAGAAAAAGTTAAATGTTGGATTTATAAGACCGAAAAATACTCGAACCGGCATGAAGAAAACCGGGTCTCCGGTTAATAAAGCCACCGGCAAATTTAAAATTCATCTTTCGTCGTCTTCGTCCCGTACATTCGCCGCTGCTCTAAAATCAACAACGATGTTCCTTCCCCGCGTGAACGGCACGCGCTTCCCTCCACTCGTAGCTTCTCGTCGTCTCTTCTCCGCCTCCGCCGCTTCTCTCCAGCAATACTGCACGGAGAAACCACCGATCAAACCGTGGCCGCAGAGGCTATTCCCGAAGCGATTAGTCTCCATGATCACCCAACAGCAGAACATCGATCTCGCTCTCCAGATATTTCTCTACGCCGGTAAATCCCATCCCGGTTTCACTCACAATTACGATACTTACCACACAATTCTCTTCAAACTATCCCGTGCTCGTGCTTTCGATCCCGTGGAGTCTCTCATGGCGGATCTTCGGAATTCATACCCGCCGATTAAATGCGGCGAGAATCTCTTCATCGACTTGCTTCGAAACTACGGTCTCGCTGGTCGATACGAATCTTCAATGAGGATCTTTCTTCGAATCCCTGATTTCGGTGTTAAACGCTCTGTTCGATCGTTAAACACACTCTTAAACGTTCTAATCCAGAATCAGAGATTTGATTTGGTTCATGCCATGTTTAAGAACAGTAAGGAGTCTTTTGGAATCACGCCCAACATCTTCACTTGTAATCTACTAGTGAAAGCTCTCTGCAAGAAAAATGATATAGAAAGTGCATATAAAGTGCTCGACGAAATTCCCGCTATGGGTTTGGTGCCAAATTTGGTGACTTACACTACGATTTTAGGTGGGTACGTTGCCAGAGGTGATATGGAATCGGCTAAGAGGGTTTTGGAAGAGATGTTGGATCGTGGGTGGTATCCGGATGCGACCACTTACACGGTTCTCATGGATGGTTACTGTAAGTTAGGGAGATTCTCTGAGGCAGCTACGGTGATGGATGAGATGGAAAAGAACGAGATTGAGCCAAATGAAGTAACGTATGGAGTTATGATCAGAGCTTTATGCAAGGAGAAGAAATCCGGGGAAGCACGTAACATGTTCGATGAAATGCTTGACAGAAGTTTTATGCCAGATTCTTCTCTTTGTTGTAAAGTTATTGACGCTTTGTGTGAAGACCACAAGGTGGATGAAGCATGTGGTCTGTGGAGAAAAATGTTGAAGAACAATTGTATGCCTGATAATGCGCTTCTGAGCACTCTCATCCATTGGCTTTGTAAAGAAGGGAGAGTTACAGAAGCGAGGAAATTGTTCGATGAGTTTGAGAAAGGCTCGATCCCTAGTCTCTTGACGTACAACACGTTGATTGCTGGAATGTGCGAGAAGGGCGAGTTGACAGAGGCGGGTAGATTATGGGACGACATGTTTGAGAGGAAATGTAAGCCGAATGCTTTCACATATAACGTTTTGATTGAAGGCTTGTCCAAGAACGGAAATGTTAAAGAAGGAGTCAGGGTACTTGAAGAGATGCTGGAGATTGGTTGCTTTCCTAACAAAACAACGTTCTTGATATTGTTCGAGGGGTTGCAGAAGTTAGGGAAAGAAGAGGATGCGATTAAGATTGTTTCAATGGCTGTTATGAATGGGAAAGTTGATAGAGAGTCTTGGGAACTTTTCTTGAAGAAGTTTGTTGGTGAACTAGATAAAGGGGTTTTGGCTCTTAGAGAGTTGTTGCATGAAATTTCTGTCTCTTGACGAACCAAGACTATGATCAATACTCAATGCTCAAAAGGCTTAATCGATGTCCTCAAGGTATCTATCTTACTCTTGACTCTTATGCGTTCGAGACCTTTAGATGCTTTTTTAATTTTACATATTAAGAATATTATATATAGGGCCAAAGACTCTTGTGGCAGTTGAAGGGAAGAGAAGCAGCGAGTCAAGGCCGCTTAAGATTCAGCATCCATGTTCCAGTTCAAGCTATCGTGATCATCAAGCAGCTGACATTGATGTATAAAGCGAATCAAGTCGCAAATTCACCTAACACCGCGATACTCGCCTTGTGTCCATCCCTAGTCTATTTGTTACTGTTTGATATCAATAATGTTTATAATGTTTTTTCTACAAAATTACAAAAATTAGTGAATTATCAGATTATTGTAACTAATTTAGGAAAAAACAGATTTTTTTTGTTTATTCTAAATTTTAGAATTGAAACAGATTTGAAATTGAGCATGGTTTAAATTTGAATCATAATTGTTAAGAGTTAAAGGACATGTATCTCTTAACAAAGTAAATAATCTTATTCTTCAAAATTCTACCAATTAACTAATTTATTAAAAAGCATAGGATTTTTATGAAAAATTAAAAGTTAAATGACACATATCATCACTCTAAAATTTAAACACTCATGATTATGTATCCCTAAAGAAAGTAATATAATCTGATTCACACAAAAATTCACTAATAAACTAATTTATTAAAAAGGATAGATTTTATTCAAAAAATACCAAGTCTTTGAGAGTTTAGCTTCAAAATGATCAAAATGGAAAAAGGAATTAATTTACTATACACAAACTTTTACATTTAAATCTACTTATTTTTATTCGTATTTTAAAATTCCGTAAGTTGCAAACATACAAAAATATTTTAAGATATATTTTGATGTCATATAACGAAATCAAACCATATTACAAATTAACGGTATAAAAAATTTAAATAATCGCGCGAATATTAACCTAGTTCATATTACAAAATAAAAAAAAACTGTGTTGTATATTTATAAGTTTGTTATAACAATTGAAAAAGCAAAAAAAAACAGAAACAAAGACACATCAAAATGTCTACTGCTTCACTATTTAGCTTCCCTTCATTTCATCTCAGATCCCTCCTTCTTCCTCTCTCTTCTTCTTCTTCTTCCTCTTCCCGATTTGCCCCTCTCCGTCTTTCTCCGATCCGATCTCCGGCGGCGAGGACTCAGCATTCTGTTCGCGCTTTCTCAGCTGTCACCATGACCGACTCTAACGACGCCGGAATGGATGCTGTTCAGAGACGACTCATGTTTGAGGACGAGTGAGAAATTTGATTCCTTTTCTTCGATTTTGATTTGGGTTTGCTTTATTAAGGAACCAACATTTAGGGTTTATTACTTTATCTGACAAATTTAGCTGAGACACTCTCTCTATGTTTCTAAGATATAGTGATATGTTTTGTGGAAGATGCTGAGCTTTTCTAAAATTTTGATTTTGTTTTTTAATCATGGATATGATCAAATGTGAGTGGCTGCTTGATGTTCTGAAGTTAGTATTCATGATGGCTTTTATTCAATTCAATCTCTCTTTTTGTTCCGCAGATGCATTCTCGTTGATGAAAATGATCGTGTGGTAGGCCATGACACTAAGTATAACTGTAAGTGAATTTGATTCTCATTCAATATCTCGGAGAAGAATGATGGCAACCTAAGCTGCTTTTGGATTCGTTTTTCTTGTTTTTCTTGTTTTTCTATTGAAACACATGTGTGTATCTTAGTAAACAGTTTCGATGCAACCTCGTGGTAATTTGCGTCTTTTAAAGTGTTAAATTTAGTTGTTCCAGGATAATACTGACTCCTTGTTTTGATCTGCAGGTCATCTGATGGAAAAGATTGAAGCTGAGAATCTACTTCACAGAGCTTTCAGTGTGTTTTTATTCAACTCCAAGTATGAGTTGCTTCTCCAGGTATTTTTTTATGATCACCTTGATGTGAAGACGACTCTAGGTTTAGAAATCCAGTATCTGAAAAGTTTTGTGCACCATTATATTCATATCATCTAGTCTCTTTGACACTCTAGTTCTGTAATGTCTGAAACCAGTCACACTGATAGAGAGATAAGTATATACTGTAGCTTCTGGTGGTAAGGCAATGGAGTCGGTCGTAAACTAGATTTAAGGAATTTGTTAGGCAATGCCCAAGGCTGTGAAAATCACCTAGCTTTTTTAAAAAAATTGTTGGTTGGGTTTTGGCTTTGCTTGCTTCAGATTGTATGACCATCCTATTGAAATTTTCTTCTTCTCTTATGGACAGCAACGGTCAAAAACAAAGGTTACTTTCCCACTTGTGTGGACAAACACTTGTTGCAGCCATCCTCTTTACCGTGAATCCGAGCTTATTGAAGAGAGTGTGCTTGGTATACATTTAAGCTTTTTATGAAACTTCGTGAATCTTTCAGCAGTGAGTAGCTACTACGTACTGATCTCCTCTATTTGATCTTTCCTTATCAGGTGTAAGAAATGCTGCACAAAGGAAGCTTCTCGATGAGCTCGGTATAGTAGCTGAAGATGTACCAGTCGATGAGTTCACTCCCTTGGGACGCATGCTTTACAAGGCACCTTCTGATGGAAAATGGGGAGAGCACGAACGTAAACAATCCTTCCATGTTTGATCATTTCTCTTTTTAACTCCTTTGAATTCAGGATTTGAACCTCTGTGGACTTTCTTGCAGTTGACTATCTACTTTTCATCGTGCGGGATGTGAAGCTTCAACCAAACCCGGATGAAGTGGCTGAGATCAAGTATGTGAGCAGGGAAGAGCTTAAGGAGCTGGTGAAGAAAGCAGATGCAGGCGATGAAGCTGTGAAACTATCTCCATGGTTTAGATTGGTGGTGGATAATTTCTTGATGAAGTGGTGGGATCATGTTGAGAAAGGAACTCTCATTGAAGCTGCAGACATGAAAACCATTCACAAGCTCTGAACTTTCCATAAGTTTTGGATCTTCCCCTTCTCATAATAAAATTAAAAGATGAGACTTTATTGATTTAGACAAAACTGGCAACAAAATCTCTTCCTAGGATTTTTTTTGCCTTTTATCTCCCTTGGATTCATCTATAGTTTAGTTTTCATCTTTTTTACTTCTTGTCTTCTTGAGTACAATTTGCAAAGAGAACATAACACATGTTGAAAACAGAACATGAAAAAGGAAGAAGACAGAACAAAAAAAAAAAGGTGAAGAAAGTAAAATTAAAGACGACAAGGTTATCAAGTAGTAATCTCATGATTCCTTGCTTTAAGCTTCACCACTACCTCTGATCTGATTTATACCAAAACCCACTTTTCTTCTTTCAAAAGGTAAAACTCAATCATTTATAATTTATTATGGAGAAGTGAGAGTAAGTTTCAACTTTGATCTTGTATTCTTCTCCGAAATAGTAACACACTGTGAAGAGTTTTCCTACATCTGAATTTTGTCTGATCCAGGTAATAAAACTTGATCTGATCCCTTCCATAGAAATATTTTCAAAAGTTCTATCCTTTTTCTTCTAGGTTTGCTCGATTTTCCATGAAATACGAAACAGATTCGGTGATCATACTCATCAAGCTATCGAAAATCTGATAACTTTATAAAAAATTATTGCCTTTTGATTGATCCACTCTCAAGTCTCATCTTTTGATCGTAGCTGAGAAGAGAAAAGAAGGAAAATGGCGTTTGTGACAACTGCGGAAGTTTGTGACGCGAATCAAGAGCTGATTCGGAGTGGTCAGCTACGAGCTTTGCAACCCATTTTCCAGATTTATGGCCGTCGACAAATATTCTCAGGACCAGTTGTTACTGTCAAAGTATTTGAAGACAATGGCTTAATCCGTCAATTCATTGAGGAGAAAGGTAATCAAGTTATTTCGCAAATCAAAGTTTTAAACTTTCAACGGGATTGAACAATATTTTACTTGCAGAGAGACTTGAATAGATATGATCTGAAAGTTCTGAACTTTGACATGTTTTATGATTACATAAAAACATAATTGTTGTGTTAGTTGCTTAGTGTGTGTAATCTATCACTTTGCAAATGGATCATTTTCATGATTAAAAGGGTATTACTTTGAGAGAACAGAGCTGGTCTTGGACACGTTGAAACTGGGGCTCATGTAAAAAACTCTTAGCTTCCGGCTCTTTTACATGTATCAAGATCAGCCTTTTATGTCACTTTGCAAATTTTTAATGTTAGGATGAAAAGGGTAAGACTTAAGGAGAGAGAACGATTCAAAGTTCTTTAACTAAGAGTGTTCGAGGGGTTTTCGATTAGGGAAACCTCGCGGTAGTAGTTTCAGGCTCTTATTAATCATTCAAGATCATCTATTTTACTTTCCATATTCTCACATCTAAGATTCTGTAAATGTTTTGGATGTTATTAGGAAACGGTAGAGTTCTTGTGGTGGATGGTGGAGGGAGTCAACGATGTGCAATACTCGGAGGTAACCCCGTGGTTCAAGCTCAGAACAACGGATGGGCTGGAATCGTTGTGAACGGATGCATCAGAGACGTCGATGAGATCAACGGTTGTGATATCGGAGTGAGAGCTTTGGCCTCTCATCCGATAAAGGCGAGTAAAAAGGGACTTGGAGAACAACGAGTTCCGGTTAATATTGCAGGGACTCGGATTTGTGATGGAGAATGGCTTTATGCAGATACTGATGGGATTCTTGTCTCCCAAATTGAGTTATCCGTTTAAGAAAAAAGGCTCGTCTGGTTTTGGCTTTGATCAGTTACAAAAAAAAAAAAAAAAAACAGAACTTGGTTTGTGTTCTTCTTCTTTTTACTTAAGAGATTGTCAAATTATAATGGAAAATAATTTCTGTTTTGAATCAAGTATCATATTAATATTATTTCCTTTGAAGATGAATACAAAAATAAACTTTTTTACTTATGAATCAATAAAGCCAAGAAGAAGAGTTAAGCGCAATAACAAGAACAAACAGCACCAGGGGCTTCAGTAATAGGTTGACAGCCACCACCTTTGTTAGTGGCACAACCATCAAGGCACATCTGAGTGCATTTTTGGTCATCTTCTTTTGTTTCACATTTACCAAATTCTGGCTGATGGCTGCAACACTTTGGGTCTAATTCGCTGCTAGGCCACACAGTCTTTCTTGCTTCAGTACCTGCAAATACACAACACACGTAAATCATATACTGTATTCAGTTTTTTTGTGAATCCAACATAATGGATTTTACGAATAAATTACTAACCGGAAAGTAGAAGAGACAGAGCTAGGATAGCAAAAAGAACGAATTTTGAGGAGGCCATTTTTTTTTTCGTTCAACTCTAAAAGATTTGTTTATGATTAGATAATATGTGCGTTGAAAATGTGATATATATATACACACACTTGTTTGCTAGAAACTTAGAAAGGAAAGAGATAACCAAGATTTTCAACATATAAAATTTAACACCAGATTATATGTTACTCAAAATGGGTAATGAAGAGAATTTAATTTTTTTTTACTTTGATATCTTATTTTCTGGAGGAAAAAATCAAAAGAAATTTGCGTTGATGGAAATGATATTAATTAGCAAATTTGATAGGTAATGATGGTAGTATCAATATTTTTGAATGATTTAAGTTTTCATAGATTTTTAAATGATTTTGGTGATTTTTGGTGAATTTAAAGAACTGATTCTTTATTAAAATCTCTCAACCCCATGAAATTTACATATTTGTATTTCCAGCTTAAGAATTCTTCTAGAACACTGTAAATCATTATTAATAAAATAAAATAAATTCCAATAAGAGTAGATTTGTATGTTTTTTTTTCCAAATATAATCACCAGTTTGATTAATCTTTTTTTTTTTTGACGTCTAGATTTATTATTTATTGCAAATTATGAGAACTGTTACATAGACGATTCTACAACGGACAATTCCTTCCGACCCTTATTAGATCCACGACAGACGACACTTCCTTCTCCATGCTCTTGACGGACACCTTCAATGATCCACAACCTTACGACACTTCTCTCTCTGCGTAGAATCCTGGCGAACGGCTATAATTGTACTTCGCTGGAGATCTCCTGCACACTTGCCTCCTTTAATCTGCAAATTTATTAATAAATCGCAATATCTGGGACTCGAACCCCAGACCTCTTGGTGTAGAAGCATTAATTAACCCTTGGTCAACCAATGGGCCAAGGGGGCTTCCACCACCAGTTTGATTAATCTTCGATGATTTTTGGAGATGTTATCAAATACTATAACTAATAACACCAGATTTTATAAGGTAATCCAATATTCATATGATCGAATAACATAAGATTCGTCATTTTTGGTATTGAGCAAGTCTCTAACACACACATTCAGGGGAAGAACTTCAAAAAGCAACAAAAACATGTACACTAGACTTGTACAAGTGATTATGCTTTGTTCTGTTTTAGTTCTATTACTAAAATTGGGACTGATACAAACAAGTGCCAGAGACACAAGTTTTGTTTAGTATCATGGCAGATAATAAGCTAATCGAAGCTGCGGAATTGGCAAGTCAGCTTTGGGAAGCTAAGATAAAAGCAGAGTACCCCGTGAGCAAAAGATTGTTGGCAAACAAGAACTCAATGAAGATGTCATTACATTGAAGAAGATCGTTAAAAGCAGTGAAAGAAGAATTCACAGTGATAGTTTCTCGTCAACCAATTGTTGAAACGTCTTCTCACTACTTAAAACCGTAAAAGGTATTCACAATTATTTGTAGTTCTTGTTATTTACTATTTGCCACTTTCTTACAGAACAGAATTTGACCCAAAAAAACGAAGAATATTTATGTTACTATGTATAACTTTTCTGTGTCGTAGCAAAACTTCTTTGACGAGGCTGGTTTCTTCTTTCCCTCCGTCGTCTTTCCATTACTTCTTGTTGTTCTTCAACTACTTCGATCTCTAAGTTTTCGCTCTCCGCAGTAATTCTTGAGGAAGTGTAAGGGAACAAAACCGGTCTAAAACACCAAAGAAGCGCGGTTAAAATAGCGACGTAAAGATACATTGAAATCCAAACGCAAAGAGTCCATTTCCAATTATAAGCCATTCGTTTAATCCATGGCGGTTTTGAGTTTATAACGACTTCTGCTTCATATAGCTGAGGCAATGTCCAAGTTTGTGCACGTGGAACCAGAGTCGCTCTCACGGCTTTTGTCCTTGGCCATTTCTCTTGGTGCTTTAATGCATCGATTCTCATTGTTTGTGCTTCGTTTGCTATTCCGGCTATAAGTGGAACACTCATCACAAATGTTCGTGCAAGTCTTATAGGTTTGCTTCTAAACCGTAACATACAAGGTTGGCTCGATCTCGCGATTGTCTCGCCTTTCAAGGATAAAAGCTCTACTTTCAACTGTACACACAAGACAATGGACCAATTTAACTAAAAAATGCTATCAATATGATTTTAGCGACATAAGGCAGATTTTTCAAAATTAAAACTTGCGGAATCGCATAATAGTTTGAAAATAATTTGCAATTCCTTAGAATCACGTGATTAAATAAAATAAGCTGCAAAATGAAAACTTCAAATTCATTATTAACAGATAAAAATTTGATTGAACATAATAGTTGTAGAACAGTATAATTCTTTTTATTATAGCTAGTCATTAAACTTGATTTGGTTATATATCAAATATGATTTTAGTGATTCAACTAGCATAATTCCATAGGATTATTTGATTGGTAAAAATATCCATCCCAAAACATTATACCATTTCACAGATATTAGTATACTACTAATTAGAATTACATTTACCTGAAATACCCCAATTCTTCGATTAAATTCAGATTCAGGCATCCAAAGCACCAAAGAGACATGAACGTTATGACCAACAGGAACACTAAACGATCTCTTCTTCTTATCAAAACTAAAAACCGCGCTTGGGTTTTCTACAGTGTAATCAAAGAACAATCTGTCTCTCACAACCACAGGCTTTTCTACATACAAACTCACAATCCCAACACCGATAACAACCGCCAAAATCAATGCCAACACCATCACCATTGACACGTGGCATGCACCCAATATCCCAAACCATGTCCGCCTGACAACTCGCCCCGCACCACCCGCTATCCGGGAGGGAGCCCGTTTAACCGCTTTTTCCGCCGCAGAGACGGTAGCGACTGCGCGGCGGTAGGAGCGGTAGAGGAGAAAGAAAGGTGAGGATAATACCACGAGTGCGTTATAGATTAGATCAGCTTGGATGGTGACTAGAACCATGAACCAGTCGGCTCGTAATGGTTCGGGGATTTTGAGTTCGTTGTCTTGTTCTTTCATTGTCTTGTTTGGGAGGATTCTCTTACGGTTTCTGTTTTATGATCGATGAAATAGATAAACGTCGCTGTCATAGTGCCATATAAAATATATTTTTCATCTGCATGAGAAAACTGATACGTGTTGTTTCGTGTTCTTGAGTAGTGCCACGTTGCTGCAATGAGATCATAGTGAATGTACCAGAATCATTTCAACATGAAAGAAACTTTTTGTATGGGTAAATTAGCTTATCCTGAAGTGTTGGATCTGGATTTTAGTTCAAGTTTTCAGCTCTTTTTATCTACATTAACCGATGTTAATATGTTATATCATGTAACATATAAACAAAATTAATTTTAAACTTATAGAGTATATATAGTTTACAAAGTAAGGTGATATTATGTAATTCATACTGGAAAATAGAGATAAGTAATCCAAAGAATGCAGCTGGATTATAATTAATCTAAAAAAATCAATACCTAAATGGATTAAAATCTAAATTCTTTTCAATAAGATATATAAGTTTCTAATTTACTATTAGAGATCATGTACAAAACAAAAAAAAAACTCTAGTTGTGTGAATGTACAAAATGTACAGTTTCTATATTATTATTTTATTATGTTAATTCATACTTTTTGGTCATAAAATTCTTTACTATTTTTATGTTTGAATTTATAAAGTGATAAAAGGAATAAAAGCTAGCGGATTTGAACGAATATGGGAGCAAAAGTCTTAATATGCACCGTACTACACTCTATAAAGACCTTTTCACAAAATAGGATAAAAATTCCTTTTTTTATTTATTTAAATACTTTTTAACTAAAGATAAATAATCTCGCATCGAAACTCTCGTAGCCCCCAATTCCTTCTCTCTCAATCGCAAAATTAGGGTTAGGGTTTTCAATTCCCCCACCTTGCGAATTTCTCATTTCTCGTAGCCGCCGCCGCCATCGACGATGACAGGCAAAGCAAAGCCAAAGAAGCACACAGCGAAGGAGCTCCAAGCAAAAGCCGATGCAGCGTTGACCAATCGCGGCGGAGGAAAGGCAGGGCTCGCCGATAGAACCGGTAAGGAGAAAGGTGGTCATGCTAAGTACGAGTGTCCTCACTGCAAGATCACTGTACCGGATCTAAAGACGATGCAGATCCATCATGAATCGAAGCATCCAAAGCTGACTTATGAAGAGCCGAGGAATCTTCATGAGGCTTTAGCTGCTCCTGCTGAATCGTCTAAGCCTAAGCCTGGGATCAGAGGAAGCCTTAAGAAGTGAAGTGAAGATGTTTGGGGATTGTATCGAATTTCGATTTGAAATTTGAGGTCTTTTAATGGTGTTTTGATGTGAGAATATAAACTTGCGTTGATGATGGATGATGCTTATGTCTATCTTCGTATTTTTATGTTACGATCATATAAAAAGTTACTGATATTTATTTTTCTTTATAAAATGGTTTGTTTCTAACTTATGGGTTTCTTTTGATTCTTGTTTCTGGATACTTTTTGTTCATTAGCTGCAATTTCTCTCATCTTGGTGATTTTGGTTGGTCTGAATCATTTCAAGCTGCTCGTAAAATCAGCATCTCTGTTTTTGATCAGACATGTTAGCTCATTAAGACAAGTGATTTTGATGAAGAGTTTTGGTTTTGTTCTTTGAGTTTTATGAATGTTCGGAAACTTTACAGGCTTCTGTTCTCTGTTTCTGGTTAGGCATGTATATTAGGTAAGCCAAACTTTTAGTGGAATCATTTGAGGAAGAGTGAAAGTTTATGCAACTCATGTTATAACCAAACAAGAGATTATGTAGTTTGATTTGGTGTCTGAAAAGCTTTGAGAAACATGTCATGTATGTTATGTGGTCATAGCATAAACTGGCTTTTGCTTTTTAAGCTTTCAAGCCTTCAAAGCATCTGGACAAGTTAGGGAGATTTGCATATTAAGGCACTTCTAGAGAAAGATATTACATTTTAGACACTTTCCAAACTTGAGGCATTTCTCCTTCTTTTTGGAGATAAAAATGACGCTATTGCCCCTAATTTAACTAAAGACATGTTATACACTTTCTCTCCTCTCTCGTTTGATTAGAAATATTAGTTAGAAAAAAGTCCCACGCTATTATCCGCTATTTATATGCCATTAACGTTTATCTTCTTCCCTCACCCATCAAGTTCCAATTCCCAACACTGTCACACAAAAAAAAAGAATCTTTCAAACAATGAATCTCAACGTCGTCGTTTTACTCTTTCTCCTTCTAATCTCATCCGCCACGTGTTGTCCGCCGTCAGACCGCCGTGCACTTCTAGCTTTCCGATCAGCTCTTCACGAGCCTTACCTCGGCATTTTCAACTCATGGACCGGCCAAGACTGTTGCCATAACTGGTACGGTATTAGCTGCGACTCACTCACTCACCGAGTCGCCGACATAAACCTCCGCGGCGAGTCAGAAGATCCAATCTTCGAACGAGCTCATCGAACCGGTTACATGACCGGACACATCTCCGCCTCGATATGTGACCTCACTCGTCTCTCCGCCATTACAATCGCCGATTGGAAAGGCATCTCCGGCGAAATCCCTAAATGCATCACTCGTCTTCCTTTTCTCCGTACACTCGACTTAATCGGAAACCAAATCTCCGGTGGGATTCCATACGACATCGGAAGATTAAACCGGTTAGCTGTTTTAAACGTAGCAGATAACCGAATCTCCGGTTCAATTCCAAAATCGTTAACCAATCTCTCTAGCCTAATGCATTTAGATCTCCGTAACAACTTAATCTCCGGCGTAATCCCTCCCGACGTCGGAAGATTAAAAATGCTCAGCCGTGCGTTATTATCCGGTAACCGAATAACCGGTCGGATCCCTGAATCCTTAACCAATATCTACCGGTTAGCTGACGTGGATCTCTCCGGTAACCAACTCTACGGTACAATCCCACCGTCGTTAGGACGTATGTCGGTTCTAGCAACACTTAACCTCGACGGAAACAAAATCTCCGGAGAGATACCTCAAACTCTGATGACGTCGTCGGTGATGAATCTGAATTTGAGCCGGAACTTGCTACAAGGGAAGATACCGGAAGGGTTTGGACCAAGGTCTTACTTCACTGTTCTTGATTTGTCGTATAATAATCTGAAAGGACCAATCCCGAGATCGATCTCTGGTGCGTCGTTTATTGGTCATTTGGATCTTAGCCATAACCATCTCTGTGGGAGGATTCCGGTGGGTTCGCCGTTCGATCATCTTGAAGCGGCGTCGTTTATGTTTAACGACTGTCTTTGTGGTAAACCTTTAAGGGCTTTGTTATCTACTATGTATAGTTATTTTGGACACCCAAAATTTTTTGTTGATTTTTCTTTCAATGTGCAGAGATCTCCACCTTCAAGACAATATATTGATGCCACGAGAATATGACCACATGAACATGGAACTTTGGTTTCTTTACAAACCAACAAAAAAAGGGCTTACTTGATTTTCTTTAATTCATGCCTAATTCCCTAGCACTCGCTCTCTGATGAATCAATATGTTAGATATATGTTAGAAGTTGACTTCATTACAATATTTTGCTAATCCACATGTACCAGATGTAACCGTATGGAATAGTAAGCAAAGTTTGCAAGCATCTTAGTATTTATAAAGAAACAAAAAATAAACAACTAAATGCAGAATCTCCATGGTTAAAAATAAACAACTAAATGCTATATAATGATGAGAGTGTCCATATACATAACAGCCATATAACTGACATTTAGATTTGTGATCTTAATACTTAAAAAATGACTAAATGCTATATAATGAAGTGACTGTCCGTATACAAGTGAATATTGGTCACATAGTCGTTTCATATCAATACACAAATTTATACATGAACGATAATCGGCAACTAAAAGTACACCATCCATTTTTTTTTGACCAATATTCACTTGTGTATGGACACTACCATCATTATAAAATGGATCAATACCATATACGTTGTTTATTGATGTTTGTCCAAGCTGTGCAATCCAAATGGTCATCTTGTGACTCACATGGTCGTCGTTTCATACCAACACAGAAGTTTATACATAAATGAAAACCACCAATTTCACGAAAAGCGTCCATTTTCCGCTGACCATTTGTTCACTTGTATATAGACACTCCAATCATTATATAAACCAACTTTGAATGAAAAAAAGTGTCATTGGTGATGCAAGAATCACAACTTTAACCATACACTAGATACTCTAAACCCTACTCCATACCTATTAAATCCAACCCGATATTTAATTTCTTTTATAGATATAACACTAAACCCTACTCCCTACCTACTAAACCCAACCCGAGATTTAACTTTTTTAAAATATATAACACTAAACCCTACTCCCTACCTAATAAACCCAAACCGATATTTAACTTTCTTTAGATATATAACACTAAACCCTACTCCCTACCTACTAAACGCAAACCGATATTTAACTTTTTAAAAATATATAATACTAAACCCAAACCGATATTTAACTTCTTTTAAATATATAACACTAAACCCTATTCCCTACCTACTATACCCAAACCGATATTTAACTTTGTTAACATTATAAACCCAAACCGATATTTAACTCCTTTTAAATATATAACACTAAACCCTACTCCCTACCTACTAAACCCAAACCGATATTTAACTTCTTTTAAATATATAACACTAAACCCTATCCCTACCTAGTAAACCAAACGGATATCTAACTTCGTTAACAATATAAACCCAAACCGATATTTAACTCCTTTTAAATATATAACACTAAACTCTAGATGTTTAGGGTGTCCATTTGTCTTTTGACCATTGGTTCACTTGTACATGGATACTACTTAACTAATAAAAATGTACTTTGTTTTAATTCTTTTTTCAATGTAGATAACTATACCCTAGATAATACTTAGTAAACCCAAGCAATAACTATAACTACTACTTAACTAATAAAACTGTACTTTGTTTTAATTCTTTTTTCAATGTAGATAACTATACCCTAGATAATACTTAGTAAACCCAAGCAATAACCATAACTACTACTTAACTAATAAAACTGTACTTTGTTTTAATTCTTTTTTCAATGTAGATAACTATACCCTAGATAATAATTAGTAAACCCAAGCAATAACCATAACTATCAGTTAACTAATAAAACTGTACTTTGTTTTAATTCTTTTTTCAATGTAGATAACTATACCCTAGATAATACCTAGTAAACCCAAGCAATAACCATAACTACTAGTTAACTAATAAAACTGTACTTTGTTTTAATTCTTTTTTCAATGTAGATAACTATACCCTAGATAATACCTAGTAAACCCAAACAATAACCATAACTACTAGTTAACTAATAAAACTGTACTTTGTTTTAATTCTTTTTTCAATGTAGATAACTATACCCTAGATAATACCTAGTAAACCCAAGCAACAAAATCTTAACCCTATACCCTATTTCCCAACTTTATCTTAATTCATGTTTCAATATAGATAAGTATACTCTAGACCATACTTTGTTAACCCAAGCAACAAAATCTTAACCCTATACCCTAAACCGTAACTAAATAATACATCACATTTAAAGGTGACTCTATATCCCAGTTGCTCGTGGACAGTATGCGTTGGACAAAACTTATTTTTATCATGTTTCCTATATTGAAAAACCAAAACTTATTTTCAGCATGTTTCAATATAGGTAACTAATACCCTTTATCTTTCAATAAACCATTTCAATATTGTTAACCTTTCAATAAGGCGATTGTAAGAAAGAATATCTATTAATGAAAGGTACGTATTGTTCAGTAATACAATCCTTCCCGTTTATATTGTTTATAATAGTTGTTTTTTTCAATTGAAATTTAAAAGCTTATCCATAACGGCAATATACTTTGGCTATATCGACTTGAATATTTAAACTCCGATTGTTTAAATCTAAACCCCCTAAACATCTAACACCTAAAATCAATACTCAAAACCATAATTAATACACACAGCCTTATATCCTAAAATTATAATTTTTAAACATAAACTAGATTTTAAACCGTAAACCAATACTCAAAACCATATATATATCGTAACTATTAAAAAAGTGATAATATTACCAAACGATAAAACACATTCTCATAAAATTAAAGACATAACTGTCCACTGATGAGTGCCCAAGCAGTCATGTCCACATGGTCATCTAGTAGCTCACATAGTCCTTTCATATCAATACACAAATTTATATATGAACGATAATCGTCAACTATATCTTAATCTTACATTTTGGTGTTTCATGATCTTACTTTCTGTTTCTTATTTTTTTGTTGGTATAAGAAATATTTTTTCGTTTTTATAAAAACATTTATGATCACAATCTTTGCAAATACTCCCATACCTATTTCATACATAATGTTCATTTGTCAATTTTTACCAATACGATGAACATTAACATTGGAGCCCAACTCGATCAAAGTCTTAGCACCATCATAAAGCTCAATGTTTATACAAGACAATATCAACATAGTTTTTAACCGCTTTCTAGCCACCACTTTTCAGCCACCGTTCCATAGGCACCGCTTTGCAGCGACAACATCGTAGCTACCGTTTTTAAGTAACCGTTCTGTAACCAGCGCTTCACAGCCACAACATCATAGCAAAACAAAAAACGTTGTCCACGAAGCATCAACATTGATAAGCCCTGATTATAAAAAAAAAAAAAAACAGAGAAAACTTTAAAAACCACAACTTTCTCTCAAATTCTCAGAATAACCATCAAAGTCTAAAACGAGTACTATTGAGAAAGTAATAACCTTTTCTCTATTCATGTCGTTGAGCTTATTAGCTTCTTCATCCATGGGTTGATCAAGTTTCTGCTCTAATTCCCACATAGCTCCTACTTCTCTTTCTTCAATCGTATTTTCTCCTTCTGTTACTGATGATGCTTCGACCCTTTCCGCCATTTTTGTAACAACAACAGAACTCGAAATCTCCCCTGAATTGATTCCTTTAATCAGAAACCAGTCAGAGCCCTAGAAATCGATAACCATTTGTAGCAATTTTCGACTGAGTTGAGACCAAAAATTGAAACTTTTTTTTTCCTTAAGTATAAGAATTGACTCGAGTTGTTATTACAGAGCAACAACGAACAACTCTGGTTCTGATGGAAATGGATAATAAAGCTAAACCAAACAAAGAAACAAAAAAAACCTTAATTTTTTTTTGTAAATAAAGAATTAAAAAAAAAACAGAATCATTCAATCAATTATGATTACAAAAAGAACCCAAAAGGAGAGAATCTGTAACAACTATGAAAATTACACGAAACGAACACGGTTTCAAGAAAGTTGTGTTTTTTTTTGTCTTTTTTGTTTATCTTTCTTTTGAGATTATTATTAACAAAGAAAGAAAGACACAGAGAGTGACCAAAGAAAGAAGAAGAGAGATCGATACAACTTTATAAGTTATGAAGACGCTTACAAAACTGAAGGCGAGTGGCACAGAGAGACACGAGCAGTTAAACTCGATTTCTTCAACTGGTCGGATCAAATTGAGATTGTCCTTAGAGATTTGTTTCTTGATTCTGGAAAGTGAGAGAGGTAGAGAAATGAAAAAGAGAGACTGAAAGTATTTTAGTCTTGTAAAGTTAGTAAGAGAGAGGGAGATAGATGACGAAGAAATGTTTGCCAACGATAGTCATTTAGTTAGAGGGCAAATATGTCAAATTGCCAAAGGAAAGTGCCTCATGTTTTGAAAGTGCCTAAAGATGGCAATAAGTTCAAATAAGTGCCTCATTGTGGTATTATTCCGACAAGTTATATGCAGTCTTGTCTTTTTTATTTTTCTCATTAAAAAAGAAAGATTCTATTTCTAATTCCCATTGTGCTTGCTTGTGCAGCTTCATGGTGCACATGTGGTTTTTCTAATCCAAATCAAATTGAAATTGGACTCGATTACAGAGTATTTAGTCTTTCAACAACTTGAGCAATCAAAATCAATACTATATTCTGTTTTTTCTTGTTAGTGGTTGAAATGCTAGGGAGAAATGCAAATACTTGTGGGATATTTCCGTTTTTATTTTAATCAGTTTTGTCTACTGGATTCAGTTTTCTCTAAAATATAGTTGAGCATGTATTCGATATATGATTGTGTAACATCTTTCTAGTTTTATACTGAAATCTTCTTATATATTTAGTTCGTCTATGTGTAGGAGTTGGTTGTTTTTTTTCTAGTGAGGAAATGATCTGGAAATTTGGATGTATAAGAAAAATCAATATCAACATATTTTCATAAAACTAAAGGCCCACAATACCGATTATATGATTATAGTATTGCCCATAAACTGAGATGGTTCTACAGTATAAGGCCCACGAATCAAATAAGTGAAAAAAGGCCACGGGAAAAAAAAAAACTTTGAGTTCTATTGACTTATCCAATCATATAATTAAGAGTACAAAAGCGACATATTTGTTAGTTTCTTATGAACAACAACAATTAAGAATCAATCTGTAAATTTCTCTAACTGTAAAAAAAAAAAAAAGATAAGAGAGACCAAATCAAATCCTCTATTTATCAAGGTTTTTAAAACCTATCCTATTCTCAAAAGAATCATCATCATCATCACGACAAAATGTAAAGAATTAAAAATCTAGAAAGAGAAGAGAAACAAAAAAAAATCCGATTTCAAATCTCTTTCTTCATCCTTTGGTGGCTTGAGGTTTTTGCTGTTCTTGAACAACATTCTCTTCTTGATACAGCAACTTTCTTCTCTTGAGACCATACCCATTGTACTGATAGATAATGCTGTATAGACATTGCTTCAATCTGAGCACATCGAAATCCTCTATGAACCTTAAATCTCTTTGTCTCCATTTCAAACCCGCACACTTTTGGTACTCCTCAAGAACCGATGATAAACACCAATTTTGAACTTTCCTCAAGCATCCCACAAGACAACCTGTCCTATGCTGCAATGAGCCACAGAAACACACCATTAGACTCAATCAATCTCTTAACTCAACCCAAAGCTTGTTAAACCCGAGAAGGGTTTGGTTTGGTTACCTTCCCGCGCTTACAGTGGATGAGAATTGGATGATTTCGAACATCTGTAAGCAAACAAACAGACGAATTAATGAGACAGCTAAAGAGAGAAGCTAACAAGACATCAAAAGGGTCTCTCTTTGGTTCCTTACCAACTAGTACTCTAAGAGCACTCAACACTGTATCCTTTGGCATAGGAGTTGGAGGATCCTATGGGCGTAAAAGTAAAAACAATCCAAACTCAGAAATCAAAGACATAACCATGACTCATATAAGCTATATAAGCCAGTAAGAGACTAAAAACAGGAACATATAACAACTTGAAGCTCTTATAAGATTCAACAAATCAAATGCTATTGTTGATTATGCATGTCAAGGTCAAACATTGATTCAAAGAAGCTACAAAGCCAACAAGAGAGGGTCAAATGTTCTAGAAGACCTGAAAAAGATTCAATACAATTGCTGCTGTTGAATCATAAAGGTTGGAAAATCATACCGTTTTGCCTTCAATCCCGAACTGGAAAAGCTTAATGTTGTTGGATAGAAGAGACTTTAGATTGTCCTCAGGGTATGGTTCAGGACACAGATAACTGTTTCCAGATAAACCCAACAAAGAAAACTTGTTTTGGTAATCAAATATTTCTGCGTATGTCACATTTCAACAACAAATATAATTACCCACAAAAATTGTAGTTATAAAGCCATGAAAGTGAAAGTTGTGGTGAGACAATTTAATGAATCTGTCTAAATAAACAACGACAACGATGCTTAATTAAATAAAAGATTTTTCTTTTTTTTTGTTTTTTTTAATAAATACCTCAGGAGATTCAGAATCAACAAGAGAAACAAAAAAAGAGAATCTTACATGATGGATCGAAGATTTAGGGTTGATAAGAATCCGAAATTCTCCAGCTGAGGAAACCCAGATCGGTAAATTCCGTCTTCTACCATTGAAAAATTCGGCGGCGGAATCAAAACTTCTCCGTCGCTATCATCCACGATTAAGCCCATCAATTTCTCTCTCCCTCCGTCTCTCTCAATTGAGAAACAGAAAGATACGAGTAACAAAAGAGAGAGGGAGAGAGCAAAATCCCTAAAATCTAGAGAGAGAGATTGAAAAAAACAAACGAACAAAAAAAAAAAAAAATCTTTATATGATTAATGGGATAATCATCAAGTGGGTTTTTTTAATTTAATCTTTTTTATAAAGAGACAAAAAGATGACGAAGATTTAGGAGTGTTTTGGTAGAGATTTCTGCGGATTTGGAAAAAAATGTTAAACCTTTAAAAAATAACTTAAAACCGCCATTAGAGATTGTTCTTGTTGGATCCTCTGAGGTTTTGAAGGGGAATGTTTTTTTCTCTGTAATCTCTCACCAGATTATGACACGTGTCACATCCTTCGCTTTTCGTTGAAAAACCGATTGGGAAATTTCCTACGAATCTATTTTGACTGAAGAGTCCATTTTTAGAATTTTCTATTAATTCATTCGTTGTTAGTTTAGGAACTGTTTCGACAAGTCAATATTGATTTTGTTGATAATGTATGAATAATATCATATCTTATGATTAACATACAAAATCTTTACATAATATATATACCCACAACGATTATATACACGGCATATGATATCATCATACATTATATATCATAGATCAAATTCCACCATATGTATCAAAATATGTCTAGAATCGTAAACAAAACAGCAAATAAAAATTTAAATAGAGGGAGTGAGTTATAAAGTTGGATGAAGATGAGGATTAACATCTTTTTTTGTAGAAGCGGCTGCAAGCAACTCTGGTGGTATGAGATCTTCCCATCCTTTACCTGGACCTGTAGCCGCGGTTAAACCGCTTTCCCAACCGATGTGCGATACATGTTTTACGTTTGTCGGAACTCCTATCTCCATTCCTGATGTCTCGACTTCTTCGTTCTCTTCTTCTTTGTCAGCTAACATTTTGGAAGGAAAAATAGTACACATTATTTCTTAGATTATCTATTTGTACATGTCATTTTATCTTCGTTTCAAATATATTCAACTATATTATCTATATATAAATTTTTAAAATGTTTGTTTTTACAGACATATACTAGGATTCAAATTATTAAAATCTTAAATGCATGGTATCATTTCGTAACATACTGATAAATAGAAAACATTAATTAGACATTACCAAAGAGTTGAGAAATGGTCTTGAAGCTCTTGAAAAGCCGGTTAATACCGGTAGAAATCTCGGGTTTAGAAACCGCAAGGAACTTGAATACACTCTTCATGTTATCTTCCTCCTCTTGATCACGAATCTCTTTTGAAAACACATCAAGAGATCACAATGGAAGATACATGATATATCAATATTCAATGTATACATATATGTATATCGAAGATACATGATAAATATGAAGAGAGAGAGAGAGGGAATGAACCTTGACGAGAGTGATGATGATGAGGCTTTGAGAGAGGAGATAAAACGGCAACACTTGAGTCGGAGATACATCCGACGGAGAAAGGAAGCACGACAAGTCTCTCCATTCTATCTCTCATTTTCTACCAAGCCTTTCCTTTTAAAATACTTATATTTATATATAAGAGTATGTGTGTATATGTCTATATACGATGAAAATGACAACCCACCAAATGTTTTGATGTAATTTTTTGTTGTTTTGTTTGTAATCTTTGTTGGAATATAATTTGGTAGTGGTCGTGTTATGTGTTTAGCTGACTTTGTTGTGAAGTTACAATGATGTTTACGTGTGTATATGAAGTTGCGGTAGAATAGAAAGTGATAGCTTTAATTTTTTTTTTGGGCTCAACTACTGTTTGGTAGACTGTTTTCTTTGTGACGTATAATTTGCACTATATATTTGATATTACACATATTATGTTAACCAATATTTTTGCAAAATAGTGAACTAATTCATATCTTGATCTCTCTTACACTGTTACACATTCGTCTTTTCACGTTTTTCATCGCAATAGTTAAAGTTTAATTCTAGTTTTGTGTTTTTGTTTTAATATATGGAGAATAGTTTAATTTTAGATGGAGTTCATAATGAATACTCAAAGACTCTATAATGTATGTATAATGATGCCTTTATTTTTTTGATCAAACGTATAATGATGGCTTAAATGATTAAAATGTACATTAGTTGTTCTTCCCCTTGGATTCAAAGCAATCTATATTATTAATTTTTTTGAACTTTTTTATTTTGCAAAATATAATCATCAAATGGATATATGATGCCTATGCCTTGTTTTTGTTTTTCTATATTTTTTTTTGTCTCTTATTAGTTTTATACACTTATCATGAATAATACATATAGTTGCAATCTGTGTAGTTTTTTTAGTACTAGCATACCTAGCCATCACAATAATTAATATTCTCAATTGGTTCACAATTCCTTTTTGTTGCTAAGACCGTTACAATAAGCAAATCTAGAAATATACTTCAATCGTTCCTAAATTCACATTCACACTTCATCTAGTACATAGCATATTATCAGGTTTAGATTTTAGAAAAAGGTTATACAATTTACGACTTTATATTATATATTCACTAATTAGTGAGAATATAAATTTTAATTAGAAAATGTAATATTTTTGCTTTTTTTATCACGAGTAATTTTTGTTGAACTAGTCCATTCAATCATTTGTAGACTTGTAATATTTCTAAGCTAATAAATTTATTAAAGCTTAATGAAAATACTGTGGAAACACATGGTTAGATAATATACTGTAAACATTTTCTTCCTAATATACAGTATTAAAAGATATATACATAATTTTTTTTGTTTAAGTTTCATAGTTTCTCAAAAGAAATGTGATATGTATATTAGACTTATATGACAAATTGGGTTGTTCCAAAACGAAAAGTTGAAACATTTTTTTCTTGTTGCAAAAGATTTAATCATGATCAGAAGAAATGTGTTCTTCTTCCTCTGCTTCGATCCTATGCAAAGAAGACTCACCACTTGCCTCGCCGGCATCATCATCTGAATAAACACTCTGGTCTTCAGTTTTCGAGCTATGAATGTGTTCAAGCCGAGTTTCATGGTTCTCCTCCTCCTCTTCCTCATCATCATCATGAGCAAGACTATTGATTCGCATGCTCGTGTTTCTTGGCGAATCATCGTGATCTCTATAGCTCCGAGTTTCAAGATTCTCCTCCTCGTCTTCCTCATTATCTTCATGAGCAAGACTATTGATTCGCATGCTTGTGTTTCTTGACGAATCATCGTGATCTCTATCGCTATCATACCGCGAAAAAGTGCTTTCTTCGTTTGATTTAGAGCTGCTTTTACTGCTTAGCTTCTCGTTATCTTCTTCCTCAGAGCTATAACTGTACTTTATCTTCAAGCTCTGTGCAGTTGCGTTTGTTTCATCAATGGATCTTCTCTCACTTCCAGAGTCAGAGGAGGAGCTGCTAGACTCTCTGGCTTTCTCTAACTGAGAATGTTCCTCTTCTTGATCCTTTTCGGAGTTTGAATCAGATCCATCATCTGAATCCCCCGCGGTTTCTTCTTGCTCTTCTTTTTTCTTACTTCTTATTGATTCTTCTTCTTCTTCTTTTTCTGCTTTTTCTTCTTCTTCATCCTCTGAGTCTGATGAAGAACTAGATTTGTTGTTTACATCTTTCCGAGAAAGACAAAATGGAGTAACAGAACAAGAACCGTGTCTGCTTAAAGCAATCGACATACTTTTGTCCCTGAAGGATGACATTGGAACCGTGGCTGGAATACCGTCTTCTGTTGACATTGAAAGGAAGCTAAGAGCAACCATAACATCACTTATCAAAGGACGAGCAGTTGGTTCTTCTTGTAGACACATTGATGTTATTGCCACTGCTTGATTTAAACCTCTCTCTGAGAAATTCTTCCTCAAAAGAGGATCTGCCATATCCGGGTATCTTTTGGGGTCTCTAAATATCGGTTGTGCCTGCGCAAAACCCAAAACATATCAACTTGATGATTCATAGACAAGTAAGAGATGTGAGGTTTAATGGGGTTTTACCCAAGCAACTAGATTTTGTTCATCATTAGACTTAGTGGTGTCAATAGCTCTTCTACCGGTGATGAGTTCGAGCAACACTACTCCGAAGCTATAAACATCTGACTTAACAGTGAGATCGTCCCCTCGAGTGTACTCAGGCGCAGAATAACCATAAGTATCCATAACCCGGGAAGAAAGAAACAAGCTATCACATGTTCCTGGCTCTAGATTATGCAGACCAAAATCACAAAGCTTAGGGTAAAACTCAGCATCTAACAAGATGTTAGAAGCTTTTAAATCTCTGTATATCACCGGTGGATTCACTTTATCGTGCAAGTAATCCAATCCTTGCGCTGCACCAAACGCAATCTTCATCCTCGTTATCCAATCCATCGGCTTCTGGCCTGGCTTTTGTTCTGCATATCAAATCCATTATCAGCCCCTAAACCAAGCCTAAAAGTATCTCCTTTAACAAAGTGAAATGTTTTGAAAGGTCAATTATACCGTAAAGATGGTCTTGAAGGGAACCTCCAGAGACATACTCAAAGACTAAAAGGCGTTGATCTCCATCAGCACAATATCCTATAAGCTTAACAAGATTCGGGTGTTCGAGTTTGGCCAATGACAAGACTTCAGCTTGAAACTCTTTGTTACCATGTAGTCCATGCTTGTCTAGCTGCTTTACAGCTACCAACTACACTCACAAAGCAATAGAAAACAACTTCAAATAAAAATCTCCGATAAATGTACTTATTCTCTACTATGAAAAATGTATCCAAAGGTTTGAACTCTGGAGATAACTTTTGATATGGTAACAAACCTGGCCAGTAGATTGAAGAGTTCCTTTATAAACCCTACCGAATCCACCTTCTCCTAAAAGACATTCTTGCCGGAAATTCTTGGTCGCTGTCGCTAACTCCCGGAAATTGAATGTTTTCAACGATGTTTGCTCTGTTTCTCTTTCTTCAATTCGTTTCGTCGTCGCAGCAACTGAAACCAAACAAACCCCACAACATTTTTAGAAAATGGGTTTTCAAATTCAACAGTTCCGGGACAAGAAAGCTAATATCTTTTTTATAAATTTGCAAATTTTACCAGGTGGTCTGAATTCGTCGTGTTCAACGTTTTCGTTAGTCTCGTTCGTCGTACAGGGAGAGTTTCTGCTCTTTTGTGAAGTGAAACACGGAAAACAATTCATCATGATTATCATTCAAAATCAATTTCGTGTTGTTCAATAATCTAAAAGCCTAAAACCAAAACAAAACAAAAAATGATCCTTTTTTTAAAGGTGATTAACAATGGCGGGGTCCTTCAAAAAAATGAAGGACCCACGTTAAAGGGAAGAGTATTTTGGGAGATTGTTAAAGAAGACAAACAGAGGAAGGAAGCGAAAGGAGAGAGAAAGAAAAAGAGATCAAATTGAAACCAATCAGAATACATGAAGAACAATGAAACTTCTCCGATGATCCATCCGAGAAGAAGGGGTAAATGTTTTGGATTTTTTTGTTTTGCTTCTTTTTTACGAATTCTATTTTTTGTTGTTTTGCTACTTTGTTCAAATCCCTAAAGCATGGAGAGCCATTCTTATTACCCATTTTCTTAGATCTAATTTTAAATCTAGTTTTAGTTTGTTATATAATTATTATCGTCCAAATGGGTTTGCATTATTATTGTTCTAATATTTTAATAATTTTAGTTATAAGTTATAACCAATAAAGATCGACGTATACATTGTCGAAAATTCGATATTTGCATCCGTTCATCAAAAAAAAAAAATCAGTAAACAAGAAACAAACACGTAGAACGGTAGAAGTATGAATGTGATGATTTTTGAAAATTCTCTAACACTCAAGTCAGTATTTAGATTACAAGATGAATGTCCAATATGAGAAGAGGGATACATGCAATATTATGTTAATTTTTAGCTATCTTCAGTGAAAGAAAGGAAGATATGAAAGTGTTTTCATAAAAGAACACTAATGAAATTTTACAGATGAAAAAAAAAAAAAGATCACTTATTCGAGTGAAAATAAGGTTGAGATTTATAGAGAATAGACCTGATCCAGATTAATATTTCAAAGTATAGAGTCGACTTAGTATGTGAAACGAGTCTGGGGCATATTATATATATGTTGGCATCATTGTGATGAAACAAATTATTTTCATAATATGTATTTGTTTGCTCTTTAAGTTTTTATTTAGAATGATTTATGTTGATAACAGAAATAGAGATTACAAACATGAATAAGGGGGTGTTGTGTTGTATCAAAAATATCAATCACCCTAGAAAAGTAAGGGTGAATTACTTTTACATGACCCAAATTCTCTGATTAGAGATTGGACACTTAACGTCTTTGAGGCCATTTAATCATTTATCAACAAGTGTTCTTTATACCAGATAACAACTTTGTTACCACAATACATAATACATACATATTTATTTCTTAATCGAAAACAGAAATTATAACAAAACATTTTTTTCCTTAACGTTGTAATAAAACATACATATGACTAATCCTTTCAAAAACATTAATGTATATTGTTAATTTCTTATCCTAAGTTCCAAACATTAATGTATTATCCTTACTATACAACAAAAGAAAATTAACCATTTCAAAGTTGACACGTGGCTTGATCTTTAGTTAATCTTTTCCACTTTCCAATCTCTCTCTCTTCCTTCTTTCATTTTTTTTTGTATCGCCGTCTGCAATTTCTCTCCCCGACGCTGATAACCCTAGCGGCTTCAAATTACAGTCGCTTAACGCCGAGTATTTGCCTCCGACTCCGAAAATAACGTGATTCGATCTCTGTCGCTGTCTCCATCTACAAACCAAGCGAAGATCCCCATAGCTTTCTAATTTCCAGAAAGGTTTTGCTGTCTGTTAATTTCCCTTTTAATTCATTGTCTGAAATCTTTGGAAAATGTTATTGATATGGAAATGGGTCTCTTTTAATTTCCTAAAAGATGGTCTTTTTTTGTTAATTGAGCTTATGATCCAAGCATGGAATTAGTGTTCCGATCTGAGATTTTACCTCTTTATGTCTCTCCAAATAGGTACCAGGTGTGTCTTTGTGAGATGCTGATAAGTGTTTTGTATTGAAATCAAGAAGACGAAGAAACCCTTTTCAGATGCAATGCCTAATGGCTGATGGAGCTTTAATTACTTTAGATTCCGACGATATTTTAGCAACAGAACATGTTTTAGCAGTCGGTAGAGAGTTTCCTGATGTGGAAACTTGCAGAAGAACTTTGAAAGATTTGGCTATCGCTCTGCATTTTGATCTCCGTATAGTGAAATCAGATCGTAGTCGATTCATAGCCAAGTGCTCTAAAGAAGGTTGTCCGTGGCGTATCCATGCCGCTAAATGTCCAGGTGTTCAGACATTTACGGTTAGGACGCTTAACAGTGAGCATACTTGTGAAGGTGTCCGTGATCTCCATCATCAGCAAGCATCCGTTGGTTGGGTTGCTAGATCGGTAGAGGCACGGATTAGAGATAATCCGCAGTATAAACCAAAGGAGATATTGCAGGATATACGTGACGAGCATGGGGTTGCGGTTTCTTATATGCAGGCTTGGCGCGGGAAAGAACGAAGTATGGCTGCACTTCATGGGACTTATGAGGAAGGGTACCGGTTTCTTCCTGCGTATTGTGAGCAGATTAAGTTAGTCAATCCTGGGAGTTTTGCTTCTGTTTCTGCTTCGGGACCCGAGAATTGTTTCCAACGGTTGTTTATTGCGTATCGAGCATGTATCTCCGGGTTTTTTAGTTCTTGTAGGCCTCTTCTTGAATTGGATAGAGCACACCTTAAAGGGAAGTACTTGGGTGCAATCCTCTGCGCTGCGGCTGTTGATTCGGATGATGGTTTGTTTCCCTTGGCTATCGCAATTGTCGATAATGAAAGCGATGAAAACTGGTCGTGGTTTCTCTCAGAGCTGAGGAAGCTTCTTGGGATGAATACCGATAGCATGCCGAGGCTCACGATACTCTCTGAGAGACAGAGCGCAATCGTGGAAGCCGTGGAAACTCATTTCCCAACTGCTTTCCATGGGTTTTGTCTCCGTTATGTTAGTGAAAACTTCCGGGATACATTCAAGAACACAAAGCTTGTTAATATCTTCTGGAATGCGGTTTACGCGCTCACAGCAGCGGAATTCGAAACGAAAATTAGCGAAATGGTTGAAATATCGCAAGATGTTGTTCCGTGGTTCGAACTCTACCCTCCTCATCTCTGGGCTGTAGCATATTTCCAAGGCGTGCGGTATGGACATTTCGGATTAGGGATCACAGAGGTATTATACAATTGGGCTCTCGAATGCCATGAACTCCCAATTATACAGATGATGGAACATATCCGGCATCAAATATCGTCTTGGTTCGATAACCGCCGTGAGTTGAGCATGAGATGGAACTCAATACTCGTGCCATCTGCAGAGAGACGTATAACGGAAGCAGTTGCGGATGCACGGTGTTACCAAGTTTTACGAGCAAACGAGGTCGAGTTTGAGATTGTGTCGACAGAGAGAACCAACATAGTGGATATACGGACACGGGTATGCTCATGTCGTCGCTGGCAGATCTACGGATTGCCTTGTGCTCACGCGGCTGCAGCGCTGATCTCGTGCGGTCGGAATGTGCATCTGTTTGCAGAACCGTGTTTCACAGTATCAAGCTATCAGCAGACGTATTCACAGATGATTGGGGAGATTCCGGATAGAAGCTTGTGGAAGGATGAAGGAGAAGAGGTTGGAGGAGTTGGGAGCTTGAGGATACGACCACCAAAAACGAGGAGACCACCAGGTAGACCGAAGAAGAAAGTGGTTCGGGTTGAGAATTTGAAGAGACCAAAGAGGATCGTGCAATGTGGAAGATGTCATTTACTTGGACATTCTCAGAAGAAATGCACACAGCCTATTTGATGATAGACGGGTTCTTACAGTACTTTGTGTTTTCTTTTACCTTTCTTGTTTTGATGTAACTTGTAATGTTTAAATTGCACTGTTTTTTGTAGAGACTTGTCTTCAATGGAAAAAATAGATGATGGGCTTAACTTAACCGGGCTTTGAATAAATTGATCTGGTTCTTGATTCAGTTTCTCTATTTTGCGGTTTTTGGTTCTTGATTCAGTGTCTAAATTGTGCACATTGCAACAAGTCAACAACCAATACTTTACTTCGGTTTGATGATGCATTTACAACTTCACTTTCGGTTATCAAAACCTGGTAATTTTGCAAACTTATCGAATATCAGACCGGATCGGTTAGCGTCGGTTTGGATTGGTTATGATTAATTAGAATCGAAGTCTTTGGAACACACTTAAACGCACGATCAAAGAGGAAATTTCGGGACGCAGCAGCAAATGCGCGAAACGTTTTTGGACCAATTCTACAGTAACGCGATAAATCTAATGCATTTCCACGATTTGTGTTTATCCCTCTGAAACAAGAAGAAAAAACCTCGGATCTGTTCCATTCTCTCCAAAGCTTGAATCAGGTCAATCCCTCGCAAATGTGTCCATTGATTATATAATTTTGTGGGTATTGCTTTGTTTGATCTACTAATTCGTTTAGTCTTTCTGGGTATTGTTCGATTGCTTTTTTTTTGAACAAAATGTGATTTTTCTTGATAACAGGATCTTAGTAGATTGAATCGCTTTTCAATTATTAATGTTCCGCTTGTTGATCTCAATCTATAGCAGTTTTTTTGGACAGTACTGTTCATGCGATCTCAGTTGACTGAGAAAGTAGATCTCTTGATTAGGTTTTGAGGCTATTGGGATTGTGTGTTTGGATTAGATTATGATTCTCTAATAATCACTGATGAGTGATGTGATCTAAAAAGGCTGACGCTTTTTTCCCTTAATTTGTTTCAATATTTGATCTTTTGAATATTGGTTCACACTGATTCTCTTTGGAGGTTTTCCTGACAAAGTTTTAGTTTTTATGTACTGCAGAAGAAAAAGCTTTTGAAGACCTAGAAGTTATCTCTCATACTGCTTAAAAGATTGCTGAAAATCGAAGATGTCTTCGGCCGAGATAAACAAGAATGAAGTCGACATTGTCATCGGGGCTCTTAATGCTGACCTTACACAGTTTTTGACCAGCTGGAGGCCCTTCTTCTCTGGATTCCATCTGATTGTTGTCAAAGATCCTGAGCTCAAGGAGGAACTCAACATACCAGAAGGCTTTGATGTAGATGTCTACTCAAAGACTGACATGGAAAAAGTTGTGGGTGCATCCAATGCCACCATGTTTTCTGGCTATTCTTGCAGATATTTCGGTTATCTCATTTCTAAAAAGAAGTACATTGTCTCAATTGATGATGATTGTGTACCTGCTAAAGATCCCAAGGGGTTCCTAGTGGATGCTGTTACTCAGCACGTGATCAACCTCGAGAACCCTGCCACGCCTCTCTTCTTCAACACCCTTTATGATCCTTATTGCGAGGGAGCGGATTTTGTCCGTGGTTACCCTTTCAGCCTCAGAAGTGGTGTCCCTTGTGCTGCATCTTGTGGACTTTGGCTTAATCTAGCTGATCTTGATGCTCCAACACAAGCTCTCAAGACAGAGCAAAGGAACACTTCATATGTTGATGCGGTTATGACTGTCCCGGCCAAGGCTATGCTACCCATAAGCGGGATCAACATCGCTTTCAACCGCGAGTTGGTGGGTCCAGCTTTGGTGCCTGCTCTTAGATTGGCTGGAGAAGGGAAAGTGAGATGGGAAACACTTGAAGATGTTTGGTGTGGGATGTGTCTGAAACATATCTCTGATCATTTGGGTTATGGTGTGAAAACCGGACTGCCTTATGTGTGGAGAAACGAGAGAGGGGATGCAGTGGAGAGTTTGAGGAAGAAATGGGAAGGAATGAAGCTAATGGAGAAAAGTGTTCCATTTTTCGAGTCATTGAAATTGCCCGAGACTGCGCTTAAAGTTGAAGATTGTGTGATTGAGCTCGCTAAAGCGGTGAAAGAGCAGTTGGGTTCAGATGATCCTGCCTTCACACAAGCTGCTGATGCTATGGTTAAGTGGATCCAGCTCTGGAATTCTGTTAATTCTAGCGCTTGAAGTTGAACAATATCTCGAGGTTAGGTTCCTTTATCACTTCTAAGCATATTATCGGGTCTCAGAGATTTACCAAAGTCGTTTACTTTCTTTTAGTATCCTCATGTTTATTTTCTCTTTTTTTTTTTCTAATTATAAGCATGTTTTCGAGACTTTCAATAATGCAAACCTTGACTGATAAAACCCATCTGCTTTGACTCGACGATCTTAATATCTATTGCTTAGCTTTTTCTTCTGGTTCTTGCTCGCTTTCAAATATTGTAGAATCAAAAGCAAAAATTTGTTACTACTAGCAACTTGGTATATTCACAATTTCACAAAGATACAACAAACATTAGTCATTCCTTTTGTTCAATAAATGTGGAAGTTACAGGGAGTATACAAACAATACATGTCAGACAACCTCATGGTTCTAGGCACCGTGTTCCGCGGTTGAAGATGATGATGATGCTTTGGGTGCCAAAGCATTAAGCAAAGACTGTGTGTCTAAAAGTTTTTCCCTAAGCAATACATTGTAGTCGTAAAGAAGTTGAAATTTCTTCTTGATGTCCATTGCGTCCACTTCTGAACCAGAAGACCCTTCGGTGAACTCTGCAATAGTAACAGTACTGGTTGGATGTTTCAGGTTTAAGATCATATTACTATTATAAACCAAAGAATTTCTAGATTCTAGACCCTTGTTGCAACCGATGATTCCCCTCAAATAAGCTCAATTTAGATACCATCTATTTTTCACTTCTACTTCTAAAACCTAAACGATACGAAACAGCTACTGCTACCGAATCATAGATCAATAGGAACAATGTGGAATGCTAAGTTATTAAAAAAAGTGGTATAAGTAAGCCATACCCATTGGAGGAGGTGGAGGGATTGAATCGTCTTCACTTTGAGAAATTGGATGACTTATACTCTTCTTATTTGAGAAATTATCTCCATGAGCCAGAGAAGAAGCCGAATCAAAGGAGCTCATTTCTAGACTTGCAGGTTGTGGAATTACATTCTGGATAAAAGAAGAAAATTAAGAACTCAAAAGGGTCAAAAAGGAATGGGGAACCCAAAAATAGATAGTTAGTTACCTTCTCAATACTTAAGTTAGGTTTCTTGTTCAACATGATCGATTGCCCACGTTCCGAGCTATTAGAAGATGTTGAGGGTCTCGTTAAACCACAAATTCCTGATACCTTTGTCGTTTTGATGGCATCATCGACCAAGATGCTGCAATCCCATGTGTATGCAACATATCTTCTCAGCTAAATGAGGAGTATTCTATGAGCAACTTATAAGAAAAGAGACCATAGCAAGAAGAAAAACAAAAAAGAGAAAAGGGGAAACCAATTACTTTATCCCAGTGATCTAGAGCTTTACGACGATTCCTTATCTTCCTGAAAACGGTATCTTCATTTCGCAGCTTCTTGATCCTATACTCACACTATTCAAAGAGCCGACTTACAGCCATCAGGATATGCTTAGAAAAGACAAGAAAATTTTCAAATGATACAGTACACACTGGCTAATTATGCTTAATGCTCTTTCTTATATTCATAGATCATGGATACCAATATATCAAGAAGAGAGAAAATTGAACGAGAAGAAAGGTAAACATTAAGTAAAGAAGATGAAAAGGGTTCAAACCTGCACTAGTAGGTAGAAAAATATGCCAATACTGATGCAATACAAACCACCAAGATCGGCAAGGAAGCTAACTGTAAAACAGCAATCAGAGAAGGAAAAGATGCTTAAGTTATAACTGAAGCTGCTCTAGTATTCTCTACTTGCACATACTAAATCAAGATACTGGTACGATGCACATGCCTGCATTTCGCGGTGCAATGATAAGAATTAACTACTAAGACTTGAGGGATTCACAAGAAGTGATTGGACAAAGTAAATGGAGTAAATTTACTTACCAGGACCGAGTATATTTTCATGGTCGATCTCAACAATATAAGCAGAGAGATAGTTGATGAACAATGTGGTGTTGAGTATGCCATCTGTTGACCTTCCCATAGATGCCTGAAGCTGAGTAGTGTCTCGGTAAACAGAGCCAGGGATAAACTCGTGAAACAGAGGTTGGATTAGCTTTAGATCATGCAAATGATGGTAAATCCGAGGAAACAGATTAAACTTCAATATGTTCCCTTCGGTTCCACGGAAAGTAACCGGACTTTCATCAAGGATGCTTCCGTTTCTCAGAGTGCCACTAACAAAACTCATATGCTTCTTGTTATCTCCATTCTTAGACGTAAAGTTAAACTGAAATCCAACAGCAGCGGCAGGCGAATCAGGAAGGTCAACGAAATGCCACGAGATATAGATGTAATCGCTGGTGAGACGACATTTGGTACACTTGAAATTCACAGTTGGCCCTGAAGTTGTATTCTTACAAGCATAGCTTCCTAAACTGGAAAGAGCTGCAACTTTGAACTCGCTGAATCCGGGATTACCAGTTACCAAATTCCCAATACCGCGTAAATTAGAGCAACTCATATCAGAAACAGCAGTGATGTTAAACTCCAAATCGTTCTCGAATGAGATCAAATCTGGAGAACCAGTAGCTCTCACATTGTGAACTTCAATTGTTCTCTTGGTTATGATTTGATAAAGCAGCCTGTGAAGAAACTGAAAAGCAAGTCAGTTTCTAAGTTAACAAAAACCAAACAAAATCTGACGAATTTCAAACTCACGCAGCGAATAATCCAATGAAAACAATCCAGCTCGCAACAGACAATGTTCCACCAAGTTCTGTTTTACGTTTCTTGACAATTTGTTGATCATCCTACAAGATTCAAGAACCTAATTGGTTACTCAAAAGAACCAATTCATGGAGACAAAAGCAATGAGAGAAGAGAAGGCACTAACGAGCCAATGTCTAGTGGAGAAGAAGACGTCAAGTCGAGTAATCCACCAACGGAGATTGAACCAGACATTACGACCATCGCCGAGTTTGGTGAATCTCAGGAAGAAGCAAAAGACTAACCAGGAGAGAAGCATCACGAGCGTAGCTTCTAAGAACACAGCTTGAGATTGCGTGAACTTACGGATCCTATCGAAAGCGAATAAATTCTCGGCGAATGATATTACGCTGTAGTTAACATCTTTGTCCGTGGAGATCGTCGACGGCCAACCGAAGATCTCGCAGCTCCCGGAGCTCCGGTTTAGTAGCTGACCGATACCGCACGCGCAGCGCGTGGCGTTGTAGGTGATGGAGTTTCTAGGGCACGCCATCACAGAGAGAGCTTCGAAACGAAGAAACGAAGAAACGAAGACGAAGAAGACGAAGAGAGAGTCAAGGAGAGAGAAGAAGAACAAAAGGGGCAAGAAAGGAATTTCAGTTTTAATTGTTTTGTTTATTATTATTTGGTCCAGCTTTAAAGAACCAGACCACGAAGCAGAACCAGCCTGTTAAGTTCGTCAAGGTCAAGAACCAGCAAAATTTAAAAACCGGCTGGTTCGTGTTATCCGGTTCGGTTTATATATCAAAATTTCCCGCCAGACCAAACAAACCGTCAAAATCAAATTTCAACTACCAGAGAGCTTTCCCTATTTCACTGTTTTTACTTTTAATTTTTTTTTTCAATCATTACATATGAAGTGTTCACATAACTTGTCTCAAGTCCCCTTATTCTTGGAAATAGTTTGATCATAAAAATACTGATCCTGTTCTTTATCGCTTTAGCTGTTGATATGGTGTACCCTTCAAGTTCTAAAGTATAGTAATTTTACTAGAATTAATGAATAACATTTTGTGTGTACCTTAAGACTTGTATAGTTGTCTTCACATCAAAGAGTGGTGATGCTAATACGTTTGACGAATTTATGCTAAAAGTAAATCATTCTCCATTCTCCATTCTCCATGGTTAAAAACTTGTTATTTCATCTTTCTCTTCTCTGAAAAAACGAATGTTTCCAGAATAAAAACATGAGATGTGAAGCAGAAGAGTACAACAAGTAGGTGTTGTAGCATATATTGAGTGACGAAGCAATGAAGGAACAGATTATTGTGAGCCACAAATAAATTAAGAAGAAAAAGAAAATACAGTAGTGAAGTCGTTTCAAACAGAGGATTTATTCCACCTGCACTTGGAGGAGTTTCCTCTTTTCATAAGTCTAAAGAACAATTATGCCTTTAAGAAAAATTGTTCTGTGTTTTTTTTTAATACGGAATTTGAAAGAAAGATTAGTGGGTGGATATTGATATAATTGTATTTAAAAATTCTTGTAATATTGATATGTTTGTAGTCTGATATCCGTTTTATATAGCTACTATTTAACTTCATTCTTCAATGATTGATGGTGAACATCTTTTCGACCAAAATTAAAACATTCTCTCCTTTAACTTTTTTTCTTCTGATTTGATTTGTAACATCTAACAACATATGATTACATTTTTATATAGTATATAATATGTAACCATTGCCGACGGATGCTCCTATTACACTTGTTGTCTCCGAAGTAAGTACTTGGATTCATTTACTCTTGAATTCGACCTCTAATTTAGGAAGAACAATATAAGCCCCCAACATATAGTGTTTTCTGGTCTGAACAAATATAAAATTTATGTGGTATGCGAAAAAGACATTTGACGTCAAAAGTCCAAACAATTAAGATGGCTTTGGAATAAACTTTCAAATCGTGCTAGCTATTTCTGACATAATTGAAGAAGTATAATGAAAATAAGGACGATGAATGAAGAATGAATGAATGAGAGAAAAAAAAAAACTTTTTGATATTAACAAGACTGTATTATCAACACATCAAAAGAAAAGTTTCAAAGCATATTATAGCTAGATTTGTTGTAGTCATCAAGTGATAAATAGAACTTATTCTACTAGCATTATTATTCATATTTATATATGATCCCTCAATTACCAGTGAAGAAGAATCCTCCACGTTTTCACATATTTCTAATCCACCGATTTTAATTTTTGTTTATTTAATTTATTTGTTTGTTTGTTCCAAATCTTTGGTAAAGATAGGTATTTCCGTGAAATGTTATTGTCAAATCACATATTAATTATATGCTTTCCAGATCATGTTGTGCCTCTGCATGATTCTCTAGTAATTAGGTCAAATAAATTTTCATCATGAGTAATTGAGTATATGTAATAGAAAAAACTTTGTGAATGGTGAATATGGTTACAAAACAAATATATATATATATATATATATATATATATATATATATATATCATAGAACTAAAAGGTGCTAATATGATGAATCGATGATGTTGCACCTAGCAATATGTATTCTTTTTTTGTTTGTGCAAAGCAATATGTGTTCTTGTGATTGTAATAGAGTTGATCAGAACGCAAATAAAAAAATTCCCCTGTCTAGCAAAAAAGACAGAAGCACGATGTACAATTATCTCCGTAAACTTTTTAGTTCTTGAATGGCTTCCTCAATCCTCATGATGATGATAGTTTTTCGGCTAGCTCTTGATATAATATGGTGCTTTGATTTTCACATAATTAAAGGAAAAGACATGGTCATATGATTTTTTCCACCAGGACAACATAAAATCAACAAAAACATGGTTTAAGATAAAAGTAAGTTATTAGTGACAAAGAAAGGATACCATGAAAATGTTTTGTTAAACCATGAATATTGAAACTTCAAATCATTACTAGGTAAGTAAGCGAAATTCATTTTTGTCGGTTATGAAATTGGTTGCTATCGCCAGGTGCGTAGGGCACAAATACTCATTTCGGCATATATACAAATTATTCCATTCACTTTACTTATATTACATGCGCTAGCTACTCTGCTCCCATTTTATGAAAGTGGTTAATTAATATAAGATTAAGAAATATATATAAATACATATATATATATATATATATAATATTAAGAAAATTCGATAAGTTATTGGAAAAGTATTATGAGAAATTGTTAAAAATGCCCCTTTTTCAATACATTTGCCCTCTTTTAATTTTTAATGACCATTTTACCCTTATTTGAAACAAAATTAGGTCCACAAAATACAAAATATTTTTTGGCGGGAAAAGTGATCCCGCAATTTTCCCGCCAAAACACTTGTAAAAACCTTTAAAATATCTTGTAAAATTTTCCCGTAAAAATTTTTCCCGCCAAAAAATTTTCCCGCCAAAAAATTTTTTTTGCGGGAAAAGTGATTCCGCAATTTTTTGGCGGGAAAAATTTACAAGGTATTTTAAAGGTTTTGCAGAGTATTTACAAGTGTTTTGTAAGGTTTTACAATGTATTTTAAAAGGTTTTACAAGGTACTTATAAGGTTTTATAAGGTATTTATAACTTGTAAAACCTTATAAAAAACTTGTAAAACCTTATAACTTGTAAAACCTTATAAAATTTTAAAATACATTGTAAAACCTTATAAATACCCTGTAAAAAACCTTTAAAAAACCTTGTAAATTTTTCCCGGCAAAAATTTAACGCCAAAATTTTTTTGTTATCACTTTTCCCGCAAAAAAAAAATTTTGGCGGGAAAATTTTTTGGCGGGAAAAAATTTTACGGGAAAATTTTACAAGGTATTTTAAAGGTTTTACAAGTTTTTACAAGTGTTTTGGCGGGAAAAATTGCGGGATCACTTTTCCCGCCAAAAAATATTTTGTATTTTGTGGACCTAATTTTGTTATATTTCCTTATATATTTGTGATATCTTTTATTAAAAGAAGGGTAATTTAGTCATTTTGTACATAAAAAGGGGTATTTTTAAAAATGGACAGCCAAATGGGGCATTTTTGAAAAGGGGTATTGAAAAAGGGGCATTTTGTGAGTCTCCCAAGTATTATTTGGTTAATCTAGTATGTATATATATTTTGTAAAATGGTTGGTAAGTCTATGCTCATATGTGTTGTGGCTATGAGTTACAGCCAAAAACATATATTGGTAAAGACGATTTTATAGTTATGGTGCTAAAGCTGCATCCTCATTCTTTGTTCTGCGACACCACCATTAATTAATTTTATTTTTATAATATAGTCAAATATTGAAAATGTTTACGTCATACACAAATACTACACTCAATATTTAGAGGAAACAGTTGGAATAGAATCATATGCCACGACACGGTCTGGTCAATTATATTGATAGTGATAATTCTCTTATTTCTCAATTAAACTAATGGCTAAAAAAATATGAGGTTTTATTTTAAATTTTTATCTAAATATATAGATACTCAAATTTAAATGCTTGCATCTATTCTATAGGAATTTAGCCATATTATTTATAAATACCTGCTGTAACATATCATTTAGAAAAAAATACTATTGTTTAAACCTAAATTTTGCTTTTGTTTGAATATTACTCATGAATATCTCATATATTTCTATACCTATCTTTTTTTCTCCAACAAATAAAAAAATTTATAACGTATCTATAAATATGAACATGTTGGTTTCTCTGTATTAACACATTTACTATCTACGAGGGAGAGCTTAACAAGCTTCATTTTCTTTCCTTTCGTTTGCTACTAAGTTATATTATAACTATTAACATTTCTTTTTCTTATAAAACCATGATAAGTTGTGGAGATGTTTACAAGGTAATCGAAGCAATGGTTCCACTCTATGTAGCCTTAATCTTAGGCTATGGTTCTGTGAAATGGTGGAACATCTTCACTCGAGATCAATGCGATGCTATAAACCGGCTCGTTTGCTATTTCACCCTTCCGCTCTTCACAATCGAGTTCACGGCCCATGTCGACCCATTCAACATGAATTACCGGTTCATCGCGGCCGATGTCCTCTCTAAGGTCATCATAGTCACGGTCTTAGCGTTTTGGGCCAAATACAGCAACAAAGGAAGCTATTGTTGGTCCATTACTAGTTTCTCTCTATGCACTCTTACTAACTCTCTGGTCGTTGGTGTGCCATTGGCTAAGGCAATGTACGGACAACAGGCTGTTGATCTCGTGGTTCAATCCTCGGTATTTCAAGCCATCGTGTGGCTCACACTCTTGCTGTTTGTCTTAGAGCTTAGAAAAGCTGGATCTAGTAGTAATTATAGCAGCGACGTAAAGGTAGACAGCAACAATATCGAAAACGGAAAAAGAGAAATTGTGGTTGTGGGAGAGGAGAAGTCGTTCCTTGAGGTCATGTCCCTCGTTTGGTTGAAGCTTGCAACAAATCCGAATTGCTATTCTTGCATCCTTGGGATCGCATGGGCTCTTATTTCTAACAGGTAAAAATGAATCTTTAATTTAAGTGTGAATTTGGGGTTTAGGGTTTTGATTATTATTTCGTATACTCTTGTCTTAAACCAGCTTTTAAAATAAACAGATTTAGGGTTATGATTATTATTTCGTACTAGTATAAGCTATGATCAACATGATATATAACAAAGATTTAAATCTCTAATTAATAATTGATTGAAAAATAGATGGCATCTGGAGATGCCGGGCATATTAGAGGGATCGATTCTTATAATGTCAAAAGCAGGAACAGGAACTGCCATGTTCAATATGGGTACGTTTATTTATGTCCATGCAAGTATCTATCTATACGTAAAAGATTACGTATCAGCATTGAGATAAGAGTGAGTACATGCATATATACGCAGGGATATTCATGGCACTTCAAGAGAAGTTGATAGTATGTGGAACAAGCTTGACTGTAATGGGGATGGTCTTGAAGTTTATTGCCGGACCCGCCGCCATGGCCATCGGTTCTATTGCCCTTGGCCTCCACGGCGATGTCCTCCGCGTTGCCATCATTCAGGTCATCAATTCTACTTTATCTTTTGTATCCTAGCTCTGTTGAAGTTTGTTTACCCATGCCATTAAAAAAAAACTACAAAAAAAAAGTAGATCATTTCCTTTCATTCATCCAATAGATACAAACTTTAAATTTTTAGTTCAATATGATCATTAATATTTATGAAATATTACAGGCTGCTTTGCCACAATCAATCACTTCGTTCATTTTTGCTAAAGAATATGGATTACATGCAGATGTTCTAAGCACAGCGTAAGTCCAAATTAAGAATGAATATAAAAGTTTTTATTTTTTTTAAAATGGTTATATGTGATGAATTAATTTTTTGATAAATGTAGGGTGATATTCGGGATGTTGGTTTCTCTGCCTGTGCTCGTCGCTTACTACGCAGCTCTGGAGTTTATTCATTGATTAAATTAATAAATTCGATTATATTATCAATATCTCTCTCTTCTTACATTCGGTCATCTTTCACAAGTTTTTCTTCTTCTTTTCTTTGTTATCTCTTTTACACTTCCGAGAAAAAAAATTATGTTTTTTTTTCCTATAAAGGAGATTTTGAAGTGTATTCAAGATATGGAATATGCATAATTTAATATTTTGTTCACATATGATATACGTATCAAGAAACTAGAAAACGTAAACATTCTACAAATGAAAGGACATACTGTTCGGATTATGTGTGGTTTAAAAGTCCTAATACACTACAAACTATAAGCCCGGAATATTTTTTGTCAAGTATAAAACTAGTTATAAGACTATTTGACAAATTCAGGTTAGAGAATGGACCTTTGACAAAAAAAAAAGGTTACAGAATTGATTCTAGATTAATCAAGATCATATTAACCAAATATGTGTTTAGAGTGTTTAGGTATAATCTCTAATCAATTCAAAATTAGCAAAGTAGTTTAACTTTACTCCAAAAAAAATTCATGAAATAAAGTATTCTTCATAACCGGGTGCTTGTCTCCTGGTGGTATAGGAACCTCGGCTGAGGCACCCGCCACCCGGCTTCGAGTCCCGGCCACTGCGCAATTTACCTACGGGGCGCAGCGTCCCAGACCACCAGATCCGAGGGGCCCTTAAGTGGAGGTTTAAAAATCCAAAGAACGCGGGCTTAGGCCCAGTGGGCTAGTCGGATCACAGTGTGGTCTGGACACTGTGTTATCAAAAAAGTATTCTTCATCCTCAACCGTCTATTTTGGTGGGAAGATAAAAGGGGTAATTTAGTCTTTTCGTATTCAATTTTTTCCCCCGAATCTCTCTAATTCTTTTTTTTCGTTTGTGTGGAGGAGAGAAGAGAACGCTATACTTTCTTCTCTATCTCTCTCTCTGCTTTCTCTCTCTGCTTTCTCTCTCTAGACGTGTTCTCTATGTCTTCCTCCATTGCCATCACCTCTAAACTCTCCACAATCGGAGGAAGACGATTCGTGGGAGGAAGAGAAACGATGGGATTTCCCGTCGGAAATTCTCTAGAGTGAGAGAATTATGGTTTGTTCTTAATGCTTAATACTCACAGACGCAGCCGTTGTTCGTCATCATCTCCATGGATTTTGATTCCAGAGTTCCCATTTCTCGGGAAAGCACTTCTCTTTCCCCATTGCTAAACCAAAGTACCATCCTTTTATTTCCCTCTCTGTCTCATCTTCTGATTCAATCTTAAAAATCTCAGCTTGAATTTTTGTCGTGGGGTTTGGTTGGGTTTGTGAATTTAGATGCAATGTGGCGAATTAACTTGGGATCAGATGATACAATGGGTCTTGATGGGTCTTATCCAGAACGTCACGGAGAGCCAGATTGTGCTTATTACATAAGGACTGGACTTTGTAGGTTTGGTTCTACTTGTCGATTCAATCATCCTCACGACCGGAAACTGGTACTGATTCTGTTTCTGTGCTTGTACTTGATTAGGGATTTTGATTACACCCTTTTGTTGTCTTATATCGCTTTTCCTCTGTTTCTTGTTGGCTCAAAGTTTGTAGCTTTGAGGAAGTGTGTGTGATTTACTTGTTCAATTTCTAGGTTATAGCAACAGCAAGGATTAAAGGTGAATACCCTGAAAGAATTGGTCAGCCTGAATGTGAGGTATCACATTGTCTCATAAATATCATATTGATGTCTTCTTGTTATCACATTGTCTCAAAACTTTTTTTTTTATTGTGTCTGTGCAGTTTTATCTTAAAACAGGAACCTGCAAATTCGGAGTGACTTGCAAGTTTCATCATCCTAGGAACAAAGCTGGGATTGACGGAAGAGTATCAGTTAATGTCTTAGGCTATCCTCTACGTCCGGTATGTACCTTTTTAACTCTTTATAACTTCATCACTGCTTTGTAAAATTTTGCCCCTCTCATGAGTCTGTTTGCAGAACGAAGATGATTGCTCTTACTTTTTGAGAACTGGACACTGTAAATTTGGGGGAGCTTGTAAATTCAATCACCCTCAGGCTCAATCAACCAACTTGAGGGTTTCTCTTCGTGGCTCTCCGGTTTACTCTGCTCTTCAGTCTCCAACTGATGGTCAACAGTCTTATTCTTGGCCGAGAACATCTTTTGTTGCAAACCCTCCTCGTTGGCAAGGTCCTTCTAGTTTCGCTTCTTTAATTCTACCTCAAGGTGGTGTTGTATCAGTTCAAGGGTGGAACGCTTACGGTGTAAGCCTTTTCATCAATTATCCATCAGATTATGAACTTTTTTAACGGTTTGATTTTTATTTTGGTTGGGACCTTGTTTTTCTCAGGGTCAGCTCGGTTCGCTTTCTCCCTCGGGAAGTGACCGGAACTACAGAAACCAACAGCAGAATGATGCAAAAGAGTCTTCAGGATCTCAAGGAGGTCTCTTCTCATCCGGGTTTCATTCAGGAAATTCTGTTCCGCTTGGGTTCTATGCATTACCTAGAGAGAATGTATTTCCGGAAAGACCAAGCCAACCTGAATGCCAATTCTACATGAAGACAGGAGATTGCAAATTTGGAACAGTCTGCAAATTTCATCATCCTAGAGACAGACAAACCCCTGCTCCTGATTGTGTCTTAAGCTCTGTTGGCCTCCCTTTACGCCCGGTAAGCTAATTCTTTCATATAAAGTCTCCTCTAAAGTAGAGGTGGGCATTTAGTTGTCTGGTTTGGTAAATTGTTGTTGCTGGTTTGGAACAGGGAGAACCACTGTGCGTGTTCTATTCGCGGTATGGGATCTGCAAGTTTGGTCCAAGCTGTAAATTTGATCACCCGATGCGAGTCTTCACTTACAACAACAAAGATGCATCTCCTTCTCCTTCATCATCTTTGCATCAAGAGACTGCCATCACCACACAACTCAGGAATCTCCTAGTCTCTTCTTCAGTGGAAGCAACACCCACAACACTCCCTTCTTCTGTCTCTGAAACAGCCTCTGCTAAAGACACCATTGTTGATGCACAACACTGAAACCACTTTGCTTTGTCTGTCTTGAACAACATTTAACATTTGTTTTGTTTTATCTGTATGTACAGAGATGAGGAAATTAACTTGTGATCTGATTCGCCTTTTGTTGTAATTTTCTATTGGCTAAATCACTTGAAAATTAATGCCGACAGAAAAAGGAAAACATTTATCCTAAATAAACAGACCTAATCTATATGATTTAAGGAAAAAGGAAAGTGTTGATATTTCCTTTTCCTTGAAGGTTTTCTTATGTATTTGTCAAATTACTTGCTGTATAAATAAACAAGCCTCTGTGTCTCTTCATCAATGGCTACTGAGACAAGGACAAGAATGTCGAAAAAACGTTAGACTAGACAAGGACCTAATCTAGTCTTCACTTACAACAACAATGATGCACCTTCTCCTTCTTCATCATCTCTACAACAAGAGACTTCCATCACCACACAGCTCAGGAATCTCCTAGTCTCTTTTTTCGTAGAAGCAACACTTCAACACTCGCTGAAACAACCTCTGCTAAAGACACCATTGTTATGCAGGTTTTGTGAATTCTAAATTTCAAGCACATTGTTGTGTGAAAATATATCACAAATTTATAGTTAGTTGGATGTTTAATGCAAATTTTGTATAAAATTGAGGAATATTATGCAAATTTTGATTAATCTGAGGGTTGTTTTGCAGGTTTTGATAAATAAAATATATATTGATATAACGGGCCTTTCAAAAAGCCTAACAAGCCCAAATAATAAAACCGTAATGAGAAAACAATTAACCACTCGCATGTGTAACGCGTTGATTACACACGCTCGTTGTATCTATCTACTCCGGTTAACGGGGGTTTAAAGCCGCGTCGGTGCTACACATCACACATGTCCCCGATTTCTCCTTAACGAGAAAAAACTAAACAGCTGTTTTGTCCGCCATTATCTATCTATTAAAATATCTCAACTTTTGTTCCTTACTCGTATTAGTTCCTAAATCCGATCGAAACAACTGGTGGGTTAGTTTCTAATTTCCAAGAATGGCGCAAGATCACGACGAGACGGAGAATAAAACCTACGCCGACGTTGTCGGTGGCGATGATGTCGGAGAAATTGTCAACGGAGGAACGAAGAATGGTTATCGTAAACCGGACGCTGTGGAGAAGGATGAGGATTTGAAGAGTCTCTATTCCTTGATTTGTCTCACGATCGGTTCGATTCTGTTCCCAGATTCGAAAACCGGTGATGCGTCGTCTTCGTTTCTTCATCGTGTAAGAAACTCCGTCGCCGAAAATGGGCCTAAGCTTCGAGAAGCTTCTGAAAGAACAGGACGCGAGATTCTTCTCTGGACTCGTAGAGGCAGCTCCCTTCGTGCTCTGCTTGTAATCTCTGTAAGTGGATTTTGATTTCAATGATTGAACCTAAATAGAGACGACTTTCAATTTCAGTTTAACCCTCGATTTGCTGAAGTAAGTTAACATTTTGTGCCCTAAATCGTCTTGGTTCTGTGTCTCTTTACCATTGATGAAAAGTTTGATGCTTTATTGAAAAGTTTAGTGCTTTATTGAACACATTTGAGTCAAATTTCGTGGGTATCTCAGACTTGATTAGTTATTATCTTATTGTTGTTGTTGCAGATGGGAACAATAGTTCTTCTTACAACAATGGCTTTGGTTGTATTCACACTCTTCTTTGTAGCTGCAACAGCTAATGCTATCATCATTTCTCTTATGATTTCACTTGCTGTTGCTGGTGGCTTCTTGGCACTCTTCTTTCTTTGCTTGACTGGTGTTTACATTGGAGCCTTATCCGTTGCTGCATTCGTCATCTCTACCGCTACAATTTCTGCCGTTGTTTCTGTCTTAATAGCTTCAGGTTGGTTATACTCTGCTCTGAGTCTGTTTTGGAATCTTGAAATGACACTCCAAGTTACTTCCTTTATGTATTGAATTGGTATTGGATCAGGTTGGATTGGGTTCTTCTATGTTGTGTGGTTGGGAACAAGAGGAAGCCTACGGTTGGTGAAACAATCGGTTTCAGTGGTGGGATCAGCCATTTCAGGTAACACTTTCAGTCGTCATCAACACCAAGACCGGGAGGTAAACATCGAATCATCCAACTGAGAATCCGTCACTACCGAGTTTGTAGATAAAACCCGAGTTTTGGTCTAAGTTTGTTGTTAATGGGAAGCTTGATATATATATGATCTAAGGAGTTTGTTGTGAAGAAGCAGAAAACGATAAGAATCTTTCAAAATGCATCTTGAAACATTTTGTGATCAATGTCTGCAGATTTTTGGATCTGTATATGCATACATTTGGTGTTTTATGTACTTAAGAATGATCAGTATACATATGAAATCTCAATTCAGATCTCTCGCTCTCTCTACATTTCCAGCTGCCAAAAACCAACAGACACTTGAAACCCTCTAGCCCACCAAGAGGCTTTCAAAAAAATATCCAAACTTTCACCAAATTTTGATGATTTTCCAGTTATATAACTTATGATCATACCAGATCAACCTCAGAAAACTAAAAAACCCCCCGAAAAAAAAAATCAAAACAAAAACTCATACATTGATCATCCACTTTATAATCAAATCATGAGAAGAAGAACCTCCAAATTTCTTCCTTTTGGTAGTGATTATCTCTCTCTCTGCAAAAATCAACACTCTTGAACAGCTTGACTCTCTACGTGTTCTTCTTCTTTTACGCTGAGAATTTCATCTTCACAAGGATATATACTGCATACATGTTTCTGAGTATATATATAGAGAGAGAGAACAAAAAAACCAATATATATTTTAAAAAAACCAAATCGATCAAGAAAGTCATTTCTCGTGCCAATCTGGTCTGCCTAATGTAAACTCCAAACTTGGATTGTTACAACTAAGATCTCCACACCTCTTTGCTTGATCATTCGACCTTTGCTCCTGCCAAGTAAGCGTTAATTAGATTAAAGAAAAAAAAACTAAGACAGAATATATCTATCTATATATGTTTATATGAGAATTATTAGTACCTGATTTTGAAGGCTGGATCTTTGATAGTGAGAGATCATTGATGTTGATGAAGTTCTGATCATTGTATCTATGTCGCTTGAGCAGTTATTACTTGATGGCCATGTCTCTCTATTATATGATTTAAGAAAAGAAAGAAACCTAATTAAGAAAATTTGTATTTATTGATGTATAGATTCTTTTTTTTTATCAGGTATTTTGCTAACTAAATCGTCGTCCGTAACAATTGATAATAGTTGTATTTTTGAAATCCAAATGCCCAAAAATGGGAAAATCACTAGATATACAAATGGCGATTTTTGCATGTTGCTATTTGATCCACAATCTACATGTCATGCATTTGAACAAAATTCGTTTATTCTAGATGAACCTTAAAAACCCAAACCAAATAATAATTAAAAACTTGGTACATATATTTAAATCACCTAAATCCTAAACAATTTCATCTCATTGTGACCAAAACTTCCACTCTAATTTGTTCCCTTAAACTGAACGAAAACAAACTTAAAATATCATCTAAAAGAATATTTTTTTGTTAGAAGAAAATAGATATATGGGATAAACCAAAAAATTGTTATATGAACTTGGTAGGAAGTAGGAACAATTAGGTGAGAGAACCCTAAATCTTATACCATATATCAAAGTTCGTCAATCTTACCTAATGTTTATAATATACATATCGTGTGTGTACTAATACATGTACGTATATATGATAAGGTTATAATACGTAAACGTACCGTGAAGAGTTACTCCAACGAGGTTGTGTGGAAGAAATGTCAATTTCTTGATGAAGAGAAGTATCATCAGATTGTGCCCTTTGATCCGTCGATGATTGATGATGAACTTCGTTTCCATTTATGCCCATTTCTTCTTCGCCTGACCCATCTGAAAATATTTTAACCTTTTATTTACTTTCGTCTCAATTCTTTTTACCCTATAAGGGTTCTTATTTAAAATTGAGCCATTGTTGTAAGCTTTTGGTAAAAGACAATGCAGTGAAGAAATTGTTTTTCTTTAAATGTTTTTCAGCATTTCGTTTGACCAACCTAATATGTGTCCCAAAAAGTAGTTTTAAAAACTCGGAAATTGTGCCATATAATAAAACTAAACAAATGAATCATATTTTCGTAAAGAAAAATCCATATGAATATAAAGAAGTGATTTTTCTATTGGGGAGAAATGTTTGTTTGGTTTCCTTTGAACCTTGACCACTCAACTTTAGGGTTTCAATCAAAGGAAGGATAAGCCTTGAGCTTGACCAATATCTTAGGGCTTGTTTTTTATTATTTTGGGAAAAGAGAATAGTAGAAATAGTGGAACTAAATAGTAGAATCAAATAGTAAAAATAACAGATATAATTTTACGCATTTCTACAAATATACAAATATCGATTCACAGATTCAAATTCTGATTGAGGATTAATTCATTATAAACATTATATTCAAAATAAACTATTATAGTGTCTATATTGGACATCCAGTTCTGATAAAATTTTGTTGGCGAATCCTAAGCTTTATTTTATCTCTTTCTTAGTAGTTATTATAAACAAGTACCATCTCTTTAGCATATATAAAGCTGAAAAAGCTATACTAAAGAAATGTGAATCTGCATAACATTATATGTATGTGTAAAAGAATAACACGTACCAGATGAAGCAGCAGGCTTGTTAGTGGTCTTAACAGTTCGATACATCTGCAAAAAAAATTAAAGGCATGAGAGCTCTAAAACTAAGAATAAACCATAAATCTAATTAAAGACAAAGGAAAACAAAAATAAAACGGACAAAAGATCCTGAAAAACTAAATAGATTTTTTTTTGTATAATGTGATACAGATGACAAAGCTGAAGACATATATGCAGACACATATGAACTTTATATAATTAAATAAATAATATATGTAGTACATATGTGTGGTTTTCTGGGTTTGTCTTGGAACTGATGATGTACATATAATTATTTATTTATAAATTTAAGACCACGAGGTTGATGTCTGAAAGAAGGTTGAGTAATAGAAAGATTGTATTATTATCATTGAGTAATGATGACTACTTTTGTCCCCTCTTCCTAATTTAAAAAAGAAAAAAAGAATGATAATCCAAATATCTATCATCTCAATTCTCAATTGTTTAATAATTCTCTGAAAGGTTTCAGTCACTTAAAGCTATAACTACTCTCTCTTTTCTCTCTTTAAATTCATTCAACTGCTTCAATATTCTTGGCAATTGTGCCATCTCTTCCAAAATATGACTAAACTTAAAGCAAAGACAAAACAAGAAAATAAAAGTAACACATTAGAATTGGAGCTCTATTCATTGCTCTGATGATATATACGTACATAAAAATCTTATTTCTTGATTCAGCTGTTTTTGTGCAACGCAAAGGAGTAGAGAGTGATATGATGGTGATGAAAACTATGAAATATCCCTAATTATAGAATCTTGATTGGCAAAGAACTAACTCAACTAGACTCATAAGAGGGGAAAGAAATCAAGAAGATGAAAGATAAACCAAAATTAACAAATAAAGATTGATTCTTCTTTCTTTTGTTCGATTTAATTTCAAGTAGAGTATAGATTTTACCTGCAAATGGCTCTTCACATGAGCTAAAGTTAAGTCTTTTACATCCATGAGCTCAAGAACCGACTTTGGAGTTGCTCCTAGAATCACAACAGCAACACGAATAAAAGATTAAAAACTTTGAGAAGAAATTGAAGAAAAAGTGAAGGGTCATTAGAATGCGATTATGATATAAATGTGTGTGTTTATAAATATGTACTTTCATGACCGCCTAGAAGCTCAACAGCGTGAACAAACCGCGCGTGGAGGCTACTTGTCCAACGCATCCTTGGAGCTCTCATGCTCCGCTTTGTCGGCATCTTAGGCAAGAATCTTGATCTGATCATCCCATGATGATGATGATGGTTGTGATGATGTGGAGAAGACGAATCTGAAGATCCAACGACTGATCCATAGTGATTATTATGATGATGATGATGCAAAGGAACACCTTTAAGCCTCGGGGAAGATTGTAATGATCGGTAAGCGTTGTTATAGCCGGAAGATGAGTTTAAGATTGAGATTTGATCCAAGTCTCCTCCTCCAAGAGAAGGTAAAGAAGAAGAAGGAGAGTTTTGTTGGTGGAAAGGGAATGAACGGTTGTGATAGACCGGGATACCTCTAATTGGACGGTGGAGATTACTAATCTCGGATTCATCGACCCTTTGATGATGAAGACTTCCACCATTAATGATAGGGTTGTTGTAATGCTGCTGATGAGGAAGATTAAGAGTTCTTCGATCAGGACAATGGAAGATTCTTGCGGTTGGGTGGTTATGATGAGATAAAGAGAGTTCAAAGTTGGATGATCGGTTGTTGTGTTCGGGTTGGGACGATCTTCTTGAAGATTCTTTGGATGATTCATTGTGATGATATTGATGAATATCTGGGAGACTGATGTGGAGAGATAGATCAGGGAGAGTAGTTGTTGTGTTTGTTTTGGTTTTCTCTAGAAAAACACCTTCCATGGACATAATTAAAGAAACCTCTCTTGCTATTGCTGCCACTGAAGTTGATGATGATGATGATGACTATTCTTTTTTGTTTTTTCTCTTGAGGGTTTTGCTTCGGAATTTTAAAATGATTTTCTCTAAGGAGAAGAGAAAAAGAAAGCAGAGGGATTCTTTGGGCAAAGAAGTCAAAAGGGTGTCTGAAAGATTTGATTTTTTTTTGTTCTCTTTCTCTCTCTATATCTCAAAAAGAAAGGAGAAAGTGAGAGAGATGAAGTTGAAGAGAAGCTTAGAAGAAGTAGAAGAAGAGAGAGAAGTTGAGTAATGATCTTCTTGAAGAAACAAACATGCTCAAAGTAAGACGCAGAGAGAGAAAAAGAAGGAAGAGAGAGAGAGAGGTATGTGTGTTGTGAAGCAAAGGCAGAAGAGAAAAAAGGAATAAAACTAAATCCAGGAAAATTAAAAACAGGTAAGAGAGAGAGATATGTGTGTTCATGTACATGTATGTATGTGTGAGATGTTGTTCCTCGAGAGTATATCTTGGAAAACGATAGTTGAGAAAGGGCACTATTGTAATTCGCTATATTCCAAATATTGGAAGCTTTTTATTTGTTTTGGGATGGTATTTATATATTTGTCTTTTTCACCTTTCACCAAGTAAACTCATCTACCAATATAAAATAAAATATTTATAGGCTAAATTAATTATTTTCGTTCTAGTAATTACCAAGACATTGTTTAATTTTCATAGATTAAAAAAATGAAGAATAACAAAACTGAAAAAAAGGAAGAATAATAACAAAATAAATTTTGGTTTCTATCAATTTAGTAGATGAAATTTTCAAATGTAAATTTTGTAGTTAATAGTCGGCCATTTTCATAGATGAAAAGTATACACCTTTTAGAGTAAAAATTAATACTATTATAATCATATATTAAATCCTTAGCAATTTGAATAATAAATCAAAACTTCTTTGGTATTTATAAAATAATAATGTTCACAGATTATCATGAAGAATAATAATTAAAAATATTGGAGAAGAGTACAAGAGGAGAGAGAATAAAGGGTCGCTCTCTTCTGTCCTATCTAATCTATATAGTCAAAGCAAAAGCCAAAGTTAAATAAATAAATAAATAACAAGAAGAAAAAAACAAACACAAGACCTATAACTAAAATAAAATAAAAAGTTTTGAAATATTTGTTTAAAAAAAAAATAGAGTGCTTTGATTTTGGTACCCCGGAGACGACGGGATACATATGTTGAGAGAGAGAAAGAGACTGTCTCCTCTCTGACTCCTTTTTTATTTTCTCCCCCACTCTCTTCGCTTCTCACTTCACTCTCTTCATATCTTTTCTTTATTATAATAATTTCTTATACGATTTTGGAATCAAACAAATTCAAGTTTCTGACCGTAGATTGTTCAACTATACCTAAAGAGATAAATATACATTAAATATCTGTACGTTCTTGAGTTTATGAATAGCTCGTGTAGACATTTAGTTCGTAGAGATGTGACTATTATATCAACCGGTTACTTGTTTGACCGATTTGTTTTGTCTATTAATTAGAGCCAAATCAAAGTACTACTATGTCGCTTTAAAATACGTATTTTCAAAAAAAGAAATTAGCAGATTTACATAGATTTTTTTACTGTTTATCTATTTGTACATGGCATTTTCACATTTTCGTTCATAATTTTACAAAATTCTATGGAGTTGACTCTATCTACTATTTTCTCAATTTTAATATTAATAAATAGAAGAACATTTAAAATATTTCACTGAAAATAATGAAAAAAGTATAAAGTCTTATAGTATTTAAATATTCGATACCTTTGTTTCGTCTAATATTTTTTTATTATTTAGTCCCACTTTTAATTTGTCTTACAAAGTACCTTTATCTTCAAATGCATATATATATATATATATATACATGCCATGATACGCATAGGCATAGCTAGTAGCTACATATACGCATTCGTGTGTACTGTGTACAATACAAAGCCCTCCGTATGTATGTACATATAAGTATATAACCAACTAACCAAGTGTCAAATAAAGAATTCGATCAATTATTGTAACGTAACATGCATGTTTTTAGAATATACGTGAAGTTAAAATATATATTAGACTTAAGAAAATATTCAGCCAGAAAGTAGATTTTGTTTGTTTCCTTGAGTAAACAAAAACAAGTGAACCCTAAAGAACCTAAATATTTGCTTCTAATTCCCTTTTCATTCTCCCAAATATTCCTTCTATTTTTAATAACTCTAATATATTTTTCTTTGAATTGTCTTCTAAGAAAACAATTAACTATTCTCTCCTCACATGACCATCAATACATAACATCTCGACAAATCTTAAATGCTTGAAATAAAAATAATAATAAATTGTAAGACTGTGTACGTATATCAGCAAATTAAAATAAATGATATTTCATGCGTTGATTATAGTACAGTAATATTTTTCTTATAAGATATATAAATATAAATATTGGAGAGTAAAGCTTGTACAGTATGCTTGCAGTTTTTAGACGTTTTGCTGCATGTGAGTTAAACAAGGTATTAAGATTCTATTTAAAAAGCACTTTTAATTAAAAACAATATAACAACCCTAGCTATACTTGTATAAATATGAACGAGGTCCATTTCTAATTTTGAGTTAGGTTTCTAAAACTCCTAGGATACACTAAATTTCTTTTTATCTTTAGTTAATAGTACAAGCAATTGAGTTCAATAACTCCTATATTCCAAACCTAGCAATATTTAATTTCGTTTTCTGAACGAGTTATTTTTTGTCCCTCAACGAGCTACATTTATACTTTTGAAAATTGGTGTTTTTTTTAAACCCCTAGGCTCACCCAAAGGATTGTCATCAATTAACAGTAGTACAGTAGTAGTAGTATTAAACTATTAGCTGATCCATGAATTGCTATATTGGGAACTAAACCTTTTTCTGTTTAGTTAATTAAAGGAACATTGAAACTAGAGAGCAACGAAGCTTGATTTTTGGCTTAGTTATTGACGTTTGATAGGATTCTGTGCCCCATTAATTTCTCGAAGGACATAAGCTTTACTTTGGCTTTTATGTTTTATTCTTTCCGTTATCATCAAAATCTCTATCTCCAGAGTCCAAACTAAAATCCAAAATATATTAAATTTACGCAACGGATAAATATATAGTCCTAGTTATTAATAGTTTAATGTTTTGTTTTACGGAAACAATTGTTATGAATGATAGTTAAACTTAAGAAAGTCAGGCTTAGTCTTTTGGAGTTTGTTTGTCCAGAAAAAAAAATCTTTTAAGAGTTTTCATTCAAAGTAAATGAATGAAAATACCTTTCAGGGTTAGGCAAATTTGAATTTTACGGCTTTGTAATAAACTTTATAAAGTTATAAACAAGTTAAATAAAACCATTTAAAATTATGTCAAGAGAAACGTTCAAAGCACAAATAAAACATATTAGTCTTGTACGACTAAGAGCAAGAAAACAAAAAATAGAGTAGACCACTTGTCTAATAAGAAGTAAATTGATATTCCTTGTACAAAAAGGCAGAGATATGCCAAATATTTGTATTATATATGGAACTAGGCCACAATGAATGGTCATACAGAAAATTGATGAAAATGGCTTAGTTTAACTTTCTTTAGAAAAACATATATATTTTTAATAGCATGATCTCTATTATTTTCCTACCAGATTAATACCCACGTGTCTTCCATTGATTAGTTGCTAACTTTAGAGATATAATTGATGTAGGTCCATCATATTGCATGTATGTCTTTATAAGTTTATATCTTTTTTCCCTATGCTTAATTTTTGCTACGTGCATTTCGCATTAATTTAATGGTTTTGACGATTGTCAGTAGATTGGAATTTAACGAAAATATATATTAAGTTCCATTATTGGAATTCAGCTTTATAACAAGTTTTGCAAAAAGCATATTATAAAATGTGATTTTTTGACCAAAAAAAATATCATAAAATGTGATTCGTTAATTACCGATTTTTTCTAATGGTTGCTTTAAACTTGAATTCCTTTGAATACATATAGAAAATCATATCATTGCTAATACAGTAATATTAGTAGCATTGTGAAATTGTGTCATTTAATTAGTTTTCATAGTTTCAGATGTTGATTTATAGAAATATCATTCGGTTTCTTCATCTTAATTGTTCTTTGTGTTAGATATCGAATTGTTACCTAGCTAGCTTTAGATCATAGGTGGTAACACACAAAGACATGTTTAAATGCATGAATGAATCTACAAGAGCAATTTTTCCTTAGCAAATGAAAATTGATGTTATTGTAAATTGTGAACTAATGAACCTATAGCTTATTTAGTGTCTTGCATTCAAACTACGGTTCGGGATTCATATATTTAAGCATAGAGATTAATATTTTTAAATATTTTTCAGTGAAATTCTATTATTTGAATTCTAGAAAAGTTCTTGATAGTTTATCTATTTTTATATGTATTAATCACAACAAAATTTCTAATGTCTAGTGCGCTCTAAAAGTGTTGTTAAATCGTTTCATCGTTTTTATTTTATTATTTTTTTGTTTTCTACTTTAATTTACTTGATTTATTGTGTACATAGTGATTGAAAAATATAATTTCTTTTAGTTTTGGCATATGAACTGGGTTTTACAAACCTCTCAATCTCTTCTGATTCAAAGCAATTGATCGAAACGATCAATTGAGTGATTTTTTAATTAAAATTTTTACGATATCCTGAATTTATCTCTACTATCCTAAAAATTAGGTTTTCTTTCATCTCTGTGAATCGTGAAGTTGATGCTATCGCAAAGTTATCCAAGTAATACACTGTACCGGTTCCGGTTTAAGTTTTTATTAATGGAAATGACACTATGTCAAAAAAAGAGGAAGCTAATCTCTATTATCATAAGCTTTTTGTTTGATAATTGGTATTTATGGATTTTGTCTTATACTCTATATGTATCGTTTTAAGTGATGTTTTAGAGATTTTTTTATTTTTTTTAAATAGTGTTTTCAAATTTCTATGTAAAAGTTAAATATATAAAATATTTTGACCAATTATATTTTACATTATTATTTTATTGGTTGAATTATTTGTAGT